TTGTTTGCCATGATTTTCGTGACAACTTACATGAAGGAATAGCCAGGGATGCTTACTTCTTCTAGGCAACGGATCCCAACTCTTGAACTTTCAGGAGTCAGCTTTTTTTCTTAAATCGATCATTGATCATTCTGTATTTTGATACAGATACTGAATACTTCCGTTTAGTAATATTATGAACTAATACTTCTACGGGAAGACTGGCGAGTGAACAAGATTATCAAGCTTTATGAAATGTACTTTATTGACTTTTCAAACAAGTAAATGTTCGAATAAAGTAAATGGTATATGAGAATCATTTAAAAGAAGTCTTGCACAATATGTCTAGATAAGGACACATAATGTGTATTTGCCATATACTCTTCATGCAATATTGTTCTCAAATAAAACATGTGAAAAGGAAAGTTGTCTAATCAATCAATACTAGTATTTAAAAATTCAAATGTACACTAAAAGTCAGTGTAACTTAAGAAGTTATCAGTGTCACTTTCTTCAATATGTCGGTTAAAAATATACACTGATTTCTTTTCTATCAATGTGCATCTAAACACCTGTATTTTAATTTAATTCTTCTTAAACGCTCAAAATAATAATCGACAAATTGGACAAATTCAAATTTAAAAAGTATTTTCTCAGCTAATAATACGTTCCTTAGGAATTGATCAAATTTTCAAAACTTATAAATAAGCATTAAGTATATATTTTAAATTTTTGCTAATTGCCAAGATTTTTCATACCTTATTCATCTGTGAATAATAATATCGGTTGATTTTTAAAAGAGAATCACAATGCCGATTAAAATTAATATATATTTATCCATTTTTTTTTCAAAATTAATTTTACTACTTTAAGTGCTCCATTATTTTTTTCAAAACTAAAAGTAAGTGATCCCTTATGATCGTTTGTCATAAATTATCAAAGACGGAGTAGAGAATTTACCCCTGGGAGCAGAGCTTTTATAATCTGTTTATTAGACAGAGAAGAAAAGAGAAGAAAACAAACGTTTCATTGTGGAGGTAATCCTATTGTTTCCATAAAAACGTTACAAAAAGTGTAAAACGTACAGATGTATTCGGTGTTTTTATAAAAGCGTTTTTCAGGTATTACTTAACTTAATAAATGGTGTTTCTTAATACTTTTGCAAGGAAAATCAAACTCGATCGAGAGATTTGCTGATGTTTTTGCAGTCTGTAATAACCTTCAACCTGCTGTATAATTAACCGTATCGTTCAACTTTCAAAAATAAACTAACAGTTGCTATAAATCGCGATCGCACGATATACATGTAATAAGGACCAAATTCTCAGTTCTTTGAAGTTAGTGTTCTAAGTATTGTCAACGCTTTGGTAAATACTAATAAGAATTCGATATAATCGTTATAATAGCCACTCTTCACCCACAGCTTATTGTCAATCTCTCACCAGGGGGCGTATTACGCCAACAGTTTACAAATCATAGGAAGCGCTTTGCTGAAGTTACCGTTGTCGATAGGTAGCGCCTTGTGGAAGTTTCCGGTTTTGGTTGCAGAAGGATAAGGTTACGTGCCATAAAGCGATGTCGATAGGTAGCGCCTTATGGAAGTTTCCGGTTTTTGGAGGCCCATGCCATAAAGCGGTTAGCTAGCTAACCGCTTAAAAAGGTCTTGTATCGACCATAGAACTTACGATATGATGACTTTAAACGAGACTATTGATATTCTTGTTTCACCAACTTGTTTGTCAATAATTTACCTCGTTTTAGAAATTGTTCATACGTAGAGCATGCTGTATCGAATGAACTGAGATATATACAAGTAACAGCTTTTTAGAAAGCTTGCCTGACTAAATCAATCAATTTATCTGCATGAAGAGTGATAAACCTTTTGAGCTATACTTTGTAGGTTTAAAAAATATCCTAGGTTTAATAATTTGAGAACCTTATGTAATTGAAATCTTGATTTTACTGAACTTTTAGAATAATCATCTCTACACTGCATACTAAAGAACTTTGTAGTTGAAGGGGGGGGGGGGGGGGGGGGGTCTGCAAGTGGAGTGATCTGCCCTTGGATCTAAATTGATTTCAAGCTACATTGTAAAACCTATTATAAAATCTGTTATCAAATCACGCATTGTGAACATTTTAAAAGATGGATATAGTTAAAAACACATTTTGTTGGAGTGTATTTTCTCCTCTGAAGTAAACAGTTGTAATGTGTGTTCATTATTTTTTTTTCTTGAAAGGGGAGGGGGATGAAACTATCATATAATACATGATATATTGAGAATGAAATAAGTAAATTCAATAGTTAGGCTTTTCTTAGAAAGAAATATCCAAGATTATTCACATTGTGTGCATCTGAACAAAGACATATAATAGATCATGCATCTGGAGACGATGGCGTGAACTGCGTTGTTTATTATTATTGGACTCGTCCATTTATGGAATAAACCAACCGCGGGATCGGTAAACAAATTAGAAACATCTTTTCTTTAGTGTTACATGTCCATATACCATGTATACTGATGTATACGATATGTTGTTTTAAAGAGTGGTATAAAACTTGTAGATAGAATTTCTGAAGCATTAGAAGGAAGTTAAAAGAACAAACTTTATTTAATTCCATGGAAGTTAGCACACCCATTCATACAATAGAACAATCCAAGGAAAAGGCGCGAAGATAGCTTACTAGTGACATTTGGCGCGAAAAGAGCGATTCACCCCTTTTGTAGAATATAAATGGACTGATCCAGTAGTATAGAAATGCAGAAAAAAGGATACACGGACATGTTGAAACGGCAAATCATATGGAATAATCTATTCCATGCAAAAAGATTAAAGGAAGTAAACACTGCAGTATTTCGCATCAGTAATATCTTTCTTTTTCCTGAAAACTGTTTCTTTTAAAACGCAGGTAAAGAATTCCAATGTAAATCAGCTTGCACAAAATCTAGCTCTTTAGATATGGTCGCACATTTTCGGATCTTGGAAATATTAATCCTTATACTGCCTGACGCCGTGACGTCAGGCAATAAAGGTGATGAAGGTATATTGCTGCATAAGAAAGGGAAGCTGACGATTGAAAAGTTAAAGTCATCACGTTTATCATAGAGTTTGGTTGTTACTTGTTAGATTACGATTATAACGTCTTTTCCAAGTAAAATATCCAAATATGAAACAGATGTGTTAGACTCTGTGGTATCTTTTATATCAAACTCACTGGGATATAACATCAACATAAAAATGGTAATTACCATTGTTTTTTGACAATACGTCGTCGATATATCTAAATGTTGAGTTGAAGGCCACAGCAAGTGTTTTCTTCTTTTCGCGTGTAAGAGTTTGGACAAATTCTGATTCATATGAATACAAAAATGTCCCCTATTAACGGGACACAATTGGTGTCCATGGGAATTCCAACAGATTGTTAGAAGACCTTGTCTTCAAAAACAACATAGATATTGTCAATCAGAAACTCAAGCATCTTTTTAGGTCAACGTCAAATTACTTGTGTGTACAACCAGAATGTTTTTAACAAAATAATTTTGCAAATGACCAATGACAAGATAAGTAAATTTTCGAGTTCCATTTTTATTGAAAAAGCAGCTGTCCACGTTATCAAAAAGCCTGGACTTTTATTTATCGAGAGGAATGGTTGTATATAAAGTTGAAAAGTCGAAAGTTTTTAAGCTGTTGATTTTGGTAAGATCTTGTGATTTTATATATAACAAATTCTGCTTAATAGGAATATAAAAATTGGTCAGCTTAAAGAAGCACAATTAGTACCTTTCGGATTTTTCCAACAGTGATTTGGGATTAGGAAGGATTGGTGTCCGAAGACTACATAAATATTGTCGAGGAGGAACTCCAGAATCCTTTTTATATCAACTTAAAGAGTACTTGTACAATCAAAATGACTTTACACGGACCAGTTTTGGTGATACAGACCCGTAGGAAGCAATTTCAAAAAAGGGGGTGGGGGTGGGGGAGCACAGCCATATATTTTCAGTTGGGAGCACAACCTAAAAATCCTTGTCAAGCTGAAAAAGGTCATCAGACATTTTTATTGAGGGGGGACGAGTATATAGTATCTATTGTTTTCTTTAGTATACTTTATATCGGCAAAATTATTGGGGCCATATGAGGACCTATCATAAGATTTGAAAATTACCGACTTTGCTAGAAGTAGTTGTCCTTGGTATCAAAAAGGCTAGTTTTTTTATTTATGGTCGGGAATGATTGATAAAACATAGAAAAGTTGCATACGTTTTGATTTTATAGACTTCAGAAAAAAAATTTGTATTTTCAAGTTTCTAAAAGTTCCTAGAGTTTTTTAGGATCCAGGATGACTTAAATAAAATGCAGTGTAACTAAAAATAGACAAAAATGCCTTAACTTTCGGCATGATATCATTTTCGAAGATATAGAGTTACGCCAATGAAAAAGGGATACGATTGGTCTAATAAACATATGCTCAAACAGTTTTGTTTTGTTTTATAGTCTGTATGGAGATATTGACAAATGGGCAAGTAAAGACAAGTAAATAGATTCGTTATAAGCTATTCGGCTAATTAGCTTGTATAAATCCCTTATCATCCTATTTCTCTTGCTTTTAGGCATCGAAGTTTCATTATCTTTTTGAAAAATATATATTTGCAATTGTGAATCCTTGTCATTAAATTAACATCCAATTAAATACCAGGGAAAGTAAATAATTTTAATTATGAGTATTATATGGGTTAAAAGACACATTAGATATTAATACTAGACGAAAACACTTGCAATAAATGCGTAGTGTCAAATTTCACGAAACTTTGTACAGCGAAGGTCACATTCTACACAATGTTACCACACATCAGATCATACAAATCATTTCATGTCGATAACCACAGATTATCACAAACAGGTAGATAAATTCATTAAAGTAATAGTCCCATCTTTATAATTTGAAACACATAACGGAGAATAAAATCTGGAGATAACGTAAAATGTCGACTGAAGTCCTCGTGTTCTTGTCTTAGGCAATCAAAGGTCCCTTGTTATCATAAGTACCCCTATAACTGCTGATCACTGCTGAAGAACCTTGTTATATCCTGTCCTGTCACGCGAGGTTCTCCCCCAGTCACTCCCCCTGTACGTTTACAGAATGAAGGGGACATTGGTGTTCCTCTCACTCCTCGGTCTTCATCTTATAACGGCCCAGGAGCCAGGGAGATGTATTGTACCGCCTCAATTCCAGGTAGGCAAATTTTATCATGTAAAAAAAAATATCTCATAAATTAGATTAAATATAAAAGAAAATCATTATAAACTTGGCTTTAATCATGAGCATTTTTTGTTAATTTTGTCGTTTGAATAAAAAAATTATGATCTTCATAAGAGGTCCGCTTCTCAAAGAAGGATAACTCAAAATTACTAGTATTAAGGACAGATGATACAAACAATTTTTTTTCTTTGGAAGAGACTTAATATCATGTCACAAGTTTAGAAAAGTGGATAAATCTTAGAATTTTTTCTCTTAAGAACTGGAAAATGAAATAGACTTGGAAAATATTAGTAATATTTCAATATAATTACAAATATGGACAAAACACACTCAGTAAAGGTTTACAGATGAAAACAAATTTCAGAATATGTTACCTTGGTGCTAAAAGTGTAATTTAAACTTTAGAAAAATATACCAAGCCGGGTGAATTTTATTAAGAAAAGCAAAATCGTAAAAATCAGCCTATGGTTTATTGATGATTTTTTGTCATCTTTATTTCCTCATAAAATTCACCCGGCTTGGTATATTTTTCTTAAGTTTATATTGTACTTTTAGCACCAAGGTAACATATTCTGAAATTTGTTTTCACCTGTTAACCTTTACTGAGTATGCTTTGTCTATTTTTGGTTTTTTATTGAAATATTAGTAATATTTTCCAAGTCTATTTCATTTTCCAGTTCTCAGGAGTAAAAACGCTATGAATTATCCACTTTTCTAAACTTGTGACATGATATTAAATCTATTCCAAAGAGAAAATTTGTTTGTATCATCTGTCCTTAAATAAGGGAAATTTAAGGACAGATGATACAAACAAACTTTTGTCAAAAAATTTGAAAATAACAACTTGGTTCATGTTTTTATGAATGAAATGAATAAGTTTCATCAGGTATTTTTTTATTTTTTTTATTCAAAGTTGCACAAAAATGGAATTTGAAGTGAAAAATATTTGTATAGAATAATAAGGATGGTTTCAGAAGGGCAGCATTTTTAACATCACAGAAGGTTTACAAATTCTTTATACAGTGTATTCTAGAAATCTATTATTTGCATAATTTGCAATGACATTGGGTCAAAAAATATATACCAATCCAGGTATCCATTTTTTTATATCATCTGTCCTTAATGGGAGTAACCTTTATGTATATGGGAAATATGTGCTACAATAAAGTGTAAGCTTGTGGGCTCTTTTTCGTGTGCTACAATAAAACCTCATGCACTTAGTTTTTACATCACCTGAGCCGAAGGCTCAAGTTAGCTTTCCTCGGCGTCCATCAGTCATATAATCGTTCCACATTTTTGACTCCTCGAGAACCACTGGACCACTGCAGTTTCAACCAACTTGCCATAAAGCATCCATGGGGGAAGTGGAAAGTTTCTAGAAACGAAGGGACAGTCCTTTTCATGGGGAGATTATTATTAAGAATTAAAATTGAACGACATCTTTCAAAAGTCCTTCTAAAGAACCAAATGGGCCAATTAACCTCTTGGTATAATTATTGTAATATAGAATTTAATTCTTGTCCAATAGGCTAGGATTGCCCAGCTCAGCTATTATGAGAACCGAGTTAATAGGTTCATGTTTGTGTATGATGCTGTCAACAAGAGGGAGGCCATTTTTGAAGAGCTGAGCGAGTTTACACCTGGAAGAAGGTAATATAACTAAAAGAAGTTTGAGTTCGGGAGGAAAACTCGGTGTGTGGAGACCTTACAAATGTAACTTGATTCACTGAACTATATTTTTATTATCCTATTTCCCTAGATTTTACGAATACCTTATCTTCGACAAAGAAAGAGTGGAATACAAGATAGATCTAAGAACTAGGAACTGTACAAAAGCCCCGGCCAGGCCCTGGAGGGATATAGGCATCCCCCCGAACGCCACGTTCGTGAATGAGTACAACCTGGGTGGCCCAGGGGAGAGCATTACGATACAGGAATGGTCGGATGCTGTCCCTTTACGACGTAGTAAGCGTTGCTTCGTATAGTATCTGGGATGTTGTTTGAACTCTTTCTAGCCTCTTTATGACATTTTTATTTCTCGGAACGATTGCAAATAAAGAGAAATGTTTTACTCAGACATTTAAGGTGGTTTTGACTTTGAAATATGCTTTATTTTCTGTTTCTTGTGTTTATTTTTTCCAACAAAACTTTGCCATCCTCGTTTGAATTGATGTCATTCAGTTCTTCTTCCTCCATTTTTCAGATGCCCGCCTCTACATGTCATTTACACTGAATAACTGCGTCATTGTAAACGAGGATATCCTGGGAAACGGCGCCAATATCACGGACTCCGTGTCCAACCGGTTCTATGACTTTGTGGAAGGAATCGAGAATCCGAATGTCTTTGTTGTCCCCCCATCATGTACACAGACAAAATATCAACAGGCGGAACCATTCAGTCTATGGCCTTGAAATGTTGCAGGGTAGCTAGTATTGATAGGTAGTAAAAGGACGGTCCAGTAGATTTAGTATCATAAAAAAGTTTTTTAGATTATTATAGATTAAGATCGTAGATACCAGTAGAATTTATGGAATAAAAGAATTACATGTTAGAGATTACAAGTATAGTGTATAACTTTAATATCATTTAAATGTTCAAGTATTCTTGTGAAGACAATTTCACTCAGTGCATAAAAACTCGTGTTTAAAAGGGTAAATTTTGTGTATATATTTATACATGTATATAAAAGTATATTTATCAACTCTATATTTATCTATTTATAAATGTGATGCTATGTAACAGAGGCGTCATTATTGGACTGGGTTTAGTGCAATATAAAATTTCCTATAGGAGTGTAGGGAAGCTCATTTAAGCTAACTTACATGTGATATGTGCGTGGGTGCCAAAGGTGTGTGTGTCAGTTGTATATTATATGAATGTTTTGAATGCAAAAGTAATTTGTCTCTGACTTCATGTAATTGTGTTAGAGCATTTTAACCTGAGAATGTAGGTATGAAAGAGTATTTCTTTGTCCAGTTTTGTTGTACCTGCAAATACTCAGATAAATCACAATTGTATAAATCTCTGCACAAAAATGCAATTGTTTTATTTTCACGCCCCGTACGGAAGACTATAGGGTATGTATTTTTTTGCTTGGATACCAACAATCAGTCCCTTCGACCTTGACCTTAAAGTTTGATTTACTTTTGAAAAAGAAATACCTGGTCATAACTTAATTCTGAATAGCTGGTATTCACAGGTACATTTCTTGTGACAAGACCTTTCTTTTGATACCATAATTCCTGAGATTTGCTGAGATTTTGATGTGTATTTGATTAATGATAACTTTTTGACAGTTAGTGCTAGGACTTTCGTCCATCATTATATTTATTGTGGCAAGACCTTTCAATGGGTATAAATATTTTGATCTTGACCTTACAATTTGACCCACTTACAAAAAAAAATCAATCTTGGCCATAACTTTTAAACAGCTAGAACTAGCACTTTCATTCATATTTCACAGGTGTTTTCCTTGTGACAAGACCTTTCTTTGGATACCAAACATTTGACCTTATCCTGTTAGAGTTTGACTTAATTGCATTTATGACACTTTAACCCTCGTCATAATATGCCATAAAGAGGCAATAGTGTTTTACAAACACATCTTTTTTTAAGTTTCAAGCTTTCGGGATATTGAAAACGTTTCATTACTACATGTATTTTAGTTCTTATCAATCAGTGGCATATAGCAGGTGGAGCTTATTTATGTTTAGTATGCGAGTGTATTTTTATTCTTTAACAATGTATACGTAAAAACTAAAATCTTCTTCTCTGTCAACTCTTAAAATTGTAGCTCAGCAACTGCAAAGATTTTTCGAAGCTTGGCCTAGTCTATTTAATCCTACTTTCGAATGATAATTTGCACAAATAAATACAAGATGTGCTCCGTAAGCTTAAATTTAAAGTTTCTCAAATGCAATTCAAACTCCAAGGTCAACAAATGAATAGTGCTGTTCCTAAAGAAAGGGCTTATCTCATTAAATATACCTGAGAAATACGAAAGCCCAAGGTATGGTAACCGCTGAATCTGGCCCCTCATTTGATGTAAAAATTAGACCATAGTTAAAACTGTGATAGTTTGTAGGTAAGAACTTAAATTGGTGCATGTTTTAAACCTAGAACCAATTTTAATTCAAAGCATACATGGAGGCCACAAGAGGGAGCAGAAATAAGACGCTTTCCCGAATTTTCTCAATTCTGGTGGAATTTCGTCAAATTTGACTTTAATTTCGGAAAAAATAGAGCACAAGCTTGCCTATCTGAGATTTTTACACACAAGATGCATCTGATACTAGTTTATGAAATATATAAATTTGGTTGATAGGCAAGCTTGTGTTCTATGTTTTCTGAAAGAAAATGTGCTGTAAAATTGATTAAAATTTGCATTAAATTGAGAACATTTGGAAATTGACATATTTTCTGACCTTCCTGCGACTTCTGTGTATCCCATAACTTAGAACCAATACTGAGTATACTCATTTTGTGGCCGGGGTGATAAGTGGTTTTCAGTCTATAAACTGTTGCATCATTCCAAAAGACATCCCAAATCAGGGGCTAAAAGGAATCTTACCCTACCTTGTCCTTTTTTATGTGCGTCAAATTCCAGGGTCAAGGTCAAATTAAATGTACCTAAATGCAGGACTTGTCATAAGAAATAAATATTGGAATTGTTCAAAAGTTATGTCAAAGGGTTAAAGTTCCGTATGAGGATATATTATTTGTATCAAATGCCACTTCATTGCAAAATGACCCCAACATCAGCGTGTTTGTTGGTTTAGTTTGAATATATTTTATTAATTGTATAAATGATATACAGTGAAACAATTTTATGGAGATAACGAACAGTATTCAGCATCAAAAATCCACAAAACAATTCAAAACAGGAGCAGAGCAAACGCGAACTTCCAAAATATCAGAGGTGGGATCAGGTGCCATGGAGGAGGGAGCATCCCCTGCGGACCGGTCACACCCTCCATGTGCTCCTTCTCATGATCGGGAAATGACGGGAAAATCCGTCAATTCAGTGTATAAATAATGGACTAACAATTACTATGAAAAACGTCAGTCAGCAGTTGGCTCAGTGAATCGACCACAGAACTTACGAAATGATGACTTTAAACGAGACTGCTGAAATTCTTGTTTCATCAAATTGTTTGTCAATAATTTACCTCGTTTTAGAAATTGTTCAAACGTAGAGCATGCTCTTGCGTTTCGAATCAACTGAGATAAATAAACTCCGTATGCAGGTTATGAATGTATATTGCCGCATAAGTAGGGGAAGTTGACGATCATCACGTTTATCATAGAGATTACCATTGATTAACGTCTTTTTCAAGTAAAGGAACCAAATATATGAAACAGATATGTCAGACTTTGTGGTATCTCTTACCTCAAGTTCATCAGGATATATCGTATTGACATAATGGAAATTAGTTCAAATTACCTTAATTAATTGACAATATGTCGTCGATATCTAAATGTCGAGTTGAAGGCCACAGCAAGTGTTTTCTTCTTTTCACGCATAAAATTTTGCACAAATTCTACTTTATATGAATACAAAAATAGGTCTGGTAATAACAGGGCGCAATTGGTACCCATGGGAATTCCAACAGATTGCTGGAAGACATGGTCTCCAAAACAACATAGATATTCTCAATCAGAAACTCGATCGAGCATCTTTTTGATGTCGAACTTCAGAGTACTTGTGTGTACAATCAGAATGTTTTTAACAAAAAAAAATTTGCAAATGACCAATGACAAGGTAAGCAAATTTATGATCGAGTTCCATTTCTATTGAAAAAGCAGCTGTCAGTGATCGATATCAAAACGCCTGGATGATTCGAACTAAAGTTCTAACAACTTCCCAGGTTCTTACAATAAATGGCTACAACTGTTAATGTCTATACATAGAGGGCAAAAATTAATATGTATGTTTGTTTTAAATATACAATTTTACATGATAAATATATAACTAATTTAGTACATGTTGGGTCAGAAACTCATAATTTTTTTTACAGATTTTAAAAATATATATATACTGGTGTCTCATTATATCGCGGTACTTAAAAGCTTTTGCTTAAAAAGTGTAATTCCAATTTTTTACTTGAACTCTCATCAAATGATATTCATAAACCAGACTTTGGCCTAACTTTTCAGTGTCAAATTATTTCCCAAGCATGCATCGTTTAATTTGTAGTCTATTTTTAAAACATGAAGTCTTATTTGCCTCCTAAATTGGAGAGTCTCATAGAATCGCGGTATGGGAAAACATGGAAACTTGTGGTTGACAAGGAATTCAATCTTAATTCTTAAATTTGCGATGTAATTCTGCATAAAAATAAACAATTATACAAACTAAAGACTTTCAAAACATGAACTTTATTATGGATTTTTACTGTATTATAAATTCTGTGGTCTAAATAAAACAAGAGGCCCATGGGCCACATCGCTCACCTGAGAAGCTTTGACCATTCTGTTCTTTACCAGATTTCACCCTTGTTATACATAATGCATCCCCACCCTACCCCACTGATCATAATTTAGACATTTTGAAATCTACACTACCCCATGATCCTTCCATGGGCACATATGTTTCAGCTTTTTTGGCCCAGTGGTTCCTGAAAGAAGATTTTCAAAGATTTTTCCTATATATTTCTATGTAAAACTTTGATTCCCTAAATGATTCCTACAATTTAGAATTTACACTACCCCAGAATGCTTCCACATAAGCTTCACTTTTTCTGGCCCAGTGGTTCTTGAGAAGAAAATTTTCAAAGAATTTTCCTCTATATTTCTATATAAAACTTTGATTCCCCATTGTGGCCCCGCCCTTCCCCCGGGGGTCATTATTTGAACAATTTAGAATCTACACTATACCAGGATGCTTCCACATAAGTTTCAGCTTTTCTGGCCAGTGGTTCTTGAGAAGAAGATTTTCAAAGATTTTTCCTATATCTTTCTATGTAAAACTTTGATACCCCATTGTGGCCCCGCCCTTCCCCTGGGGGTCATGATTTGAACAATTTAGAATCTACACTATACCAGGATGCTTCCATATAAGTTTCAGCTTTTCTGGCCCAGTGGTTCTTGAGAAGAAGATTTTCAAAGATTTTTCCTATATATTTCTATATAGAACTTTGATTCCCCATTGTGGCCCCGCCCTTCCCCCGGGGGTCATGATTTGAACAATTTAGAATCTACATTATATCAGGATGCTTCCATATAAGTTTCAGCTATTCTGGCCCAGTGGTTCTTGAGAAGAAGATTTTCAAAGATTTTTCCTATATATTTCTATGTAAAACTTTGATTTCCCATTGTGGCCCTGCCCTTCCCCCCGGGGTCATGATTTGAACAATTTAGAATCTACATTATATCAGGATGCTTCCACATAAGTTTCAGCTTTTCTAGCTCAGTGGTTCTTGAGAAGAAGATTTTCAAAGATTTTTCCTATATATTTCTATGTAAAACTTTGATTTCCCATTGTGGCCCCGCCCTTCCCCCGGGGGTCATGATTTGAACAATTTAGAATCCACATTATATCAGGATGCTTCCATATAAGTTTCAGCTTTTCTGGCCCAGTGGTTCTTGAGAAGAAGATTTTTTAATGACCCCACCCTATTTTTGTCTTTTCTTGATTATTTTCCCTTGCGAGGGGATATGTCCCTTCATTTTAACAATTTAAATTTCCCTTTACCCAAGGATGCTTTGTACCAAGTTTGGTTAAAATTGGCTCAGTGGTTCTTGAGAAGAAGTCGAAAATGTGAAAAGTTTACAGACGGACAGACAGACGGACAGACGGACGGACGACGGACACAATGTGATCAGAAAAGCTCACTTGAGCCTTCGGCTCAGGTGAGCTAATAAAAACGAATGGAAATCTGTAAAAATTACGTTTTATATAAATACAAACTTTTCCGAAGCATGTTCCATTCATTTTAATCATCACAAAAATTTACATTTAGGTAACAGACAGATAGTTTTATCCACAAAAATCATATGGGCTATGTATCTAATTTTTTGGAATATACCGCGATACCATGGAACCCTAGTCTCGTTTTCCCCAGACTCTCGCTCTGGAGACTTCGCTCGGGCAAAGTCTCGAGAGTGAGAGTCTGGGGAAAACGAGACTAATGGAACCCGCGATATAATGAGAATTGAGTATAAATATATTTGAATGATTTCAACATTTTGTGATTCAAAAATGTTGAAATCAATAAACTTACAAGTTTACCTAGCTATCCATTCTTAAAATTATAGCTCAGCAGCTGCAAAGCTTTTTCAAAGCTTTGAAAAATACTTCAGTCAACTTTCAAGTGTTTGTGAAACGTACACTAATTATCCAGACAGCTAATGACACCCCTGCATTTGAAATATAAACTCACAGCCCACTCACTCGAAAGTTTTGGGCAAGGTTTAAGTTTTTGCGGATAAACAGACAGACAGACGGACAGGACAAAATAAAAACATGCACAGGTGAGTCAACAATAACTTAGACCCTATTTCATTTTACAGCATATTTATATATTTCTAATTTTTGTGACTAGTTAGAGTAAAGTGTGAGCCACAAGTCAACCCTTAACACCCACCCCACTTCCTTAAAACTGTGATAAATGTGAAATGTAAATTGCGTTTTCATGTATACAATGTGCGATATTTTCTGTCTTATACTTTGTTGTGACATGTCGAGGAAATTCGAACTGGTATTGATGCATGATTACTGTATAAATGCATATTATGTTTATTAATTTTATCATTTTACAGCATATATATATATATTTCTAATTTTTGTGACTAGTTAGAGTAAAGTGTGAAATCAAATATGTCCACAACCCTTCAAAATCTCTAGTCAACCCTTTGCCCTGGAACACCCACCCCACTTCCTTAAAACAAAAATCATAATTTGCCGCGCCTAAATGGTTATCACGTGGATCGGATGGATATTTCTAAAGGTATTCCGAACGCCGTAATATGATACGACGCCATATTTGAAATATTGCGTGTTTGAACTGAAGAACCATGAAAAGGAAGTAAATAGGAGACGACTGGTAGGTTATTCCCGGGGTAACAACTTTCGTTTTAGTTTCAGCGAATAGGTCAGTGGTGTCGGGGTCGTTTTGATGTTGAAAGAGCATAAGCAGCTTAGATCTCATTGTAGTTATGGAAATAAAATGTTTCTTATGTCAGTTATGATTATTTACTGTAAATTTGATCTGTTGACATCAGTTTATTTTAAAGAAAGTATGGAGACAAAGGGCATGTTGCAAAGGTTCAAATAAAGATAAAGAATAAAATAAATAATGATTAAGAGGTTACAATATCGGTGTCGTGGCTTTTTTGGTGTAGGGTCATCGACCACCACATTTAGTCCTACAGCCAAGGCCTGGCCAAGGTCAAAATGCCATGTGTTGACAGTGCTTCTTTGTATATGTTGTATAACTTTAATGAGAATAATTATTGTTTAAATAAATTTCTTTATATTACATATTTTAATAATTCATATAACATTAATATACTGTGCCCAATTGCTCGATTAAATTTTTATTTGATAAAAACATATTGCATGATGATTTTTTGCCACATGTCTGACAGAATCTACCAGGAAGTCTTTGGGCATACTGATAGGGGCATTTAAGCTTTATAATTTAATCATTGTCCCTGATTCTTATAAATTTTAATCAAGGATATAAATATATGTTCATTTCAAATATATAAGAAGACAGTACAAAGGTCCTTGTTTTAATTTACAAAATATATATATAGATCTATATCAAGTATATTTATTAATAAGGTTAAAAAGTTAAAGAATCTTTACTTTTTTCTTTCCCTTCACATTTGTGCATGCACCAATAAATCTCTTTGTTAAAATATTTGTTCTTTCTGCCATTAATGTTTGATAATTTATGTCTGCCGTTTTTAAGGGGGGGGTCTCCCTTAAAAATAAAACCATTAGTCAGCAGTATTTCAATGATCCAGCATATTTTCATTCTCAAGGTTGATAAATCTTTGAATCAACATGTTTACAAATAAATAGTTGAATTAAAGTTCCAAGCAGAACAAAATTTTATTAAGAATTTTTAGCTATTTTTTTTTCAGTTCACATTTGTCATTTATTTAGCCACTTTGATAATTATTTTTAAACTTGGGCAGTGTTCTAGTGCACATTAATGATTATTATATTTGCACATATGAAGTATGAGTTATTGTCAGTATAAGAAGGGAAAATTTTCCCCAGAACAGGGAAAAAAAGATTCTCATTTGAGCGATATTCGTGCGATACTTTGAGCTGTGGCTATTTATAGGTTTGGGGATTTTCAGACTGATAAACATATTCACCTATGATACTATGTATGTCTGCAGTACATGACCAAAAGGAAGAATATTTTGTGAGAAATATTAAAATAGTAAGTTGATTTCTTAAAAATTTTAAAAGTCACTGGTGAATACTGATTTCCCTTTGATTTTATGTATGTTCAATTTCATGGTTCAGTGGTATTACATGGCAACAACTACACAGTCCTCTGTTGTGCTTTTAATTGCTAGTTTATTCAATATTGAGATCTCTCAGTGTAAAGTTGATTGTAAGAAAAAAAAAAGAAAAATCAATTCAGAGTTCATATATATACATTTATATATGTATATGTACAGTCATCTTTCAAGTGTTGTATGTTTAATTTTGGATCATGTCTTCATTATTTTACATGTAATAAGTATTGCAATTTTATGACCTAAAGATTCACTGTCTTTTTTTTTTTATGTTAAACAGTCAATATGTATTATTAATCACATGATTACATATTTTAAATTTGAAGAGATAAAAGGAAAAAAGTTTTGGCTAAAATCGTCATGATCAATTTATAACATTTCTTTAAAATTAAATGTTTGGGATTTTTGTCATGATTTGTATAAATACACTATAATAGTGGAAATTTGTATCTTTCATCCTTATACATGTATTATGCATTGGCATCATTTTATTTGTTAGGAATCATTGATTTTTTTCACTTCACAGCAGGAAATGGTGATAATTAACTATAATAAAATGGTTACTAGGCAACGATGACAGATTCTGAACAAGTTGTCATCTTTTGCTAGCAAAGGGTGACAATCTGCTCCGAGCTCTTTTCTAGTGAAGATGGCTGACCTTTAACGATGTTAATTCTATTCATTACATGTATTGTTTTTCCAATATTTAGCTGTTTCTCGTTTATTCAGCTTGTTTCTTGCTGTTTCATCTTTTGATTTGGTGCAATTTAACAATATCGTGTTTCTGTTTTATTTAAGATGTGTTGAAAAAGATTAAAAGGCTAAGTACATATCATATATAACAATACTCCCTTAAAACAAATTATTGGTATTAAAGTAAAATTTTTAAAAAAGTACCTACATGCAGCAAACATTAAAAATTGATTTTTTTTTTATATGCTCCAATTGATCTGTCAAAACAACCCCTAAAAGATAACATGTTTTAGTACTTTAATTTTTTAGATTTCTGTGAAATATTGATCCGATTGTCTATATCATTGTTACAGCTCTAGGTTCATCAGTTTAATAACAATTTAAGCCTTTTTAGATTAAGAACAGCTGCAATAAATTGATCTAGTCTTTGGGTGTTTTATGACAACATCAGTCAATTTCTAAGCCTGGAATTTTTTTTTCAGGTTTTTCATTGTGTTAGATAATTTTAAAATTTTATTTTGAATTTGAAATGGTCATGAAATTTCTTAATTTTTTTTTTAAACACTTCAGTGGGTTCAATTTTAAGAGAATTAAAAGGAAAAGATAGTTGTTGCATATTTTATTAATTATACATCTTTAAATTAAGTGACTAAAATTGTTTTATTTGACATTCAATTTCTTTTTTTTGTTTCTTTCCACACTTTTGGCACAGTCACAATCATGTTTTCACATTAAGCAAATTTTTTATTGCAAACAATAAACTAAAAATTTTAAAGGAAAGAAATTGCCATTTTGTTTATTTGCTGGTTTAAAAAAAATAATTTTCCAAAAAAGAATACCTGCAAAGTTAGCCATCTTGTTAATGATTTTTTTTTTAACTGGCAGTGGGTTCATATTATAAAGAATTACACTGATGACCTCCTAGCATAGGATACCCCCCCCATATGTACATAGGATTTTAAATTCTTCTCAAAATTGTTTTAATTTTTGTGAAATTTTTTTTTTTTTTTTTTCCATATTATGTCAACTTTTTGGGTAAGTAAAAAAAAAGTGGCAATAGTGTGGTTTTACTTTCAAAAACATCATATACCTGTATACACCAAAGACTGAAGTCTCTCAACAGCCATAGTAAATATACAACAGTATTCTGTAAACATCTCTTGTACTTTGTCATGCAGTGTTCTAAAAATAGCTTTGTCAGTCTTCAGCATTATCATTTTATGCCAGAAGTTTAGTAAGTGGGAAGTGATTGATTTTATGATGAAGAGTTTTCCTCTCTACAAAGATAATAAATTGAATGGATAAAACAGATAGCGGGATTTTGTGACTTTTAAATTCTGTTGATATAAATGGTAACTACCGGTAAATACAATTTTTCCTTGTTTTTGCTTATAGTGAGTGCCTTGCCTTTCAGAGCTTGTACAATTACTTTGGAATATATCAAATAGACTGAAGGAGGCATGTCTCTTGAGTTTATTTATGTTTAAACTGAAATAATTATTAACTAATTAAAATTATTTTTTCCTTTGAAGTGTGTTTTCGTAGGCTTCAGATTAATTGTTTAAAGAATTTTTTTGATAAAAGTTCGTATTCTCAGTCCTAAAATTGAATAGATATATCATAGTCACAGAAAATTGTTTTGAAAAAGATAGGAGCATTATGAAAAGTCATTAAATAAGCCGCCCCCTGACTGTGAAAGTTTAACAAAATTTCCTGAAGAAAAAAATCTGACTTTTGCAATTGAGAATATACCTGATATGCATTAGACTCTGTGTAATTCAGAGTTAACCATTATGACCTTTAAAATTGACTCCTTCCCTTTAATTGTATGTTTACATGACTTTGCATTGCCTTATCTCCAAAGAAACTAAGGTCCACCTATGTAAGTAAATATTCATTCTGTGTTATAGTGAAAGAATTTTATATCGACCCTGCAGACAACATCATGTCAGACTCCGATAGTGAAGGTGTACCAGACCTGGTCGAGTCATCAGACGAGGACGTCACAAAGACAAGTCAACCCTCTAAACCTGCAAGTAAGTCAAATATCAACCCACTAAACCCGCAAGTATGTCAAATTGTATCAACTCACAAAACCCGCAAGTAAGTCAAATTGGATTAACCAACTAAACCTGCAAATAAGTCAAATTGTACCAACCCACTAAACCTGCAAGTAATTCAAATTGTATCAACCCATTAAATGTCAAGGAATCCAAAAGTTTGAGTATGCAGTTAACATGAACACATTCCTAGCTTAAAACAAATTCAATGTCCACTTTTTAATACTTGAAATTGCATTGAAAGTTATATTAATAGATTTTTTATGAATATCAGGTGAGTATATGGAGATCTGGTTGAAGAAGAGTGACCGTTTTCTGGACCGACAGGACAGCCAGATCCACGTCCTGTGTTTGGGACCTTTCCTGCTGGGACTGAATAACTTTGTCCAGAAGCCCTGGATTCAGGCACTAAAGGATGTTAAACTCCTGGAGGGAAATAGGTTGGTACATGTAAATAATGCACTTGGTAATTTCACTCCTTGCAAACAAAACTTTAGGGGTTCATACATGGCACACTAATATATAGAAATTCCTATTTTCATCTGAGTTACTATGTGGTTATATAATGTGATACCCCCCCCCCTCTTTTAGTACAAGTCCAGTTAATCCCCCCTTAGTACAAGTCCAGTTAATCCGGTGTGTTCCCCGAATGGCTACTCAAATAAAACAACAAGTAATTATCACACTCAATTAAGGGGCCCTCCCCCCTGTTTTAGGATACAATATTTGATAAATCAGATATATTTCCCCCCTTAAAAATAAATAAATAAATATAAAGTAGATAAAATGAAGATTTAAGAAAAATGAAATTTTTACTGAACCTTTAATTTAATTTATTTTCCCAAACTATTAATAGTATTGATTGAGAACTTACAAATTATTATCCCCCCCATTTTCAAACTCTTTTAGATAACTTAACACAGGTTTTTTTTCTTAAGATAATATTTATGTATGATAAATAAGTGTTTCTATAGAGTTTTGTTTAATTAATTTTATTTATTTATCATTTTTAATTATCAAAACATTCTATGAGTCATCATACAAATGAAGTTTATGAACTTCTTCACCTTGCATAGTAATCTTTTAGTAGCGAATAAATATATGGAGATGGACTAAATAAATTGTAAATATGTGTGATATGAAAGTGAAACAGTGCTTATCATATAAGATGTGAAAATCAGTGCTGCTAATGAATAGAACTTCAAGATAGTTTATGGTTTTTAATATGTTTTGTTATTTATATAAAAAGGTATGTATACAAAATATTTATTCATAATAGTGCTCAAATTTAAAAAAAATGAAATAAATATCAATTTTATGTTGTTTCTATTCTGGTAGATTATTCATACAGGTAAGTCTACCTGTACCCCTTAGAGGGCCCCTTAATTGAGTGTGATAATTACTTGTTGTTTTATTCGAGTAGCCATTCAGGGAATAAACCGTTAATCCCCCCCCCCTTTAGTACAAGTTCAGTTAGTCCCCCCCCTTTAGTACAAGTCCAGTTAATCCCCCCCCCCCTTTAGTACAAGTCCAGTTAACCCCCCCTTTAGTACAAGTCCAGTTAATCCCCCCTTTAGTACAAGTCCAGTTAATCCCCCCCTTTAGTACAAGTCCAGTTAATCCCCCCCCCTTTAGTACAAGTCCAGTTAATCCCCTCCCCCCTTTAGTACAAGTCCAGTTAATCCCCCCCCCTTTAGTACAAGTCCATTTAATCCCCCCCTTTAGTACAAGTCCAGTTAATCCTCCCCCTTTAGTACAAGTCCAGTTAGTACACATTTACAACCATACTCAGATTACTCTCATTAAAAATGAATTTAAAGAGTATGAATAATTGTACATACTCTTGCTTATGATTTTAATATCTATAAATTGTGTGAATGATTCAGTGTTCTAAGATTTGGATTATTTATTTTTAATACAGAGAGAGTGAGATAACCCCCTTGTCTTGGACAGAGTGGGACTCGGTAGATTTGGTGGAACAGGTTTTCTTAGTGATGCAGAGAAAACTAGTATGTTATTAATAAGCTATGCAAGTTCAGTTTTAAACTTTTAAAGGAATAACGTTTCAAGGTGTTGATTTGGATAGTAGAAATAATGTCACTTTTTTAAATAAATGATTTTTCTTTGTCTCTCAAGATTTCTGCATACCACTGAAGGCATGTAAAAGATTATGTATATATCCTTAAGTTTTTAGTGCTGTACAGAGGTTCAAGCTTTTAAATTTATTATGCTGTAAATTTGTCAAAAGATTAAGATTCAGCTTATTATGAAAAAGTCAAAGATTAAAATCAGAATAAGCATAAAGAGTTACGCATCATGTTATTTTGTCAGAATATAAGTTTTCCCGCTATCATTCTGCAGAAAATTTCCCTGATGCTCAAAATTCTGAAACAAGTTGATTTTATTTCAGAGGAAACAGTCTTACTTAATGGCCTGCCTTGATCTGGTAGACAAAGTGGAGGAAGGAATGAAGGAAAAAATCCAGGTGGAAGGCTGTATTAAACTGGTAGAAGACGCGGAAAAGATTGTGAAGATGTGGTATGTAAAGGCTGAAAGATAATGTTAGATTGTTGACTAAATTAATTTAAGATATTTTGATCAGGCAAAGGAGGTCAGCAATGGATAGAAAAACACATAAAAAAGTGAATTGTTGTTATTTTTGCAATGTAAGGAGTCCGTGTCTGCTGTTAGAAGTACATGTATTAGCACAATAAGGAGATCAGTAACTTGGGAGTGTGTGAATATTTTTGAATTATTTGACTTATCAGGTTCTCCCAGCTTGAAAAGTACTGCATAAACACCTAATAAAAACATCAATCCTTTAGAGTTTTTTATTTTAGGAAAGGAAGATAAATAAAAGTTCTTTCCTGTTATTTTCTCCAGATACTGTAATTTTGTTGCTGACTTTTATAACATTAAGCGGATATTTGCATGGAAGCAGGTCTTCCTTAAAAATGAGCTTATTATGAGTATTTCCTTTTCTTGTAGGAATAAAATGAACAAGTCCTCCTTGTGCAAAAAGAATGAGAAACAAACCAAATTTGCAATCATTTATGTTGCCAAAGTTTGTAAGTAGAACTGAGAGAAGTGCACTTGTAAAATTCAGATCACAATGATACAAATGTTTGTGGTTTTAAAGTTCATTTGTTAATTGCAATATGAAGTTATGAAGTTTTCATCAGGAAAAAGTGAATATTTTTTCCCCTGACTGATCCTGAATGTTAGTCTTTTCGATCTTAAACATAATGGTGATTGAAGACATCTTTAGTATTAATGAACATGTAATTTTTACTAAGTTAAGAAAATTTGTGTTGACATTCCTGGTACAGTTTGCATGTTACTGATTTATCTCCCTTGTAGATCATATTTTGATTCTTGGAGTCGGTAGAGATTCTAAGGACATGGGAGAGGAGTTCCGAAGGAATCGACGAAAGGTAAGACATTTTGAAAAACATAAGCTTTGTAAAGAGATGTAGATTAGTTTTGTTGCTTAGAAATGGTAGAGTGTTTCTCACACAACAAAGGAACTGGTTATATGCAGATGGGTAGGGACAAAAGTTTGTTCAAGTTCAAAATTGTTTTTTATCACCTACATATAACCTTGATCTTTGAGTGAATTCCAAGGGGATGCATATTTTATTGTACTCTAGTTGAACATGCCACAGCTCTTTCAACTTGTAGGCAAATATTACACAAATACCTACATGTATATATCAAAGAGATCTTAATGCACAATGAAATGAAAATAAGTAACTGTTTTTTGTAGAGTCATTCAGTTGATCCGTCTAAATATAAGGACACAGGGAACGAGCAATATCAGCGTGGTAAATTTGAGACCGCTGCTGACTACTACACCAAGGCAGCCAAGGCAGAGTAAGAATCTTAATTAGAGCAAAGCTCGTTGCAAAGCAACGAGTAGGTCTTCCGTCATGTTTGACCGGAAGTAGCTTTCATTTTTAACCAAAACTAAGAAATAATGCCTAAAAATGGTTTGAATCATCTAAAACTATATTCATTAATGCAGAAATAAGCAATTTTTGCTACTTCCGGTTAAACCAGAAGTGACAACGACAGACTGAAAATTAAGTTTTAGGCTTCCAGTGACATATGTTACCCCAAAACTTGTCAAGAATGGCATAAATATGCGTTTTTCGACTACTTCCGGTTTGGCCGGAAGTGACGACGCCGGCGGAAGTGACAACGACGGACGGAAAATTAAGTTTTAGGCTTCCAGTGACATATGTTACCCCAAAACTTGTCAAGAATGGCAAAAATACGCGTCTTTCGACTACTTCCGGTTTGGCTGGAAGTGACAACGCCGGACGTATTTTTACGGCTTCAATAGAATAATTTTGACATTTTGAACAAATTTACTTCTATGAGGTATTACAAATTCTCAATACTTTTTGAGATATAAACGAAAAACTTTTGGCCCCCTTTGGCCCTTAATTTTAGGGGCCATCCCTTTTTTCGAGATATCATTTGAAAGATCTTTAAATTCTACACTACTTTTGTTCTTCATGCTTTTACAAAATATTTCTAGGTAAAAAGTTATCGTAGAAAAGGTGTTTAATTTTTTGAAATTCTTGATAGGACTGTTTTCGGACCATAGCCAGCGTCGGCGCTTCGTACTTCCGGTGGTTGAGATATACCAAATACATGTCTCCAAAGGTTGCTCTATCAGCACTGAAAATTTGATGCTTCTGCGTTGAGTGCTTTTTGAGAAAACTGCCGGACAAAATGACCCTCTAAAACTCACTAAATCGCGAAAAACTCCGAACCGGAAGTGACGTCATCAAATTTAAAAAAAACGCCTTTAGTTCATATTATTTGTCATCAATGCTGAAAGTTTTATGAAAATCCATCGACGCATTTACGAGAAATCGCGTGCACAAAATTGGTAAGAATAATAATAATAAGAAAAGTTGAAAAGAAACAACAGAAAAATAAGAAGGTCTTCCGTTGAAACGGAAGACCTTAATTATAAGGAAATTTGTTTCTGACGGGGAGAAAAAATTCTCATCGTAAAAGTACCTTAGTAAATTATTTCAAAAGTGACATGCTCATTGTATCGTTGAAATATATGTATATATTGAAATTATGAAAATATTGACTCGCATGTGCTTGCTTATATGTGTAATTCAATATCTCGTTGCAGCCCATTTAATCACATTTACTTTGGAAATCGGGCACAGACTTACACAAAGTTGAAGAAACATGAGGATGCATTGGCAGATGGTCGAAGGGCTGTCACACTGAAACCAGACTACTGCAAAGTAAGTAGGATGCAGAGCTGTCCACTATAATTACAGAAATTGTGTATTTATCCTGTATTATAATGGATTAAGGATTAGACTCTGAAAATTACATTTCTGGACTTTGCTTCATTTTCTGATTTCTCTTATGTTATAGTTTTGCTGAAATGATGATAAGGATTTATGTTAAGACCTTGAAGACACTTTTTCTATCATAATTAATATTTTAAAAACATGCAGATAAATATTTGTGCACTGTAAAGCTGAATTTTACCTGATTGTAAAGCTACGATAAGTAAAATATACTGTGGTATTATTTTTAATGAAAATCTTAGCTAATCCCAAAATGTATGGATTTATAATTTTGTCATGCATCTTTCCTTCCAGGGACACTATAGGTATGCCCAAGCCTTTGCTGATCTGGATAAACTGGATTATGCCATAGCTGTCAACAAGAAAGGCTACATCTTATGTAAGAAGTCACGCAACAAGAATATCAGCGAAACCAATCTCAATGAACTAGAGCAACAAGGGAAGCGACTCCATACAGAGAGAGAACTAAAGATTCGAGAGGAGCGGGTTAGAATGGTACTGGAAGATAAAGAATTTGCTGATAATTACATCGATGAAGAGCTGCCTGCTGAACTGAGAAATCTTCCTGGAAGGAAACGAGTGATAAAGCTGACTGATGCCATCAAAGTCCTCAAGTAAGGACATTGCTCTTTTGCTACTAGAGATATTATTTAACATATTGATAGAGTAAGTCATTGACACAAGAAATTTCAGGGACTACATGTGTATTAGAGAGTTACTTTTGTTGCATCCAGGGTTTCTTTAATTTGAACATAGACATACATGTATTTCAGAGCATATAAATTATTATGACTTCATTATAAGCAGCTTTGCTCTGCATTCATATGTGTTCTGTAATTTTTTGTTTGCAAATTCTATAAGAAGTTATTCTTTTCTGTTTTTAAGTCAGAGCACTAAGTCCAACATAGAAATCCCTGATGTTCCTACCAGTGATTCCTCGGCTGATGAAGAGGTGAGTATCATTATTAAATAAGGCTCAGTAAGGTAACATTTTAGCAGTTGATGTTTGAAGTTTTAAGATAAACTTACAGAGGTACCTGTGATAGTGCTAGTTATTTATGTTCTTAAATATTTCTAGGAGCCTGTCAAGAAACTGCCAGAAAAGAAGGTACTTCATCCCAATCATAGATGTTGATTTTACAGTAAAACACACATTTAAAGAACCAACGGGGACAATATTCCTCTGTTTTAAGTATTACTTATTATGTTAAAGGAATGAAAATTACTCTGCTGTAACATCAATTCATTATAAGCATGTTTTGTATGGGCATGTTTTTCTGTATTTGATAAAATCTACTGGAAACAAGACAAGTCATTATTTGAATTTTGTATGTGAAATTTTTTTCTGCACAAAAAAGGGAAAGAATAAAGTGCAAGAAGAATGTGTAGCTACAATTGAGCCAGACCTAACTAGAGAGCTTAGAAGTTTTAGTGAAGAGCTGGAACAGAAGAAGAGAGATCTGTGTATGAGTATAGAGGTCCTGGAGAAGGAACAGGAGTTAAGGAACCTAGAGAAAGAACAAGAAATGAGGAGTCTAGTGAATAAGTTCCAGAGAGGAATTGAGGACAGTAAAGCTAACCTGGCAAGATTTGGCTTTGTGGTGGACGACAATGTGGCAGATGATGCTGACGATGACGAAGAAGATGGGGAAGGAAATAGTAATAATAACGCACAGGTAATTACTGATACCTGTGATACTGATACCTGGAAGGAAATAGTAATAATAATGCACAGGTAATTACTGATAGAACCACATCTAGATTGATACACAAGTAGAATTTATCAGACATTTTGATCAACAGTTAAAAATTTATTGCAAGTGAAATATGTGTACAAGGGTAAGCCCATAGATTCGGGGTGTGTTCAGAATGGTGCAGATACATAAAGCTAGTAACAAATGTGTAAAGAAAATTCATGTATCAAAACAGTGAAAATATTTTCATCATAGAAAAAATGTTGTCATGTTTACTTTTAGACTAAGAAAGAGAAGAAAAGAAAAGGGGATAAAAAGATCAAGAGACAAGGGGAGAGCCCTACTCCAGTTTTAAAACAGGTCAGTGTGCATCTTACTTATTTCAGATTGCTGTCTTTAAAACTTCAAAACGTGGTCAAAGTTGCAATTCAGACAAACCTTACAGTGACTCTATTTGATATTCTTGCTTCCAGAATTAAATACTCTGGTGAAATGGTATCACATTTCCATGGGTCAATAATGTTTTGATTTATCTTTAATATTTTGGAAAGGCTAGTGGACTTAACAACTTTGTCCATGGACAAATAATATGACAAAAAATTGTGTCTGTCTCTGCAAGCTTAAATAGAATTTCATATAAATAAATCTGCTCAGAATTTGTTTTAAACATTGTTGATGTTAATGTTCCACATTAATTTGATTTATTTTAACAGCAGAAGAGAGAAAAGGCCCCAGAAGTGAACAAAGAGGCTGCAGAGTTGAAGAGATACCTAAGAGATGGATATGAGAAGTACTCCAACGGAGACTCACAGAATGCCGTAACAGAATACAACAAAGCTCTTAAAATGATTAACAAGCACACACTCAAGGTAAGAAAGCACTAACCCAGAATTAAATGTAAAGTCAGCCATCGTGTCTTGTGCATCGGTTGTAAACTTTGAATAGAAAATTCTGGTGTACATGTATGTATAATAAAGCATGTTAATTTCTTTTTTAGCAATTGCTTATTGAGAAAGTGAATGTGGTGGCCACCAAATATGCCTATGGAATCTCAGCAGTAACAGCAGGAATTTATAAGGTATTTCATTCAGATCATTGCAAAAGAAAAAAATTGTTTACATGTAACAAAAGTTCAGTTTTGTGAAAAATTTTCAATGTGAGTTAATTTCCTTGTAGATGATCATGGAGGGAGTTGAGAAGTTTAACGACATTCGATCAAAGCATGCAGATGTTAGATTTCCTCTGGCATATTATGGACTAGGGAAAGCATACACATCTCTCAACAGGTATACATGTAGATGTTTTGTGTTATTTGTGTGATGTGGTTTTTAATTCTTTTATTGTGTGTGTCTACTTACATGTATCGCTTCACTGGAAATTTATTTTATTCACCAATTAGCTCCTTAATTTTAGATTATTTTCCTCCCTTTGAAATTTATTTTGACAATAAGTTGAACATTATCTCTGCCAGAATGTAAGCAATATAGGTTCACTTACTATGTACTGAAGCAGTGATCTTTTATGAAATGTAAATATTTTTGTAGATATGGGCAGGCAGTAGATTTTATAAAGCACGGCCTTCACATGGTAAAGAATGTCAAGTGTTTAGTCTTCTACTGGCCAGGAACAACCGTAACCATTGAGGAAAGTGTGCCAGAAACACTGCTTGTGAGTGTTAAAATGCATGTAATGTAGAAAATTTCACATAGAAAGTATTATACTTAATACAAACCTTATTGTAAGTTATTGCAGTGAGTTAGCAATACTGTGTGAGCCAATCTTATACTAGTTGATAAACCAATACAATTTGACAAGTTTAAAATGTTAACGTTTTACAGGCATTGCTGACAGATTTATTGCATTTGGCCCTGAACCCCCCTCCTCCGGATGCTACATGTAGAATACACTGTGACAGTGATGATGATCGAATTGTAATCTATCAATCAGACCATGATTATAAAGTAAGATCCATTTTTTTATTCTATTCGTGGTTTATGGACACTAACAACTACATGTATTTGAAAGATTTACATGTATGTTAATATTTTTGACAGAGTCTATTTAAATTGGTGTTATTTTTCTAAAAAATATATACTCAAACTTTTTAAATTTCTATCTTGAATGTGAAAAACACAGATGGTTGATGAATAAGTTCACCTTTTAAGCTTGGAAATGAATCCCACAACATGTTTTATAAAATTGCGTTTTAACTGCTAAAGTCATGATGATATAAAACTTCTTGTGTATGACTGCTTTAAAATAGTAAATTAAAACTAGTTTTAATAATGTGACACTGTATTTTATTCTTAATCTGGTGATAATTACCTTCATGCGGTTATCGATATTTTGTAATAATGATTTTATAATCTTTGAAATCCCTGTATGCTCTTGATTATTATTCAGATCAAGCTGTTGGCATTTACTCTGTTTTCTTCCATAGCTGTTTGTGTCCTTAGTAAACTTTGAATATCAGCAGTTTCTTCTTAAAGCTGAACACGACTCGTAAATAAGCACACACCATTTTCGATAGCATTATCAACGATACATCAATACTAGGGTATACTCGTTGCATTCGTTACACCTGACTGCTTTATTGTCATGGGAATTGGCTTGGAATTGCGACCCATGTTCGTGCTGGTTATCTTGCATTGCCTTTGTTTATATTTTATTGCAGTTACGTTTATCTGTGTTGTTATTATACTGCACTGATTTATACAACTATAATTGTAAATTTATTTGGTATCTTACTTTCCTGCATTAGACGAAGTATTACGTTATTATTCCCATTACCGAGTCCAGTATAGCATACGTCCGTCTACCATGGTGACGACTGATCACACTGACCAGTGACTAAGTTCTGCCCTATTTATAGGGGTTTGCAGAGCAGCGAGACTCGGGAACAAAAATGGCGGACATATTCCTTTTACGAATCGTGTTCAGCTTTAAGAACTACTTAAACCAATTCAAATAAATATCAATAAATATTTAACATACAAAGAAAGGGAAAGGAACAAGAACTATATATTTCATGGTCTCTAACTTCATGGGGTCATAGGAGTGGAACAATTTGTGAGCCCTCAGGGCCCAGGCTGGGAATAAGCTAGGTCATATGTTGAAATTAACATACCGGGTAATACCTTTCAAAAGTAACAGCTAGCCAGTTCACATGATTACTATGTAGACTTATCCCGTGACCAAAATTGTAAACTGGTTCAGACTTTAGTCTTGGGCTGATTTGGTTAAGTATTGAAGGTATTTTATAATGGATTAATTTAGGCTATCTAAATTTAATTCCCTGGTTCTCAGGCCTATTTTCTCCAAAACAGATGCGGGAGGGCGGTATTTTATTTTTCATTTTATTGGCAATAAAGTAGATGAGGGAGGTATTTTTTTAAATTTTAATTTCCGAATTTTCTTTAACATAAAGATATTTTTTTAATCACAGATATACTTTCCATTTCTGGTCAAAATTTCTGCTTTATCCACTGCTTAACAGCGTGTAAACATCGTAGGTAATGTCCTCGAATGTATTTTCAAACGAAGTAGCCAAAATCTCATTGTAAATGGCTACCGGAAGTGATATTTGAATACTAAACTACGAAACAAATGAGGTCGGAATTTTTTTTCCCGGATTGGTCTCCGCAATACCAACTTTTTATTTTATCAAAAATTCAATAAAATCGGCAATGCGGGTACCTCAAAACTGATGCGCGCGGGCCTGAGAACCAAGATTTCAATTTTATATGGTCTTAAGGATAATCCAATTTTTGCTTTCTTTTGTAAATTTTTTCTTAATGCTTCATGAAAACAGTTCTAGTTCAAGAAGAAGCTAAAGTAGTTATACCCTGAGAATCTCATAAGAGCAGAGTCAGGGTTTTGTTGATCCTGGCTATAAAGAATAGTCAGGGAAAGATATCTGTCAATATTCCAAACTTACAAGTATTAAGAAAAGAAAGTTAGTCCCTTAGAATTCAAAATCTTGTCTGTGGCAAAGCTCAAATTTCTTCAGAAAGCTTTGTCCATTTTCTAGTAAGAATATAAGCTTTGACTGTTCTACGTAAACATTCGTGTTTCAGGGATTTGTCAGAGTAATCTGTCAGGCCAAATGTAAAATAGAGTTCCATTATAACTGTTGGAGAGTCTTCAAATCCAAACAGGGAGAAAAAATTGGGGATAAGGTAAGAAATTATGGCATGTTTTAGGTACTGTACCACCCAAATGTGGGAAAGTTGGGCATTTTACCATTAATTTATCAGTTTCCGGTGTAATTTCCTTGTGAGACATGGACAATCCCATTAGTCAAGCTGTGTATAAGACTGGGACCATGTTAATGAATTAATTTATAATAACAGGTGTATTGAATTGTATTTGTTTTAAGGATATGTTGGAAAAACCATGTCCCACCCCTAACTGTGATACAGTCATTGTGAAAATATCGATCTTCAGACCAGACACTAATGAGAAAACTGTAAGTATTACAAAAGGTGTAAATCAGCATCAATTACTTCATTCCATCGGTAAATGTTAAGTTTGAAATACTGTGAATCACAGAGAATAATGACTCATCCAAAAGTTTACTTTTTCCAGTTTGAATCAGAGAAAATGGAAACAAATAAGAAGCAGGATAAAAAGAAGAAACCAGTATTGAAGATGCCTCCATCGAGTCAAGATAAAATTCAGAAAAAGATGGAGAAAAAAGAACAGAAAATGAAAAAGAAGATGGAGAATAAAGAGGAGAAATTGGACCTTGTGGAGGACATTGATCAGATGATTCAGGAGGATAAAGCTGAAAGCCAGAGGTCTTGTGTGGCAGCAGGTGGGACTCATAATGGTTTACATAAATTGGCGTATTACAAATTTGGCTCAATCACTGGGTATTGAGTAGTAATCATGAAATAGCGCTACACACGTCTGCGCTGTAAATTGTATAAAGTTATAAATTATTTTTTAGCAGTATTCATAAAATAGCGCACCATTCTCTGCGCTAAACCCACTAAAATTTGAAGCGAGCTTTTTTAAGTACACATACAGTATTCTGTTCTGCTGAACTTCTATTCAGTTTTATGAAAGGTGTTTGCTTTCTTAAGGTCGAACTTGTTATTGCCTTACATTCATTAGTTTGAATTCTCTTTAAATGGTAAAACGTTTACATATACTTGTACATGTTGTACTGGTGTATTTATTGTTACAAGCAGTATTGTTTTCAAAACGCCAACATACTGTAAGTTGTTAGAGTGATGTTTATATTTCATCATTTATGTATTCCTGTACGTGTACATGCATTATTATAGTGTTAATGAATAGCAAGCACACTGACCTATACAGAGTTTGGTGACATTCTCTTCTTTGTGTTGATTGTTAGTGATATTTTAGGAGGAGATGGGGAGAAAGGGGAAGTCATTCTCCCTGATCACACAAAGCCAGTCTCTGTTCTTCGCAAAGATGATGAGGATGTAAAACTCAACAAGTATAAGGTAAGATCTGTGGCCTAAAATTATACAACGTCCTGTGAGTGGCAAAATTAAATAATTTTTTTATAAAAGATTAAATTGAGGAACAAAGATTTGGAATTTGATGTATTACCTATGAAACAATTAATATGTTTCCCCCTGTGACAACAAATTTACAAACAGATTGATTGCTACATTTTAAATTCTAAGCTGGTGCAGTGCAATGGAATTTTAAAAAGAAAGGTGTGTTATAGGGAACAAAGAAACAGAAGAACAAGAAGAAGAAAGAGAAAGCTGCCAAACAGACAATCCCTTTGGAAGTGAACTTTACAGATGAAAAGGAGAAGACTTTGCTGAATGAACATTCCATTCCAGACTCTCCAACTAAGTAAAAATAATAAAGACTATACAAGTATTAACACCCCCTCCAAAATAAATAAATTAATTTTAAAAAGCTGCATAACAGATTGTTGGAAATATTTAAGTTAAGGATCAAGTACTAGTATATACTAGATCAGGACCATTACTACATGTACTAATTTGAGACTTGTTTTAGTACTCTGATACCACTCATTTTTGTGGGGGGTTAATTAGGGCCCCGCAAGGATTTGCGGGTGCCCTATAGTAATCACTCTGTCTGTCTGTCTGTCCGTCTGTCATTCTTCCGTCCACAAATTTTCTGTTTTTTCCTAATAACTTTTTTTATGGTAGCCAAATTAAGTTCAAATTTGGTATGGTAGTTCAGTAGGCAAAAAGACATATTTTGATGCTATGTTTGTTTCTCTATTCCTCTGGTTTGGAGCAGGGGTGGTGGGGTAGATTCCTTAACTTTATACAAGAATGAATTGGGAAAGAGAGATAACTTCTGAAAATGTTGTAAACTGAATACTGCAATGAATGAGCCCCTTGGGATTAATTAGCTTTCCTCCTGAAGAAAATCCAAAGCATTATCTTTATCTGTCACATTGAGATTAATTACCACCTCTGTCTGCAAATGAAGTTTGTTTTGAAGTTAAGTCCATTTGGAATGCTATGAACACTATGAAATGTGGATTGAAGTATAAATGTTTTTACTTTATTTTTGTTGAAATAGCCTACACGATGAGTTCTAATTTCATTGACTTCTAAAAAGAAGAAATAGATTAAAGAAGATATATTTTTTATTTTTATTTGTTTATTTTTTTTTCTTCATGAAAATTCAAGAATATTATTAATTTTTAAGGCAGTTGGATAAAAACCTCATTCTATCATTACTGAAAAAGTTCTTATTAAAAATTAAGAAGAAAATGATGAGAGAGAAGTACAATTAATCCCTTGGGATTAATTATCTAGCCTGCTGCAGAAAATTTAGAAGGCTTATCTTTATCTGTCACTTTAAGATTAATGAAAACCTTTGTCTGCAACTGCTGTTTGTTTTGAAGTTAAGGTCAAGCCTTCATGATATGTATTTGCATTCATTGAAGGCTGGCATTTTATATAACAAAAGCTTCACTATTATTTAGATATACATTCGGTGTTGAGTTGTTCTTTACTGCCTTATGTAAAATAAATACAAGGATATTATTTACAGGTTTTTGGATATTCAAATTATCTTGAAATTTTAAGAATATGGTTGCTGTTTCTTATTTGTCATATATTTCTTAAATCATTCCATAAGCTGCACCCTTATAATTCTACCTCATGGCGGGGCCCTTGCTGACTGGTCAGTTTTCTAGTTTTCTTTGCTTTCTGGATACAAAGAGACCAATAAATTCAAGTCCTTAAAAAATATTTAATTTCATATTTTAAAATTTTTAACTCCTCAACCACCAAACCTCCCTACAAATCAATATTTTTTTTCCTTTCAAAACCATGAAAATTTTACCCTATGAAAAAGAGTTATTTTACAGTATTTGACACACTTTGGTTGCAGAGGTAAAAGTTATGATTGTTCATAACTGCCTTAATTATATGAAATGGATGAATTTCGGCTTTAATGTTGTTGTATTTTATTTGTTTATTTATTCTTTTTAGAGACTTTTCTGTACCAACAAATATTCATGAAAAGGTTCAAGCTTTTGAAAACTCGTATGAATCCAAAATGGGGAAGACCTTATATGATGAAATAACAGAAAATCTTTTCTCGTAAGTATATAAATATATAGTCTTTGATTACTCTTTATATTAAAATGCTTGAAGTTTCTTCACATGTGTAGTAATCACCTCAGATCACTTCGTAGCTCAGGTGGTATAACCCATATAAAAAGAATGTAAGGAAAAGAGTACACTTTTAAATATTTAATACAGAAATTTTATTTTTGTTCAAATATTTAAAAATTTCTTCAGATGTATCTTTCAGATACATGTAATACTAGAGATATATGTGTAGCTACATAATTCTACACAAGTCATTACGATTTTCTTTTGTAGATTTTTTGAGGATCTTCTTAAGGCACATGGACCACTTCATATTGAGGATGGTAAACTTACCTCCATGATTGAAGATTTCCCAAAGGATGCTAAGGAAAAAATTGAGCAAGTGGGAGGACTAAGCAATTTCCTTAAACAGTCATTGAAATTTGCAATGATAGATGACATTGTGTGTTTGTTAAAGGATTCTGTTAAAGCTCGAGAAATATCACTGGCTCGTGGCCAAGCCAGGCAGACGTTAATATCAACTAACTCAAATAATGCGTGGAAAACTGTGGGAAAACATTCAAACTCTGCTAGTGATAAATTTTCTTCTTCCTCTTCTTTCAATTCATCTGCAAGTTGTGTGACAAGTGAAGAAAAAATCAAACCATATCACAGTCCTTATCCTGTTATAGCATCTGGTGTGGATTCATTAGACGACTTTGGTAGCGTAATAAAAAAAGGATCCATCGCAAGTTTGGACGATGATTTTGACTTGGGGCCAATAAGATCAGGCTCCAAAATGGACAGCATTGATGACATTCATTTAATATCACCAACAAAAAAGAAAAAAGGTAAAAATAAGATCAGTCTGAAGGAACTGGATGCTATAGATTCTCTGTCTTCATGCTCTGATAATGACAGTGATTCAGCAAGTGATGATGGGACAGAGAGCCTTAATTCTGATTTTTCTAGCACGAGATCAGGCAAAGCATCCTCCAGTGTCAAGCTTCAGAGTGAGAACGGAAGATTAGGGGACTTAAAACAAAACCTGGATGTATCCAGTCGGAGTAGTTCCAAGTCGGATCTGAGTGAAAAATCTGGAAGTGATTTATCTTATGATCTTATGGCAAAAGCTTACAGGAATTCTCCAGTTGCATCCACATTTGTGAAGGACAAATCTTTATTTTTGTCCAGTTCACCTACAGTGTCTGAGAATGGACGTGCTGCAGATAAAACTTGGCAAGGACTTGCTGTGCCACAGCCCCTGAAAATCCCTTCTCAGTTCTCTCAGAGACCCCCTGTTATGTCGCTCCAGTCAGAGGCAAGTATTGCTGCAGAAAAGGAGATTAATAGAATAGACACTGAAATGGTGAAGGAGATTGCAGATGACGTGGTTGAAAGACTCTTTTCTGGGAAGAACGTTTCTCCAGCTGAACGTCAGGAGACATATAACCGTGTCACACAAGACATATGGAAAGACTTCAAGAAAAAACAAACTTCAGCTTCCTCAGTTTGGCCATTAGACAACAAGTCTCTGTACTCACAAATGTCTATGACTGCTTTGGATAATAGACAGAAGAAAACTTATGCTGAACATTTCATGAAAAGTCATTACCAAAAAAATTTGACTGACCCTTTGCAACAAACACCAGCCGGTCCTCCATCCTCTTCCAGTTTCCCATATCCTAGCAAACCTCCTATCTCCACAGTGGACAACAGTTTTCCAGCTTTACACACAATGGACAGAATTCCCCCTCCCCTCTCTTTACCTGTATCTTTGTCATCGGCCAACAGTTACAATTCCAATGCACCACTCTCTACAGTGAACCGTAGTATCTGGTCCAGTTCATCAGGGACTAGTGTCAGTCAGGGAATTCCCAGTATTCCAAATATTTCAAATTTTTCTACACCCCCACCCCCTTTAAATCTTCCATCTTTTGCATCTGGACCATTTAGTAGTATATCTATAGGGACATCAGTAACTGAAACGTCTGTTTCGTCTACTTTGTCCTCTGTATTTGGGAGTCATGCTGATAAAGACAGTCAAACCTTTGTGGAAACCCGAGACTGTGAGATGAACACTGATCCATACGAGCCATACAGGATAGAATATTTACGTAGTCAAGAAGATTGTGAACAGATGAAGAACAGTGTGGCCAGATTGCAGTCTCAAGTCCAGGAACGAGATGCCATGCTAAGGGAATGGACCATCAAAGCTCAGGTAATATAGTAATGTTAATTATGCATTTTGAGTTAACTATATGTTTATAAATGTTTTAACCAAAAAATATTCCCAGAATTGTACATTTTTTCCTCAATGTTTAGAAATTTAGGGGCTTAAAATCGTAAAACTCTTTCCATGTTGACATTGGAAACATCTTCTATCAACATGGTTAGTGGAATGAGCAGGATATAGTGATCCACGTTAATATGAAATTTGATAGTGGTATCTCAAGATTTAGGATACTAAGATGCTTAGAATCATCTATTTTGTTAGTTGACTTGCTCAGGTCTGCGAATTGAGTCTCTCAAAATGTAGGTCATCTTGACTTAGTGACTCATGGAATATTGCTATATCTAAATATTTCAGATTTCCGATAATAAAGAAGCTTAGAATCATCAAATTTTATGAGTTTATACATCTTTGGTAGTAGGTCATGGTGACCTACTTTTTAAAAGGAAAAATTAGAAGTGAATTGATTGTATACCAGTAAGTATCGGAAGAGTGATTCTAGGCCCTTGAGCCTCTTGTATAAAACATGCTTTTCCGACTTGATAATGGTACTGTAAATACACTTCTGGTCAAATATGAGATATTTGTAATTTATGTGTAACTCTTGAGCTTACTTTCTTCAGTCCTTGGAAACAGACTTCAAAGGAAGATCACTTCAGCAGGAGATGGAGAAAAGAGAATTAGATGAAAAAGTTCGGATTTATGAACAAGAAATTTCCCACCTGAATACAGAGCTTACCAAACAAACCTCAGTTATTCTAGAGTAAGCCATAGATGAACTAGATTTTAAGCAATTTTTGTAAATTCATATATAAATACAGTGTTAAACAATGTAAGTGATGTTTAACTCATTCGATAAAAAGAATCTCCGATGATTTATGGATAGATTTGACTTTTATCGCACTCATGTTTTTATTCTCTTGCCAAGAATTAGGGGAAAAAAAAGAACTCTGATAAAAACTTATCCACTGATGAACCACAAATCATGGGAGATCCTATATACTGTATACAGGGAAATTTTCGCCCCCGTTTTATTTTTGCCCATTTCGCCCTCTTCTTTTTTGGGTGAATTTAAAACGGGGCGAATTTGAATTACACCAAACATAATTTCTTAAACAGAACTATGACTGGGCGAATTTAAAATGGGGCAAAATTGTTTGCATGTGCAAAAAAGGCGAATATAACACGGGGCGAAAATAACCCTGCATACAGTACAAGTATATTAATTAGTATACTTGTGAGAAATGTTTACATACCAAGATGTTGATTTTAGTTTACGGGAGAAGAAAAATCAAACAGACCAGAGATATCTTGATCTTCAAAAACAACAACATGATGAAAGGTAGGTACAAGTGATGTGTCAAAATCAAAACCCTTTTAGGACACTTACATGTACTTTCAAATGAAAAAAAATTAGTAACCTCCTAAAATGTACCTAATCTTTTGAATTTCTGAAAGAAATATTATTTTGGTTTTGGTTGAAAGCGTATTCTGTTCCTGTGTACAAGTTTTGATTGTAAGCACCCAAATATTTTGCTATTGATAGGTACAGGTACTTAATTTTAATTATACCCCATGCAAAAAGTTGCGTAAGGATATAACGTTTTTGACCTGTCCGTCATTGTGTCAGTAAGTCCTTTTTTTCTCAGCGCAACTCCTCATAAATCGCTGCACACAATTTCATCAAGCTTTGCAGATATTCAGGACACAATGTGTAGATGTGCATATTACCAGGAAATTCCGATTCCTTCATATTTCCCGGAATTTCGGCACTTTTCAACTTAGATTTTTGGCCATATCTTGAATATAGAGATGAACAGTTTGTAAGTGCAACTCCTCATAAACCGATGCACAGAATTTCGTCAAACTTTGCAGACATTTAGGACACAATGTGTAGATGTGCATATTACCAGGAAATTCCGATTCCTTTATTTTTTCCTGGAATTTCAGCACTTTGACTTTTGGGGGAGTGTGGGGAATGTGAGCTTGCTCACCTTTTCTTTCATTTTTTAATCCAGATATCGAACATCACAATTAGATCTAGAGAAGATAGAAGCTGTAAGACATAGAGAGGAACTTCGAAAACTCAGAGAAGAAGAAAGTGAGCGGGCAATAAGAGCAGAGGTAAATCTTATACTGTTGAATCGTCAAAACTTGTTGGGACCAGTTTTTTGGACTGCTTAAGATTTTACGTTGGGATACATTTAGGTTCATGGGGACGTAATTTCAAAAGGAAATATGATTTTGTAACCCTAGCACAATGATTTGTGGAGGATGTAAATTTGTTGATGAAGGGAACCTAAGAAATCAAAAAATATTTTGCGACCACAAGTCTATTGATTCCACTGTATCAGCATTTTGTATAATTGTTTCTTTAATTAATCCAGGAGAGTCAAACACTGATACAGTTTACCTTGTTAATGGTATCATGTTTTGTAGGTGGAATTGCTGCAAGTCAAGAAAAACTTCACATTACAAATGCTGGAGAGATCCAAGATGGAGTACATGGTGTATAAAAATAAAGTCTCTGTGATTGTCAAAAGGCAAGCAATACATTTTGTATAACATTTACAATTACTCAGAACTTAGACCTCTTGAATAGGAACTTGTGTAAACTTTTATGATTGTTTTTTCTTTGTTTATTAGGAACTTGTGTAAACTTTTATGTTTTTTCTTTGTTTATTAGGAACTTGTGTAAACTTTTATGATTGTTTTGTAGGAGGGAGGACGAAGGTAAAACACTACCTCTGGGCCTAAAGCAGCACCTTGATCAGTACGAAGGAATTATACAGAAATGTGACGAAACCATCAGCAGGCTTAAGGTAATGCCACAAAGTCTGACTCCTAGGGACTATTACTTCTCAAACCACAAAGATTTTAACCACCCCAAATAAGGGGTTTTACAGTATCTGATGCAGATTGTTAGTTGATTCATTAATCGATTCTGATCATCATCTCTTATTTCAGATTGACTTTGATGCCCATATACATCAGATCCAAGGAGGGAAGAGGATGAGTGAACTGCCTCAGATCTTCATCCCCCCTCCTCCCCCACAACCACAGATGCCTAATTTGGACTTGGTAATTCTTACATTGAAAATTAATATGAATGAATTAAAGGGATCAGTTTTATATCAGGGACAATTCTCAGTTGTTCAGTGTGACAACTGTTCCTTTAAAAAAAAATAAATAACCATTGTAAATTGTTCTTTTATCATGTTTATATTGAGCCATTGTATTGTTTTACAGCTAACAGGACAGACTATGACCAGCACAGCTAGTGCTCCTTCATTACTAGCCCTGGCCACTGGTTCCCTTTCTGGTGGTGCCATGTCCAAGTCCTCCCCCTCCCCTCCACTGAGTTCCTCTCAGTCTTCTGCCTCCAACATTCTACCTCCATCTATCCCCAGTGTACAAGCAGTTCCTCAGCCCAAGCCTCTTGGGTTACCCACAGGTAAACATAATATACCACTCGGAGTTTGTAAACCTTTTGAATAGACAGAGTATGTAGAGTCTAGGCTGCCTAATGTGACCTCTGCAAGATTTCAGTTTGAAAAAGTGTCATATGACAGAGTCTCTCGATTAAACTTCCTATAAATATCTAGGAATTGTATGATTGCTAAAATAGTCATCATTCTACTAGCCTCTAATGCTCACAAGATTAAATGAATCCCCTATGCTGCAAGAAATTTATCACAGGATTGTCTAAAATTTTCTTCAAGATTTTTAAATAAATTAGGAATGCACAATTTCTAAATTTCTAATCAGATATCTCATGTTAGTGTATCAAGTCAGTCACTTTATATAGAAAATAAAAGTTTATAGGTTGGATTAAATAGGGTTACATATGGCAGAGTCTCAAAATAAGTTTTCTTGGAAAGAGCAGATTAAGCGGAGAATAAATCTCAGTTTTGTTGTTAGGTGTTTTCTTTATGAATAGTTTGAAAATCATTTTTTATAACAATAGTAATGCACTAGTGACTTTTTACTGTAGGTGTGGCCGGCTTGTCTCAGCGCCCCCTTGTTACCCCACCTATCAGCTCCATGTTACCTCAGATGTCTCAGGGAGCAGGGCCCCAAATTCAGCACAAGACAAGTAACTTTGACAAACTGATCATCAAGCTGCAGGTGGCTTTCCCTAAATACAACAGGTATGTCTCATTACAGCAGGGTTCTGGATTGATGGTTCAAACTGGTGTTTTTGATTTGTCATAATAAATATAACAAAATAATGCTTTGTTTGAAACATTGTCTTATCTTAATTACATGTAATTAGGTATATTTTGAAATATACCAGTTTTATACTTAATCATTTTTTTATCATCTATAAAGTGGCAATTTCAAAAGATCACAATTATGACTAATTATTTTTCGATAAATTGAATGTAACATGAATATTGTATTAAAACTTATTTATACAAGCATATAAATATTCCTGTAGATATCTCATGATTGTTTACTGTAGTTTGTGCCTATTTTATACTGTGATTCACTTCGTAGAGCTATATAACAAGTGTGAATCTTTTTGCAGAGCGTATTTCACAAATGTGACTCTCTTTGTAGAGCTATTTTCACCCAGTTGATTCAGGAGCTGAGGACAAACAGAGGAGGGTCCTTGTCTGGTATGACTCTGGATGAGATTGTGTCCCAGATAACGGACCTGATACATCACCACGAGAGACAGCAGGGCAGGAAGCCTTCTGTAGTGGCCACACAACAGGTCAGTCTTATAGCTGTGTTAATAAATTCTGTCTTTGTTACAATGATTGTAAATACAAATAAAACTTTATTTAGCATTAGCTGTACAGAATATGTTGCTAAATATAAATAGGTTAAAAAAATTTTTAAATGGTTTTATTGCTTACATTTTCGACTCATGTGCTTATCGGTACTCTTTTGGGTAGAACCTTTCCTTATAATTTTACAATATACATGTATGTCAAAATTCCAAAGTCTCTTTAGATCATGCATGTTTAAAACATTTTTCTACAGGATACAATAACTCCTGGATTTCCTGATGACCGTAATAGATCCCTGGTACCCCCTGGCCTCTCTCCCTCCTGGGGCCTCCCTGGGACTGACCTGTCCAGTCTGGGGGTCACCAGTGAGGTGTTTGAGGAGGAGGAGGACCCCTGTGTGATCTGTCATGAGGAGATGACCGTCGACACTACTGTCATGCTGGAGTGTAAACACAGATTCCATGATGAGGTACGAGGGGTTCAGAAAGTACTAACAAAAAACAGTAAACACAGATTTTTCATGATGAGGTACAAGGGTTCAGAAAGTACAATAAAAGTCGCAAACACAAATCTCATGATGAGGTACAAGGGGCTCTAAAAGTATGAACAAAAAACATTAAACAGGGATTTAATCACTGTCATTCACTGAGGTGCAAGGGGTTTAGAATTACTAGCAAAAACAGTTCAGTGTAGCATGTATCAGTCCAAATGGACAGAAATGGTATTGAAAAAATAAGCAATTTATAATACACAGTATAAATTCTCTAAGCTTTCAAGAAATTTCAAAATTTTGATAAACACAGTGGTCAGTCTTCAGTTATGAAAAAAAATTGAAATAATGGAAATCTTAATAGACATCACAACAGAACTCCTACTTTGTCAACGAATATTCGAATATTCGAATATTCAAAATATTCGAATATAGAATGATTAAAGTGAACAAGCATTAAAATGAAGAAAAACTTAGAAAGAAAGTAGAAATTGAATCAAGTTTGTACAAAATTGAAAGACACTGACCTCTTGGATTATCTTAAAGGTATATATATAATTTATTCATTTTTTCACTTAATTAGTGGTATAAGGGTGTCCAGTACTTACAATCAGCTTGTATTGTTGTAAGCTCTTATTTATGTAGGCCACTGAGCAGACTACTTGCTGTCTGAGTTTTACATGGATCCCTTGTTTATATAAATATAATTGAAATCATTATCATGAAATTAATAAGCCAAAATTAATTGCTTTTAATATTTTTCTGCTAGATAATTGTTCTGCTTGGTATATTTATAGGAGTTATCATGTATACTTTTGTAAGACGATCAATTAATCTGAAATATACTGGAGAACCTTTTGAATTTTCAAAACAAAAAATTACATTTTGGATGTATACTCTTCATATAATTGATAACTAGAAAAAAAATAATTGAGGTGCATTTACCAAACTCTACATGAGTTCTTATTCAAAATAATGGCATAAAACCTATACTGCTTGACAGGAGATTGAATACATATATTTTATAATGAAAATGTATTTATTTTATCGAATATTCGAATATATTCGAATACTTCCATCGAATATTCGAATATCAATTACTGACAATTTTGACATCCCTAATCACAACAGAACTCCTACTTTGTCAATAACAAGAAATTAAACAAAGAACATGTATGTATATATATTTTTTTCTTTTACAGTGTATCAGGAAATGGTTGAGAGAACAGAGCACCTGTCCAAACTGCCGAATCATGCCCTTCTACCAGACGAGTTCCCAAGTCTGAGATAGGCAATAGAGATGGCAAAAAATTAATTTTTGAAAAACTTTTTTTGTGGTGTTAGTATTAGAACTTGATGAGTTCTATTATATGATGATATTAATCAGTGTTTGTTAGTTTTATATTGTTTTTCTTGATTGGATTTGGTAAAATTGACTTAAATTGTGAGCAAAGACTCTTTACTTAGATGTAAATGAAGATAACGAGGAATAAGACAGAGAACAATAATAAAAGGACAAGTATTTTTATTTGAACTTAACTTTAATATTTCTGTTTGATGTGATTATTAAGTTTTATGAAGAAAGTTCAGCTTGTACCATTACTTTTGTTGTCTCTGAACAAAAAAAAATAAACAAAGAAATTGATATTTTTAGTTTAGTTTACTCTTATTTATGTAGGCCACTGAGCAGACTACTTGCTGTCTGATCTTGTTTTTCATCATTGGATCCCTTATCTAAGCTCCTCATACTGAATGTAATTTGCAAAAAAGACATTTACAAAATTCTAATTACATAGTGGCAAAGTATCTCCTATTTTAATTTGATCAGACCCATGTATTAGGTTTCGCATAGCAAAACTTTGCCATTACCATTCTTTCTATGATATTTTGTGTTCAACAAATTAAAGCCTTAATCTTGAACCCCCACCCAATCCTTACAAAAATTTAAAAACAAAAAAGATGTGTTTGTAGACACTGATACTGCCATATAACAGCTTTTGTTAGTATCTCAAATGCATGAAAAATGTTGCTTCCAATGAAACGATTTGCTCTCAACAAAGATACCTGTAAGATATGACAACCAAGCAGTGTTATGGCCAAAGTTTATTTTTTTAAATGTGGGTGAAACATCAAGGTCATATGATTAAATTAAAGGAATCCAACAGAGGGCCTTGTTATAAGACTTAAAATATCCCTTATCACATGATATGAAGCTCGCCCTGACAAATGTTATCAGTATGATTGATGCCAAATTGCCAATCTCATTTTTCGGCTCCCATTATCCAAGATTCTGGGGTTAACGTTGTTGCCCTGTCTGTCTGTCCACAAAAACTTTAAGCTGGCCCATAACTTTTGACTGGGTGCTGGCTTTTATATTTCACAGGTGTATTCTTTGTAAAAGACCCCTCTTTGGGTACCACCAAATTTGACCTTGGAGTTTGACACACTTTACAAAAATACCAAAATCTCCAGGGTCAAAGTTGTTGGTATGCAATGAAAGGTCTTGTCACAAGGATTACATATGTGAAAAATGAAAGCCCTAACCATTCAAAAGTCATGTTCAAGGTTAAAGTATTTTAAAAGTAGGTCAAATGCCAAAGTCAGGGTTACAGGGTCAAAGTTGTTGGTATCCAATGAAAGGTCTTGTCACAAGGATTACATATGTGAAGTATTAAAGTCCTAGTCTTTACCGTTCAATGTTAAAGTTTTTTTAAAGAAGGTCAATCTCCAAGGTCAAACTTGTTGTATCCAGTGAAAGGTCTTGTCACAAACAATATACAAAGTGTAAAAGTTCTAGCACCAACTGTTCAAATGTTATGGCCTAAGTAAAAGTTTGGTATTTTTGTATAAAAGTGTTATGGTCCTAAAAGGTAAATTTAGTTTCTTGTCACAAGGAATTTTTGTATAAAAGTGTGTCATGGTTAACGAACAAACAAACAGAAAGTCAATGATTACGATAAAATATAGGGGTGTTCAACATTTCATGGCCATAATTTTAGCTGTTTATACTGTGGAATCATTTTAGGTCACAAGTGTGTGCGGGAGGGGGGGGGGGGGGCGTCAGTGTATATGGGCAAGCAAAATTTTACTTGTTCATGCGGATGTAATTTCAGAAGATATGCCTGTTTATATATGAATTCAATGGTCTAATGTGTTTACAAAGTAAATGTTTAGAAGGATGTCAATTTGTGGAGCATCGTTTTTTAAATGTGAAGGGGGGGGGGGGAAATCAACTTACCTCAAAAACTTCACAAGCAAAAAAAAAAAAAAAAAAAAAAAAAAAGAGAGAAAGGTTAAACTCGAATTTCTTGTCTGTAGGAGGGGGGGGGGGGGCATTGGTAACAAGTTTTTTACTCATACATACTACCAGGCCAACAAAATATATACTTTTTGTAATAATACTGATTAATTATATGATTACATGTACTTGTTTGCTATTATCCGTCTGGTCATTGCAGTATAAAGCAGCTTGTTTGTTTTTTTCTTTATATATTACATTATATCAGTATGTGATGCTTATATTTCATTGTGAACTATACCAGTATTTCAAATCTGAGAACTTTTGCAAGTGAGGATCAAGCCAATTTTGCACCTGATGCAACCATTACCTGTTAATGTTGTTATAATCATGATTACATTGTTTGTTTTTTTTTTAATTGTATATGCCCCTTGAGGGTCTTGATTGGTGAATAAATAAAAAAAAATAAACATACTATGTACATATCCCTTATTTGACTGTACTGCAACAAAAATGGGGGGGGGGGGGGGTAAAGACAATCAGTCTTTCACTGAGCATTTTCTATGGCAATAGTTATGTCTGAAAGGGGGGGGGGCTGGTCCCTCCTGATACTACATGCCTGCTTTGTACATTTTGAATTCCACACAGTAAATCTGACTTTTTCAGTCTGATATACGTTTTTCTCATGCATGTTGATTACTATTTAATCAAAGACCATCATGGTCCGTAAGTTTACGCTGAGTGCAAGTTTGCATAGAATTTGGCCTTCATTTGTCCAGCTTTGCCCTTAGTGCAAGCTATGCTAAAATGTTTAAATTTTAGTATTAAATGCATTTTTTTTAAATATTGCAATCATTAAATTGCCATTTTATATAATTGAGCATATACATGAAGGATTAATAAAACTTATTTTCTGTGTTTGTTTAATTAATTGTTTCTTTTCATTTATTGAAAAGGGGGTGTTATTGATTATGCAGTGAAAATGCACAATTAAAAAAAAAACTTCCTCTTTAGGAGAAATGGATTACTTTTTGAGAATCTTTTTTTTTTGTGCTCTTGGGTTTGACAAAGTGCAAAATTCAGTGAAAGGAACAATTAAGGGTTATGCCCGCCTCCCCCTCCCCTCCCCCCCCCTTCGGGTCAGGAGTTCTGATGTTATTAGATACGATATTATATTTTTATTTTTTAATTAATATACATTCATTCTTTGAAAATCTTCATTTCTGTTCCTTGGTACTTATAAATTTAGCAGATAAACTATGTGCATCAGTGGGGGTTATATGTGCATGTAAACGTGTTTCTCACAGAGTTATGAAACTTAATTATAATAGCTCTGGGATCAGTGGTTCTGGTTGTGGTTCTATTGATTATATGGTGAAAATGCATCAATACCTTGAAAATCTCATCTGCTGTTGAGTGTTAAGAAAAAAGCCAAATGAAAAAAGAAAGTTGTGCTTAGAACTTCCAAAATATAGTAGTAAATTTCGTGAGCCCTTAATTGATATTGTCCTTAAAGATCCCTTAATTGTTTGTAATTCAGATCGGGCAATTTCTTGTTATCGTAAATTTTATCAAAATGTGTGTAAGAATAGCATGGTACTACCAGAAATTTTTTTTTTTACAAGTTTTCTTATATTATCAATCTTTTGTAAATAAATACTAATACTTTAGACTCATAGGTGTGTATTGGTCAGTAGACTAGTTAAATAGATTGACCAATTCCTCAGTTTGATTTAATCCGGTTTCTTATCGACATTATTTACATGTTTATTATTCATTTGTTATTTATTAGCAGGATTAATTCATTTATTCCTTGCCGCGAAAAACTAGCATTCTATAGGGACAATCCCAAGATATTCCGAAGAGCATCACATGACATTTGTTGTCGATTTTGGACTATTCCATATTGAAAAAGAAGGTTGTACAAGGTTATCAAAGTCATAAAAATAAAACATAGGTCTTTAGCTGGTAAACTAAATCATATTAAACGAAGTTAATTTTTAATTTTATTGCTTATTTAACTTAAAGATATTGATTTAAAGAGATAAAGTAATATATCAGAAAAATCTGCTAGCCTGCTCAACACCTCACAAAGTTGGTATACCACATGGGCAGATGGGTTTCGTGAAGGACAAAGACTGGTCCAATATGGCCACTGAAAAATAACCAAGGATTGTGAATTTCTGTGATATCTGATAAAAAATGGCAGAATTATTGTCAGTCCAAGTACATTTACCACCCAATTCTAAACTTTTGATCGAAAAATCTAGCAAGAAGTCTTCCCTGGACAGTGTAAATCGTGTTGGGCGAGATAGACAGTTTGATCATGGAACTTTTGCACAACTTCCAAAAAGAAGGGCTGCGAATGTGGAGTTTAAGGATCTTGTGTACAAGGTCCGCGAGGGAGGAAGGCATAAAGGTGAGTTTGTACAGAGCAGCACCTGTTGAAGTTGTTTATGTGCCATGTCAATTGGTGACTTAACGCTTTCATCATCTGGCTAAATCAGCTGTTCACCAATCCACGTATTTTTTGCCAGAGCTGGGGTTCTCAAGAGGGAGTATTAATCCCCAAAGCTTACACCTTAAACATTCAAAACATATTCTTTTTTAATGCAATGGTTTATATTTTAATATAAATTAAGTATACTAAAATAATTTCAACTCTCAAATTTCATGATTTTGGTCAATAAATAATTTTTATACTATCAATTTACTATCAGTGTATCAATAACTGTTTTTATCATATGCAGACTTAGTATTGAAAAACATTTCGTAATCACCCCCCGTGCAAATTCTGCTGTCAGTGGAGCTTGAAGGCAAAATGTAATGAAAAGCACAAACTAATGTACAAGTGTGTAACACCCACAGCATTTAGCTGTTAATACTTGTGGATTTACGATATTTAATATATAACAACATAATCATTGTCAGATATGAAGAGCAATTATGAATGCTTACTCCTGATTCTCATGTATGTGTTTGAACTAAATTAAATTATTCATATTCCTTGTGTAAGTTACTAAAAGAATTCATAGATTTAATCCACTCATTAGTACACCGTACCATCAGATTGTCATTTGATACAATTTGATACATGTTCTGTCTTTTTCTTTGTGCAGGACCAAAGGTCATCCTGAAGTCCATATCTGGAGAGTTTCGATCAGGGGAGTTAACTGCTATAATGGGGCCATCAGGAGCAGGAAAATCTTCTCTGATGAATATATTAGCAGGATACAGGTAGATTACTTTTTTACGTAGTATCCAGAAGTTATTTTAAATTGCTTTGTTCTACAGTGATCAGTGTTTTAAAATTTTCAAAATGTCCTTTCTAACCAAGACGAATATGTTGAGGTATTGTTTCTTTACTATTTTTTAAACTGTGTCCATAATTGAATTGCAATTGTTTTGTAAAGAATTGATGAAGACAGCACAGTCAAGAAATTGAATGCTTAGATCATGAATTTCTGTTAAGAGCAACTAAAGAGTGTAAAATTAAAATAATAAAATGATTTTACATCATTATTTGAAATGATGCTAGTTTTATTGTTCTTCCTAATATAGAACCTTAAATGTGACTGGAAAGATCCATGTCAAGGGTAAAGACCGAGACTTACGGACGTTTCGGAAGATGTCGTGTTACATCATGCAGGACGACCACCTGCTTCCTCATCTAACGGTCGAGGAGTCCATGATGTGCTCAGCCAATCTAAAACTCACCGAGAAAATGTCCACCAAAGAGAAAGAAGACAGGGTAAGTAGGGATTCTTAAATTCAGAGTTTGTTCATTGTTTTGGTAGCTTTCTAAGATAAATATTTTAAACCAACTGTAGATATTTAATTTCCATCAGTTTTTTGTTTAATTTGAGAGTAATATAGTTTTTATTTTAGATTCAAAATTAATGAAATTTCAAAGCATATACACTTAATTTTCAATATTAAAGATATTTCTGATTTTGTACAGTATTTCGACTTAAACTAAAAGATCTTCAACTACCTTACCTGCAAAAAGAATCTATAGAAAATATAAAACATAAAGTATATTTGCAACTATTCTTATATATTGAATGTAAGATTAGTTTTCTTAATCCTCATCACAATTGTTTTACAACTTTAAAGGTATGAAATCTTGGTAAACTGCGTTTGAAAACTAAGCAGGGACTATATTTATCTTGGCGGAATGATGGTGTATGAAAATATCTTCTTTTCTGTTCTCAAAATTATAATAGAACAATGAATTTAGTTATAATTTTTACACAATAACAAAGTCTTGGAGAAATTTTGGTGTAAGTTAGATTAATAATGAGGGACTAAACTTTCAAAATATATCAAATAAATATGATTTTTCAAACAAACTAGAACTTCATTAGCTTTTAACACAATGCTTCCTATCAAAGTGCAGATTTGATCCAAAAATCCATAAAAAGTATTTTTTCTTACTTAAACGATCAAAACTTTTTGTTTTTGTATCATTTTGTACAACATCATTTATAAGACTACTTTATTATATGTGAAAATAAGAAAAAGTTAAATATAGGACAGCATATGAAAATAACTAATATATCCTAAAAAATTAAGAAAAACAAGAAAATCCATTATGCCAATATCCAGTTAAGTTAAATTATTTGTGTAAATTTGGTAATATCATGCTATAGATAGGATATAGGTATATGTTTTTATGCAAAAAGAACAATCATTAAACTATATTGAAATAGAAGTAGGTATCACATGATGAACAGTTATTTTTTATTGTTAATGTCAAGGAAAAAGATTTAATGACCTTGACAACCTTGCCTCTAATATAAAACGACAATTTACTTACTGATCTATCACTTACTGGTATTGTCTTCTTGATTCTGTGAAAATTTCATTAATTTTTAAATATTACAAATTAATATTGATAATCCTGCAGACTTAAACATGATTTGTTTTAAATTTTGAAGGTGGATGAAATCTTGGAAACTCTGGGACTCCTGGAAACCAAGAAGACGAGAACCAGTAATTTATCTGGGGGCCAGAGGAAGCGACTGTCCATCGCCCTGGAGCTGGTTAACAACCCTCCCCTCATGTTCTTTGATGAGCCCACAAGGTAAGGATTATGTATCTAGCCAATAACAAAGGCCTAGTGACATGATGGTGTGATAGATTGACTAGTAAACATACTTTCTGTCCAATTTATTGAAAGGAATGTTGGTTTACCCAAAGAAGTGACATCTTCTTGAGTTAACACAATGCTTTGTTTGATTTTATCTCGTATATGAATTGATCAGTTGATGTGATAGGAAGAGTGCATTACATAACAGTAAGAGCTATTTTACATGAACCTAATCAACTTAAAACCAAAGAGTTAGCAACATCAGTTGACTTGCTGAAATTTTAGTGTACTAGTTGTATTCACTGACAAGGAAACATAGATATATTTTTCAGCTTAAGAAATCCATAATGCTCTATCCATTCAATATCAGACATTTTTCAGCTCTTTCCCCCTGCTATAATAGGGAAATGGTACCACTCTTTGGGAATTTAAATTGATCATTATACAGGCTATATTGAACTAAGTTTAAATGGCTTTTCACACTACATGATACAGTATCTTCATATTGTGTTGCATTGGACCCAAACCTTTATGTGTAATCTACCAGTTTACAACTCCACATAATACAAGAGACAATGACTTTGTCAGCAATATTCTTTCTTGTCAGCATTCTTTGATATTTTGAAATATCATCTTGTTTTCTGAGATATCATCTTTTTAAATTCTATATCATCATGATCATTGTGTTTAGATATTTTAATCTAATACAAGTATGTCTTCATTATTGTAGACAGTTTCTTTGGCAGTTTTCAGACTCTTTTTTTTTTTTTTTGACCAAACTTGGTACAAAGCATCCTTGGGTGACTTTTTTGAAAATCTCCTTTTGAAGAACCACTGGGCCAGAAAAGCTGAAATTTATGTGGAAGCATCCTGCATGTGGTAGTGTAGATTCGCTTAGACACATCGAAGCATTCTGGGGTATTGTAGATTTCAAAATGTCTAAATCATGATCAGTGCGGTAGGGTGAGGTCGCAATATGTATTAAAAGGGGGAAATCTGGTAAAGAACAGAATGGTCAAAGCTACTCAGGTGAGCGATGTGGCCCATGGGCCTCTTGTTTTTTTTTACTTTTTGATCTTTTAATATTGGTTAAGTCCGAATAGATATTATTTACACTATACTTATATTAACAATATTTTTCATAGTTTAATAGTTTTTGGAAGGAGTCTGTGTCCTAATATTCAATAAAAAAAATTAAGATATTGAACTGTAAGTACAATATTAAAAATGATGTATAAAAACATAATAATCATTGACTTCCCCATTAGTGTATGACCTACATTTCTACTAAACTATAAGTATGCATATTAAAAACACATCAAGTCTAAAACGTTTAACCTATATGACATTTCTTTAATAATTGGTTGTACATACTACATATTCTACAATTGATGTGAGTTTCAGTGGGCTGGACTTATTAGCATAATTGATATTCCCTCAGTGGTTGTACTACAATTGACGTGTTTCAGGTGAAAACCTACCCCGGTATAAAAATATCTGCTTAACCAATTCTACATATTTTACAATTGATGTGTTTCAGTGGATTGGACAGTGCCTCCTGTTTCCAGTGTGTGTCCCTCCTCAAGTCTCTGGCCGCGGGGGGACGCACCATCATCTGTACCATTCACCAGCCCAGCGCTAAACTGTTTGAAATGTTTGACCATGTAAGAGTCTTAAATATTAAATCATAACTTAAAAAAATCAAACTGTTTTAAAAAACACAACATTTTTGATCAGAAATAAGAAGTGACAACCATTCTGTGACATTTTTATTTTCATGTTACAGCTGTACATGTTGGCTGAGGGTAACTGTATATACAGAGGGACCATTAAGGATCTTATCCCCTACTTTGCCTCACAGTCTTTGATGTGTCCTCAGTACCACAACCCAGCTGATTATGGTAATTCTTTTCTCTAGATCTTATCTTCATGTTTTTAGAATAATAAAGATTTTCATTGATAAAATCAGAGATCTTTTGAAGAATATAACACAGCTGTATATGAGAAATGCTGTCTTATACGAACATCATCATGACGTGATATGTGCTTATTCTCATTAAGTTTATACATGGTGTTGAGCTTTTAGCTCTAAAATAATTATATTTGATTTGTTAAAGTATAGAGGATGGACATGTTGTCAAAATAATGATATTTCAAGTTTGCATATGTCAATTGTTTCAACAGCAATGGAGGTTGCCTCTGGAGAATATGGTGAAGAAAAAGTGATCAAGTTGATTTCCTCTATACACAATGGAAAATGTGAGGAGATAGCCCAGAGGAATGCTAAGCTTGGGGAAGGCAGCAGGACCCCCTCCCCACCGGCCACACCTAACAACAACTCTCAGGGTAATGGGGTCATTCCCACCACCCCTCAGGAATCGGAAAAACAGAGTCTGCTAGGGGAGGAGTGTGAAAAATTTACCAATGGAAAAGTCTTACAATCCAATGGTTCCCTCAAGTCTAAAAAGGACCAGGTAAGTGATTCAATGCCTGTTGTTGTTTTAAGCGCTTCATGTTGAAGTGATTTTGAATTCAGCTTCAAAAATTGAATTTAATACTAGATGATCTGGAGCATTGTCATCTAAGAACTCACTTGGTGATGGGTTTTTATTTTTAAAGGAATGAATTCTGCTAATACAGTTTAGAGGATGTGTTACAATGAAGCGCATTGAAGTGGTAAAATTTTCCGTTTGGATGGAACGTTTTGAGTGATCTTTAGACACGCCCATTTCTTTAGAAATGAAAACTCGGTCAAATGATTCAATCGAATACCTGTAGAACAGATATTCCATAAATATAATAGCCAATCAAATTGACGGTCTACATAAACACCGAGTAAGCACGTGTTCAACTGATACATGTGTTATGCTAACTCTAATAAACATAACACCATAATTATGTACATATTCGTTGCAATGCATGTTTTACAGAAGCGAGGGCTATATATATAGCTCTTCCTTATTTGAAAATCTTTATTTCAGTGAAACTCATGTTGCTTGTCGCGGAAAGTGGGGTGTCCTAAAACATTACGACGAATATTTCTTTCTCGTTTCTAAAGAAATGGGCGTGTCATTATGTTATAATTGACGTTCAAAACATGACTCAGAACGTTTCATCCAAATGGAAAATTTTACCACTTCAATGCGCTTCATTGTAAATGAAATAATCATTTACTTTTTTCATGCTCTTGCAATTAAAAATACTGATACATGTACTTCAAAAGGATTTGACTTATTTTACCTTACTGTTCAAATTAACTGCTTGAACTGAGAGTGTATGTTATTGTAAACATTTGCAGGACTCTGATTCCTTGGAGGTTTGTACACACTTGCTAGAGCTTGGTGCTGGTGTAGTCATATTAATCCTACTAAACTCTTTAAAATTTAATCAGAGTCCTTGATCGGTTGTTGGTATTTATTTCATATGAGAAATGATGAGTTTTTACCTCCAAGGATATTTTTTTCAACATAATTATGTGAAATAAAGTAGAAACAGATTGACAATGAAAACTACTGTTCAGATAATTACAAAAAAATTTTGCTGATATCAACTACATGTGTAAAAAAAAAAAACAACAAATTTTAGATTTTACTTTTGTTTTAAAAGAAAAAAATAGATTTAAAAGGTTTGCTTATCTAAGTGATAAAATGAAATGAGGATGATTTTCCATTGACATATATTCTATATGGTTTTGGAATGTGGTCATTTCCTAGCATCAAGAATATACTGACATGTTAACATTGATGGTTAAACAAAAACCCATGTTAGTTTTGTTTTGGCTGCTGAATTTGACCTCTGTCTTCCTGGATGGTTAAACAGGATAACATATTGGGAGCTGCAAGACCTGTAATTAATGTCCCATACTGTCCAAAATTGCATGGATCATGCACACTGCACCTGATGGTAATATTCCCATCAAATATCTAACTGTCCTTTTGAATTAACAAATTGAAAACCTAATACACTTTACTGGAAATCCACATGAATGTTGGATTGATGAATGCACTTTACTGAAAATTATAAATTTAGTGGTTTTTCAAAGTTAGTTTGCCAGATTTCATTGTGTTGTTGGAATCGATTTATTTATTCTTTGTATCATGAAATGCAAAATGATCATGTTGGAGTTCAGAACTTGAACATGTTGAAGGTTTGGGTGTAAAACATGCATACACAAATAAGATTCTCTTTGAATTGGATAAAGCTAGACAGAACTGTTAATTTTTTGCTATACACAACATTTTGTTGTAAATTTGATAGATGTTTGTTTTATAAAGAAGAATTTGTGAAGAAAAAAACCAAGTAATGCATTAATTGTGATTCTCTAAATTTTTCTAATAATACATGTTTATAGAGCGTTGTGTGTTTAAATGCACAGGCTTTATATAAAAATGTTAAATATATAAAATTAAAGACAAGATTTGTTCTCCTTAATCCCTTTCCTCCGTGGAAGAGCACAATACTTTTCTATTTTGTCTATCTTATGCTAGCTCTTCAAATGTTTTAAATATTAGGCCAAATGGTTGGAGGGTTGGAATTCTTTATTTCCTTTTTTTCCTTTGAGGGGCTGGTATTGTTATTTTTGTCCTTCCTGAATGTTAGTTTGGGCTTTGTAGTAATCTGTTGAAAAACCAGGCCTCACTTAATTAGGTTAATACTTATTGTGTATTGATTTCACTCGCAGTATGAAGCCATTGTTGTTAGCAGCATGACCCTGTATTGTCATCGCTATCAATGTTAAGTTGTTACAGCTGATGTCTTGTTCAGTATCTTATAAGTTGTAGATGTAAAGCTCATGACAAAGATTCTGAATTCAGTACATCATTGTTACCACAGCTAGAAAGGACCACTTATTTTCTACAAGCTGCATTATTATTGACAGGAAATAAAACTCTTGTAGACGGGAAACAGTAGATGAAAGTTTAACTTTTGCTTGTGAATGATTAGGTCATACCACTTGTTTTGGGGTTATCATTTTATCATTGGTCCAAAGTACAGATTGATTAAATTAACAGTGGAGTGGATCTCTATATTTTATTGTTCTACATGCTTCATTAAGGTTAAGAATATATTTGTTACTTCAAAGACATTTAGAATAAATATGGTTAAGTATGTGTATTTAAGAGAATATTTTAAATATTAGAAATAATAACTTCACCATTTACAGTGTTTAATTAAGTGTGTTATGTCTTTTTAGGATGTACAGGATCAGGAGTGTCACACGTTTGCCACCAGTTGCTTTACACAGTTCAGGATTCTGTTTGTTAGAACTCTGCTCTCCATACTCAGGGACACGGTCAGTTACTAATAATAGCATCAACAACTCAATTCAATTACTAAAAATAGCATCAACAACTCATTGCTGCATCAAATTCAATTACTAAATATAGCAACATCAACTCAATGTAACAGTTGTACTCAAATTCAGTTACTAAATATAGCAACATACTCTAATTCAGTTACTAAATATAGCAACATCAGTTCAATGTTGAACTCAGACTCATTTTACTCAAAAATTTACTGAACAAGACAAAGGAACTAGATAAATAGCATCATCAGCTCAATATTATATTAAACTAAATATAGAATCAGAACTCTCCTGTGTCTATGATCAGAGATACTAACTGTAAAAAAGAGTATCGGTCAATGTTTCTTATCATCAGGGATACTCACTACCGTACATTGGCACAAAAATGCCCACAGACACTATCATGTGTCATATGAGGTGTGTTCAACAATACAAGAACAAGCAAGTGCTTGTCAAAATTCCCTTTTTCTGTAACAGAAACGTCTGCAAGCATCTGCTCTGTTAAACAAACTTCTGGCTGAATTTGAATGAATCAAGGACATAAAAACATATACCGTATTCATCTTTAGGCTGAAACTAACTTAGAAACATAGGTTTTTGCATGCATATATTCTGTGTGTTTAAGCATAACATTCTTCTGTGAGTTTTTGTTATTGTAATTCTGTATTTCTGTTGCAGACTCTGACACGTCTCCGTCTGATTTCTCACCTGACCGTGGGGATCCTGATTGGTTTGCTGTACCTAGGGATTGGGAATGAAGCCAGTAAATGGCTGAACAATGCCAGCTTCCTATTCTTCTGCATGCTGTTCCTCATGTTCACTGCTCTCATGCCCACGGTCATGACTTGTAAGTAAAAGTTAAAATAATTTGAGTAAATGAAGGAAAAAATAATTGCTGTTTTATGGCATCAGTAAAAATTTCAGTTAAAAATTCAGGAGATTGAATGGATTTCTTTAAATGAAGGAAATCATTGATGATAGAAGAGCTGTCTAATACAGTAGAATTGTTTTAGGGAGTTTAACTGCTTCTTATACAACTTAAGCAGTAATTCTTGTTTATTCTGTACTCTAGTTCCAATAGAGATGGCTGTATTTGTGAGAGAACACTTAAACTACTGGTACAGTGTAAAGGCTTACTACTTGGCAAAGACCATGGCAGACATGCCATTCCAGGTTTGTCAAATAGTTTAAAATGGTACATGTAATAAAATTCTTACTTAAACTTGACAAAATATTCTGGAGTGTTTCATTGAAGTGAACATTAGTGATTATCTCATTAATATACAGGCACCATGCTTTCATCATTCTGGTGACCCAATTAGCACTGGCAAATGCAGTTGCTGTTTCTCTTTAATTAGTGTATACACCTTGTTTCACTACAACTAAGTGATAATGATACATATGAATGGTGACAAAGTGGAACATTTTTGTATAAATGAGTAAGTGTACAATGTTCTCTTGTTTCTATGTAGATAATTTTCCCACTGGTGTATGGTAGTATAGTGTATTGGATGACATCACAGCCCAATGATTTCTCCAGGTTTGTGATGTTCCTTACCCTGGCTACACAGACGTCACTGGTGGCTCAGTCCTTGGGACTCCTCATAGGGGCTGCAACGTCACTACAGGTAAGGAGAGTTCCCCTACAAATCGTAAAAAAGTGTGATTTTCCAGTCAATCTGATAGTTAAAGATGATAACAATTGCAGTTACTTGTAGTTCACTCTTTAGAGAGTTTGTCATTTAAAGAAAAAAAGGATTTGAACTTAATACACCAAAGTCAATAGTACAAAGTACTGTGTACATATATGTACGTGTTTGCCCTGCTCCTATTTTGTATTGTTGTATGGACTTTGATATTGAATACCGTTCGTTATCTCCATATCCTTCATATGGTTCAGAAAATTGTAGATGAAGTTTTTATGATTGATATTAAATCTACTTTTGTAGGTGTCTGTGTTCCTGGGACCAGTGACAGCCATTCCTATCCTGTTATTCAGTGGATTCTTTGTCAACTTTGACACAATACCTGTGTATCTACAGTGGCTTTCTTATATATCTTATGTCAGGTAACACCACTACTAATACCGTAATCTGTTTTAAGCAAATTAAGATACATGTATTTGCCAAATAAAATTTTTTTTATAGAATCACCCAAAAATATTGCCTTTCACCATGACTCTATTATTTAGTCACTTTAATGCAGAAATGATAAATTTATAATTTTGGTTTCTTTGCCAAAGCAATATTTTGAGGAATGTGCCCCCCCCCCCATCCTTCTGTTAGTTATCTCCCATGTGAATTTTATCAAGGGTTGAAACAGGTGAAATTGCTCTATATATGTATTTACATGTTATTTGAATTTTCAGGTACTCCTTTGAGGGAGTTCTACAAGCTATATACGGCTTTGGCAGGGACACCTTAGAGTGTGATAAGCAGCCATGTTACTTCAGTAAACCAGAGGAAATTCTGGAACAGATGGATGTACAAAATGCCAAATTCTACATCGACTTCATTGTCCTGTGTGCTTTCTTTATTATCCTCCGAGTCGGTTGTTATTTTGTCCTAAGGTGGAGAGTCAAAGCAGAGCGTTGATTACTTAAAAAAAATATTTGAAAGAAATTGCTATGAAAACACAGCAATTTGTAACTGTACGTGCACTTGAATTTGAAATGTCATTATACTCATTTTCTTTGGGTGTTGCTAAAACGCGGAACGGAAAACGGAACGGAAAGCGGAACGGAACGGAAAACGGAATATATTATTTTGGATTAAATCACTTAAAATACACAGATTTTATCATAAACGATATATCTTGTACACATTCAACCCCCACTATTAAATACAAGTTGATTTTGTCATGCTCAGTCTCTTACAAAAGTCGCTAACATAGCAGTCACATAGAATCGAATTTGAAAGAGAGAGAGGGGGGGGGGGGGTAAACGAACTTGAAAAGTATTTGACAAGCAAAAAATACAAAAAGAAGACAATTGTTTGATTCGGGAGGGGAGATAAAACACAAAAAGAAAACAATTGTTTGATTCGGGAGGGGGGGATAACTTCCAACTCCCAACATCTTTCAGTACTATTCTTTTAAACTAACTTACTACATTTATTATATTCACAAAAAAGGTGAGAATGTGAACTTGAACGAACATTTCCGTAGTAAAATGGTTATGAACGGGGGAGGGGGGCAAATTTGATATCTAAATGAACCATGGAAAGAGAAAAAAAAATGTTTAAAAAATTATTAATAGGGCAAACTTTTGCGGCAAGCTCGAATCAACATCTCTATACACTGGTTGTTAAAATTTTATTCAAAAATAGAGTACTTTTGTGGATAGACAAAGTTGTGGTAGATATAATGCAGACTGCAGAATCTTTGTATTCATTGAAATTAAATTTTGTTTGTTTGCGGCACATCCTTTGCCCAAACACGAAAATCCTATTTCGTGTGTGAGGGGGGGGGGGGGGGGCATTTCTTTCAATAGCATTTTTTCCACGGAGGGTGTGTATGACTCACGAATATATAATAGTTTACAATTAATTTTTATTAGAAATGACTTTTACAACAATAATATTGCTCTTTTATCTGATTTACTAGTATATTGAATCTATGTTATTTGTTTGACAAAAGATTTTCCGTTTTCCGTTCCGTTCCGCTTTCCGTTCCGTTCCGTTTTCCGTTCCGCGTTTTAGCAACACCCATTTTCTTTTATGGAAAAGTGAGAATTTTTTCTTCTCATATTAAGTATGTGACAGTTGTTTAGTTAACATTCAAATTGTTTCACATCTATTTTCTGTTATCTTTTGAGAGTTATTTATTACTTATCTATTTTTCTCTGAAATCATTTCTATTATGTTGCATGAAATTTTTAATGAATATAATATGACTGTGGAATGTAAATGCTTTATTTATTTTTAAAATGCAGTCTATTTTTGTTGTAAAAATTAGTGGATGCTGAAAATTTAAAATGATGGAAAAATCAATTAACTTGAAATTTACAATTAAAATACATTATCATTTAAGAAAAATGGTTGATAAGAAGATTTTGCCTTTAATATGGTAAATTAAACAAAGCTACAGCTATGCCGTATACCAGTTGGTTTTAAAGTATAAAACTGATATTAAAAGTTACACTGCATGTTCTGTAACCACTTCATATATATGCACAAATAATATATGAAATTTATGGATTGTATTTTTGTGTGAAAATGTTTGCTTCTATGCTGCTATTCAGCACTGCTGATATTGTGCATGATGTCTGTATCACTTGTCAATCAAGGGCATTTCAAAATGTCTCCTCATTTTCACAATGTGTGGAATCTTAGATTAATTTTGTTACAATACTAGTCATGTGGTTTATCGTATATTCTAATGTCTCTGAAACCCGACAGAAAATCAAAGTTGACTAGCATGGAGATGCATTGTATGTTTACGAGGGGTTATCAAAAAGTTCGTGGACTGAGGCCATAAAATTAGCACTATGTAGTCTGCGCTTTCAAAATTGATATGGAACATAAAGCAACACAAACTAAAGAAATGTTGAAAATTTTAGCCTGATATGTTCATTATTTGCCAAATTATTATAAAATGAAAACAACATTATATGATCACCCGGCGCTGTCGTCGTTTATTTTCATGACGTCCGATAACGTCATTGTTTTTTAAATGTCCTCTTCTTATACCTCATACACTTTTTGGATGAGATTTCCTGGAGCTGAGCAAGGACTTAAACCCGCCTTGTTTATATGACTTTACACTGTCATGAACAGTGGCATTCAATGAATATAACATTCCAGATGGATTAACACATTGGGAGAGATGCGCGCTTGATTGTGCTGGAATATTTTGCTTTTGGGAGTTCAATATCTACAACACATGATCAACGTCATTTTTGACGGGATTGATTTTTCCCACAATGACTGCAAATCGACATTAACTGTGTATCCCTTTTTTCTCTGAATCTATTTTGACATTAAAAGACAAGTACTCTGGATGCATTTTATTTCTCTGTTGCCAGTTTCAACATATTTCAGGTCTATACTATTTTTTCAGGGGCAAAACTTTACAGAATGTTGGAAACGGAAACCCCGCCCCCCTTTTGACGTCATTTTGTTTGGACATTCCGTGTAAAATTTACGATAAAATTTCATAGAACTTCAAGAATGAAGTGAAAATTTCACATTTTATAGAACAATTGTGTCCCGACACATACCTGAATTAACGGAATTATTAGATGTCAAATAATCATGTCAAATGAGTTTTTCTCAGTTACACATAGGTCGAAAAAATGTCGTTTTCGAGGTTGCGCCGCCTGGACATACCATTGCTTACAAAAACCTTACTAATTAATCAAAAAATAAAATTCATGATTTGTGGTTTATTCTTTTGATTGAAAAGATGATGCTAACTAGATATTTCAAAATTCATAGATGTACCTTAAGCGGTTTTAATTTTATGGCGCTAGTCCACGAACTTTTTGATAACCCCTCGTAATTATAACAAAGGATTTGTAAATTTGTGAAAAATTAATGATGTCCTGTATATTTAAATGTTATGTTTCAGTGTTGTATGTTTAGATGGATTTTGTAGAATGTATTCTGTGAATTCTTTATTTACCGAGAGAGTAGAGAGTAAATGGTTGTTATTCTGTCAATTACACTTAAATTATAGATATTTACATTGTTGAAACAAAATCTTACAAATAAGTTTCATATAAATGAGCCAATTGGAGTATAAGGTTGTCATAATTTTATGCATATAATCATATTTCAGAAAGAAGTTTCTACAAAAAAATGACCAAATATCCATGAAAATCAGCTACATTTAAATACATGTATCAGTAAATCATCTCAAAAATTAAGTATAGTAGATTTCATAATTAGATCCACGAAAATCAAGCTACACTGGCATCATTTCACATAGTAGATTTATGATTTAACAGTCTTTGTGTACTCTCATTGTATTTATTAACACGTTTATTTATGTATGTGTAATTATCTGATTTTGTAGTCAGCAGGCTGGACTACGGTTTTGTTTTATTCATCAGATGAATCAACTCTCATGATTCTCCACACATGTTGTACATGACATTGTTCAGTATTAGCCTCGCCTTCCTACCCCAGATACAAATCATACTCCATATTGTTGTATTTTATAATCATTGTAAAATACATTATGGTAACATTTGCATATTTATTGTAAATTTAAGAGTTTTTGTTCACCAGTCTTAGGGCAGTTTACCTGTATTGGGAGATTCTTTTTATTTTTCTTGTTGGAGAGTACATGTAAATGCAGTTATAATTTCATGAAAATTAATTATTAATTTCTCAGGTCTTTTTTTCATCCAATTATATTCAAAATGTAGTAATCTCCTAGAATTATAATATTCAGATGAGATTTTAGTCATTTTTACTCTCAAATTCTTTTATTTTTGAACTGAATCATGTTTATACAGAGTAATTGGAGCAATTGTTATGTTGGATTGATGTACAACTTGTAACATTAAATTTATGTTTATTTCGTGATATTTCTGGAAGGTATATAACAAATCACTTGTGCTTGATAATGGAAGTATTTTCAGAGATGCACAGGTACTTGTGATAAAGTTTTTTGTGCACTCTCCTTCTCATTTTGTCTGTGATTGGGTTACAACTGAGATGCTTTTTAATACTGTATACTTAGTGCAATGTTAAAATGACTCACTTCATCTGTTTGTCTGATTTACTAATGAAATCAATATTCAAACTTTGTTGTTGATATTTTTGTTGAATTTTCTTTTTTATGGTCATACTTTTCAAAAGTGCTTTGGAATTTAGAAAATTTATTTTAACTAGCAATGTGTTTTGTCTTTCCTACAATAAAGCAATCAGAGATTCAATTTTTTTTTTTGTATTTCTATAGATTTACTGGATTATGAAATTAGGCACCAAACAGCATTACTGCTATTGAAGGGTGTTTCATAGGTTCATATATATTACATGTAAGATTAAGCCACATATCCAATCTTAACATTTACATGTAACAGAAGGCCTATGCTTACCCCATGTCCTAGTCTCTTCAAGGCATGAATATGCTGTGTACATCAAACCCCTAAAATTATGTGCATTGTAAATAAAAAATACCCTACTTTAATATTGTACATTTCATTATAGTATGTTGAACTTCACAAAATGTGTCTGTGTATTTGCTTCCCAGGTACAGTCTCTCAGACCATGCTTTGAACTAACTTGAATCTACTTTACTATTGGATGATAAATATATGGGGTAACAATAGTTGCAGTTCTGCCTTTAGCTCACCCGAGCATAAAGCCTGAATGCAAATAAAGATACCCCCTGCCTCCCATATGATTATAATGGCAAAGTCCATGTTTTGCTAACGCCGGGAAACCTGAAATATGCGTCGGGTCAAAAAATAAAATAGGAGGTGCACAATGGCAATATGTAATAAAGATTCTGTGAAAGTTTCATTAAATTTCACTCAGTGGTATAAGAGGAGTTGCGGATAAGAGATGGGTTCCCCAAAGCGTAACAGACGGACGGACATACCAATTACAGTATACCCTCCCACTTTTCAAGCGGGGGGTATAATGAGCTTTTCTGATAAGATTTAATATATCACATCCATCCTTTGAATTTACTAATTGACGATAAAGGTAGAAATTGCCTTGCATAAGAAAATATATGGATCTGTAAACATTTTAATTATCATAAAGACATAACTAAAATTATTCAAATAAACCAGAAGTCTCTGATGAGACCATATTTATATGACTAATCAAGGTGTTTTGGGCAAAAGATTTTTATAGTTTTCATATAAAATTACATGTACACTGTTTTCCCATATGACTTTGATTTGACCAATCCTACATCAGGCAGTCATTATTTGAAGTTGAATCTACTCTACCTGATGATGCTTCTATTTTATTATGACCAATCTTAGCACTGGTGGTCATGAGAATATTTTTTTTATCAAAAACTTTATACATATTTCTGGATTAACCTTGATCCCCTGTTGTGCCCCATTCCCCAAGGGCCATGAGTTGAACACATCTATTCCTTTTCACTGTTTACTATAAAAGTAATATGGAATTCGAATAAGTTCAAATTTACACAAGATAAGCAAAACATAGGAAATAGTTGATTTATTATGAAGACTTAGAAATAGCTATAGGACTACATTTGTCCACTTTGTAAAAAAAGTTTTCATGGGGAAAAAATAAACGATAAACAAAAACATATGATCTTTGCAACAGTATGTTTCAAACAACAGGTACAACCTAGCTGCATCAACAATTGGTACATTATCTGGAAACAACTGTGAGTCTTTCTGACTTCTCTGTCCATACAATGCTTTATTAAGCAAGATAATTAATGTTAAAACAATTAGTCAAAGTACTGCTTTTAAACTACAGGGGTATAACTATAAACTATCCACAATGTACTTACTCGTAAATGTATGAATATTTCATTATGAAACACTCATGTACGATATGTAAACATTTAGAGAATATGTGGCACCTAGTACAAAAAGCTGCATTGTTTAGTTATGAGATACAATGTATAATTCTATACAAGTTAAGCTTCACACGATTGACATACATGTATGCACTTATTTGTCCTGTTAAAGACACTTTAGAGATATACATGTGTATTTACAATATTTGTAAAACCATCTTAATGTGTGTCTTAGTCTTATTTTGTACATTTTTTGTTTGTTGTTCCTCTTTTCAGGCTGATTAATGCCCAACACTGTCTCTATTCTCTCTGCTTTAGGGTTTAACCCAGTTTTGACCAGTTTGATGGTGGTTTGTTAATTTGTTTCCATTTTGACCTGTTTGATGCCTTATACTGTCTCTGTTTTCTCTGTGTTAGTCTGTCTCGGTTTTGACCCGTTTTGCTGGCGGTTGATCCCCGGACTTCTCTCGTTTACCCTTAGACAGCCACTTCATCATCAGGTTACTGCTGGGGGTCGTCTTTGGTTTCCTGCAATTTGAGAAAGGTACAAGGATATAATTAAATATTCCACTAGCAAAACAAGAGATATTTGTAAAACACTTATGCCCCCCTCCCCCCAAATTGGAATTTTTCCAAGTCCAAGGGGCATAACTCTGTGAAAAATGGTGCGATCGTACCCAAAACAGAACTTGTCCTAGATATTCATCTGATAAATCTGTATACTAAATTTCATCTCAGTATGTGCAAATGAACGGAAACTGCAAATAATTGGAATTTTTCTAAGTCCAAGGGGCATAACTCTGTCAAAAATGGTGCAGAAAACCAGAACTTGTCCTAGATATTCATGTGATATATCTATATACTAAATTTTATCTCAGTATGTGCAACGGTTGTGAAGAAAATGAACGGAAACTGCAAATAATTGAAATTTTACATCTAAAAACAGAACTTGGCCTAGATATTCATGTGATATATCAACGGTTTCATAAGTAAAAGAAAATGAACGGAAACTGCAAATAATTGGAATTTTTCTAAGTCCAAGGGGCATAAACTCTGTCAAAAATGGCGCGATCGTACCCGAAACAGAACTTGCCCTAGATATTCATGTGATATATCTTTATACCAAATTTCATTTCAGTATGTGCAATGGTTGCGAAGAAAATGAAGAGAAACTAAGTGGACCGACAGACCGATGGACCGACAGACCAACTGACAGACAGCAGCAAAGCAATATGCCCTCCCTTCTTCGAAGGGGGGCATAATAATAACCACTGGGCAAAAAACTTATACATGTATGTATATTGGAGAGTCAATAGTTCCTAGAATATGACACACAAAAGATAGAGGCCTGACACCCTTGAATCAGAAATGCTCACTTAGATTTTGATTTAAGTGAGCTAATAAAATTAAGTTTATATTTTGGAGATATGAATTTAATTTCATTTACTCTAGCCACAGATAAGTAAATGTGTATGAGAATCAACAGTTTTTTCTTTTTAATTATCTAGTATGACCCCTCTGGTGAGGTTTATACTTGCATTTTTCATTATTATACATATAATATTACATAATTCCAGTGCTGCTTCATTTAGACTGACTTTTTCAATTTGATTATTTCTCTATCTCATGACACAAGTTATAAAATGAACAAACCATGGTTAATCTTGATTAACTCTTAGTAAAATCAATATACATCAATCTTTATTAGCTGAAGAGATGATGTGAACTTGCCTTTAATTACAGAGTCTACTATGCTGTACAATTAATTATAGCAAAATCTTCAATCAAGCACAATCTATTTTAATAATCAAATAAGTGACTGAATTTGTCTTTCAAAAAACATATGCCATACATGTGTTTCCATAATAAAAATAAGAAAATTTTTGGATTTTTCACTCATTATTATGAAGGATCTATGGGTTTGTACAGTCTGGATGTTTTTTCTTGATTTTTTAAAACACTTTCATGGGATCTATGGGTTTTGTATAGTCTGGATTTTTTAACACTTATGTGGGATCTATGGATTTGAACAGTCTGAATGTTTTTAACACTTATGTGGGACCTATGGGTTTGTACAGTCTGGATGTTTTCCAAACACTTGTGTGGGATCTATGGGTTTTGTACAGTCTGGATTCTTGTAGCACTTATGTGGGATCTATGGCTTTTGAACAGTCTGGATTCTCGTAACACTTACATGAGATCTATAATAATAATAATAATAATAATAAAACTTTATTTAAAGAAGGTAACCTGGTTAGTGCATGCACTATTCTTCCCCAGGGCCCTCTATACATCAATTACAAAAAGATACAAGATACAATTCATCATATATAATAGGAAATACAATCACAAATTATGAATACAGTGTCCATGTACACAAATATGACAATACAGAAATATGACGATCATAAACATATGCTCAAATAATTGAGCGACGGCTGATAATGTAATTTTCTACATTACGTTTAAATGCTTGTAAAGATTGAGAGAGTCTAATGTATTGTGGAAGTTTATTCCATAGATGTACACCTGAGTACTGAAAAGAGGTCTTGAATAAGTTTGTATGAAATTTTGGTAATTTAAGATCGTAATTAGTTTCAGATCGCAGGTTATAGGAAGTTGAAGAATGAAATTCAAATAAATTATGAAGATATTCGGGAGTCATTCCGCTGAAAATTTTGTATAATAATATGTATTTGTACAGATCAACTAGCTCATAAATAGTTAACCATCCAAGTTTCTCAAATAGTGGTTTAGATGAAGAATCAGGACTTGCATCAAGAATAATCCTTGCTGCCCTTTTTTGTAGTTTAAATAGTCTGTCCATGTCCTTCTTAGGGGCATTACCCAAACAGTCAAACAATAGTTAATAGATGGTAAAATATAAGCATTGTAATATAGCTTCCTGGTATGAAGAGGGAGAAATTTTTAATCTTACGAAGAGTAAATAACTTATAATTTAAAGTTTTACAGACCGAATCAATATGATTCGCATACTGCAACTTATCATCAATATGTACACCAAGAATTTTTTCAGTTTCAACCATTTCAATTGTTTTGTCTGAGGCATAAAGTTGTAAATTTGGATTTTCTAGTTTTGATTTTCTTTGTTGTGTTCCCATTAACATACATTTCGTTTTATCTACATTTAATACCATTTGATTTTGAGCACACCATTTCTCAATTTCACAAACATCTGAATTTAGTGTATTTTCTAAACATCTTGCATTATGATTATTAGAGTACAAAGTAATATCATCAGCAAACATATCAATATTTGAATTGTTTACATGTAAAGGAAGGTCGTTTATGTACAATAAAAATAAAAGTGGACCTAAAATTGACCCTTGTGGTACTCCTGCTGTGACGGGTAGAGTATTGGAGACACATGTTCCAAATTTAACACACTGGGTCCTATTGTAAAGATATGATTTAAACCACTTTATAGCTGTTTGGTCAAATTTGTAATGGGTTAATTTCTCTAGAAGAATGTCATGATTCACCAAGTCAAATGCTTTACTAAAATCTATAAATGTAATTCCAATTAGTTCACCACGATCCATTGCATTAAGCCAACTTTCTGTTAGTTTTGTAAGGGAAGTTTGACAAGAATGGAGTGCCCTAAATCCCGACTGGGATTGTGTTAGAAGATCGAATTCATTAGTGAAATTTTGTATTAGCTTAGCTACATGTTTTTCTATCAATTTAGATACAGTTGGTAGAATAGAAATAGGACGATAATTATTCGGGTCAGCTTTGTCACCTTTCTTAAAAATAGGTGTTACTTTGGCTTGTTTTAAATTTGTTGGGAAAATACCACTTACTATGCTAGCATTAACAAGATGAGTTATAGGTTTACATATATATTTAGATGCGACTTTCAAAAGACGCGGCCCAATAAAGTCAATGCCAGCTGATTTATTGACATTTAGAGAATTTAACATGTTAAAAACTTCACTTTCCTCAATTTGATGAATAGTAAAGAAGGTTTCCTCATCAAGCTTAGTCCTAACAAAATTACATAATATATTAGGATCATAATCATGTTTTGGCATTTCCAAAAGAAGCTTGTTAGAGACATCTGTGAAGTGGGTATTAAAAGTATTTGCAATATCCTGTAGATTATCAACAATTTCCCCATCAGAAAATACATGAGATGGAGTTATGTTCTTTGAATTACATGTTAATTGATTAAGATAGTTCCACATTTCTTTGGGATTTGAACTCTGTTCAATCGCTGTTTTATAGTAAGAAGATTTTGATTTGTCTATAAGAAGTCTAACTTTGTTTCGATAGAGTCGATAGTTCTCCATATCTCCTTCTTTGTGGTAAGAGTCACGTAAGTGTCTAGCATTGTTTATTTCTTGTGTCAACCATTTAGGACGAATTTCACTCTTTACTCGTTTGGTTTTAATCTGAGCATGCTGGTCAAGTACGCTATTGAATAATTCATAGAATTCAGTTAGTATTTCATTAGGGTCATGCAACTGGAGGAGAACGCTAAAGTCTACATCTTTTAAGTCTTGGAGGAATTTATTTTCATCAAACTTTTTGAAGTCTCTATACTGAATTTCTATGTGTTTTCCTTTTTGTTGCATGCATTTTGTTTTTCTAGTGGCACATATTGGGTAGTGATCAGAGATGGCTATAAAAGGTACATTTACTTCACACATGTTATCTGGTTTATTGGTGTAGAAGTGATCTATTAGGGTACTTGAGGTATTAGTTACTGTACAGTCAGTATTTATCACTTACGTGGGATCTATGGGTTTTGTACAGTCAGTATTTATCACTTACGTGGGATCTATGGGTTTCGTACAGTCTGGACTCTTGTTTCTGGCATTGTTCACGGTATCAGACACAGGGTGCTTCTGGATCTCTTCAGTGGCCCGTATGTGCTTAATGGCCTAAAATAGATTTAAAGACAAAATTATCATATGGATAAGTTGTACCCCTCTTTAAGGACCTTACAAATTGCAAAGGACTTTATGCAGTAATGGCCAATATTAATTTTGCCCCCCCCCTTCCAAATCAACCTTTGAAGGAGAAATATATAATTATGTTTTAAAACAGGGGGATACCTATAGACTTCAAAGCACTGAATATTTTCATAAGTCATGATGTCACATGTTTCATTTGACGTCAGGAAAATGATGTAAGCTTAAAATTTCCATGATTTCTACAGAAAATGGTGTATATTACATCAATATTTTGAGCAAAATTCACTTAGCGCAGGTCTGCTCAAGCTCAATATTTTGATATAATGTGTAGAGTGATAATATCAATGAAATATGTAAATATTGTTCTTGATCAAACATGCACTCTATAAATTTTATAGCAAAAATAGCTGCAGAACTGTAGCGTTATGGTTTTATGTATCAGTCTTTGACCATAATGCTACAGATCCCGTAATGCAAAAAAGGTGCAATTTACGGCACAAGATTTTTTGCGCACTTTTTGGGAGAATTTCTTCACTTTCCAGCATTGGTCAACCAACAACCTTTCACTCCCTAATACTAGACACATTCTGTATTATCATTTTGTATATCTTATTCACCTTACAAACCTTTATATTCCTCTCTACAGACGATAAACTGGCTTGTAGTGAATTTTCAGCAATCCAACAAATAATTCTAATAGAGCGAGTTTATCACCTGTAGAGACGACTATAAAGAGTTGCAAGGTGGATAAAATATACACATTGGTTACAGAATGTGTCTAGAGTTAGGGAGTGATTGACCAATGCTGGAAAGTGGAGAAATTCTCCCCAAAAGTGCGCAAAAAATCTTGCGCCATAAATTGCACCTTTTTGCATTATGGGATCTGTAGCGTTATGGTCAAAGACTAATATATAAAACCAAAACGGCTACAGTTCTGCAGCTATAGTAAAAATTGAGCAAATTGTGTATATTTTTTCCACTTTCTGAAAATTAAAACATGACATTTGTCAATAACCTACTTTGAAACCATAATATTTTTTGTTATACAATATATATAATTTAGCACATTTCATGAAATTTTCAAAATATGACTTTTCTGGGGGCAAAAGGATGCAATATACTGCATATAGTTCATTATTTAATTAGTTTGCAGTTCATAAAACACATAAACAAGAGGCCCATGGGCCACATTGCTCACCTGAGAAGCTTTGACCATTCTGTTCTTTACCAGTTTTTCCCCTTGTAATACATTATGTATCCCCACCCTACCCCACTGATCATAATTAAGACATTTTGAAATCAACTACCCCAGGATCCTTCCATGTGAAAATAAGTTTCAGCTTTTCTGGCCTAGTGGTTCTTAAGAAGAAGATTTTCAAAGATTTTTCCTATATATTCTTATGTAAAACTTTGATCCCCCCATTGTGGCTCCACCCTTCCCCTGGGGGTCATGATTTGAACAATTTAAAATCTACATTACCCAAGAATGCTTCCACATAAGTTTCAACTTTTCTGGCCCGGTGGTTCTTGAGAAGAAGATTTTCAAAGATTTTTCCTATATATTTCTATGTAAAACTTTGATTACCAATTGTGGCCCCACCCTTTCCCTGGGGGTCATGATTTCATTTAGAATCTACACTATACCAGGATGCTTCCACCTAAGTTTCAGCTTTTCTGGCCCAGTGGTTCTTGAGAAGAAGATTTTCAAAGATTTTTCCTATATATTTCTATGTAAAACTTTGATTCCCCATTGTGGCCTCGCTCTTTCCCCGGGGGTCATGATTTCAATAATTAAGAATCTACACTACCCAAGAATGCTTCCACATAAGTTTCAACTTTTCTGGCCCAGTGGTTCTTGAGAAAAAGATTTTCAAAGATTTTTTCCTGTATATTTCTATTTTTATTATTATTATTGATTCCCCATTGTGGCCCCACCCTTCCCCCGGGGGTCATGATATGAACAATTTAGAATCAACAGTACCCCAGGATGCTTCCACATTAGTTTCAGCTTTCCTGGCCCAGTAGTTCTTGAGAAGAAGATTTTCAAATTTTTCCTATATATTTCTATGTAAAACTTTGATTCCCCATTGTGGCCCCGCCCTTCCCCCGGGGATCATGATTTGAACAATTTAATATCTACACTACCCTAGGATGCTTTCACATAAGTTTGAGCTTTTGAGGCCCAGTAGTTCTTGAGAAGAAAATTTTCAAAGATTTTTCCTATATATTTCTATGTAAAACTTTGATTCCCCATTGTGGCCCCGCCCTTCCCCCGGGGGTCATGATTTGAACAATTTTATATCTACACTACCCTAGGATGCTTTCACATAAGTTTCAGCGTTTCTGGCCCAGTAGTTCTTGAGAAGAAGATTTTCAAAGATTTTTCCTATATATTTCTATGTAAAACTTTGATTCCCCATTGTGGCCCCGCCCTTCCCCCGGGGGTCATGATTTGAACAATTTAATATCTACACTACCCTAGGATGCTTTCACATAAGTTTCAGCTTTTCTGGCCCAGTAGTTCTTGAGAAGAAGATTTTCAAAGATTTTTCCTATATATTTCTATGTAAAACTTTGATTCCCCATTGTGGCCCCGCCCTTCCCCCGGGGGTCATGATTTGAACAATTTAATATCTACACTACCCTAGGATGCTTTCACATAAGTTTCAGCTTTTCTGGCCCAGTAGTTCTTGAGAAGAAGATTTTCAAAGATTTTTCCTATATATTTCTATGTAAAACTTTGATTTCCCATTGTGGCCCCGCCCTTCCCCCAGGGGTCATAATTTGAACAATTTAATATCTACACTACCCTAGGATGCTTTCACATAAGTTTCAGCTTTTCTGGCCCAGTGGTTCTTGAGAAGAAGATTTTTTAATGACCCCACCCTATTTTTGTCTTTTCTTGATTATCTCCCCTTGCGAGGGGATATGTTTCTTCATTTCAACAATTTCAATTCCCCTTCACCCAAGGATGCTTTGTACCAAGTTTGGTCAAAATTGGCCCAGTGGTTCTTGAGAAGAAGTCGAAAATGTGAAAAGTTTACAGACGGACGGACGGACGGACAGACAGACGGACGGACGACGGACAAAATGTGATCAGAAAAGCTCACGTGAGCCTTCACCTCAGGTGAGCTAAAAAGTGAAAAGTTTACAAATGGCATAAGAAGGCAGACATAAACAGGAGAAATTTGTGAAACACTAATGCTCACCTCCCCCTAGGCAAAGAAAATGAGCGGAAACTTGGTGGACCAACAGACAGACCGACCGAACGACTGACCAACAGCAGCAAAGCAATGTGCCCTCCATTCCTCGAAGGGTGGCATAAGAATGATAGATAGGAATAATGTTGAGTAATGTAGAATTTTGAATATACATGTTACTAAGAAATAACTTTAAAATGAAAGTACCTTTTCCAGTGGAATGTTTTCATAGTCCAGCCATTCTTGTACTTCCTTGTCATTAAGTAGGAGAGCCTTAATAACAAAAAAATAAAATAAATATTTTAGAGCCTTTTCCTTAAGACAAGAAGTTTTTAAAGGTTTTTAACCCTACATATTCCAATTTAAAAAATGTACCGGTACTCTCCAAAAGTGGCCCCACCCTACTATCAACTGGGGAGATAATTTCACATCATAAGTGGCCAGTGGTCCTTGAAAAAGATTTTTTTTTTTTTATGAATTTTCCCAATTTTTGCCCTTTTGGAATACTGTAAACCAACTTTTATTCGCCACGACATTATTTCGCAATTTACCAGGGGTAAAATAGTTCGCAACGATTAATTTTCATGACCAAGCCTTTTTGGTTCTGTTTTTCATAGTCACAGAGACTTTAAGGACCGGTTCGTGGCAAGTAATATTCACAACGAGGAGGCTCCAACTAACCTCACGAAAATTTCTAGCACGCGAATAAAGTTGGTTTACAAGATCCTTCTTGAAAAAAAAAGGCATGGTCCTTCATTTTTGATTTTTAACAATTTTAAATCCCCTTAGTCTTGGGCCACTTTGTGCCAAGTTAGTTAAAATTTACCTATTATATACAAAATGTGTAGAATACTGACAAAATAGATAGTTTTCAGCTGAGGTGAGCTAAAAACTTTTGAACAAAACTGTATCTTGTTTGAAGAATTTTACCCCCTAAAAGGGCCATGGACACATTTTCTGTTTTGTTTACAATTTTGAATTTCTTTTTGTATTTAAAAGCTTGAAATCCTTCAAAAAAATTGAAAAAATTAAACCTCAAATTTGTGTCCATTTCCCTATAGAAGCAACTGAAACTCAATGAAGAAACGAATAGGGAATACCTACTGGCATTCTGTGGTGAACTTTCATCATGGCGGGGGACGATTCCACAGTGATGACACTGTAGGACAGGACTGGAGGGGAACCCTACAACAAATTTATAGCTCCTAATTAACGCAGGATATGTTTTATATAAAGTATTTATGTATGATTTAAATATGATTTAAATACAGTCACTGACTGAAACAAGCTGGATCTTTTTCATAAGATTCTTTGAAGTGATCACAACTTATGCTCAAGACCTTGGTTTAAATGCTTACTGATGGAAGCTCGAAGATTAGCAAATGTCAAAATAAAATTCTACCAGATGCTGTATAGAGCAACATAACTGGTGTCTTCACAAACACAAGATATGTGTTTCTTATGCATAGACATACATGTACACAAAAGAGGGAAGTTTAGCTAAAATTTAGAGTCTTAATACAAACATTTAAAACCTTTAACACATCAACATGATCAACAGGGAGACTTGTCCAGTAAACATACACAGAAGATCATACAGAGATATTGAATGAAATGAAGATAAGACTTACATCACTGGGTTTCCACACATCAAATACACCAGCCATTGTCATAAGTCTCTTGGTCATCCCTTCTGAAGAAAAAAATATCATTACATTCACTTGCGCATTGAATTCTAATTTTTTAACGTTGTTTGTTGTATATTTAATTAATTGAAGCAATTAAATATGTCAGAAGCATTGAAACACAAAAAATTGAAATCAATGGCTATCACACACTAACCTTCTTTTATTTTGTTTTCTCTATCACAGCCATTTGTTTCTGATTTTACAGACTCAGTCTTCACAGCATCTGTTCCTGACCTGCCCTCCTCCGTTTTTATTTCCTGCTTTACTTTCACTTTCTCTTCTTTATCATTGTCTTGTTTTACAGACTCGGTCCTGGGAGCACCTGTTCCTGACCTGTCCTCTTCCGTTCCTATTTCCTGTTTTAGTTTCACTTTCTCTTCTTTAATCTCTTCTTCTTTCATGTCTCCTGTTGTGCCTAACTCATGTTTAACTACAGTTTCATTTTCCTCTGCCTCCTCTTTCTTCACTTTGGCAAGATTAGTATTACCTTCTCTTGGTGTATTATTGTCAGGAAAATATATAAAGTATGGCTGTTTTTTGGCTTGATCCCTCTTCCACTCAAAAAACCTTTGTAACCAAAAAGATGACTGTTAGTATATGATCAGATATGTAGTCATTCACCTATACTTTTTACAGAATTGACTTTTTATCTTGATAATTTAGGGCAAGCAAGTGGCCTAAGGGTCACATTGCACACCTAAGTCTCCACTGCCTTTTTTTTTTTATGACATTAACTCTCTCTTATCCCCAGGGACCGTGATATGAAAAAATGTGAATCCAAACCCTGCAGATGCTTAAGGAATCACTGTCTCATTAGTAGAGTTTCGCCCCTTATTCAAATTATCCTACCTTTCCAACTTTCATTGATGCCCTGGCATACTCTACTAACTTGTCAGTGATTCCTTATATTTCCATTTCATTGTCAAATAAAATTGTAAATTTAGATTTTGAAAATGTATACCACTGAAAAGATTTAAAAACTAAAAAGGCCCTCTTATGTCAATTTCAGTAGTCCTAGCCCACTGACATCAAACACAAAGACAGACGTGCATAAGATTTACATGCATATTAGGCTTCCTTAACTCCTGACCTATCGCTTTGCCTAATTTCCGGTAGAATTATCAAGAAATCAACTCAACTTACTTTCAAAGAGTTATCACAGAGAAAACAAATAGAAATGGAAATATTTGCATATTGATACTTTGTGACTAAACATGACTATTTTTTTTTTTCAAGAAGATTATAAAAATTTCTTTAATTCTCTTTAATGCTCTATTAAACATTTTTTCCTACCTATTCCCATGTAAATCTTTTAACCCCACCCCCTCGCCAAAGGCCATGATTTTTTTCTAACAAATTTGAATTTGCACTACCTGCTACCTAAGGATGTTTGTATTTTAATATCAACAATCAATGTCCTGACTATCTTGAGAAGACTTTTAACGAAATCCTCCATATACTCCAATGTTAATGCTTGATCCCCTATCATGGACAAAGCAAAACCCCCAGAGGGCAGTGGTTTGAACAAATTTGAATATACTCTATGTCAAGAAGGCTTTAATAAAATTTTATCTTTTTGGACTAAGGGGTTCATGAAAAGATTTTTTTTATGACGCCACCCTAATTTTGCCTTTTTTTCATTATCTCCCCTTCAAATAAGTTGTTTCCCTTTATCTGATAACCTTCACCTAAGGTTACTATATGTCAAGATTGGCTGAATTGACCCAATGATTTTGGAGAAGAAGAAATTGTGAAAGGTTTATGTCAGCGAAAGATAACAGACCAATTTCAAAGCTAACTTCTGTTCAGGTGAACTAACAAAAGTCAAATTAAATAATCTTTACTCTTCTTCCGATCCAAATTCACGAACTCTTACCCGTCTGCCACCACCACACAACGGCGACCTTTCTGTAAAGGAACCTTGTAGGTGGGTTTTTCCAGCATGCTCTCTGACCGACAGTTATTGGTTTCGTAGCTGACTTTTTTAGGGGAGCCCTTGTGCCAGGAAGGGACCAGTCCCCACTGCATGGGCTGAATGACACGCTCTGTTGGGATGCTCTCTTCTTCAAACCCAAACTTATGGTGACTGGAGATAATTACAGGACTGCAAAAAATAAAATTCCTTTAAATTCATGACCATCTCAGACTAAATCTGATGACCATTTAAGTCTACTAAACATTTATTACCATGTAAAGAACAGTGTCATCAGGATCATTTTATAAATAATCTTTCTAACAACTGTAAATATCAGACCCATTTATCCAATTTAAATATTTTGTGCCACCAGATTTAACACTTACATATAGGCATTTGGTGTGATATTGTAGCAGGGATAGTTAACTCTTATGTGTAATGACTTGCTTGATGCAATATTGTGGCGGATATAGTAAACTCTTATGTGTAGGCACTTGGTGCAATATTGTGGCAGGAGTAGTAAACTCATACATGTAGGCACTTGGTGCAATATTGTGGCAGGAATAGTAAACTCATACATGTAGGCACTTAGTGCAATATTGTGGCAAGGATAGTAAACTCTTACAATTACATCATGTACATGTAGGCACTTTGTGGGATATTGTGGCAGGGATAGTAAACTCTTGCATGTAATGACTATCTTGGTATGATATTTTGGCAGGGATAGACAAGTCTTACGTGTAGGCACTTGGTGCGATATTGTGGCAGGGATAGTATTTCTGTCCCCTGGGGGGATCTCTCCATTTTGGTTCCTCCTTATCCCCTGTGTGACTTCTGTAGGAACAGGATCTGCAAATATCGTCTGGAGCCAAGGTGCTGTAGTAAGAAAAGGAAAATCAAATGGGTTCACAAACATATTTAAGCAAATGTTTTTTTCAACTTACTGTAATATTTTATTTCATTAATATTTTTGAACTGTTGTTTAACAACAACACTTACAGCACACTTATTAATAACTGGTCAAAATTGATAAGCTTAAATTTTATTTACATGGTCATTTGGAAGAATTTAATTATATATACACAATAAAATGAACTTAAGTTGTATTATACCCCCCGCATGAAAAGCGGGAGGGTATAATAATCGGGATGTCCGTCCGTCTGTCTACCCGTTCGTCCGTCTGTTACACTTTGGGGTACCCATCTCTTATCCGCAACTCTTCTCATACCAGTGAATGGAATTTAATGAAACTTTCACAGAATCTTTATTCCATATTCTGCCATTGTGCACCTCCTATTTTACATTTTGATCTGACACATATTTTAGGTTTCCCATAGAAAAACATGGACAATGCCATTTTATACATATGGGAGGTGGGGTATCATTTATGAGCTCATTGCTCACAGTACCTCTAGTTTTTCAATAATTTGGTGGTTCTTACGAAAAAGATGATTTTCAGTTGGGACAAGCAAGAAATTTTGCTCATTATACTGATTTGTAGGTTTCAAAAAGGAGAACTCTAAGTTTTCAATATGCTCAGTGCAGGAGAATTCCATGTTAAATCTGCTGCTGCAGAAAACTTGCAATTTTAAAACTGAACTAGAGGTACCCAAAGGGTAATGGATGGAAACCCCAATCTGGCATCAATATATACCCCCTGCTTCACAAGAGAGGGTATAAAAATTGTATTGTTTGCAGAAAGAAACTGAAAGCCTTTTCTTTTGAACAATGTTTTAAGGCCCCTGCAATTGAAAATATAGTTTTATAAATCTTATATAGTGTTTGCACTGTCTGTCCGTGTGTTAAAACTTTAACCTTTCCCATAACTTTTGATTGGGTGCAGCTATCATGGCTTTCATATTTCACATGTGTATTCCTTGTGACAAGGCCTATTTCTGGGTTCCAATACATCTTACATCATGACCCTCACCTTGGAGTTTGGCCCAATTTTGCAAAATTTTACTAAACTTTCATTTGAAATGTTGCTGTTAGAGTTTTCATACTTCTGAATCACATGTTTATTCATTGTGACAAGACCTTTTGGAAAGGTCTTGTCCTTGACCTCCAAGTTTGACCCACATTTTAAAATACTTAAAACTTTGGCTATAACTTTTGAATGGTTTATGTAGAGGCTTTCATATTTTACATGTATATGTATTGAGACAAGTCCTTTCTTAGGGTAATAACAACATTTTTGATCTCTTGACCTTGAACTTGGAGTTTGACTTGCATTAGAAAAACTTTATCCTTTGCCAAAACTGCCATACTGTTGCATCAGTGTTTCACAAACACATCTTGTTTCTTTTTTTTTCAATGAGAAGCATACTCTTGTAAGTTGTCATACTGGCCTATCTTCTATTCAGTCTAAAAAACACTGCTAGATTTAATGAGCTCCATCAACAGTAATTTGTATCTACTTCCCCCAATCTAAGCATTCATCCCTAGAGCACTTCCCTGTCAAAAAATCCCAGGGAGAAAGGATCTGTGTCTTATATCTGTGTAATGGAAAACCAATGTAAGCTGTGGGGATAATTCTACTCAGAAGGGGAGATTTATGTCCGATTAGAACAGGAAATATATTCACATCTATTTCCACAGAGCCAAGATAAGCCATTCCATTCCTCTGTATAGTGTATACAGAGTATCTTCAGATTGTTGTTACTCCCCTTGGTTCAACTATCAATATCACTGGCTTTAGTGGCTTATGATCTCATTTTCAAAACAAAGTCTTTTTGAAATTAGCATACAAATGAGGTATATATATGTGCATGAATTATTCTTGTACATTTAATCATTCAATTATGAAATAATGTTACTACAGTAAAACTTGCTTACAGAAAACACAGTTCTAATGAATTGATCATGCTTACAGTGAATTGATTTTCACTCCCAGTGACTTTAAAAGTTATTAGAAACTCAGAAATTTAATGGACAGAGCAAATTATGTTTGTATCATGGCAAAATCATTCATCCCTAGCACTTCTTAAAAAGTTTGTTGTACTGTACTTCCTTTGGAGCAAATTATCCTTTGTAAAGTATATTTAAAATACCCACTCTTTTAAATTTCTGACAACTTAGATACTTTCAAAACATCTTTTATGATTGGGGCTTGATGCATTGTCACAACCTGATATTTTGCAATCACCATCTCCCCCTTCTGACAGATTTCATTTGTGTACTCTACTACTCTTGCTAGATAATAGGAAAAATACTGAGTACTTTTTATTTAAACATGTTAAAATGGAGAAAAAATTAAAAATATTTATAATTATGTTCTTTGCATTTTCCCTTCCATCATGCATGAATCATTGCATGTTTGCAGGCAAGAGTAACTGACAAAAAATGCCAAAAGAAAGAGTTAAAATTAAAGGTAAATAAATTAACACAAGTTTACAGAAGGAGAAAATTATTTTTTAAAATGAATACTAAGTCTAAGATGAGAGGAATACATGTAATTTACATTACACAGTATGATACCAAAACTTTGAAGATAAGGTGTCACTATAAATTACTTAATTTTTACAAATACAGAGAAATGGGTGGAATAACTGGAATTATAGCTATCCAATTTTATCATTTTTAAAATTCCCATTTCTGCTTTTCTCCGGTAGGTGGGGTTTTAGAGTTTGTAACATAACAATTGCTCTTCACAATGCCTCAGCTTAAGATATCAATATTTCATTAATTAAAGTGGAATGTCATGTTCAAACGTCATATGGCGTTGTGATGTCATTTCTTGGTCTAGCTACTGCATAATAAATTCTAGCTTTTTAAATCATTAACATGCCATGACGTATCGTACACACGTAAAATATTTAATGACAAAATACCATGCAGTCCGCCCGCACATGATACTCTCTACAGTGTAGGCCAGTGATTAGTCATGGAAGTCAATGAATCATCATCAATCCATTTGAGTGTGAAATTTTCCCGCCAATATCACTATCTGTAAACTGGGCAAGGCTGCTTTGATGACAACATTAACGCTTTCTTACGATTCCTTGCTTTCTTATTTACCGCGTAACAAAACTGATGTTGAAAACTTAAAAAAAGACACAATGATTTTCGCAAACTTTTACTTTGTTTTGTTGACTCGGTCCACGTGCGAAAAATCCGAAACCGAAGCTGTTTTGTAAGATTTACTACGATTGGTGTATTTAATTTGTGACAACGTCACGTGGTTTCTCATGTCGGATTGTTGGGAAAAAAATGTCGACCAAGAGGCATAGAAGAAGATGAAATACATTTTGCGTCCATAATTTATTAGACTTATATTACATGAAAATTATGCATGAACTGAAAAATATAGTATTGACAGTTTCTTGAAAAAAATCCGACATCGAGAAAGGAGGTTTCGTTGCGTAAGATAATTCCCATCTCGGAAACTCATTTCCTTGTCAAAAAAACAACAAAGATGGCGACAGACTCGGGCACCTCCTACTATCAGGTAAGAAATCACTAAATCTGTAATTATTGTTTTGATTAAGAAGTAATTAAACAATGTAAGTAAGAGAGTAACACTCAAATGTACGTGTAATTTCCCAGGCCCTGATTTTGATTGAGTAGCAATGCCAGACAAAAATTTTAAAATGAAAATTTTAAAATTTTTTTGTTGTGGGTGCTTCCAACAGCCTATTTAAAAGTCAAAACAGAAAAAATTAACTTGATACAACAATTTTTAACAAAATGAAAGACGTTTTAGTACGGCACCCCTGTGAAATATGAAAAACAGATAAATTACAAAAACCAGCAAAACACAACCCCACTCCAGCTGACCATTAAAAAAATCAAATTTCTACATTTTATGACTTCTAGGTGAAAGATATATGTCTCTACTAATAATTAAGACAAAAAATGAAAATTACTCATCAATTATGGGACAGTCAATACCATGATAAATAGGATGATTTCAATAAAGTGTAAAACAAAAAGAAACCAAATTTAAGCTTAAAATCGTATTTAAAATTTCAGCTACTTTTTCACAGTATTAATAAGTTTTGTGTTGTATTTCAACATGATCAATGTATAGAATGTGCCTTTATATCCATGAAATCTTATTCTACTTGTGGCATATGAGCATGACATAGATAAGCCCAACGAGTTGTATTAATTACATTTAGTGTATGAGTTGATTTATAGGGTTTTTTCCCTTCTCAATTAAAAGGTGATAAAATTGAGAAGATTTTTAAAGCAATAAATGTTGCAGTTACTTAATATTTGAATAACAAGGAACAGAAAAAAAGTTTATTAACCAAAAACACCACCCCAGTACTCCGAAGCTGAAACAACGTTGAAAATCAACATACCAAAATTCGAAATTTTAAGCTTTTTCTCCAAGTTAAAAACTGTTTAGCATACCAGCTTATAGCTAACACCCCCTATTCATACACCATATGAGATTACTGAGCAATTCCAAGTCATTTATAAAATAAAATGGTGTTGTTATTTAAATGAATCTATGCTGAAAATTGAAACAAAATGATCAAATGCAATCACTCAGAAAGAATGAAAATTAAGAAAACTGTATCCACTATGTTTCAAAGAACTACTAGTTTCAAAGAATTCTGAACAGAATTTTTAATGAAAACTTACAAAAAAAATAAACTATCAGTAAGTAAGTCACTAAGTGCCATCTTTTAAAGCATTTCAAAATTTTTGGTCTAAAAATTCTTGTACTGTAACATTATTTAGTTTTATAAATACGTACATAACATACAAATACAAATACATGGAATTACTTATGACAATGTGCACATAGTTACATCACTCGTATCTAGGAATTATGTTAGAGAATTTTTAGATGATCAACTTATTTTTAAAGTTTTCAGAGAGATTACTTTCATATATAGCCTTATTATTTGCATAGTGTATATTGTATTTCTTTAGTGGTACTGACGGTCTTTCTTAGCACTGACACTCAGTGACAGTCGTGATTTTTCTTACAGATAATATTAAAAATATGTCTTCACATGTGTAATACAGCAAAATATACATTGCAATACTTTCTACACATTGTTTGGGGCTTTAAACTTCATTGACGAGTCTAATTTTGCCACGAAGATTTACAAACGAATTTCCTCTGACCCAACTTCCGGTTAAGGGTACATGAGATTATCGAATGTTTTCAAGTATATTACGTGGGCATACTTGAATGAAATCTTTTGATATCTGTAGTTTATACAATAAACTTGTGGAATATCACCCCTTTTTTCGCGTACTCGATCGTTAAAGCTGAAAAGGGCAGTTGACAAAAATTCAATTGCGCTTACTAACAATGCCTCATGAGATTTTCCCGATAAAATGTTGTTATACACTTAGTTCAAGGTCATAACTTTCAGAATATCCACCAATCAAAACATCAAAGAAGGCAGGGAAGGTTTTTGTAATATAACATGATGTGCATCGGGGTCGAAATTCCTTGTGTTTACAAAATTATGCGCGCGCAGCGCCACCTATACCGCTGGCATTGCTAGATTGAGGCGACTCCACCCTTTGACCATTCCTTTTTACATGGCTGTTTATTGCTCTAGTAACCTTTAAACAGGTCCAGCATTCAAAAGTGCATGTTGTTACTTGATGCATATCTCAAACCAGAATCAAGTTTTAGACAGGAAACATTGCAAGTAAAATTGAAGTTATATTAGAAACACATCCATGAATGTAAGTGCCAGAAGATGCTTTTATATACTTCAAAAGATTTTTTAATCTTCTTGATGCAGTTTTTGAGCAGAAAGCTTATTGAAGTGTTGGATGCTCTCTTCTTAACTCCGTTTCTTCCCCAGTATTTTAATTTGCATGACACAAGGTTGGGTAACCTATCAAGCAACTGATTTAAACCAAACAAGTATCTTTTGGGTCACTAAAAGAGAATGACCTGTAAGAGATGAGTCAAGTGAATTTCAACAGAAATGGGGCAAGGCATACATATTGAGTCACTTAAAATAAGACATAAGGTGCAACTTTTGCAGAGTAAGGTTTAAAAGATAAAAGTGACAGTCAGATTATCAGAGAAGTCCCAATCACTGTGTATACAATGTTGTTGACAGGTTTTTAACCTCTGATAATGTTAAATTTATGATAAACAGTCTTAAGTTACAGTTATTATTGACTGAGTTTGATTGTTTAATCATTGTTAATGCAAGAAAAATGTGCAGCAATTAACTAGTAATAACAATACACTTTAAAAAAAAAGATTTGAATTGTTTTTTATGTGTAATTTAGAATGAGGAAGCAGAAAACACTAGATATTAAGGCAGATTTGAAAAGAAAATTTTAAAGCTTATTTAAGTAACGTTATAGTATTTAGACTCGTGTCTTCATTTTATAATGCGATAAAGAACTGTTTGTTGAAATATTTACATTATGACAAGGAAGTGGCACTATCAGATGAAGTATTATTGGACATTGTCAGATACATGTAAAGAGGGGTTTTTTTTCTCAGTATTACACAACAGTTTAATAAATATCAGATTCAATTTTATTTACACATTTAAACATCATAATGTTAGAGCAGGAAAATATAAAATGGTAGAAGTAAAGAAGTAAATATACTGTATATAGGTTATCAATTTTCTGTAATATTTCCTTGATATTACTGTACACATGCCTAAATATATGTATAATTTATAATAAGCCCAGTCTTAATCATGTTAAAACAAACAAGAGAGATGGGCAATTCAAAGCCAATGATTCCCTTTTTAGGTACTTATTTGTTCTTGTTAATAAATTGTTTGTTCCTTTTTCCAATATAATTATAAATTATTATCTTAATGTTTTAAGGGGATCTTCATGCATAGTAACTCTATACAGTAATCAAATAATAAAATTTCTGCATGCTATTAATTACATTAATTTATTGGATATTGGAATTTAACTGTGAATTTGTATCCACAGTGCCCACAATCTTCACTGGGATCTACAAAGCAGAGAAACTGCTACAATGAGAATATTTATATGCAATGTTTCTTTACAAGAAGAAAGATTATGGAATAAACTCAGTGCATAAATTTCTACATTAACAATTTAGTCTAAGACAAATTTTATTTAACTGATTTGGACATTATCATAAATTAATGTGTCCAACTGTAGTCAGACTGCTGAGAATCCAAGAATGATATTAGATTTGAGAATAGAAAATGGCCGAGTAGAGGAACGAATAACATAACATGATGAAGAAAAAAGAAAATTAAATCTTAATTATTGTTAGTATCACACTCTAGCTACCTTTTTGTAGATATGGGTGGTGATGGAGAGGAGATCAAAATTGCAATGTAATATATTTAAGAATTCAGAAAACAGATTCTTGTATGATTTAAAATAGACTTTTAATAATCAGTTGTTCAAAGTGTTAAATGATAAATTTTATTTCCATTATGTCATAAATCACACCTGTTTGCTGAAGGAAATCCAGAATGCTTTAATATTTTTTTCATCTTGATACTTTTAAGCTGAACCTTCTTTAATTTTTGGCTATACAGGGAGGTGCCATGGTCAACTCCTACACAGAGATCGGCAAGAGATTTGGGTTTGATCCAAACTTAAGCGAAAATGATCTACAACAAAGACTTGATGAAATGCGGGAACATCTGAAAAAGGAGATTAGAAAAGAAATGAAGATCAAAGAGGGGGCAGAGAAATTGAGGGAAGTGACAACGGACAAGAAAAGTATGTCAGACGTTCAGAGTATCGTGAAGAAGTCCAATAACAAACTGAAGGAACTGCAGAATGATCTCCAGGAAATTAATGCTTATCTGCTGGTGTCCAATAGTACTAGTGTTCATGATGCATTGTCAGGTAATCTCAATGTGGAAAGTGATTAGTTTTATTCCTATATAGGCTATATATGAAGAAAAGAATGGGATACAACTCTTTGTTCAATTGAAAACATTGAAATTCAATAGTTGAGCCACAAAAGCTCACCTGTAAAGATGAGAGAATGTAAAAATGAGAGAAGAGATAGGGAATTTTACAAATTTGGATTTAACAAGAACTTTGTAAACTATTTTATAATTGTGAACATGGTAAATGCTCTTTGTTTTGCTAAGGATTGCTAACACTAGGCCTCTGAAAAAATATGTAGTTTCTGTTGCGGCAGAAAAAAAACATTGGTTAGGGAGTTAGGTATGTAAAAATTCAAAAAACAAAGCATGTACGCAACAATAATGACAAAAGAAATGGTGGTTGAAAGCATATCTTTGACTTAAAGTTTAAGTAAAAGTTTTTGTACACTAGAGAAAAAATTCTAGTCTTCAATGAAGAAACACAAAGAAAAAATTCAATTGGCACTATGAAATTGAATAACGATGACATGGAATACTGAAAACAAGCATTGTTTATTAGGCCTTCCAGGACTCTGTCATGTTTGATATTTGCATTGAAAGAATTAGAATAAAATTTTTACATGTTCTGTTTATTAATGTAGAAAATGTGATTTCAAATGTAGTGTTATTCATGTTCATGGTATTTGACCAATAAGATGCCATCTATTTCCCAGTCAGATATAGAGATTGCAAGATTTCTTTTTTTGTTGACAAAATTTCTTATTCTAACATCTTATTCTACTATCATATATATTTGTACAAACTAGATGACACTAAAACAAATGAAAACTACTTGAAGGTCCTTGAAACATTTACCACATCCCCCTAAGTGTTTTAGATATACTACTTCCAGTTTTTACGGCTACTTGAACTACTTAAAGTCTGAGTGTGTTCCCCTACCGCCAGGAACATAAACCACCCGTAAATAATTCTCCTGAATCGTACCCCTTGTCAACAACAAATATGAATGGCTTATCTATATGAGATACACCTATTGGATCTGTCAGTTTGGCCCGTGTTTATTGATTAACTGGGAACTTTGGAGCATTACTTAGTCTTGGTATTGATGGAACTGTCATCTTACTCTATATGTAGATGACTTTAATTGTATTTAAGCAACAACTTTCTTCCTGTTTGTGACATTAAGAAAATTAAATCCTAATAGACATATGATTCTTTATGAGTTACTTAAATGATAATGCATTAATACAGAATAGGATCATTTACTTTTCCTCATAAAGTACAAGTGTCAAATGGAACTAAAAAAAAAATATCACACTGTAAGCAATACTGATCAAGCACCTGTATACATACTATATCCTATAATAAAATGTTAAAATTCCCTTGTCCCTTCTGTGAATTAATGTGTGATGTATATATTTCCAGATGACAGAGATAAGGATGCTGTAGACATGGACCCCGTGTCTCAGAGACTTACCTCTCTAGAAAAGCAATACGAGATTGAGAACAAGGTACTTGTATTGACACTTGCAGAAACTCACAGATCAACAAAGACTTCCATTTGTCTAGAATACATGTATTTCTAAGAAGATTTAAATTTCAAAATCTTTTAAATCTTTAATTTTGAATATTTTGCCCTGAAATATTATCTTTTCATTATAAAAACATTTATTCACATAAAAGGGTTGCTGATTTCTGTATTTAATAAGCATTTGCAATTGGAATCCTCAGAAGTTGAGGGTATCAAGAAAGAAATTCAATGAAACACTGAGATTAAGATTCTGGTGACCGATGATTTCTCCAGGTAAAGCAGGGAGCAGAGAACATGATCAACATGTACAGCAGCGGAAATTTCCGTGACAAGAAGATGCTCGCCGAGGCTCAGCAGATGTTGTCAGACGCCAAAACAAAGATGGAGATCATCAGAATGCAGATGCTGAAGGTCACTCAAGATGCTACAAATATGGATGATGGTAAAATATTACATCTTATGGTATAATGAGAAAATAAGTGCACTTTTGAAACATTTAAACAGTTGGTCGTGTTCTGTAACTAATCCCCTTTGCTTATTTAAGCACATCAAAATTTAGCACAAGAATCGATCAGGGATATATTAGTACCATGAGAACAACTTTGTCATGTAATAAATTTATACAAGTATTGCACCAAAAATACCAAAGTATGAATCCTCTTAAATTACATACACAGTAAGTTGTTGACAACTGTGAAGGTTTTCCCTTAATGTCATGCTAATTCATGTTTTTGTTTTTGTTTTTTTTTGTTTTTTATGTACACTATTGTGTTTGTTGTAAACATGGTAAAGTAAAGGCTATATGACTGCTGATATGAATACATACTTATGAAATGGATTTTGAAAAAAGCCTGAAATTTCCTTGTAGCAACCCAACGTTGTGAGGTTTTATCTCCCTTGGAGCTGAGAATAGAGGAGTTGCGTCATCATCTAAAAATAGAGTCGGCTGTACAGGATGGAGCCAAGAATGTCCTGAAACTTCTTCAGAATTCTAAATCTCCTGACAGCAAAGCTTTGAAAGAGGTATTGCTTGATTTTCCTATTTGAAATCTGATTCTTCAAATACTTTTTTGGGGATATATACAAGTAGAATGATTTTATAGTATTGTATTGGAGGAAAATATCTCTTCATGTGTTGAATTTTCCTTGCATAAATGCTCTCAGGAAAGAAAATAAATGTATGTCAGAATTCCATTGAATAAACATGTGTAATGTGTAATTATAATTTTCAACAATGCAAATACCTACTAAAAGGTGCAAAAGAAAAAAATGGTGAAAAGAAGTGTGAAATAAACTTCTTTTCAGTATATTTTAGTGTATGTATTCATATATGTATTTCAAATAATAAATTGATTATTAATAAAAGAAAAAAAAGTTCACATTTTACTTACATATGCTGCATAGGAAGAATTGCTTTTGAATATTTAATTATTATTATTTTTATTATTATATTCTTATTAAGGCAACACTGAAGTTGACAGAATCAAGTCAGAAACTAGAGCTGTTACGAATCTCACTGGAAAATCGGTGCAATGAACTTGAACCTAAGTCTAAAAAAATAGAAATGTTGAAGAAAGAGTTGGATGCTGTGACTATGTCTCCTGGATATGCTTCTAGGGAGGATTCATTAAACCGAGACTCGAAATCACAAAATTCTTCTCCCTTCTCCAAATCAGCAGCCATTACAGGCAAACTGGAGGTCAGGTGAGTGAGAAGCAAGGTCAAGGTCAATAGTTACCATGGAAACTAAAGAAAACCAAAGTTCCCAGTTAATCAATAAACACGGGCCAAATTTTGAAGTAACCACAGTTATTAGTTGGTGATACTGTTTGCTGATTAGGATGTACATTTTGAGTTTATGAATTGTTACTTGTTTGTGTTAATCACCAACTTCCTTGTAAATTAATTAATAATTTGTGTCAGTTACTGGAACACGTATGAAAGTATTGGATGCCAGGACCTTTAGCATGATTCTGTGGAATTCAAGTAGAGTCAATTATATTTTGCTGTTCATCTACATATTATGAAAACAAAAAAATAAAACCAAGAAAGAAAAGTTAAGAATTAAAGCTATCATATTTACTTATCTCTCAGGCAAAGCTGCTTTGAGAGATACAGATATAGAGTGAAGCCAAGATTATGATAAAAGTATGAGGCATAGAGTATACTTTTCTTTGTTTAGACTTGTTGGGTGCCAAGGTTTACTAGAAGACATTCCTGGAAGAAAAAAAGATAATCTGCAGCTGCTCTTGTCCAGTCCTGGTGAGAGTAAGAGTCTACTCAGGGGATCAAAGCGAAGCAGTACAAAGACGTACACCGTCAAGGAGGAACTTTCCAGTAAGTAGACGTAGATCATGCAAGCAATAAGTGAAGCTTGCTCTGATTTAAACTTCCTTAAGCGTGTAATATATACTCTAGTATTACAGGGGACAGTGGGTGGATCCTAGGTATCAAGTGTAGACAACTGTTAGAGAAGGAAGTTTTTAGATATTTGAGCATGTGCCAGTGTTAAATACATGTATGTTGTGAAGTGGGTACCAAGGTTGCTTGTAATGAGGGTCAATAAATTTAGAATTGGTACCTAACCAATCAAGTGTTAGGTTTGAAGATAACAGATCACAAGTCATGTATTTCATCTGAGAATAATAGCTTATGAATTTTTTTAAAGCAATTTTATAAGGAACTAAATTTAAAGAAGAAAAGTCATAGGATATGTCTTACCATATTTTATAAATAAAATGAAGTGAGTGAATTTCAAATACTGAAAATAAACATGAAGTGGATTTCTAACGTGTTTTAAGAATTCTGATAAACTTTCATACAACTCATTAAAATTGCACCATTAAATACTTGTACAATACTTGGAGTTATTCAGAAAAAATTGTCAGAAGAGGAAGTGTTTTGAAAGCCTATAAGCCTATTCACTTTTCCCTAGGAGTTTGTTTATGTTTGACAAATTTTTTTCGGGGGGAGGGGGGGGCAAGGTGAATTTTCCTTTTTTTTTCTTGTGAGATTGGAGATGGTTCTAGAGTATTGGGTACAGAAAATTTTGAATGGAATTGTTGTTGGAAAAACATTAAATGCATTCTTGCAGGACAACTTACATATATTACAAGTTACAAAGTCTAGTTGAAATATTTTAGATGAGGTGATGGCGGTGGTAAAACTGGACAACATGCAGCAGTCTCAGACGAGCTGGAAGTCTCTAAGTCAACAGTGCTGGGATCATCGATTTAGTATAGAACTGGACAGAGTAAGATTTAGATTCAGATAGAGATATATAGCATGCTAATATAGAACTGGACAGAATGAGTCACTTAAAGTCAGAGATATAACAAGTTTATCAGAGAACTGGATGGAGTAAGTCACATAGATTCAGTAAGAGATATATAGAATGTAAAATATAGAACAGGACAGAGTAAGTCATATAAATTCAGATAGAGATTATATAGCATAAAGGTAAAGCGAGTTTATTATAAAACTAAGGAATGCACACAGAGTCAGATAACGGTTTAACAAGTCTATTTTAGACATAGGAAGTAACACAAAGTCAGATAGTGGTTTGATACATGTAAGTTTGTTTTAGAACTAGGCAAAGTATGTCATATAGATTCACATAGGGGTATAACAAGTATAACAAGGAGAAGAACTAGTAAGTTGTTAGAACTTGTTTCTTATCCTTTTGCGTGTCAATAAAATATGTTCAAAACAAAACAAGTTTATTATAGAACTGTACCAAGATGTTCACACAGATTCACAGAATAATTTAACAAGTTGTTTATAGAACAGAACAGCATAAAGTTACACAGATAAATTTGAGTTAACTTTTTAGCAACAAGTGTGTAATAAATACAATCAAAATTGAATTTGAGTAAATTAGAAGCTCTCTAAGTCTTTACAACTTTAAGTCACTGGCATCTTATACAAACTTTGCTTACAGTGATTACATTCTAAATGTCCCTTGGAAAAATTATGAAAAGTATCCACCTGGTGCAAGTACCTGCATGTGCTTGAAAATACATAAATATTACATGTTTTAATGTGTTTCCTGTGGAAATATAATGTTTTTAAATGTTTACACAGTCTAGGGAACTGGAAATAGCAATATACTGGCGAGATTGGAGACAGATGGCAGCTATCAAATTCCTAAGATTGGAGGATTTCCTGGATAACCAGCGACATGGCATGGCCATTCATCTGGAACCACAGGGAATACTGTTTGCTGAGGTAAGAATAGCTTTAACGTATTCCTTGTGTTGGTCATAATACCATGTCCATGTATTTGTGTGACTTGCATTTTATTGTGCTGCTTCATATGCATGTATTTACATTATTATTTCAGATTACATTTTTAAATCCTACTTTGTCGAGAAAGCCAAGACTTCAAAGACAGAGAAAAATATTCCCAAAACACAAAGGTAGATTACATGGAGAGACTTAAATTATTGTTGGTAGCTGACTCAGATGCACAGCTTGTTGTAATTTGTTTCGTTTAATTTACTTTTTTCAGGAAAGGACATTTTGAGAGCTAAGCAGGTCAACATCAATGTTGCTACATGGGGTCGTCTCATGAAAAGGTCACTGCCACAGCAATGCACAGACTCCAACGCACTCTCCCCACCTACTCAAATTACATCCCCAGGTTCGACAAGTTGCAGTATGTTTCTCAGAGATTATGAAACAGAATCACTGTATACCAATATATCTTGCATCATTTTATTTAACCTTTGTAGGTATAATGTCTTCAGACAGGGGACCCCCTATTCATCAGATCAATTTTGAGCCCATGTCCCCTGGGGAGCGACCACCACGAATACCAGATTCCTCCCCACCTTCCATTCTTTATGCAAAAAATGAATTTACAACACCCCCTCACCAGCGAGAAACTGCTGTGCAGGTAGACAAAGTGACTAGTCTGTCAAATGATTTGGATGCTCTTAATATAATTTTGTCTTTGCTAAACATGATTATAACTTGTACGTACATATATTTTATCAACTATGATCATGGTCAAAGCTTTATGCAAGGTTTATTAAGCTTTATTAAAAATACTGTCAAATAATACCTGAATTTTTAGCTCTACTGGTCAGAGACCAGAAGAGCTTATGCGATAGTAATGCGTCCGTCATCCGTCCGTCTGTCTAGCTGTCTAGCTGTCCGTCTGTCTGTCTGTCTGTAAACAATTTTTCAAAATGCTACTCCTCCTACAGTTTTGGTCTGATTTCAATATAACTTTGCACACAAGTAGACTACGTACATAATTCTGTATATCTTTTTGTCTGTGTTGCCGTGTAAACAATTCTTTCAAAATGATACTCCTCCTACAGTTTTAGTCTGATTTCAATATAACTTTGCACACAAGTAGACTACGCTAAGATACAAAACTCTGTGTATAGGTTTTTGATTAATGGTGTTGCCTTGGTTACTAAAAATAGAAGTATCTGTGAAATTCCTTTAAAATGCTACTCCTCCTACAGTTTTGGTCTGATTTCAATATATCTTGGCACACAAGTATACTAAACCAAGATACATAATTCTGTGTATTGGTTTTTGATTTCGATGAACGGTGTTGCCGTGGTTACTAAAAATAGAAATTTCTGTGAAATTCTTTCAAAATGCTACTCCTTCTACAGTTTTAGTCTGATTTCAATATAACTTGGCACACAAGTAGACTACAATAAGATACATAATTCTATATATCGGTTTTTGATTTTAATGAACGGTGTTGCTGTGGTTACTAAAAATAGAAATTTCTGTGAAATTCTTTCAAAATGCTACTCCTTCTAGAGTTTTGGTCCGAATTCAATATACCGGTAACTTGGCACACAAGTAGACTACACTACGTAACTCTGTGTATCGGTTTTTGATTTTTGATGAATGGTGTTGCCATGGTTACTAAAAATAGAAATTTCTGTGAAATTCTTTCAAAATGCTACTCCAAATACAATTTTAGTCTGATTATAATATAAATGTGGCATGCAAGTAGACTGCACTAAGAACATAAAGAGACTTAATCAAGGATCATTATACTATTTATTGCTGTTGAAAAGTTTCAATTTCCAACTGCTTAAGTACTTTTCTCTTCCTTTGCTATAAGTACAAACCAGTAGAGCTTCAGTCTCGACAGAGACTTCTGGTTTAAAATAGATTTTATTAAATTCACTTTCTGTGTATAGGATGCCTTGAAGTCGTTTGACTTCCTGCCAGATGACCAGTCTAATGTGATAGACCTTGACAACATGGAGCCGGCCCCAGCCAACGCTCGACCTGTGTCTTACAAGGACTACCGCGCCCCCTCACCCCCAGTTCAGCCCCGCCTGCCTCCACAGTCATCAGTAGAAACACCCAAGTCTTCCAGACAACAGTCTTATGCAATGGAAACTGAGTAGGTTTTTTAAAGCTTCTTTTTTGTCCTTTTATTGTATTTCTGGAGTATTTATCCCATTATCAGTTTATATTCTTCTTTCCTTGATGCTTCACTTCCTTTATATTCTTAGTTTGGAACCAAGTTTCCTTGCATGAAGGTTTTCACTCCTTTCTTTGTGGTGTTAAGTCCCTTGTTTTTGTTCTTTGATCCTATTATTGTGAGGTTACGTTTTACTTGTGAGCACAGACTTATCTTTGCTACTTTTTTTATGCAGCTATTCAAGCCAGCATGTGAACATGGATGAGTTCAGGCCCATAAGTGTACTGGGAAGAGGGCATTTCGGAAAAGTAGGAGTCTTTGCTACTGAATGCTTTCTTATGTGTTTATGAATGTTATATTAGACTATGATGCTTAATAGATATATACACATGTATGTCTGTGATATTTTATTAGCCTTTTTATATTTAAAAACTTTTTGAGAAAAAAAAAAAGAATTTAAGAAGTGAGTTTTTTAAGTTTTGCTGATTTTATTGACCCCCAAAAGTCAAAAAATAAAACAGAAACGGAAAAAAATGAAAAATCAAAGGTACTTTGAAATTTATTGAAAATGTTGGCCTAGTTTTGACCATTGTATGTTTATTGATATGACACAATACTATTACCTACAGGTTATCTTGGCGGAGTACAAAAATACCAATGAATATTATGCCTTGAAAGCTCTGAAAAAGCCAGACATTATTGCTCGAGATGAGGTGGAAAGCTTGATGTCTGAAAAGAGAATCTTTGAAGTTATTAATTCCATGCGACATCCATTCCTTGTTAATTTATTTGCTTGTTTTCAAACTGAGGTAAGTGTATAAAGTCTTTATTAAAAGTTAACTTGTATATTAGCTGTATGAAAAGAGATGTCAGTTAGATCCTGTTGCAGTGAAATTTATTACATATACAGTTGAAGTCTGGTATCTTGAACACAGACATTTATTTATTATGGAAATGCTGCAATGAATTGAAAGACCCAATCGCTTACTCTTAAAGTATTTTATCCTTGATACCAAATCATTGGATATCTCATGGTTCCATTAAGTTTGAAATAATGAGGTTTAACTGTACTTGAAACTTTTATGGGAAATAAATGGAGATTTTAATACTCTAATCCAATTTTCTAAACATTTTAATTTGATTCAAGGACTCAGAGCAGTGATAAGGAACTGATTTTTAAAAAATCAGCAAAATATTTAACCCATTATATTTTGTGTTTTTGAGTGACTAATGCTTATTTTGTAATTTCAGGCTCATGTTATATTTGTTATGGAGTACGCTTGTGGAGGTGATTTAATGATGCACATCCACAGCGACGTTTTCTCCGAGCCTCGTACTGTGTTCTACTCTGGTTGTGTAGTGTTAGGTCTCCAGTATTTACATGAACATGATATAGTTTATAGGTAAGAAAAATAACAACTTTCTTTTGCTAGTTTAAAATGAATTTTATCCATTAACACTATAATTCATAAAACTAAGAATGCACCTTAGGCTCATAAATTCAAAAGAATAAAAGAACTTTATTTTGTAATAACCAATATTTGCCCCCCAAAATCAAAACTTTGACGGAGAAATATTTAATTATGTTCTTAAACAGGGGAATATATGCTGACTTCAAAACACTGAATATTTTCATTAGCAATGACGTCATATGTTTGAAATGACGTCAAGAAAATGGCGTAAGTTTAAAATTTCATGATTTGTACAGAAAAATGTATGTTTTACGTTGATATTTTGAGTAAAAGTCACCGAGCGCAGATCAGATCAGGCTCAATATCCTGATATTATGTGTAGAATGATAATATCATTATCAATGAAATATGTAAATATTGTTCCTGAGCAAACTTACACTCTATAAGTTTTAAAGCTAAAATTGTTGAAATTTTGTCCTCTTTCTAAAAAATGACATAAAATTGAACTAGTTTTTGAGGTCATAAAAACAAAAATTGTCAGTTAACTACTTTGAAACTATAATATGATCTGTTCATTTATATTTCTCATAAAATTTATAAAATTCAGCACATTTCAAGAATTTTTCCAAATTTGACTTTTGTGGGGGCAAAGATGTGCAATGTACCGCATATAGTTCTTGGACTTTGCTTTGTTACAGTATTTATAAGAAATATTTGTGATAATAGTATTGATGTCTAAAACTTTGAAAGGAAATTTAAATTAAAGGTACTATGTTTTTTTTTCCAGGGACTTGAAGTTAGATAATTTATTGCTAGACCAAGAGGGTTATTTGAAAATAGCCGACTTTGGGTTGTGTAAAGAGGGGATGGGCTATGGTGACAGAACGAGCACATTCTGTGGGACCCCTGAGTTCCTGGCACCAGAGGTTCTGACAGAGACGTCTTACACCAGATCAGTGGACTGGTGGGGCCTCGGAGTACTTATCTTTGAGATGTTGGTGGGAGAGGTAAATATAGAGCATTTATATTAAAGAAATGTCAGGTGAACAGATCTGTGAATGCATTCATAGAATGCAAGTTTGGTATGAGGTTGGCTTGAATTTGGCAAGTACCTGTGAGAAACCTCGAAAGGAAGTAATTATAGAGCATCAAGTCACTCCTGATACAGTAGGAGGTCCTGGTATTCTTACTATTGTTACTCAGAAGAAGGTACTATTACAATGTGTATATGAGTACTAAATAATACACTGTTTCTAAACTGCTTGATTCTTTTTCAGTCTCCTTTCCCTGGTGATGATGAGGAGGAAGTTTTTGATAGCATCGTCAATGAAGAGGTCCGGTATCCCCGCTTCTTGTCCACAGAAGCCATAGCTATCATGAGGAGGGTATGTGTCATTGTTTAGTGTTTCAAGAAAAAAAATTGATGCAAAGCCTTTTAAGCAACTTTATTTTGCTTTAATCTGTTAATTTATTTGATGCGTTTGTAGCTTTTGAGGAGGAATCCTGATCGCAGGTTGGGGTCCAGTGAAAGAGATGCTGATGATGTCAAGAAACAGGCATTCTTTAGGGTCAGTCTAGTTTGTTTATTGTCTCACTGAAGTACTGTCAACTGAATCAAAGCTATTCTGCAATGTCTTGGAATTTAAATGAATTTAGTCTAGTTCATAGCCATGATAATGCAGAGATTTTGTCAAATGTGCAGACAAGTTACCCTTTATACTATTTGTCAGATGCAATAGTAATACATTATACATTACATGAAGTTCCAAGAAGGATACATGTTTGTTTCTGGTTCAAAACACAAGTATATAATTAGGAATATTACTATTCTTGAGTATTTACAATGAAAAAAAAGTTTTGCTTATCTGCAGGTTGTAGCAAATTTGTCTCATTATGTTTAGTTATAGGCTTGCATTTGCATGTAAAATTATTAAAACTTTTTGACATGTGAGTTTGATATTCTTTTACAGAATTTGGCCTGGGATGACTTGCTCATGAAGAAAGTTAAGCCTCCATTTGTTCCTACAGTGGTATGTATTTGGAAAAAAATAATTCAAAAAAAAAAAATGACAAAATTTGTGATAACAATACTTGTGTAATTCATTTCAAACTACACAAAACTTTCTTCAAATAATTTTTTACAGAATTTGAAATATTTGTGGAAAGGGGTATGTTAAAACATATTTGGGTCCTTTTTATTGTAGAAACATTCTGAAGATGTGAGCAATTTCGATGAGGAATTCACTCAAGAGAGGGCCGTGCTAACTCCTGCCAAAGACCGTAAATCATTAGCTCCTGAGGATCAGTCACTGTTTAGAGACTTTAACTACATTGCTGATTGGTGCTAGCAGTGGGTCACAAAGTTCAAAGGTCAACTGACCAGAGACAGTCTGCATCAGTATTCTTCCAGTTTCCATGTTGCCAGCATTTTTCACTGGCATTGATCAAGCAAGCAGAAAATTCAGTGAGGATTGAATGTTGCTAACTTACAAATATATTGCTTGGATCAAATGTCAAGAAGTATTATATGTTAGAACACACTGCTTTTATGTTGAAGGTTAAAATAACATTTATGCACTTTCACCATACCTGCTCACGTAGCAAGAACAAAGTCACATTGATTTCTCCATTTCATTATCATTAGTACTGGAGCAGGGATGAGAATCATTAGTTAATGTTCATGTCAGTCTACTACAGTACAGGGATAGACTCCTGCAAAGAGTTGTGCAAATCTACAAGGTTAAATGTTGGTGCATTCAGTCATAATATTGTACAAATGTGTGCAAGGGCACCTGCTGTCTGAGCGGAGGCCCGTGTTGACTGGTTAATATGAGAATATCTTCCCCTCAACTGTGATATTTCTGTGGTCTTTATGGAGGAGATGTGTGAATCACAGCATCTATTTATAAGGGAGTCGATTAGTAAATATTATGTGAATATTTGGAAAGTTATGAATAAATTAGTGCATTAATAGCTTTGTACACATTTCTTATTGATTGTTGCTACTGAGGGAATTCATTGCCCAGTCATTTTATTGGGAGTTATAATGAATAAACATGAAATAAGCTGATTGTTTGTTTTATTACTTAATATTTGGCTTTTAAATACTAAGTACTGTATAAGCAGAATTTTCAGCAAGGATTCTATTTTGGCATTATTAGCAAGGGTTTTGAGATCGCTAAGATTGAATTGCTAACGATTTATTCCATATCAGTTGTTTAGCTTTTTTGGACATTATGAAATCGCTAAAATTACTTCTCCCTAAAATTAACAATTTTTAGCTCACCTGAGCTGAAAGTGAGCTTATCTGATCACTTATTGTCCCTCATCCTTCTGTCTGTAAACTTTTCACATTTCAACTTCTGCTCAAGAACCACTGATATAAACAAATTTTCATCTGCACTATCTAGGATCTTGCTTGTCAAGATCAAATGTGGCATTGTCGTATGTTCTGTAGAATACTTTTAAAAAGATTTTTCCTATATGACATATGTCTTGATCATGATCTAGTATAAATTTTAAGAAATTGACTTCCGTTGTCTAGGTGGTTTTTGAAAAGGTTGTTTTAACAGCCACTATTTTCTAGAGACAATAAAGGACAGGCATGTGATTAGGAAGTTCATGGGAACATTCGATGAGCAATACTAAAATTATTTCAAAGGTCTTTGAGGAAGGAAACAGTTAACTAACAGACAAACTGCTCTTCGGAGAAATAAAACGGACAGGCGCCTACATCTTGCATGGATGTAGGCGAAAGCCTGTCCATTTCTCATTAAATTGAAAAAAAATACAATGTTTTACTGCAAATCAAGGCGTTTTCGATCGTCATCTAGATTAAAACTATTACTTGACTTTTTTTTAATGAATATGTGATGATTTAATTCTAAAAAAAAAAAGGAAAAAAAAAACAAAAAACAGATATTTAAATGACCGATAAGAGCAAGCACCCCCGTTTACAAACTTTTTTTTATTCGCCCGGGTCGATAGAACGATGGGCGTATATTGTTTTGTCCTGTCAGGGCGCGCTTGATTTGTCTACACCTTACTACACCCGGTGTAGACGATTTACACCTAATAATCAAGTGAAATTGGGTGTAGTTTTAAAAACAAAACATGTTATGAAAAGGCAAAGAATTTTTTATCAAAAAATTTCCTAGCTACCCATAATTATCCCTATAACTAAATATCTAGCCATAGTCAAAAATATCTAGAGACTTTATCACCCAAACTTGCCAAACTTGCTTATTTTTTTTTTTATTTTACAAATTATGAAATTTGTCATTTTCCATAAAATGCACAAAAAGGCGGCCTTCATTAAAATTACTAAAATCAGTTCACCACAATCAACCTACCAAATACTTGACAATAAACTCAAATACAGAAAAAGAAATTCTGCAGTTTTACCATTTCGGCATTTGTCAGCCATATTGAATTTACGGTGCAATTCCCTACACATGCCCTGCACAGGATGTAGATGGTGTACACCTAAAGTGTACTTTTGCACGTGATTATGGAAAAGTGTACACCGGGTGTAAGGTGTAGACAAATCAAGCGCGCCCACATGTCTGTCTGTTTTTCTCGTTGTTGTCAACTTTAACCTTCGCCATAACTTTTGAACCATGAGAGATAGAGATTTCACATTTAGTATGCATACTCCATCACTTATGCTCTTTCAAATGACACCAAGGTCAATGAACTTGTGACCTTGACTGTGACATATATGCTAAATATAGCCTTTTTGAACCTTCGCCATAACTTTTGAACCGCCCATAAGAGATAGAGACTTCATATTTGTTATGCATACGTCGTACTCCACTTATTAATTAAGTTCTTTCAAATGACACCAAGGTCAATGACCTTGTGACTTTGACTGTGACCACAAATAAACACATCTTGTTTCAAATACGATATTTGACCAATCGGCACATATTTGCAACTTTACAGCAAGTATGTTACACAGCGTACATTTCGTTGGGTTAATACTGGAGGGGAAACAATCTGAATTAATTTTTTAAGCTTTAACTCTATTCTAATCATGCTTACGACCTCAAAGTCTGGTGAAAATTAATTGAGCTTCAGAGCTGAAATAATTTCACTCGCACTTTCAGGATGAAGTCACTCTCATGGAAGAATACGAAATACCACAGGCACATATTTCGGTAATTTTTTTTTACCTCATAGACTAAGTTTCACATTTGTGTTTAAGGTAGTCCAATCCTCTGGTTTATAGAATTAGCAGTTAATTTTTTAAGTAAACAAAAATATTCATAAAAGATTCTCTGAATCCACAAAGTTAATATGTAAATTTATCCACAGTATTTCTTTCAAGTTATAGATTAAAGTTAATCATATTATATAGGGAAAATTGTAAAATCTCCAATATTTTTGCAGAAAAAGCGAATTGGAATATCAGCAATGTATTTTCTAATTGCAAATTGATCAACAAATATATTTTAGGTTAAAAAACGATAGGTATCCAGACATTCAGAGATTTTTATACTTATTTGGTATTTTTTTGTCTTTTATTTCCATCATGTATTCTATAATACATAGTGTAAAAGGCTTTTGCTATCATTGCAAGACACCACAAATCACTTCTTATTTCATATTAAAGATTATTTTGTCTTTCTGTCTTCGAATATGATTGAAGGTTACGGAAGTTTTACGGTTAGTTTTGGGTTAAAAAAGCTTCTCATTTTTCTTCATTATATATAATGCTTATAAGCTTTGGTATCGAAGGCTGGATTCAAGAAAATCTTATTATTCTAAAACCGTATTAAATTTTTTCCTTTATAGGGTACAAATGTCAACTTTTATAAGATCCTTTCCAAGACTTCCAAAAACCTTAATTGAATCTTATAAAGATGAATACTATGAAAATTGTTGCATGAAAAAAAAATAATTTTCAAGCTTCATTTGATGCATTTCAAATTAATAAATGTTAATTTTTGGAGCTATCCTTCCTTGCTGAGGATCGGATATTCTTAAAGTGGCATATAGGCCCGATGGGCCGGGTGTTGATTGTTATTTTATACAGTCTGCAAACAAAAGAATTTAATTATGTACACAGTCATGTCACTAATAGTATAAATAAATTACTTACTTATATATGTTATTATGATACTTAAGGTGAAAAAAATAATACCGAAAGAAGTGTCTGTGCGAAATACATATGCTATTATATATATTTGCGCATCATTTGACACCATTTCATTAGTTCGACTAAAAGAATAAGATTAACCTAAAGTTATTACAAAGTGTAAATAATGAAGATTTTCAAAATTACAAATACTATGTACAAGTAGCAGGTATAAATGTCATTATACCAGATTTACCCCAGTGGGTGATCAGTTCACCTCGCTGTGGGACCCCAGGGGGTGGACCAGTCTGTCTTACAACTTTTGGTCCAGGTATTACCCGTATTCCTGCGAAAATATATTTTACACCTGTATGTTACGTCTGGTCTCCGGGTAAATTGTACTTCGATTCTGGTCAAGGGTATCAAATTCCGCTTTAAAGACAACATAAATTTCTAAGAAATAATTGACACTAGTATCTAAAGGAAAGGGGACTTATAAACAAACATATGTTCAATGAAGTTTTGTCTTAATATTTTTAGCAAACAATTGCATGTATAGGTGTTAATAGGTGCATGTATTCAGATTAACATTTCTGACAAGTCTAAAATAACATCTGACGACCAAAAAAATTAAAAATAAAAAAAAAAAATGAATAAAAAAATAAGAAAAAGAAATTACTTCCAAAGGGCCTATAGTCTATTTTCTATGGAATGCCATATACGACAGCCAACTGCTGACTGCTAACTGCCAACTGTCAGCTGCTTACTGCTAACTGCCACACATATTTGAATAAATTTTATTTTTATATTGATATTTATGTGAATTTTCAAAAAAAAAAAAAAAAAAAAAAAAAAAAAAAAAAAAAAAGGCGCGGATCTAGAACATTTTTGCCAAGAGGGTCACTCATGTTAAAAAAAATCCAACCCAGAAATTTCTTGACAAGAAAAAAAAAACAACGCATTTTTAGTCCTTTCCTTAATGTGAAAATTTATTTCGGCCGAGGAGAGGGGGTTCTCATGCGTCATACCTTCATGTCTATGACATTTTTTATACCAACTTAACACAAATCCGCGTTTTCGGGGGGGGGGGGGAGTTCTAAGGTCCCATTTAGTTGATTTATTTTATACATTGAATAACTTTAAGTTGGTTTAGTTTGTGCATTAAATAACTTTACAAATTTCAGAGGGGTGGTCCGGACCTCTCTCTCTCTCTCATCTATGCATGTAAAACATCTCTTATTTGTAAAAACAAAGAGATATAAATGTTTGATCGGCGTTTTCTACGTGGAGGGTCCAAGTTCAGTTTTAGTTCGTTTAGGTCATATATTAACCCATGACTGTACAAATTTTAAATGCCCCCCAGCCTACCCCCAAAGATCTTTGCATGTGAAACATTATAACACACAGAGATATACATCTTTAATTCGAGGAAATTTTTAACTATAGAATATAATGGAAAATGTAAATTTATTTTCAAAACATCTTTATCTTCGAAACGACAAATCTTTTTTTTTTTTTTTTCAAATTTCTCTCTTCAAAGGTTTTGTTGTCTCCGGGGGGAGGGGGTTGTATTACTAGTACTTCTTTAAAGATTAAAAGCAGAAAATAGTCATTTTATTACCTACTACTATTTCAGATAAGAAAATAAATATAAAAATAAACAATGTACTTTATCAATGGCATATATAGAATATTACATATAAATTAAAATATAATGGTCAATTTAATTTTACCAGGGTAACCTCTTGGAAAAAATGTCCTGGATCCGCACCTGTTTTTTTTTTTTTTTTTTGAAAATTCATATAAATATCCATATAAATATAAAATTTATTCAAATATGTGTGGCAGTTAGCAGTAAGCAGCTGACAGTTGGCAGTAAGCAGTCAGCATTTGGCAGTAAGCAGTTGGCTGTCGTATATGGCATTCCATAATTTCCTGATAATCACATATACTTTTAGATTTTAATCATTTTTTTTATAGATCGAGAACATTATCGTAAATTTAGGACAATGGTTGCTTTACAAGTAATCACATTTCAATCCAGTAGTCAATATAAGTTAAGCAAATATCGAATTTATCTACGAAAATGAATTTAAATTAATTTAAAAAATAATTTATTGTTATGCTGTAGCTTATTCAATATCATGTCAGGATAATGATATGGGGAGCTTTTTTTTTTTGGTCTTATATATTAAATTGTAAGGACTGATGATACAAACAACAAGAGGCCCAGGGGCCACAGCGCTCACCTGAGCACATCAGCTAGAAAAAAACACATATCAGATCAGAACTGTAAGTTAACTTAAGTGGGGGGGGGGGGGGGGCTTGAATTTTAACCCCCAAGGGGATCATAATTTGAACGAACTAGAATCTACATTACCTGAGGATGATTCCATATAAATATTACTAATCATGGCTTTGAAGTGCTTGAAAAGAACATTTAAAAAGGTTTCCCTATATATTTCTATGTAAAACTTTGGTCGGCCATTTTGGCCACACCCTTACCCCCTGGGGGTAATGACTTGAACAACCTTGAATCTACATTACCTGAGGATAATTTCACATTACTTTCATCTTTCATGATTCAATGTTTCTTGAGAAGAAGATTTTTTAAGATTTTTCCTACATATTCCTATGTAAAACTTGATCGGCCATTTTGGCCCCGCCCTACCCCCGGGGGGTCATGACTTGAACAAACTTGAATCTACATTACCTGAGGATGATTCGACATGAGTTTCATTTTTCCTGGCCCAGTGGTTCTTGAGAAGAAGATTTTTAAAGATTTTTCCTATATATTCCTATGTAAAACTTTGGTCCGCCATTTTGGCCCCGCCCTACCCTCAGGTGAGCTAAAAATATGGATGCCTGGATGGTGTATATTTTTTTTTATGTTCAAAATTCAGCCTTTCTGCAATAAGTCCAATAAAACTAATCCAGATATTGTGAATTTTTAAGTGAATAAAAAAAATCTGTGCGGTTAATTTTATTCATTTTACTCACATAAAAACTTATTTTTAGACATTTTGATAAGGTTTGTTTGCATCACCTGTCCTTAAATTCCTGTTATTTACTCACCACCCCCCCCCACCCCCCAAAAAACTGCTTATTATAATAAAGGCTTGACTCTACATACTTGTGTAGACCTAAATGCTTCTACATTATAATTGAGATATTAGAGACAGTTAATATGATCAGAGCAAGAAAATTACATAGAAACCTTTATCAATTACCAAGTAACTTTGGTCCAAATCAGTCAGATTCATGTTCTGGACACAGGTGTCTCTTTTGTGTAAAAATAATCTAAATTTTTGTTTCAGTTGTATAACCAAGATGAAATCCAAAATAAATGGACATGAGAAATGATTGTTGGTTTCAAATTATTTGTTTATTGTTTTACCTTCACATGAGAATGTTTCACTCATAGAGTTGACAGACACCACCACTTGTCGGTGGAGGGCTACAAATTTATACCTATAGCTGTGAGAGATCTTTTTTGTGCCAGCACCTACTGGGACACAGGACCTCGGTTTATAGTGTTTCGTCCAAAGGACTGGTATCCATGTTCCGCGGTGGATTCAAACCCATGAAGCAAGAATCAGCTCCTCTCCAGAGCAGATGCTCTAACTGCGCTATGCAAGCAACTCTTGGGAAATAAGTAGAATCATTGAAGCTCACATTCAGAACTGAATGATTCAATGAAACACAAAGCCACATTTACACCACCAAATTATGAATGTACCGGTAATAATTCTCTTTGCCTTGTATCAAGATATAAAAATTATAAGCCAATAGAAGCAAGATATCTTTAGATATGTTTATTTCATATAATCATGATAATATATATACATGTATTTTTTTTCAATTTAATATAAGGAATATTTTGGAAGTTATTCATCACATGATATTTTTCTTTTAAATATTGACTCTTCCACAACACATCACTCCCCGTCTTTGTAAAGTCTGCGTAATTTTTCCCGTTTCCCTTTGTTGTGGTGTTTCTTCCATGGTTTTCCAGCCACTGACATCATACTGCTACTCGCACTGCTCCCCCCATAGGTGGCCCCTCCTGATTGTTTGGCACTGACCATTCCTTTAGAATGCATACCAACATTTAATTTCTGAAAAAAGTCCTTATCAAGCTTGCTTTGCTGTGCGGGGGCCTCTTTTGGTTTCTTTCTTGACAAAACAGTTTGTTTATCTCTTAGATCCTTAGGAACTATTCCTCCTGACTGGAAATCTTTTTCATCCACATCAGGTGGTGGGTGACAGTAGAGTAAGCGTCCATTCACAAAGTCCTTGAGGATATACCTGGCCGTCCGCGGGCAGTCTGGGATACCATTTACAGACATATATCCCCTCATACTGCCATAGGTTGTCAGAAGTTCCTCTGCAGTTGGAGGACGATTTGGGTCCTCCCCCTCCTGAGGTGGTGGGAGGTTTATTCCATACAAAGCCTCCAGGGTCTCCCTCTGGATGTAACTACACACAAGATTCACTGGGGGCCAATGGTCCCTCATCTGGTCAATCGGTAAAATTCCATTCACAATCAACTCTGCTTTTGTTGATACAAATGATGGGAAGACAAGTCCAGGACAATCACACAGCATCAAGTCACTCTCCACATAAAGGGTCTGGAAGTGTTTGGTTCTCCCTGGGGTTGAGGACACTGGTACTTTCTTGGTTTTTAGGATTGCATTTATTGTTGAGCTTTTCCCAACATTAGGATACCCGATCATGCCCACTGTTGTCTGTCCCTCTGTCACTTTTTTCCCCTGGTGAACACTTCTGAAATAATCCAGCAATTCTTCTGCATTCAGAACTTTAACACTGTTATTCATTTTTGCACTTCCAGAAGCCTCACTTCCACTGTTTTGAGTTTCCGTATTATCAGAAGGAGATTTGTGTGTTGAACAAGAAGTTTCTTCTGTTATGATGTCTGTATGATCATCAATGCTGATTTTATCTGAACTAGCTACTTTTTCCTCAATTTTGTCACTGTCAATATTTCCCTCTTCCTCACTTCCTTCCTCCTCCTCCTCCTCACTATCCGACTCTAATAACATCTCCTCCTCCTCTTCCTCCCTCTCAGCTCTCTCATGCCTCTCAGATTCCTCTAGTGCCGACCAAAATGCCACCCGAGTTCCAACTTTATCGAAATACTCCTTCCACATCTGTCTTTGACTGTTACTGAGAAAATCAGCTTTATTGATGATTAAGATATTAACTTTGCTTGTATCGACTTCCTTGACATATTGCTCTAAGTCATTACACTGGTACAACAAGGGATTCCGAGCGTCCACCACTTGGACGATGATGTCACTACGTTCTATCACTCTCCACAGTTGTCGCCAAAACTCAAGATTCTTTTCATACGGAGTCATGATTATCCCCTCAATCTCTTGTAAAGCAGATAGACCTCTCCTCCACTGCAGAAAGCTCTCCCTTTCCATCTGATCTAACTGTTCAGCAGTGGTTGTCTCATCCCAAAGGGGTCTTCTGGGAATCCTTAGCAATGTCTCATGCTCTTTGTGTAACTGTTTAATATGGTCCAACTCCTCAGGTTTTAATCCTGTATGTTTCTGGGGGTCGACAAACTGTATATTTAGTTTCTCGGCTGTAAACTCGGTCCCTGCGAGTTCTGCTGTGGCCAGAAAGTCGTCCAAGTTACTCTGTTCTGTGACAGACTGGAGATTCAGTCTCCCCCAGTCATAACCGTCCTGAAGTTCACTGGTGTGAAGGAACGAGTCATCCCTCTTGACAATGTTTTTCTTGCCAAAACGATCCTTTATTAAGGTTTTCCCTAAATTTCCACCAGTTTTCTTTCTCCCCATTTTCAAGATGATTTCACAACGTGCTCATGTCAACACTGAAGATGGCTTCTTCCAAGAGGAATAACTCTGATAAAAGATTTCTATTATTTTTAATTTTATCACTTGTTTGATTCTAAAAATAAGTAAGTTTGTCTGTATTGTGCATATTGTTTCAAAATAAATATTTGCCCATCAATCTGATTAGCACATATTTACAGGGGGCATTACCTATTTACTATTTCGTTTATTTTTCCGGAAATTGTCATTCTTCGACTTTGGCTTTAGCCTTTAGGTTTTTCATATTTCCTGGACGCACCTGATTGGTTAGATTCTTCAAAGAAATAAATAGCAGGCTGCATTTGAACATTGGCGGCGAAAGGGATCAGTAGATGACAAAGTAAAGATCATAACAACAATGTCTTTTCCGAAGGCAAACTTCAAAAGATTCAATGAAGTGTCGGGTAAGTCTACAGATCAATCTGTATCACACACATTTTAAAAGTTTAAAATTCTGCAAGGCGTTATCATAGCCCTAAATTATGTTTTCTCCTAAGTCAGTCCTTGATGTAAAATTGCAAGGCATTTTGTAGTGATCAACAAAAATATTTATTTAAATTTTTTATATTGAACAACATGTATCATATAAGATTGGACAATCTAAATGTAACTTTTAGAGGGAGAGATTTTCCTATTATGATTATTTATCGATTCATCATCATGATCATGTCCATGGTTATTAAAATCACAGGCATTTGTGAATTGTGTACAACACCCCTTTTTTCTTTCTACAAGGTATCCAACTCAATTTCACACACCCCTTACACTCCTTCTGATAGACAGCACTATTAGTACTGCCTGGTCTTAGTGAATAAAAATATACTCTGCCTCCTCCCTCCCTCCCCCCGTGGGGGATATTTTTATGTGGAACCTACCTTCAAAGATTTTTCTTAACATAATGTATTTTTCAACTGTATAATTTGTGTATTTCTATTTTATCTTGCAGGGTGTGCTCCCCCTGTTGGAGCGTATGACCCCAAACTTTCTTCCAAACAGGCAGGAGGCCTTATAGATAAATCAGAGAGGTTCAAGGCTCCACAAGGTAAAGACACAATGAACAGAGACAACTTATAATATTTTGTTTGGAATGAAGATAAAAAGATTAATGCTTTAGAACCTAATATGACATATTTGAGAAAATTGTACCAGTTATTATTCAGTGAGGCATATATCTGTAGATGCAGAAATGTAGCAATTTGATTTTATATATAAGTTTTTGACCATAATACTACAGTTCCTGTAATGCAAAAAGTATGGAAATTATGGCGCAAGATTTTCTCTGTGCTGTTGGGTAGAAAGTCGCCACATTCCAGCATGGGTCAGTCAAACACCTTTAACTTGCTAATTTGACACATTCTTTTATCAATTTGTATATTTGATTCACCTCTCAACCCTTCATAGTCGTATCTACAAACCAATAAACTAGGTTGTTTTCATTTTTTTATCGGTGGGTAGGAAATTCAAATAAGCGAGTTTTTTTTGGTCTATAGACATGATAGATACAATCGAGTCTAAAGGGTTGGGAGGTGGATAAAAAAAACATAGATTTTAAAATGTTCCTACTAGGAGTAGGGAGAGAAAGATGGTTTATTGCCGGAATGCTGGAAAGGGAAAAATTTCTCCCCGACAGTGCATAGAAAATCTCGCTGAAAATTGCGCATAGTTTGCATAACAGGGTCTGTAGCATTATGGTCAAAGAATTTTAATCTTGCAATTTAGATGAATTTTACTTTGGACCAATTCTCGTATTTAATCGTATTTTCTTGTATTTAATCTAGTACTTATATACTTGTCAAAATTTCTAAGTCCCCACTTTTATTTTTTCAAAAAGTTCAAAACCTTAACATCAATGTACTAGTTGCTTACAATTTTGCCTTTAATTTGCAATACTTACCTGTCAAGGCCAAAAAAAATTGTAATCGAATGTGTAATTACTCGACCGTGACCGTTTTTGTTAAAAAGCATGAAGTTCGAGTTCCATATGTTTTTCGGGTGTATTCTTTATATTTTTTACTTCCATGTGTTTTACATCTTTAATTGATAAAGAAAAACGGAAAAAAGTTTGATTAAAATGTGATGTATGTCCCCACAACAATGTGAAAGTGAAGTTGAAATGGCCCAAGCTGGTCGTAGTTAACGAGAGTTCTGTTTCCTTTCACTGTATGACTTTATTTTACTTAAAACCTTTATAATTATTGCCCGAAAAACCTACAAAGCATACCTGAATTCGTTCTAATCATTAGAAAATAGAAATCGCTAGATTTTCAACAAACACAACAAAATCATCCTAGAGGGTACACATGTAATAAGACATTATGTAACTTTTGTAAGCAAGGCACAGGCACTTTCGGCTAATCTCAACCCTAACTAACATGTATGGAAGAAGATAAACCGGAGTTTGAGACAGCCTTTCCAGCAGCAGAATCTAGCGGAACTAGAGGACGACCTATTCTCCACACGGAAAAACATTCAATAAAAGAATTTTTCTTAAACATGTTAAATAGTGTTAACTCTTTGAGGAACGGTTGTCTTGCTGTGAATTCGTTTGAATGGTGGATAATGCGGTATTTAACGTTGTGAACTTTTAATTTTAGGGTGCCTTAACATTTCTGCATATTGTGTTAAAGTGCTTCAATAAAATAAATTAAGTGAAAAAATTGTATTGCTACTTTTTTATCTTGTATATTTATTAAATTATACTGTCAAAATAATTCAATATAAGAGCGGTGTAAAGCAAAAACTTGCCTGGGGACTTAGAAATTTTGACTAGTATAGTAATAACATTTAACCAAGAGTACTAATTAGATTATCATCTTCAGTTTGTTTGGTGCATCTTTAGACTTGTTTTTGAACATTGTAATACTGTATTAAAGGTATAACAATTGATTTCTTTATCTTAATTAGATGTAGGGTCAGATGTTTTGGATACACCATCAAAGAAAAGGATTCCTAGTGACTCTGTGTGTGGAAACACTTCAGTTGTAAGTAAAATCAGTCTAAAGCCAGTGATTTTTCTACATTTTTTAAAAGCGGCCTGGGCCTTTTCAATTGGGAAAAATTGTCGACATATGTGTCAAATTGGAAAAAACAATAAGATTTGTAATTAACCTTCATATTGACAAGTAAAATTAAAATATATAAGTACGAGGGTTGCCCGGTAAAATCGTGGACAACGCGTTTTTCTCGAAAAGTTGTGGACGCACTAAGCTGAAATTTTCATTAAATGTTTATTTATCATATTTAAGTGAATCATAATGTTTTTGATAATATATATTCAAAAATTAAGATTTAATTCTGCTTGAATGTGCACAAGGTACGGTCCTACGGCGCACGGTAAAAATAACAAGGTTATATTAGATAAGACATAAGAATTAATTCGTAATAAAAGTTTTCAATACATAAGATTAGGATGAAAATTATCCTAATTCCATTCCTTAATCGATTCTGTCGTCTTTTTAAAAATTTCAAGGCATTTGGTTAATTTTTGGCAGTTTCCCCAGCATTTGAAATGGGAAAGTAATAAACACAATACACGAAAAATTTTTTATGACGTTACGGCGCACCGGAGAGCAGTTCAGATAGATTAGGATGTTGTAATGACGCCTTAAGAGACTTTAAATGAATACAGACGAAAGAAAATATGAAAAATATCACCAGATCTTTAGTATATAAATGAAATGAAAGTTCTCTTAGTGAAGTCTTCGTGGTCGAGTCCCCAGATAGTACAAACCATATGGACAGACTGCCATTTGTAATAGCAAAGGAAGCTGTCACTGTTGACCGTCCATGTGAGATTCTCTTTTAGTTGAATGATGGTGAGAATACTGTCTGTAACTTGCTAATAAATATTCATCAGATCGCATGAGTGTGCCACATTGGTTTCTTAACTGGTTATAGATACTCACATATGTAAATCAATAAAATTTCTAAATTTAAGTGGGGCTTATCCAACTTGTAAGTTTAGCAAAGATGAAACATGACGCTTTTTTAAAGACTTTGACGTTATCATCCGTGCGCCGTAGGGCGATACAGTACATTACATAAAATATCACAATTTGTTTACCTATGCATATATCTATTTGAAATTTGCTATGTATATTCATAATTTATCTACTAAAAAATGGTGAAAATTTCAGAACGCAGTGATGTTTATTTTTCACACTAGACAACTTGTCCACGATTTTACGGGACAACCCTCGTAAATGTAACATTTTTTATTAAATTTATTTGCTACAAAATTTTTCAACAAAATGGACACGGTTCTACATTTTAAATTTTCTTTCATTTTTGTTCTTCGATTGTCCTATATTCCATTTTTTGCCATAATGGTAGACATAATTGAGAAAAAATCATTCCCGATTTCTCAGTATTGCTCGCATTGGAGATGGAATAATCTTGACACGATTTACAAGCATGTGATTGCTGTATTTTTCTGCAATGCAAGTATCTGCAGGATGAAGAAACAGTTTAATTTTAGTGAAATCAAGAAAGCTTGTTGTAGAACTACGTGTACTAGTACTTGCAATTTACAAATTCAGCTATATTTAACCGATTCACATGCATATTAAATTTCTTACGATGTAGTGACACACAAGTTTGACATCCACATGATTGATGTGTTTAAATCCAAGTCTTGCAAACACACAAATAAACTGCTCTTTTTTGCCATTATTTTAAGCGTCCGATTGACCAAAAACAATAGCGTTCCATTTTAGATAAATCGTACATAAAATATTCAATATAACCAAACAATACGTTTTGATTTTTGGAAAACAGCAGTTGAAAATTGGGAAAATATCGGTAATTTTTGAGAGGGGAAAGGGCCGATATTCGGACCTAAATTGAGTGTAGAAAAATCACTGAAAGCAGGTTCTTGGAGTTTTGTAAAAATAGCTTTTAACTCCTCACAATGAAATTGTAGCATGTGATATTCTTGTCCTCTCTCCTTTAGTTTGACAGCAGTATCCTTAAACCAAAAACCAAGAAAGCAGAACAGACTCCGTCAGCTGATTCTATCAAGATCAAGGAGCTGGAGAGAGAGGTAATAGAACAGGAATAGATTACAACGATGTCTGATATTTACATGTATGTACATATAATTATTTGTATTCCTAGAGATCACACCACAAAAAAACCTACCTGCATTTTGTTAGATCAATTTTGAAGAAACTGTTGATATTTTTAAGATATCTCATGTACTGAAATTATTGGTTGTGTCCAAAAAAATTTGTAACTTTATATTTTTTATGTTTTCAGATCCGTATGCTTTTACAAGAGAGAACAAATCGAGACAAGGTTTTAAGTCATCGAGAGGAAGAAATAACAAAATTGGAGGGTCGCTTGGCAAATGCTCAGACTGACCGAAGCTCTCTAATTGCAAAAGTAGCCACACTGGAGAAGTCCATGAAAGATGCCAACAAAAGCAATGACCTGTTGAAAAATAAGGTAAAAATAAATTGGGGAATTTCAGACTATTTTTTACTGTAAATATTTATTTGCAAGATATTTATTTTGCATAACTGGTAATTATATAAGATTTTCTACCTATAGAATTTTTTTTATTGCATCTTTTTGTAAAGTATTAAAGATAATTTATGTGTAAATAATGTCCAAATTCTTTGAAAAAAGTTCTTGCCTATATTAAAACACTAAATAACTGTTTAACAATGAAAAGTGTTATAAAGAATTGATTTCTACAGTAGATTCACTACACAAAATATTGAGATTACCCTCAATTTACTCAGACAAATTTACAATTAGATTAGTATACTTGCCACATTGTATATATAAATAAACCCATAGTAACATAAAACCTAAATTTGGTATTGAGAGACGTTGATGACATACATGTATTCATTAAATGTGAATCTTTTAGATCTCAGCAGCAGAAAATGCAGGGAAGAGAAATGAAGCCACACTGGTGGAACTTTCCAATCTCAAACATCAACTAGAACTGAAAGACAAAGAAATCCACAGACTTGATCAGGAAATAGATACATTGAAAAAATCTCAGCTGTCTGATTTCACATTGTTTGAATCTATTATAGTCTCCTTGGAAAATAGAGTTGATAATTTTGGTAAGCATATGGAATAAAACCTCTGATTTTTCATGCAGTTTATAATTTAATGATCTCTTTGGAAATCAGTTGGTAATTTTAGTAAGCATGTTGTTAAAAGAAAATATTTTGTAGAATATTTTGGTGTTTTAACTATTGTTCATTAAAACAATATTCTTGCTGCAAGGGTATTCTTAATAAATGCAAAGAAGTTAAAAAGAGTATTAGTTTTAAAGATGAATTTATACATTTTTACCTGTATGTTGTAGCAGAAGATGGTAAACTTTATGGATCTCCTCAGAAAACTGAATCAGTAAAAACAGAGACAACCAAAACAGGGGAACCAGGTCAGGCCAGTGGAAAACCAGGCACATCAAAGAAAAACGTGGAGGTACAGTGCACTGTAGTTAACTACAGAGAATTATCCGTTTTCAGTTACTTTCACTCACTATTTCAAGTTTCAAGATGCAGAAAATGAGAATCTTCATTTCACAATGTAGTCTTTCTTTTGAGTTCCCAAGACTGGAAAGCATTGTTGCATACAAAGGAAATTTTATTTATTGTATTCATTTGCATATTTCAGAAACTGAAGAATCGATTTGAGAAGGTCATTCAGATGTACAGCAGTAAGGTCGATGATATGAGACAAGCCATGCAGGAGAAGTGTAACACAGCAAGACAACAACAGGAAAGTCTGGTAGCCACACTGAGACAAACAGAGGAAAACATGTTACAGCAGGCTAAGGAGATACAGGCAGAGAGGTGAGAATCTTAGGATACACTGTCAGAGGGGTGAGCAGTCATCGTCAGTACAACTCTAAAGTCAGTACAACTCGTAGATCATTACATCTCATAGGGAACTAAGTGATGGTTCATTGGTGCGTTACAGTTGCTCAAAAAATGGTATACGTTAGGGGGAGTTTAAGAACATTGTTAAAACATGAATGGTTTAAGGAATTGCATTCATCATAGTCATAGGGGTGAGGGGTCATTGATTAGTTTAGAACTACACTCTCAGAACAATCATTGAAATGTGGTAATATTTAGGAGTTACAGTAGTCTTGGGATACATAATCTCGAGGAAGGGATGAGGGGTTATAAATAAACAGACAGGTTTCAGTTATATGGTACAGTATACAGAGATGCAGGTACTAAACAAGACAAGAGAATCAGAAAAATGCATACTAGTTTAAAACTTTTTTTCATGCATGCAGGGAAAAGACCAAAGACCAGAGGAAGCTGCTGTACAGTAAGATCAGGAGTCTAACAGATAAGAACTGGAGCAAGGAGGACGAAGTCAGGTAAACAGTAGATTCCACTTCACTAGGGGGCTCAGAAGTCCCCGGTCACAGAGGTTCTGGTTCTAGCCTCAAGTTTAAAAAAAATCCCTCTGCAATGGTAAATTCAGCTGAAACTCATAAAACAGTGACAAATCTTATAACATGCTGGGGACAAAGCTTAACTAGATAAATGTGATTACAAAAATTGAAAATAAATCAGAGACTGTTTACGTCTTATGTTTTTTAAAGGTTTCTGAAGGGGGAGGTGTCGGCCGTGTGTGATCTGGCTGGGGAGATGGACCAGGAGACCTTTGAGCTGGAGGCAGAGGTAGCTGTACTGACAGAGAAAATGGATCAGTTAGAAGAGTAGGTGTTTCTATTGTAAAACCAGCAATAAGTTGCTCTTTATTGGTTTTATTTTTAATTGACACAAAGGAAGTCTCCAAAGTATTAGAGCTCTCGTTCTCACCAACTAAGCTTAATACAAACCAGCACTCCGGCAGAGTTTTATTCTCATGTGTTGCTTCTGGTCCTTTTATTATTTGAAATGTTAATAAGCAGAGGAACAATTTTTATACGCCCGTCCTAAGACGGGACGTATTATGTTATAGGCTTCGTGTCCATCCGTCTGTCTGTTAGCTTTTTCGTTTCCGGCTCATAACTTTAATACTACTAGGCCTAGGATTATCAAACTTTGTCATCTGATGCATCTTGGGTAGAAGGTGTGTCGCGCACAAAAAGTAGGTCGCTCTGACCTTTATTTAAGAAGTTATAGCCAAATATGGAAAAATCCTTTCCGGCCCATAACTAGAAAACCATAAGACCTACAATCATCAAACTTGGCCAGTTTATGCATCTTAGGTAGAAGGTGTGTCGCGACCTATTTCAAGGTCACTGTGACCTTTAATTTAAGTGAATTTTTAAAAAAAACATGTGTCTTTTTACTATTCATTTACACATCCCAAATAATGTAAGAGTATTGCACTGTTCTTATTAAAAAAGTGTTAAATCAAGAAAATACTTATTTTTTTTAAGCATATACTTGACAGCAATCTATAACAAATATAATGTATGTCAGAGAAATCCTGCCTCTCCCATGAGTGTAATTATCAAGCACTGGTCAAGAAGAATTTTGATAACAGAAAGTTGCATGTCAAATTAGAGAGAAATTAATGGGTTTTGAATGCGAGGAGCTAGCATTGGTGTTATCTATATCCCTTGAGTATTGGGCAAATGGGTAAGCCTGTTTGATTAAAAATAGCTCTTGTTGACTAGCTTAAGTTTTAAAATGAATATGATTAAAAGTAATTAAAACTAATTTGATATTGCATGATAGACTAATCTGATATTATGTAATATTATTAATTTAAAAACTAATTTTTTGGGGTGGGGTGGAATCAGCATGTCCATATGAATTACATATTAAAACCTGTCGGACATTAAATCTCAACCAAAAAAAAAATCTTTGAGTATTTTATTAAATTTATAGTAGATAGTGCAGACCCATTCATCTCTTGATAGTAATGATTAGACAAGCATCCAGTTAAAGATTAATTAATGAGTTCAATGTAGGAAGGCTAGCTGTCTCAGTCGCTCTGATTAAGCAGTGACCTTATCTGTACCCTTTGGGGATTAGACAGAAGAACTGCTGGTCAGTTTATAACATATGTCATTTGATGGCCAGCCTTTTCTTTTCAAAATTAATTTGGTATAGATTAAAGCTTAAGTTGTTAAGACTAATTTGATGATGGGCATTTGACAAGGTCTAACACAACCAGCACAGAAATCTATCAGTGATGTAATATTTATTAAAATTGATGCCTACATCACAGAGGATGGATAAATATTTTAAGGAATGGAAAAATCATCGAAATCTTAGAATCAAGGTTGATGTGATTTCCTTGCACCTAAACTGTTCAAGAAAATTGTAATTTTTTGACGGGCGTATCATGCTGTGGTGCGGCACTTTATTCTTTTTTGCTTTCTAGGGAGAAAAATACTTTGAATGAAAACATAAAGATTCTAATGGAGAAATTTCAGATTCTGGAGAAAAATCATGGTATGTATTTACATGTACAAGTATAGTCTAACTCTTAATCTGAATCAGCCAGATATGTTATCTTAATACAATTATTGAATAAGCAATTAACTGAACAAGATAATTTTAGAAACCATATTACAGATGTAATTAAAGTGATATTGCACAGATGTTTACTTGCAAGTACATGTATCTGATTTACTTTTACGCATGTAAACCAACCTTAAATTTATGTGTTTGTAGGACATGAGAGAAAGTCCAGTGGGGAGATTATAAAGAACCTGAAATACCAGCTAGGAATCGCTCAGACTAGTCTCGCTGACATCCAGAGGGAGAAATGCTGTCTGGAGGAAAAAAATAATGAGCTTATTAGGAAAATGCATGACCAGTTGGTAAGCAGAGAGAACACTTATCATTTACACTATAGTGTAAACCACCTAAGTTTTGTTTAATACATGTAAGAATTATCTGCAAGTTTTTCACCCTTCTTTTACTTTGAAATATATTTCCAACTAAGAACTCTTTAAATTTACATTTTGATTATGTACTTGTGTAAAATATTTACTTGCAAATATTAAGGGGTCACAGAAAGATTTTTTATTGTGAATGAAAGTTGTTGCAAATAATAGTTGGTTTACAATAATCCAAAATCACCAAGAAAATCATGTTTGTAAGTTTGCAAACATACATTATTGGGTTGAAGCAATTCACTTCAACAGTCCGGGGCATGATGGAATCAAGTTATTTTCTAAAATAACTTGTTTATGTTACTTCACTTATTTATTACTAAACAAAAAAGTAACTCATTTGAGTTAATGCTTAAAAAGTAGAATGCCTATTAGTTTAGCAAAAAAAAACATTAATATTTTGTGTTTGCTGCTGATTTAAGATGATTTAAGGCTGAGAAAGTTGTAAATATATGTACTTCTTCTAATAAACTTAACAAACATAATATCTACTGAGCACAAATGATGATATGAAAATAACATAATATTTTTCAATTCCATTTCATTAACATTTCAGAGGTCAATTACACATCTTCCGCCAATTTTGCCAACATTGAGACTAATTTTTCTAAAATCTTTGGATATTACTTTACAATCTCTATGTCTTACATTTTTTGTGCAAAGCTGTAGATTTTTGTGCAAGAGTTTTAAAGTGCGATGGGTTAAGGATGAAATAATTGAAATAAGTGATAATTTGTTGGATTTCAGTGTGTTCCCGTAGATTACTTTTCCTGTCATGAACCATCTACCAGTACTTAATAACCCAAGCACAGCATGAATAAAGCTATTCAGATGCCAGTAGGTTTACAATAATGAGTAGTAAAGTATCAATAACTGGAATAAGTTACTGAAGAAAAGCATAATCAGGGGAAGATAACCCAAAATGTTGACATTAAATAACTGAAACAAATTATTTCAAAAATAACTTGTTTCCATGATGCCCTTGACTGTTCAATATATTTTATACTGGCTTAATTAAAAAAAAATGCATTGTTTAAAAACATTTGATTTTTCTGCTTACAGGAAGAAATAGAAACCCTTGCATCACAGCTGGAGGATAAAGAAATAAAATCTGATGAAATGACAGAGCTTATTAAGGACAAAGAGAACATGATCACAGACTTGGATGTTCAACTGGTCGGGGCAAGGATTGAAATGGAGCACCTGAAAGAGAAAGCCGAGATCCAGGAGAAAGAGATTGAAACGCTGAAGGTAGAAATTCAGAAAGAAGTGGATTCAATAAGGAAGCAGCTACAGGAAGAAGAGGAGATTCACCAGAGAACAGCCAGAGGCCATGCTGATCAAATCATTGACCTGGAGAAAAGAGAGCTAAGTTTAATAGAAGAAAATGAGAAACACAAAAAGGAAGTTGAAGAGTCAACACAAAAATGTATGGAGTTGAAAAATATGGTAGAAAATCTGAATACTGAAATTGCCAACCTTACTGAGCAGTCTGAAAAGGAGTTAAAACGCTTGTTGGATACTAAAGAAAATGAGATGAAGTCAATGGAAGAAAACTTACAGAAAGTCAAAGAAGAAAATGAAAAACTTGAACGCACCATTACCGAGAAAGAGGACTGTTTGTTAAACTGTCAAGCCACAATATCAAATCTGGAGGAAAAGATAGCGATTCTGAGGGCTGATGCTGAATCTTTAGAGAGAGAATATGAGGAATTAAAACAGAGTCAAGGAAACGCCATGGAATCTATCATGAAGAGGGCAGAGAAAACGAAGGAGGAAAATGTTAAGTTGAAAGGAGATTTAGAGTGTGTCATCAAAGAGAAACATGAACTGTTCTGTAAAGTGGCTGAATTGCAAGTCAGCTCCACTGAGACAGACTCTTCTCTAGCTGAGAAACAACAACTGATAGAGACTTTGTCAGAAAAGAATGGTAACCTGGAAGAACAAGTTAGAATTATATCTGAAGAGAAGGAGAAATTAGACCTCGTTGTTACAGAGCTGAATGTTAAGCTGAAGGAAACAGCAGAGGATATTGTGAGTGAAAAGAGTTTACTGGTAGTGACAGAATCCACACTGAAGGCTCAGCTTGAACAGTTACAGCAGGAAGTGGAGAGGAACAAAGACGAATGTGTCAAGAAAGAGAAAGATGTCACAAGTCTGTTAGTGGAAAACAGTCAGCTTATGAAGGAGATCGACTATCTTAACGCTTTGAAAGAACAAGACCTTGACCAGATGTCAGAACAATTGGTTGGTTTTGAGGAAAGAGTGAAACACTTAATAGAGGAGAAAGCAAGTCTGTACCAAAAGACAGCAGACATTGCTACAGAAAAAGAACGACTGGAAGTGGAGAATCTGAGGCTGAAGAACCAGGCAGAGCAAGCGGCCGATGATCTGGAGAAAGAAAAGTTAATGTTAACAGAGAGGGAGGAGTCCATATCCACACAGCTCAATAAGCTTCAGGAACAAAAGCTTTCTTACGAACAAGTGATCACAGCATTGCAAAGACAGTTGAAGGAGTCACAGGAAACAATGTTAGATCTACAGAATGAATGTGAACAGTTAACTAAGGAGTCCAAATCTGAACAGGCTGATAAAGAAAGTCGTATTCAGGCACTGGAGTTAAAACTAAATTCTGTTACGGAGGAGAATTCTTGTTTGACAGATCAAATGGGACAAGCTGAGCAAGTTAAATGTAAACTGAAAGCAGAAGTTGAAGATCTGAAAACAAAGATCACAAATATAACAAAATCCCATGATGCTGAAGTGCAAAAACATTTAGACAATATTCAAGAACTTCAGAAATCTCTCTACATATCCACCAACTCCAACCAGAAGGAGCTGAACCAGCTACAGAGTGAGCTGTCTAATGTTGTGAAGAAGAAGATGGAGGACAACAAACTGTTCACGGAGAAGATCAGTAAGGCTAAGTCAGAGTTACAGAGTGAGAGGCAGATAAGACAGACATTGGAGGAGGACTTCAACCTTCTACAGGGCAGGTGTAGGGACCAGGAGGTGGCTAGGCTGGCTCTCACCAAGGCGGTAGACAAGTAAGTGATGATTGCTATTATTTAAGTGGCTCCAACATGTACATGTAAATGTAAAACCAAATAGTGCAAAATTTTAGTTTTTGAGATCTAACATCTATCTGTTAGATGGCTAAGCTTTTGGGAAATGAAAGGTGAACCAATTTATTAATCATGTTCATTGATTTGATTGTAAAATACTAGCAAGTACAAATGAAAAGTATTCTCTAATTACATTGTATGTAGATTGGAGGAAGAAAGAGATCATTTGAAGTCACAGAACCAGGATCTTGGTGAACAGATTTCCCAGAAAGAAGTCAAAGAGCAAGAATTGTTGCTTGAAATCCAAAAACTACAGAGGTAAGAACTGTGCTTCTACATTAATTGTACATATTATGTTACAATTAGATATGCATTGTAGGAAGTCTGTGCTGTTATTCTATAAACCAAATTGGCCTTTAAAAAAAAAAACCCACTTAAATATGGCTTGTGTTTGTTGACATGTTGATAGAGTTTTCTAGCATAGCTGCTGTGGAAATGACAGAGATCATAGATATACAGTTGTAGATAGAGAATTTATCACTACTGTATATATATATATATATATATAGATATCCCTGTCTCATTCCTGATAACTTGGTGTTTTACAGTGCTTTGAGAGATGCTGAAGCTGAGAGGTTGGAGGAGAAAGAGAGACACAGACAAGAAATAGCTGTCCTCAGTGAGTCTGTACAAGCTCAGGCTAATCAGGAGGAACTGGATAATATGACAGCTGAGGCTGAAAAGTAATAAATTAATACTCATTACTTTAACAGTTAAAATTAGAGGTTCTAATAGTTAAGTTTTGTTGATTGAATTTTATAATACATGTATTTACCTGTGAAAAGTAAGGCATTGATACTCATACATAAATAGTTAAAGTTAGAGGCTCTGATAGTCAAGTTTTGTTGATTGGATTTTATAATATTTACCTGTACAGACATGGTATCAGAAAGTAAAAATATACCTGTACCTGTAGATGAAACTGTTCAATGAATTTTTGTCTTCATTGTCCAGATACTAGAATAAACCATCTATAAACATGATAAATATAATTATATATTTCATTTAAGGTGGCAGAAACTATTTGAGGATCTTCAGACTAAAGTGGAGCCTTTTATGGAGCAGTTGGATGCTTTTGAATTAGAAAAACAAGCTCTGTTGGGTAGGTACATGTACTGATCGGTCATGCAGTGGTCAGGTCCATCCATTGTTTTACTTTTCATCATTTGATGTAGTAAGAACTAATGTCTTGAATACCATGAATGTCTGAAAGTAAATTTCCAAGCACATATTTAAATGTTTAGCAAAGTAATAGTTCTACCAACTTTTCATAAACATAAAGATGAATATTTTAACATAGAGAGCAGAGAAACTTGATGAATCGTATACATGATAACGTGTAAAGTTCAAACTTTCAATTTTCTGTACAAGAAGTAAGATATGTATAATTTTTATGAGTAAACTGAAAATTAAAAGAAAGATCTTGAATAAATTACACACCATCTGAATACCTTTCAATCTATATATTGCGAAAGGATTCATAAACCCCTTTAATGAGTTAATGTTCCTGAATGTTTTCAATGTTTATGAATATCAAAATCTTTTCTAAAATGACAAGTCATAAAGACATGGGACCAACTGCAATAGATCTATTGACCCTTGACCTTGAAATTCAGGTCAAGGTCAAAGGTTAAGGTCATTCCAAAATCTCTTTTGCATTTCAAGATATATAATCTGCCTTTCCATCTTGAATATGTACTCTTAAAACCATTTTCAAAGGTTTCATTCTTGTCCCTTAAGATTGGCCCCTCTAAAAGTTTTTTTTTTCATTTTTGTTATTTTAACTGAAATTTACCAGACATTGATTTTCATGAAAAACCAGAAGTAATATGTTATCTTGATAGTTTTTATGTGTCACAAAATCAGTAAAGTAAGTAAAGTAAAAACATCTGTCATTGTAGGCAGGAGTAATCATGCCCAGGCTGAAATGGACAAACTCTCAAGTCAGTATGCCAAACTTCTAGGACATCAAAATCAGAAACAGAAAATCCATCATGTGGCCAAAATCAAGGAGGAAAATAACACTCTGAAAAGGGTAATTTAAAGTCTCATCAAAAAAATACAACCCAAAGATGTTTTTCAAAGACATTGTATTGAGTATACTAACTTCCCAACCACAAAACATGATAAAAGATTGTCTATTTTGGTATGTTGGTCTTTTGTTTTTAGGAGATGACCATGCTTAAAGAGCAGTTAACCAAGCAAAAGAGAACCATCCAAAAACTGGAAGAAAAGGCAGGGACGACTGATGGCAAGAAAAAGTTTGACCCCAGCATGGCCTTCAAACACAGCAAAGAAAATCTAGCCCCCACGTCTTCACCACTCAGAGATGGTGAGTTCTAGTTAAACTCGACTTCTGGTTGTTTTGTTAATTATGGTACATGTATTTTGATAATTTTCATTTTGGTATTACCTATAGCATGATTTTATGCAAAAATTATATGCTCGGTTCATAGTGTTTTGTTCTAATTCTTCAAAATATATCCCACTTTTTTCATAAATTTTTCTATATCATATGCAGATTTTGCACTGGCTTTGCTATCTGATTGATATTTTTATACAATGTATGGAGCTTTGGACTTTATTATATATTATTATAAAAACATCTTATTTGAGACTTGGATATATGGAAATCTCAATTATAAAGAAGTTACAGCTTTTCCTCATTTCTCATAACACTCTTAATTAATGAATAAAAGAAAATTTGTAATAAGGAACTAAAACTCTGTGTCTCAGGATTTCCTTGTTTGTAGGTTTTGCTGTATAATTCTTTGTTGCGGTTATCTTGATGTATAAAAACTATTTCAGACTTGTGCAGCATTCAACAGCATGTTGAAGCTTCAGAGGCTAGTTCTGTGCCCTTCAGAAAACACAAATATTGTCACTCTTGTGGCAAACGTAAATTATCAAAGGGTAAAAACTAAACTGTTCAGCAGCATGGTTCGAGTCTCCTATCTCTGCTTCTCATTTGACATGATTGAAACACCTTTTTTCTGAATCTGAGATACATAAAAAAGAAGTTTGTAAAATATCCACTTCTCTTGATTTTGCTTTATGGATGATGCCACTTAAGTAGTGAAATACATTTTGCCTTCAAGATGCATTTTATTTCTCCTTTTCAGATTTCCTATGTTATAACTATTATCTGGTTTTGAACTTTATCTACACCTAAATAATTTTCCAAATCATTTTCAAAACTCTGCCTGCATAGAGCATGGACCTTATATTTCCTTCAATTTTCTTTTCATTGCATGTCTTCTTAGATTTTATTTTAGGGATAAAAAGATGAAACACTAGAGATTATAGGATCAGAAAGCATATTTAAAATGAAGTTTTCATAAAGCTACTTGTATCTATGTTATAAAAATTGAGCAAATAAATGTACAAGTGAAGAGAACATGTATTCCTGAACCAAGAAAGGCCAAAATGCTGTCACATTGTATCAAAATAAAGTTATGTACATGTAGCTAACAAATGCAAGTAAACAAACATTATTGATTTTACATATATTTACCATTAACTTGCTAGAAATTTTCTTTAAAATGTCATTGTTATTTGTAGACGCAAGTCTTTGTAGTTCCATTGTGTTTGCATCACAGAAATATTTTAAATGTCATATAATTGAGTTTCTTTTCTTCATTTTCAGGCAACAGAAAATAAGGAGTATGATAGAGCTAGTACAGAGAGGAGATAGGCAGCTTATAACTCAGGATATATTTTTAAAAATCCATTTTTCTCACTTTTAACTATTTTTGCTATCAAGTTGTATTAGATTTTAGGTAATTTTATCATAGCCATTGATAGATTTACAGGCAGTCTGTAGTTTAGTGTTGCTGATTGTCAAATTTGAACACATATCAGTTATGTATTCAATAAACTATAAAAGATTATTTTATTGAGTTATAAATGTTAATTCTATACAGTGGACATTAATTGCTCCAAACACTGTGTGACACTGTTATCAGGTGGTAGCAGCTCATCTTTACATTTGAGGAAAGCTAAAAAGATGGTCACTGTGACCTAGTTTTGTATTGACACTTCCAGGGCCCAATGATGCATTAACTATTAGGCTTGATGACCCTGCAGGTCAAAGTGTATCATAGAGGTCACTGACCTTCTTAGTTGAAAGACCCAAGAGCTCTAAGTACATAAATTGACATGGTTTGAAAATCTTAGCCTGTAAGTGAATAGCTGTAAAATTCAGAAAGTAGGTTACTGCCTTCTCTAAGCCTGACACACCCATATGATCCAATATGCATCGACAAGATTTAATGATTCAAGGCTTTAAAGATTCCTAGAGCTATAAACATCTAAAGAAATTTAAAAATGAATAGCTTTCACACTTTTGAGACATCTTGTGACCAATTCGCCAACATTTCAAAAACAGTGCAAAATATATCTTTGATATTTCAGCTTTTTTAATATATTTAATATATAGTAGTGACTTGATTCTAAGAACCATATCATCTTGAGTTTACAGGTGTGGATCATCACATCAAATGAGATGCAAACGATCTGTGTCTGTCAACAAGACATTATACAGCTCTTTGAATTTTGTTCATGTTATAATGATAATATTAGAATAAATACATATGTTGAGCTCAAGTCCTTGGGATGTTCCAAAAACTAAGTCACTAAACTTTTTGGGAAACTTTACACTTTTAAGGCTACAAAGCTTAGAATCATCAAACTTGGTTGGTAATCTAATTTTTGTCCTCAAATTGTACCAAACAAGAGTTGTAATTACCTGCTTTTGGAATATGTCCAAATTCTTAAGATAAGCTTGGAATCACCTTGATCAGTTGATGTATCTTTAGTGCAGTTACCACCCGTAGACTTGCAGGTGAAAGTCCTTCCAGGGGATAAGTTAGGTTGTGTCTTTGAAGACCAAGACAATTCAAGGAGGGTGGAATGTAATGGTTTGGGCCGTGAATATTGGCCTGGATAGCTCAGTCTGTAGAGCACCTGACTATTGAGGCAGGGGTCCCTGGTTTGATTCTGGGTCTAGCTCTCCATTTTCTCCTTTCCTGTGACACAATGTTTAAGTTTTTGTGGATATATAGAGTTACAGACAGATGGACATATCTTCAACTACACATGTCCCCAAATCTTCAAATATGGGGTATGAATTTATATATCTTCCATAGAGGGACCTTAATTAAAAACCTTTTTAAATTAATAAGAACTCGGAATATTAAATTGGAAATATTTTAATTAACAGAATTATAGCAACTATAAGCATGTATTTTTGTACTCTTATAAGCATGAAATAAAAAAAATGCTCAGATCTCTATTTAAAAATATGATGAACAAAACTTAAGTATGAATATGGGGAAATTTATCAGTTGTGTAGCAAAAGCTTCAATAAACTTATAAGATACAACCATGTGTAATTGTTTACAATTGTACAGATTTATACATATATTTAACCTAGGTATATTTCTACTGATCAATTGCACTTTCCATCATGAATAAGCCACAACTTGGGCAGAAAGCTGTGCTGGGAAACTATTCATTGGCTTTAAGACCAGTATCGGTCAAGTTGTATAATTTAAAGCAAAATAAATCTCAAAATGTACAGTGACAAAAAAATCCCTCTGTGACACCTGAGAAGACAGATTCATATTGACAGGACGGTAACACCCCCCCTCCTCCCCCCCAATTCTGACTTAAATTTCAGAAAATGGAAAATTACTGAGAATACTGAAACTAGAGCAATTCTGGAGAGGAAATTTTGGAGTGCAATAAAAACTTCAAATAAGAAATAGGAATAAACTTTATTGCAGCCAGAATGAATCAAATATTGTGAGCATATTTTATATATTAAAAAAAAAACTGGATTTCTTGGAAACGAATGTATGGAATGCCATACACGACAGCCAACTGCTTACTGGCAACTGCTGACTGCTTACTGCCAACTGTCAGCTGCTTACTGCCAACTGCCACACATATTTGAATAAATTTTATTTTCATATTAATATTTATGTAAATTTTAAAAAAAAAGGCGCGGATCTATAGGACATTTTTTCAAAGAGGGTAACTCTGGTAAAAAAAATCCAACCCAGAAATTTCTTGACAAGAAAAAAATACGTAAAGTCCTTTTCTAAATTTGAAAAATTTATTTCGGCCGGGGAGAGGGGATTCTTATGCGTCATACCTTCATGTGTATGACATTTTTCATACCAACTTAACACGAATCCACATTTTCGGTTGGGGAGGGGGGGGTCCCTTTTAGTTGATTTATTTTATACGTTAAATAACTTTTAGTTGGTTTAGTTTGTGCATTAAATAACTTTACAAATTTCAGAGGGGTGTTCCGGACCCCTCTCTCTAGATCTATGCATGTAAAACATATTTTATTTGTACAAACAAAGAGATATAAATGTTTGATCGGCGATTTCTAAGTGGAGGGACCAAGGTCAGTTATACCGGTAGTTCGTTTAGTTTATTTAACGTATGACTGTACAAATTTTAAATGCCCCCCCCCCCCCCCCCCCCCCCGATCTATGCATGTGAAACATAACAGGGACGTAGCAACATTGGGGGGCTCGGGGGGCCTCCCCCCCCACTTTTTTTCCCAACATTACCTTTACTATTGAAAATGTATATTGAAAGGATGGTTGCCCCCTCCTCCCCCCACTCCTTACCATAGCAGAATGATATCAAGGATATGTATTATTGTGTGGAAAAAAATGTAAGTGAAAGGTAGTTGGCCTTATAAAAAAAGTTAGCCACTTACCCCTCCCCCTTCCCCCACGAAATAGGATTTTCGAGTTTGGGCTATTTCCTTTTTTTGGCTTGTCAGCTTTTTCAGGTAAGTAAAAAAAAAATTTTTGGTTGCCCCCCCCCCCCCCCCCCCCCCCCCCAATTTCAAAAACGATGCTACGTGCCTGCATTATATCATACAGAGATATACATCTTGAATTTGAGGAAATTTTAAACTATAGAATATAATGGAAAACGGAAATTTATTTTCAAAACATCTTTCTCTGCGAAACGACAAATCTTTTTTATTATTATTCTCTCTTCAAGGGTGACCCCCTTGGAAAAAATGTCCTGGATCCGTGCCTTTTTTTCCCTTTTTTGTGAAAATTCATATAAATATCAATACAAATATAAAATTTATTCAAATATGTGTGGCAGTTGGCAGTAAGCAGCTGACAGTTGGCAGTAAGCAGTCAGCAGTTGGCAGTAAGCGGTTGGCTGTCGTATATGGCATTCCATACGAATGGGTGCAATTGGAAAACAAAACTCTGAAAATTGGATGTCATAAATTTGAAGTACATTAATAAAGAAAAAAAATACATATCTTAAAGTAGCACATAAATCTGATAATATCTGGTAAAATATGAAACACATGCTTAAAGTACTACACATAGTGCAGTTCAATAGTTTAATTTACAACAAGAACTCAGCAGTACTAGTTCCTTACAGAGAAGCACATTTTATCAAAGATGACAGAATTCCACTTGAATGTCATGCTAAATGTCAAGTTCATTCTCAGTAAACATTGATGAAAAAGCCTAAGATAATAAATGTACTACTAAGGCATTATCAATTTGAAGTTCAAAATAAATATTTCCCAAGCATATCAACACTAAGCCCTGAAATGTTGAATGCACTAAATAACTATTTCATACAATGCCGGGTAATTAAAATAAAATTTAAGAATATAAATAATAGTGGAGAATTTACAACCATATCTACATCTACAGATATTTATACTTTACACATAATAATCTGTCATGACTAATACATGTACATGTATTTCCTTTCTTTTAAACAATAGGAGATACATGTATTTTAAATCAAATATAAACTAAGCTGTACATAATGTATAAATATAAAACAGAAATATCTAGTAAAGAAAAAAAAATTACAAATATTTTTAGTACAATACACTATGATCTTCTATCTACAATAACATTGCCATCTCGATCTTTCACTCGGATCCTCCCATTAGAATACTTGGTTTCCTGTCGTCCATCTGGATACACTGTCTTCACAGTCCCGTCTGGATATTCTCTCCTCTTGTATTCCTGAGTGTGAATCTCCTTCTGTCCATTCGGAAACTCCATAGTCTTGGTCCCATCTCGGTCCACACGGATCACTGTTCCATCCGGAAAGATGCTCTCTTCAGATCCATTCAAGAACAGGTATTTAATTGTCTGATCCGGGAATATGATTTCTTTTGTGCCTTCTGGATAGTGTTTCTCCACTTGGTTGTTTGGAAACTGAATGATTTCAAGTCCATCTGGATAGGTGCTGTGGGTTGTTTGAACTTCAGCATAATAATATATAACTCTCTGATCTGCAGTAATCTGTTTCACATCCCCATTACAGAAAGACACAACCACAGATTTTCCATCTGCAGAAATTTCTTTTCTTGTTCCATTTGGAAACAGGATTTCACGAACTCCTGTGCTGTAAGTTTTTTCGACTTTTCCGTCAGGATGTTGAATTTCTCGGAACCTTTTGTCCCCCTTGTCAATGACGGAGCGATCAATGGAATATTTCTGGGCTGTCTTTCTGGGAACACATTCCAGGTATGAACCATCCATGCCACCTTCCGTATACATACTTGTGTCCTGAGGAACTGCAGAGACGATAGGATCACCTCGTGGTACATCCTCCTTCAGGGTTTGGGAGTTTTCACTCAGTCTACTTTGGGGATTTTGTGTGTTTTCTGGCTGTGCTATGTAGAAATTCCCAGAACCTGTCACAGGTCTTTGCCTTGAGGCAGCTAATCTTTCATCAAATTGTGGCCTGCTTGAATCTGTCGTGTGTGAGAATTGAGAAGACATAGAACTAGCTGGTCTGTTGATGGGAATATCTCTAACTGGATCTTTCTCTTCATCAGAGTCTGTCATTTGAAAATCAGCCGATGATGAAATACCCTGCCTCGCAGAAGATTTAGACACAGCACCTTTTCCTTGTGTATTCTTTTCTTGTTGTGAATTCTTTTCCTTCTGCAGCCACTCCAGACGTTTCCTTTCCATTGCTTTGATTTCTTCCTTCAGTTGTAAATTTTCCTGCTCCATCTGTTTAAGTTTTTCCTTTGTCCTAGCATCATTAGACGCCCACCTCAACTCCTTTCTTTTCATTTCTTCCTGGAGTTCCCTCAGCTGAGTTTTTAACATCTCTATTTCCTCTCTCTCTTTCTTGTCTGGGTTATTTCTTTTAGCTTTTTGTAACTGTTCAAACACCTTCTTCTCATGTCTCAGTTTCTTCATCTCTTCTGTTTTATATTCTTGGATTCTTTTCAACTCCTCAGATTTCTCTTTTTCAAAATCAGAAACTTCCTTCTTCAGCTTAGATAAACCTTCCTCTCTTTCTTTCCTTAGCTTCTGAAGATTCACATTTTCATTCCTAAACCTCTCTATCTCTTTATCTAACTCGGCCAGTTTCTCCCGTAACAACTTTGACTGAACACCTTCTGATGGCAAAACATTATTTACTTGAAAATTGGCCTGGTTCTTTGTCTCCTTTGGTTCTTCCTTTTTTAATTTTGGGAAAAGTTTTGTCATCAGTTTTGAGGTTGGTGGGGTGTCACTCTCATCCGTTTTGGTTTTCTGACTAGAGGCCTGGGGTGAGTGGGACGTCAGTGTTGTTTCTCCCCACTCCTCCTCATCGTCATACTCAAGAACATTTGTTTTCTTAACTGTTGCTTTGTCCATAGTCTCCTCCTTGTTTTTCTTAATGTTTAAGTCTGAATAAGACACCAAGCTTCCCTCACTGTCGCTATCTTCATTACTTCTAGTAAGCAGTTTACTATGCATTTGAAAGTCTTTTTCACTGTCATCAGTTTCACTTAGTTCATCACTATTGTTTATATGGTCAGTTTTAATTTCAATGGTTTTCTCAACACCTGAACTCTTAAACAAATGGAGAATGTTTCTTTCTCTTGTGAGCTGAGGAACAGGGCTTGATTTATCTTTCTGCGCTATCTTCCTCTTCATTAACTTTGATGGAGATACGATCCTCTCTTCTTCAGCATTCTGATTGTTGTCCTCTTCCTCGGTGTCCTTGACATTTTCTTGATCAAGGTAACTTTCTTCTTCTTGTTCACTCGTTTCTGTATCAGAGTCACTTGTCTCGGATTCATCAGATTCTGTTTCTTCATCACTACCTACAGCTTCACTCTCTGGTTTTTCCATGGTTGTCTTAGGTTGTTCTTTGTTAGCTAACACAGGAGATTCTGATCTTGCTGCTGTGGTTGAAGCTGTCGGAATTGATTCCGTTTTTGTCTTCTCTGTTTGCTCATTTTTCTGTAGTTTTGGTTTTACAGTTTGTTTGAGAGGTTTTAATGACAATGTCATCTGCCTTTTCTTTGTCTCCTTAATCTTCTCTTCCATTCTGTGAACCATTACAGATGTGTTACTACAGTAAGACATGTTGTCAGCTAAATTTTCCAGAAGTTCAAATTCTTCAAGGTCCCCTTTCTCAAACTCTTCCTTGATCTCTCTTTCTCTGAGTTTACCCACAAAGGATTCATCATCTGGAAAGGAATCTCTTCTCTGAACATTTTTCTTCTTGGCAGCATTTCCCCCTTGTTTCATGTTGTTTTCCAGGCTGTTCTTATTAGACATTTGACTATGGGAGTAAGAAGATTTAATATTTTTCGAGGCATCACTTGTGTTTTTAGATGCTGTTGGTTTGGTCACTATGGGTTGGGCACCTTTTAGTGTCTTTTCACCTTTTTTCTTTTCATTTTGTTTTTGTAAGTTTGTCTTTGATGATTTTGTATTTGTTTGAAGTGATGCATTCTTAGTTGCAACCTTTTCTGGCTGCTTACTATTATTTGATTTCAAAACCAGATTCTTTTCAGGTTGGGGTCTAGGAGGAGGTCTGATATTGCCTTTCCTTTCTTTTGCAGACCCGTATCTTGCAGTACCCTCTCCTTTCTTTAAGAACTGGTGTTTTGGACTGTCCAAACTTCTCTGATTTTCTGAATTTCTCTTCTCACTTTCAGCTCTTAATTGTTCCTCCAACAGCTCCTCAAACGTTTTGGTGACTAGAATAGGTCTCTCATCCGGGTCAGTTATCTCCCTTTCAGTTTCATCCTGCTCCTCAAAATCGCCCTCCTCTAAATCAGAATCAGATGGATTATCTATCTGATCTTCATCTAATTCATCATCATTGTCGTCATCATCCACCTCCTCTGCATCATCGTCATCATCATCATCATCATTGTGATCATCTTCATCATCAACTTCTGGTGACTCCACTCTCCTCTGAATCATTTCTTCCATGTAAAGTCTTTCTTCCGTCATTTCACTTGTGCGAGAATTTGTGTCACTGAACAAATCAGGGTTAGTGTTTATTTCATCATTATCATCATTAAATGGAACATACATCACAGGAACTGGGAGCTGCCCACTACTTGATGTTTGTTCCTGCTGTGGTACTGTTCTGGAATTGTACATGTCTGCTGCTCTAGGATTGTGTTCCACTTCCCTGGGTCTTGTGAATCTCTGGGAATGTGGTGGAGTCCTTGTAAGTGCCTCATCACTCAATGCCATTCCCCCTTTCTTAGAGTCCTTGTTTTTACTTATCACAGACTTCACTACCATCTGTTCTTTGCGTAATAGTTCTAACTGCTGTTTCTGTTGGTTCATCAGGGACTCCTGTTGCTGCATTTGCCATTGCCTGAGCTCCTTGAATCGCTGTAACAGAAGGGCTTGTTCCATCACCTGTTGTCTCTCCAAAGGATTAACCTCAGAATCTTCTCCATCATCTTCTTGGTCATCATTCACGACTCCTGAACCATTCCCTCTCAAACCCAGTTGTTGGAAAGCTGCGTCAAAATTGATCGTCTGTAAGAACATGTTGGGGAGCATCCTGGAATAGTCAGCCATTGTCTGGCTTTGTAAGGGATTCTGGAGAGACACTGGTGTAGAATAATGTCCATTTGGATTCACTGATGAGTTTTTTCCACTGGGTTTTGTTTTTAAGTCTACCAAAACTCCAGATCTCTGTGCACTTTCCTTCTGCTTAGAATTCATTTTGAAGGAAGCCTTGAATTGAATTTTTAAATGACTCTGAATTCCTCACCTAGGATGTGATTTGGTGACATCTTCTTTTACCCATCCAATTTCTCAATCTTTATCCCTGCAAAACAGATTAAAAAACAATTATTGAAAATAGTTTTCACCCATGTTCATCCAAATATTCGATTAAATTTGCAAAATGAGAAAAAAAATTAGTAACCAACTGCAGGTGTCTGGTGAGAATTACAAATCATTAACATTGGTGACCTTTCGATGATTTTGTCATCCTTTTATACAGTGTTCGTTATTATTAATATGGTTGAAATTCCTAAACATTTTTAAAACCAGAAGTCTCTGTCGAGACTGAAGCTCTACTGGTTTGTACTTATAGCAAAGCAAGAGAAAAGTACTTAAGCAGTTGGGAATTGAAACTGTACAACAGCAATAAATAGAATAATGATCCTTGATTGAGTCTCTTTATGTTCTTAGTGTAGTCTACTTATATGCCACATTATATTATAATCAGACTAAAACTGTATTTGGAGTAGCATTTTGAGAGTATTTAACTGAAATTTCTATTTTTAGTAACCCAGGCAATAATGTTCATCCAAGTCAAAAACTGACATACAGAATTGTGTATCTTAGTGTAGTATACTTGTCTGCCAAGTTATATTGAAATCAGACCAAAACTGTAGGAGGAGTAGCATTTTGAAAGAATTTCAAAGAAATTTCTATTTTTAGTAACCACGGTAACACCGTTCATCGAAATCAAAAACCGATATACAGAATTATGAACCTTAGTGTAGTCTACTTGTGTGCCAAGTTAAATTGAAATCAGACCAAAACTGTAGGAGGAGGAGCATTTTGAGAGTATTTAACAGAAATTTCTATTTTTAGTAACAATGGCAATATTGTTCATCGAAATCAAAAACCTATATACAGAATTATGTACCTTACTGTAGTCTACTTGTGTGCCAAGTTATATTGAAATTAAACTAAAACTGGAGTAGCATTTTGAAAGAATGTCACAGAAATTTCTATTTTTAGTAACAATGGCAACACCATTCATCGAAATCAAAATCCGATATATAGAATTATGTATCTTAGTGTAGTCTATTTGTGTGCCAAGTTAAATGGAAATCAGATTAAAACTGTAGGAGGAGTAGCATTTTAAAAGAATTTCACAGAAATTTCTATTTTTTACTAGTGTGCCAAGTTATATTGAAATCAAACCAAAACTGTAGGAGGAGTAGCATTTTAAAAGAATTTCACAGAAATTTCTATTTTTAGTAACAACGGCAACACCGTTCATCGAAATCAAAAACTGATAAACAGAATTATGTATCTTAGTGTAGTCTACTTGTGTGCCAAGTTATATTGAAATCAGACCAAAACTGTAGGAGGAGTAGCATTTTGAAAAATTGTTTACAGACAGACAGACAGACGGACAGATGGGCGGACGGACGGACGCTGGACACATTACTATCGCATAAGCTCTTCTGGTCTCTGACCAGTAGAGCTAAAAATCAAAAAGAGGTATTTTAAAGAATGTGTATCTATTCAAGTTGACACTTCAGAATGTTCCTGACAGATTTCTTTGATACAATATTAATAGCCTTCCTACGGCTTATATTAATAAAGAAAATTTTGTCAGTTTATAATGCCAGTTAATATTGTTTTAATATTTATCAATATTTCATTAATTTAATCTTGCCAAAATTTCATATTGTTTTACAAGTTGATATTCAGTTTACTTGAACCAAATCAACTTTTTTTAAAGGTGTAAATCAGATAACTTTAATAAGACTTTCTTTAAAAGACTTTTACTTTGCAAGCATTAGACCACCAGAATGGAAAGTGGATTGGAAATTTTTTAAACCAACTTTCCAAAACTGTACCATAAAGGGCTGTTTGGACCATTGAGAGGTAAATATAGTATTAAAAATAAGAAATATATTATTAGTTACACAGTCAGTTAGTGACCTAATACGGAGTCATACAGGGTGTGAAATGGAAATCCGTAATGGGCAAGGCGAAGCCGAGTCCCACACCCTACGGATTTGTGTTACAAATTTCACACCCTGTATGATTGACACCTCGTATTAGGTCAAACAGAAATATAATATTTTAATTAAATATATTTATTATTTATGCTGTTATATATCTATGAAATGCTTAACTGACTGTGCAAGACGGATACATTTGCAATTACAAATTTATCCCACTGAAGACCTTCTTAAATAAAATAATTTTTAAAAAATTTAAAAATCTATGTGCATATTATGAAAATATCAAGTTTTAATCCAATAACAATGAACACCAAATATTGTAATAAGAAATTTAAGTAAACTACCTACGCAAACCATTTCTTAGCCGCCATTATTATTTACAATAACATCGCTTCGAACGGAATCACGTGCTTGATTTTCATATTACTTCTTGAAGGTGATGTAATACGGAAAATTTCAGGGCGTCATGTGATTAGCTTTTATCCAATCAGTAATCTACAAATTTGTCAGAAGCGGGATAAAGTTAATCAACGAATACAGGTTCTTTAAAAGGAAGAGGAAAGCAAAATTATAAGAAATAATACCACAGTGAGTGACCAAAAAAAAAAGCAGTGGCATAAATCGCCGATTTTAAGTTTAACAACACTTGGATCTGTAGATCTCTCCTTTATCTGTCTGAATTTTCTCAAAAGACTGGTGAGAGCTACAATGTTGCAGCTTAAGCTGATTCATGCCACATTACATTAGATTTTATGTTATATACTAACGTTAACTTGGTTAGGCCAAAAATAAAAATAGTCTTGTTTCCTGCTACCCGACCTACCCTATTTTTTTGCACCCGACCCTAAAGTTTTTTTTTTTAATTTTGGGGAAAAAATTACGAATTTTCGGAATTCATGTTCCAAAACTATAAAAAAATATATATATATATTTAAGTGGTATTTCAAAAAATCTATGTTTTAAATAAGGACTTTCATAAAATACCACTTGAGTTGTGCATCAAAAGACATGAAATTTTAAAAGGCAATATTGACCTATGGCATGTTTAAAACATATCCAAAGAAACACTCTCGGAAAAAATAAAATAAAAAAGAAAAATAAAAGAATTTCCCTACCTACTTTAGTACCTACCCTATTTTTTTCAAGCTGGTAGCAGGAAACGAGACTAAAATATTTTTTTTTGGCCTTAAGCCTAGAACTAAAAAATTCAAATAATTCGAAAAATCAGTCCTAGCTTTCACAAAATACTTGATCAAAGAAAACATTCGTAAATTTCTGGAAGAGGGACATTAATACTTATAAATAAAGCCATGCAATAATCTAAACACTGATTTTTTTGCAAAATTTATGACAGAACCTGGTCGATTGTTTACATAACAACACTCATATACTTGTGTTATAAATCTCTCTAATCAAACGGTGTCCTTTATTTTACAATAAAACGTACTAAATACTTACAAAAATCCAAAATTTCCTTAATCACAAAGTACTAAATAAACATGAAAGCACATGAGATCAAAACTTGTTCGTATCGGTTTGTTGATGCCGCCATTTTTTATCGCAAGGATGTTGATCCCGATGGAATTTATATTGAAAGTAATGTTATTTTAAAATCGTTCAACTATACAAAATATAAGACTAAAAATACATAAATAGACGTAAACAAAACATTCCTCAAAATATAACACATGGAAATAAAGATTGAAGAATGTAACTTGAATGCATGAAAATGCGAAAACGAAAGTAGGATATGAGGAACTGCACGCAAGCAAAGAGTTAAGAAAATGGTACGATTTTATTACTATTATTGTGCATTTGTATATTTTGTATCTTAAAATCTTTTATTATATAGGCATAGATTTTCATTTTTTTTGGGGTTGCACTACCGTATGTTTTATATTGTGTCAATTTCTGACTTCTTTGTTCAGCTATTTTGAGGTTAACAATGTAGTGATCATGGTGATGTACAATAGCCCTCCTGAAATCCATATTAGGATGACACTATAACATATTTCTGACAGTTATCACCCAAATCCAGCCATTACAAAATTTTGTATAGGAATAAAGCCAAAAAAAATTGCAAGAGGCTGAACGCGAACTGAAAATTAAATTTTGAATAGTTCCATATACCAACCAGCGCATTTTTAATGAGTGTATTAGACCATCTTGACTTGTAAAGTGTTCATTCTTGTCACAATTTAAGGTAGGATGCTTTTGTCATCAATTTTGGTACACAATTTCGACGATTCGAGCGGTTGTTTTGTGCACATTTGATTATGACGTCAGTTACGTCACAAGGGCAACGTTGCATTGTTTCCCGTTTTGAAATTCTCTGCAGATGACTTCAAGTCTGTGCGAATCAAGTAGATTAATCAATACAAAGTGCATGCTATTGTATGTAAACCTCGTACATGTTTTATAATTAAATTTCAGTTTGAATTCTGATGTGATTATATGTAATATTGTCTGAGGACAAATTAAATTCAGTACCAAATGAAAGGAATAATTGATATTGTACTAAGTGTTACTAAACTTCTTAAACTCAATAAGAATAACTCAGCGTAAAGTTATGGTATGCAAAAATATAGTTATCATATTAAATAAAATTGTTTAGCGGAAAACTTGAGGGGTTGTATATTGTGTGTACTTTATTTGCAACTCATAGGGAATATGCGTATTGCATCATGACTGCCAATCAAAGCTGGGGCGAAAATATGCATATAATTTTCAGGATGGAATCAATCCTCAACACTAAAAACGGGTAATTTCAATTACAAGCATTTTCCTGTTTTTATTTTATTTATTATCATCTTCATTATTATTATTATTTGGTTTTTGTGTATTTAAATCTCGTGTAGACGCCTTTTTTTTCTGGATAACAAATTTTGAAATGCATTTTTTAAAACCAAATTTATAGAAACACCTGGACTGTTAGACCTATATATACAACACTGTAAAATATTTACAAGTATCTTTTTTTTCCCTTATATTTGGAACAAAAGCTCTAAGCTAAATGCAAGTGTTTTACATTTTGCGTTTGGAAATTTGATTCTGTAATCAGAGAATTCGAAATTAAATATCTGAAAGGTAGGACCATGTACATGTACTAGCTTGCGACTAATATAGAAAGAACATTGCAGGTAACACCCCCCCCCATTTCCTCAGTATCGAGACGTTTTTTCTTTACCGTTTTCAAATAAAGTGATCAAATTTATGTGTTGATATGCATGAAATCCCATTGACCATGAATTTCCTAAAAAAAAAAACAAAACAGGAACTAATATTTTATCACTCGCGTTGAACATTGTCGCTGCATGTTAATTCTCATACACAGGAATCATGTGTATATACTATTCATTCTGACTATGTATTCAGAATATAAATTTCACAATAGTTTTACTAGTGAAAATAAGTTGCTGGTCATCCTAATATGTCACCGCAATAAGTTAAATGATGAATAAAATTAAATTTGGCATCTATGTCGCCTTTTAGATCTAGCATATTCCAAATGTCAAGATATTTATACTGGTACGTGACTACGTTCAGCGCATGACGTTGTAGGCATACACTGTAAATAATGCCATAATCGCAACATTTTAGCAACATTAAAGCAAACTTTGAAATTATTTAGCAAAAAATCTAGCGAGAAGACATTGATTTTTTTATATCAATAGTTTTGATTTTACCTCATCTTGGCATTTTGAAATTCCTTACCAGTTCGTCTACGTCTTTAAAAAGTTATTCAACCTTTTTTAAAGAAACTATTTTCCCAAAATTGGCTTAAAAACATCATTTTCCCATATATTTCAATAGAAAAGCGTGAAAAATATACTAAAAACTATACTGCATTTAAAGTAATATAGCATTAAAACTACATAGCCAAATTTAATAAAAATTGCAGATAATACGCTGTAAATTCTAAGGAACATTATATCAAATTTTGAGGATATGTTTTCTCGTAAGAATTTTTATGCAGTAAACCCGGGACCTACCTTAAGACATACACTGTACCAGAAAAAAAAGCACTTCATTGTAAATGGAGCTTCCGAGCTTGGACCTGTAGGGCCGGGATTATAGTTTACGCTTAAAGTTGTCTATTTATATGATTCTGTTCTGTTCAATTGTTAAGTTGCTTAGGAGGAGCAAGCATCTCCTGTCAACCAGAACCTATGTATTGATCAGGTATATAGACAGAATATACCACTGTGTAATTTTAGTATAAAAACAGACTAATATGAATGTGAAGATGTGCTCTATTGAATTCTTTGTAATTTTCAGTCTTTTGCTCGATCCCTTTCTACCAATTATGAAGGTGTTGGAAGAAGTAAAGCTAAATACAATGAAAGGCATTCCAGAGAAAAACTAGAAAATTTTCTCAAGGAATTAAAAATAAGTTGTCCTGATAATCTTCAGAAAGAGCTAGGGAAGGCATGGGAGGAATATACATCTTTACTGAGGAGTGAAAAAACCTTGGCATACAAATATCCACAACAGGTATGTGAAAAAATAAACAGGGTACATCAGTACATGTACTTTGATATAATGTTGTATATTAAAAATTTTATTTCATTTCAAAGAAACACTTTTAAATAGCACAAAATTCCTTCCAAATCATGAGATGTAAAAGATAACAAATAATGTTGACCAGGTTTCGTATTTAACATTTTTACAGTTTTTTGAAAGTTTAAAAAAAACAGATGATCGTAAAAAGTACAATTTCATGAGATTGGATCAGAGTCCCCTGTCTAAACTGATATCAAGCAACAGATCTTCCCAGTGGCGAGAAGGAGCACAAATACAGTTAGAGTCACTACAGGCCTCGGATCAGCTGCTGGCTACACTACGGAGCTCTTTGGATTTGGTATTTTTAATTTTGATATCTCAAGGTTGTTTTTAGGAAAAAATATTTACATTTCCAAATACTTTTCTTAAGAATCTCTGCAAATTAGTAAAAGTTCACATTCTCATAAACTACCATGGCATGAGTTATATAAGAATATTTCTATTGTGACTTAATTGAAGTGAAACAAAAAATTGTGCAAACCTATTTTTTTTTTTTTTCAAAAATGATCATTATATAACAAAAATATGTGGGAAGTCATCAGAAAAATAACATAAATATAATACATGTATATGAATTTATCTTTTGAGAATTGATGTGGTACATGAACTACACTTCATGCCTGCATATTTATCATAAAGCATTAACGCAAAATTAAGTGCTCGCATAAAAAATAGGAAGTCTACAGTAACCTGGTACTCATTTGGTAAAATAAGTGAGTACAATTTACCTGTTATTAAAAATGATTTGATTTGACATTTTTATGTAAATTAATTAATAATTTGACAGGAATCACCAGCAGATTCGGATATTAGTCTTTACCCAGAAGGATGTGATGATTTTGGAAAGACGTCAATTCTAAACCTTTTTGATATAACTCAGGGAGACCTCAAGGCCTGTCATAAAAGGGAATATGTAAAATTAGTGTGTAAAGAGGCAGCTCTAAAGAGGGAATTTCCAGAGACGGTAAATATTAAGTTCCCTTGTTGTTTCATTTTTACTGAGATATGTACATGTATTATTATGCCCTCCTTCGAAGAAGGGAGGGCATATTGCTTTGCTGCTGTCTGTCAGTCTGTCAGTCGGTCCACCAAGTTTCTGTTCATTGTCTTCACAGCCGTTGCATATACTGAAATGAAATGTTGTATACAGATTTATCATAAGAATATCTAGGTCAAGATCTGTTTAGGGTACATTTTAGCCATTTTTGACAGAGTTATGCCCCTTATACTTAGAAAAATTCCAATTATTTGCAGTTTCTGTTTATTTTTTTCTTTGCAGCAGTTGCAAATACTGAAAGGAAATTTTGTATACAGATTTATCATAAGAATAGTCAAGTTAACACTTGTTTTGGGGTACAGTTGAGTCATTTTTGACAGAGTTATGACCCTTGGACTTAGAAAAATTCCCATAATTTGGGGCATATGTGTTTTACAAACATCTCTAAGACTTGTTTAATTTGCATCTTTGTTCATCCTTACTTTCATTTCATTTGCTATACACATTGAAAATAAAATTACCATAATGCTGTAATTATGAACATTGAATTGACCTCACAAATAATGTTATGTATCTTAACTCTTACAGTATGAAAAATGGGTTCCAAAGCTTAGCCAAAATGCTGAAGACATAAAGGTTGAGGATTTGGATAAAGAAATAAAAAATAAAGGACCGTTGTATGAATTTATAAAATATTTTACAAAGGGAAACAGGGAGGTCATAGCTAAGTTAAGTTTACAGGAATATTACATTTTGAGTACTGCAGAAGAATTGTTATGTGAGAGTGACCCAAATTCTGAGTGGACATACAGATATCCAGAGGATATCAAAGACTCTGCGATAGATCAACCAGCAGTTACCTCAATTCCAGTACCACAAAATGTCACTAGTGATAATTTAGTGAAGACTTTTCATGGTAAACGTTTTAAACCAAGTATTCCGAATATTTTGAACAAAGCAGAAACTTTTCCAAAAGCGCAGAAAAATGATCAGGAAAACAAATCTCAAGAAGATATGGGGGTTATCCCAGACTCAGTCACTAGGAAAGTTAATCCAGACTCAGTCACTAGGCCTACAGGTAAACTATATCTGTTAAGAGAAAACCTTCAGTATAAACTGATAATTTACAGCAGTATAAATCATATTTGCTTAGGTACAAAAAAAAAACAGCAGTATAATTCATATTTGCTTAGTTACAGTTAAAAATAAAGAAATTTTACAAGTCAGAGCAGAAAAAGAAATCTTCAAAGGTAGAAATTATTTTTATTAGTTATATTTACAGATTTTAAACCAGTCGGTAAGGTCTTGTACAGACAGGAAAACATTCCAGAGAATGAGAAACAGAGACAAGTTCTGAGGGCAGAGAATCAGAAAACAAACACTAAACCTGCTGACAGAAGGCTAGAGAAACAACACAGTAACCCTCAAACTGATGCCTTTGGAGTGATTCCTGAGCCTGGGGACCGCAGGGTGACAGATTGGAGGACCCCCTACTCAGACTTATATAAAGCTTGGAGCTTCCAGGCCTCACAGATAGAGGAACTCACCAACAGGTAATGTGGAGTTACACTTCAAGAAGTGAACACAGGGTTATTATTTTACTTTACGTGAAGAGTGTCCACTGTTGATACACCATTTTATCATTAGTGCATGCCATTGCAGCAGTCTGTAGCAATGTTAAATTTAACCCTTTCCTACTTTAATGATCAGCTGTCTTGTGAGTAACAAAAGGAATCCATTCATTACAATTAGAAACAAAGAATTCCACAGTGAAACATGGAAATAAGCAAAGATGCTTATAATGAATTCATGCTTCAATTTCTGCAATTTTCAGTACCATGTAACTATTATTTTATCAGATATAATAAATAATGTTTATGAAGGATCAAAATTCATAAAAATAAACATCCCTGGCTTTTAGCAGTAAGTGTTTTGCTGTGTGTGATAACTCATTAATGATTCCCTTTGTTTCATCTGAGATCCATTTCAGTATTTGATATTTTCTTGTAGATTAAGCAGTTTTGCTAGTAAACAGCTGACAGAGGGAAATGCTGCATTTACAGACCTAAGTGACAAAAACAGACCCACAAAGATCGGGGAGAAATTTGGACTGATTTATGATGATGAATGGTCGGAGGTTTTTGATGAACTCAAGGATAGCGGATTGAATGATGAGGAAATTATCTCAAAACTACAAATAATGGTTGAAGTAGGTCAAAAAAAGTTATGAAGTTTTAAAACTTTTTATTTTAAATATGGTATTCTTAGGAAGGAAGTTGTACAAAGTTTTAACAACATACATATACTGTATTCTATTACAGTCAAACTTAGCTATCTAGCTTTATGGAACAAAGAAATAAGAGGTTCATAGGTCATAGCACTCACCTGAGTCAACTTGATTCTGTTATCTTCAGAAAGAGATAGGAAAAGATAGGAAGTATTTTCTCTCTTTATTCCAATGAGAATTCTGAGCTCATATCAGTGGCGGATCCAGAGGGGGGGGGGTAACATTTGGATTTGCAGAGAAATAAAAAAGTTCCAATTTTTTGTTGTGTTTTTACTATAGAAAATGTCAGGTGAAAGGCTAATGTTGTAATATATAAAGAAATTCGGTTGTAAAAACAAAATAAAACCCCATCGATCCCTTTACAAAATAGGATTTTCAGGTTCAGATTTATTTTCCTTTCTTTTTCAAAAACTTTCTGGTAATGTATACAAGTTTTTTCAGATTGATCATCATCCCACTTTTTTTAAAAACCATACTCCAACCTGTATCGATATTATATTGAGTTATTTAACTATATGTATGTGTACAGCGTACGTATTAACTGTTTTCGCCTAACCCCCCCCCCCCCCCCCCCCTTTTTGAAAAATACTAAAAATTTCTGTGCATATTTTGACATCACAGAAGCCATCACTAAACCAAACTTACAGGGAATTTACAGACAGACAGCTAGGCAGACAAACAGACAGACAGACAGACAGGTGACAGGTGATAAAAAAGCTCACTTGATTCATCAGTTCAGATGAGATACAAACTTTATCCAAGGATTTATTATATTGAGGTTAAAATGCCAGAAGAAAAGGTGTTTGAGACTTCCAACTTAGACATACATGTATTCATGGTATTTGAAAAAATAAAATTCAAGATATTTAAGTTCAGTGTTTATGCTTTTGTCAACACACTTTCCTGTTAAGTTAATGTGATGCAGTAAAAAGTTGACATTATAACAACTTGATTGTAATTTTCAGACCTCTGTAATATTTGCTCTTCATTTACTGTCTCTTATAATATTTCTTATTTTTGCAGTATGGCTATGATTTTTGCTTAAAGAAAGCCCTGGAACAATTGCAGGATCTTGAACAAGCCATGAAGATTCCAATTCTGCAGCCATTTCACACCAAACATACCCTACATGTAAGTACCATTTCACACCAAACATACCCTACATGTAAGTACCATTTCACACCAAACATACCCTACATGTAAGTACCATTTCACACCAAACATACCCTACATGTAAGTACCATTTCACACCAAACATACCCTACATGTATACCATTTCACACCAAACATACCCTACATGTATTTCACACCAAACATACCCTACATGTAGTACCATTTCACACCAAACATACCCTACATGTAAGTACCATTTCACACCAAACATACCCTACATGTAAGTACCATTTCACACCAAACATACCCTACATGTAAGTACCATTTCACACCAAACATACCCTACATGTAAGTACCATTTCACACCAAACATACCCTACATGTAAGTACCATTTCACACCAAACATACCCTACATTTGAGTACCATTTCACACAAAACACACCCTATATGTGAGTACCATTTCACATCAGACATACCTGATATGTGAGTACCATTTCACATCAAACATACCTTATATGTGAGTATCATTTCACATCAAACATACCTTATATGTGAGTACCATTTCACATCAAACATACCTTATATGTGAGTACCATTTCTCATCAGATGTACCCTATATGTGAGTATAAGTTCACATCAAACATAAATGTATCCTACATGTGAGTATCATTTCATATGAAACATTCCTTACATGCGAGTATCATTTCACAAATAGTGTTCCAGTTAGTACAGTTAAACATGTAAGTAGATCATGAATCATTCAATTTCTTTGTCCTTCTGTATTGTTTTACATATATACATGTACATGACTGTACATGTGTATATGTTATAGCATTTTTTCATCACTAAGAGCCATAAATTGTATATCAGCTCTATTTCAATTTTTTTCACTGTAATTGTTTTGAACTTGCCAATTATCATGGAACTTTTTAAAGAACTTTATTCAGTAATAACCAATATTTGCCCCCCAAATCAAACTTTGATGGAGATATATTTATTTATTTATTTATTTAATTTGACAAAAACCACATGTAGCCCAAGTCATACATACAGTAAACAAATATAAAATATGTAGTCACATAGATTTTCTTATATTACATGCATCACGTATGAAGTTACAAATATTTCTTGTAGAATTAACATCTGCTGGATTAAGAATTTCATAAGATATACATGTATTATTAAAAAGTGTACAAAATTCACTTCTTAGTTGTTTATAAAGAGGACATACAAATAAAAAATGATGTTCATCTTCAACAACATTTTGAAAATTAATACGAAATCTTTCATCTCTTGGTATAATCGGGTTACAATATCTGCCAACCTCTACCTGTAATTTGTGGGCACTTATTCTCAATCGAGTCAAAAAAGAACGAAGATTCTTGGAAATGGAAAAATTTAAGTATGGTTGAATTTCAAGTTTGTTTAGATTCTCTTGACTTATTAACTGGCTGTAGAATGATAATTTGCCATTACCTTTTTCTCTGATATTTATTATATCCTTAAAAACTATATTCTCAAAATATTTTTTCAAATTATTTTCAAAATCATTTATTGATAATGTATTAGCATTTGAACCAATAACTTCATCAAGTATAATTTGTATACAGTTTTGCCAACATGTTTTTCCACTTCCTGTAATTTAATTAAGTTCTTAAACAGGGGAGTATATGCTGACTTCAAAGCACTGAATATTTTCATAAGTAATGACGCCATATGTACATAATGACGTCACAAACATGACGTAAATTTCAGTTTTTTATGAATTTTACAGAAAAATGTACATATTTCGTCGATATTTTGAGTAAAAGTCACCGAGCGCATGTGTGTTCAGGATCAATATTTTGATATAATGTGTAGAATGATAATATCAATGAAATATGTCAATATTGTTCCTGAACAAACTTGCGCTCTATAAATTTTAAAGCTAAAATTGTTGAAATTTTGTCCATTTTGTCTTCTTTCTGAAAAAGGATATAAAATCGGACTAGTTTGTGACGTCATAAAAACAAAAATTGTGAATACACTGCTTTGACGCTAAAATATTTTCTGTTAATTTATATTTCTCTTACAATTTATTGAATTCAGCACATTTCAGGAAGTTTTCAAAATTTGACTTTTGTGGGGGCAAATACATGCAATATACCGCATATAGTTCTTTATTCATGACCAAGGTTCCAAAGGATATGGCCAAAATCCTGACAGCTGCCACAGTAAAACATGCAAAGGAGTACAGAAAGGTCACAGCCTCTATTTCATCTCCAGAAGTCTGCAAGGTTTGTGAATATTGACAAGATTTTAATTAAGTTAATAACTTCTGTTCTACATGTACTTCATAGTTTTATACCTTAGTCCAGTTAGTAGTCTCAAGAAACCATTCAAGATGACCTGTCTATTACTTTGATAATGATTTGAATTATAGGAATGTAGGGCAGGAAAATGATTTGAAAGTCGCCACAAGGAGTATGAGAAGGAAATTATTTGTCAATTGTTTTGAACATAATTTTACTAGAGTTCTAAATAGTTCATCCCTTGCAGATGCAAAATATACTGAAAAATGGAGATTTTATTTCTTATTATTAATTTTACAATCATAGATGCTTTGCAAAAATATACAACCTACCCTCATTTGAAATATTCTAATATCATTGTATTATTTGATAATTTGTATGATAAATCTATTTTTCCACATTAATCCCCAGGCAGAAAAATAGCAAAGCAGTGATAATAGTTATTTCATCTACCTCTCTTTACTTTCATTTTATGTAGGTTTTCTTCAGAGAAGAATCAGACTTCATAGAGAGAACATTCCAGGAGAGCTCCTCTGCTCCCAAACTGAAGGCTTATATAGAAGCCTGTATAGAACAGATGTGGCTGATGTGTGTGCAAGACCCACGCATGGTCATAGAATTCGCCGTTCCAGGAACTCCAATAAACAAGGAACTGTTCAAGTTCTATGACAAAAAAGGGAAACTTGTCCATTTAACTGTTTGGCCCGTCGTATACCTTCATAAAGAAGGACCCATTGTCAGCAAGGGATATGTTCTACCTAAATAGTAACAAAGTCTGTAGCAAAGGGTATTTCTGTGTAAACTCCCGGGCATTCTATGTTAGAAACATATTGTACATCATGTTGTTATAAACATTTTGTAAAATCTGAGGAATTATTGTATAGTCATCATGTAAAAGGCAGCATACAGCTGAACTTATAATAGAAATCTGCTCACAGCTAGCAAAGTAATATTCTTACATCAAGGCAAAATAAGGTGAAATTACACATATTATTTATGTACATAAAAGGAAAACTTTAAAAAAAAATTTTGTTTAGATGACATTTTTTGATAAAGAACAAGTAATAAGGGCTGTTTATAATGTCATTTTAATATAAATGTCCTTGTATATGTACTTGTATCGTTCATTGCAACTTTTTGAAGCAAATAAAGTCTGCTTAGAGATAAATGTATTTTACCATCTGACATAAAGATATTGGAAATTAAACAGGGGTTTGTTGAGAAATCTAGTCAAGAAAAGGAAGAGCAACGAAGACAGGCAGCTATAGATGTGCATTTTGTAGAGGATAAAAATATGGTTATTATCCTGTAATATTTTTGATAAACATTTCCATATCACAGGAAACAAATGTTTCCTGTGGATTTTATAATGTGGATTTTATGTTCTTTTCTTTTCCTTGAAATGCAGGAAGATATATATATATATATATATATATATATATATATATATATATATATATATATATATATATATATATATATATATGTACATGTGTTTTTTAAGCATTAAAAAAAAAATATTTTGGTTCTCTACTTCGTCTGTTTAGAAGTGCTTTTGAATATAAGTATCAGAAGGATTTTGTTCAAAAATTTAGATTTAGATGGAATCTGAGCACTATGTTTTACACTGAAAACTATGATGAAAGTCTTAAACTTTCACTCCATAATATGGAGTTCCAGTGCTTCTTTTTTCTACTTTTGTTTAAGTAAAAACCAGTGGAGCTACAGTCCCATTAGAGAATTCCTGTTTTAAGATGGAACCTGTATGGAAAATTACGGATCGGCTTGAATGATTCTTGTCCTGAAACAATCAAACAAAGTGCACTGTAAATAGATATACTGATAGTTCACAGTGATAGTAGTAGAGATGCAGAAAATTCTGAAATTGGTACAAATTGAGAAAGTGCATTTGAGATTAACTATTATTGAAAACAAAAATACACAAGTCCCCATAAAAACAAATCGGTGAAAACAGTAAAAATGGAGCGTTAGGTGAAATCCAACCATATAACTGAAAACAATCATTTGCAATTGCAAAACATAGATTATCTGATGAATACGGTTTTACGATTTGTAAAGTATGATATGCAACTCTTAACTATAGTTAACGATCTGATAAATATAGTTTAATGATTTGTGAAACTGATTAACAACTCTTAACGAAAGTTCACAAATGTAAATTACACAGTTTACAGACGTGAATCTATGTTTATCAACAAAATATATTGTTAACGTTTTATTACAGACAGATAAACTTTTAGCATTCGTAAACTATAGTTAATACCCGTTAAATTTAGTTTTACAGGTGAAAACTAAAGTTAACGAATTGTTAACTATAGTTAACGGTTTGTAAACTATAGTTTACAGTCGATAAACCTTATTAATCAACTGTGAAACTATGTTTAGCTCATTTTTGTGAATTTGGAGTGCCATATCCCAAGGCAGGAATGTCCCTTAACGAAAATAATTCTTTATTTCACAATCTGGAGAAATAGAACGTTTAAACGTATTCAATTTGTTATATCAAGTTTTAGAATTTGTTAAAACGAAATTTGTGTCTTAATTAAAATTTTTTAGAATTCCCTTCAATATTTTTATCCAGTTAAAGCATGAAACAAAATGAACTCTAAGTCTGTTTAAAAAAAGAACTTAAAAATTGTGACTAAAAAAGATTCAAATTGCTTAATAATTATTTGACCTTTCTGCACTAATAAAATTTATTTTTCCGGCATTGAAAATATAATAAGCAAAAAAATTGTTTTAAAGTCTTAAATTTTTCTGATTTTAAGCAGATAGGTCAAAGTTATTGAATATTTAGAAAAGAACATAAAAAGTGGGGGTATATCATGTACATTTTCAGATATTACTAAAAAAGTGTGAATTTTACAAAGTTGGCTCAATTTTTTCCCGCAAATATATTTACTATATTTGTCACACTTTGTTGATGGAATTCAAAGAAATAATTTGATAGATATTTCAGAACCAGCATAGCATATCTCACTGCAAAAAACAGCTTTGTGTGCAACTTCATGGAAAAATAGGCATCAAAATTAACAGTACTTTATAGTTATAACAGTTATATGGTTATAGTTCAAATGATTTTTTCGTCTAAAAAACCTTCCGCCACAAAATATAATTAATTCTAATAATGGAATTTAATCGCGGTTTTTTCATTGAATATAGTTTAATTTGCATTGTAGAATTCAGTTTTATTGTTAGAACCTAAAAATGATGCTTAATTTTATGAATAAAGGACCTGCGCGAAATACGATCAAAATATCAGGATAACGAAAATAATTCTTTATTTCACAATCTGAAAATTTATATTTTTAATATTTCTTTGCAGATAAGAATAATTTAATCAAAATAGTTGTTTTTATGTTGAGAAGGCCAGAAATGACGTTATTGTTCTGTTGATGTCTGTAGTCAATTTCTGCGATACTGTAATTTAGATACAGGATCGATCGACGTACGGCAGGTCAGCAAGCTTTAAGCTTTCATTCATGAAGTGCGTTTCGAAAGCCGTCCACCCGTTGCTCTCTGAAACGCAGTATCAAATAAATGATACCCCCCGCCTCCCATATGGTTATAACTGGTGAAAAAGTCCATGTTTTCTTGTGGCCGGGAAACCCAAAATATGTTCTTTTAAAATAGGAGGTCAAATCTATGTAATTTGTGAAAGTTGCATAAAATGTCAATCAGTTACTGAGAGGAGTTGCGGATAAGAGATTGTAACAGATCAAATTACTAAGACGGACGGAATTAACGATTACTATATACCCTCCCACTTTTCAAGCGGGGGGTATAAATATATAAACAGCACTTTGGAAGCGTTGTCTCTTGCAACATTAGGCAAATGAAGGTCCTCACAAACTGTCGTGCACCTTTGACGTCCTTCTGTGACAATTTCTTGCTTAATAATATTGTAAATCGGTTTCATAAACGGTTTTGGGAAACATGAAGTCTTTCTGCACGTGACACGTACAGCGTTTTGCCAACTTCCGGCATCCCTAATGCCCTGGAGCATATGTCTCCTCATAGCAACTTATCACCAGTTCTGGCCAAAAATACTTTCTATGTTCACTAATTTCATGTATGAAGGAAAACTCTCTTTGATACTTCAAGCTCCTATCGTTTCGCTTACATTTTTAACGTCATGTAATTATACCCCCCGCTTGAAAAGCGGGAGGGTATATAGTAATCGTTAATTCCGTCCGTTTGTTTAAAACTCCTCTCATACCACTGAATGAAATTTAATGAAACTTTCATAGAATCTTTATTACATAATTGTGCAAATTACTTTTTGATCCGACACATATTTTGGGTTTTCCGGCCACAGCAAACATAGACTTTGCCATTATAATTATATGGAGGCGGGGGGTATCATTTAGTGAGCTCATCGCTCACAGTACCTCTAGTTTCTTTAGCAATATGCCGTAAAAACTCATCAAACAGTCTTGTTAACACATGAATTCATGGATATGGAAAACACATGTACCCAGTATTTGTTTTGGGTTTAAAAATATCCTTAACAAATTTTGTCCAAAATATTTGCCATTTTGAATACTTAGTCAGGGGCGGATACAGGATTTGTGGTTAGGGGGGGCGTGGATAACTTTGTTGAGGCAAGGGGTCTGGGGGCCGCCTTTAGGCCCCCAGTGGGTCCAGGGCGAAGCCCTGGTAGGGGCCCGGGGGGGGGGCGAAGCACCTGAAAGCTCCTGAGTTTTCGTGTATTTTAGAGTAAATAAAACCAGGCACAATAATAGTGCATTGTGGCAACGCACTTTGAAAAAAATTACGCACTTTGAAAAAAATTTTCAAAGTGCGTTAAAATTGGGACAAAATCAACGCACTTTGAAAAACACTTTGAAAATTTTTTTCAAAGTGCGTAATTTTTCAAAGTGCGTTGTGGCAACGCACTTTGAAAAAATTACGCACTTTGAAACAAATTTTCAAAGTGCTTTAAAATTGGGACAAAATCAACGCACTTTGAAAAATGTTTTCAAAGTGCGTTAAATTTGGGACCAACTCAACGCACTTTGAAAATTTTTTTCAAAGTGCGTTAAGAGTCTACATCAATATATTTTACCATGGAGACACTTAACGCACTTTGAAAAAATAATCATATTTTAGTCATGGAAAGATTTTATTTGCTAATTATCTTTCAAAAAAACTAAACCTAACCCTAACCTCAAAAATGAATTGATTTACTCCCGCGAGGAGAAGACGGGTATGTTTTTCATCTTTTCAATACATAGGTGTCGATAACAAACCGGGGAGGGGAGCAATAAACACAAAAAAGGGTAAGCTGCATTTTCAATGCTTATACATGTACGATATATATATATCTTTCCAAAATAAGTGGGGGGGGGGGGGCTTAGCCCCCCATCTCCTCCCCTGGCCCTTCGCCCAGTCTCGGTGTCTATGCTTTACTCAAAGCATTCATATAATCATGTATTTACCTAACTGGTATGACGTTGAAAACTTTCTATAATAATTGAGTTAATTTAAATAGACGAAAACTAGAAATTTTTAAGTACAGTAAAACTTATGAGAGAGAAAGTATTTTCATAGTTTTGAACAATCAAATTGGCCCCTTTTTGTTATGATAAATGCTATGTTGCTTGAAGCTGTCCTCTGTTAGTGCCCCCTATACACCTTTACATCTACTTATCAAAGACTAGAATTAAAAAAAGAAGAAACGAATTAATGAACTTAAACAATCGTCACTCTTTTTTTCAAGACCCTTTAATTTTCCCTTTTATTTTATCAAAACCTTAAATATTTAAAACGTCAATGTTTCAGGTCCTATACAGTGACTTTATCATATAAAAAAGTTATCAAACCAGGATCTGTTATTTCTCATACCGATTATTTGAAAGAATATTGATCAATCTTTAGATTTTTTTCAAAGTGCGTTAATATGGTCGATATTAACGCACTTTGAAAAAAAATTATTTTTTTCAAAGTGCGTTAGCTTGGACCCAAATTTTAACGCACTTTGAAAATTTTTTTCAAAGTGCGTAATTTTTCAAAGTGCGTTGTAACAGTGCATATTTTTCAATTATTTTTGTTAAAATTGGCATATAGGTCCAGATGTTTGAATAATAATTGTATTGAATGTTTTTCAATTCTCATTGTAGTGTAACACAAACCACTATAAAAAACGATTTACTTACTTATTACTTACTAATAGTGGTATTGGTTAGTGATGTACGACGTGTTTAATACTAGTCATATCATACTTTGAATGGTGGGGGCCCAGGGGGCGCAGCCCCCGGAAGCTCCTGGATTTTTGTGTATTTTAAGAGTAAAACCAGGCAGAATAACAGTGGTTTGGTTAGTTTTGTACCAAAATATGACGTACTAAATATTAGTCACATCATACTTTGAAAATTTTAGGGGGGCGTGCGCCCCCCACGCCCCCCCCCCTTAAATCCGCCAGTGTTAGTAACTTTTTTAACAGGAAATTGGTCATTTCATCTGGAGGATAAAAATCTATCGGCTTGTGCTATCTATTCTATTCTCTGCTACATGTCAAACTATATTTGCGTCTATCATTAAAGTGCTTAGAGGTGACTATTGTTGACAATTTTATTCGGGAAAAAGAAACAGGCCTAAATGAGAAAGACGAAATCGTCAAATTCTTTTCTGAAAGGAAAATATGTTCTCATATTCACCATTGATTCCATACAGTACTTAAACCCCTGTCACACCAGGGCTGCGTCCTCACGGCGACTGCACGGCGTCTTCAAAAAATGCAAAACGCCGAGGTAATCGTAGTAGAGTCTCCTACAGCGCCGTGACAACGCGGCGAGATCTCCACTGAACGCCGTAGGGTCGCGTAGTGTCTCCTAGAACGCCAGGGGACGGCGATCACTTTGGGCATGCACAAAGTACGCGCCGTGTGATCGCGGTCTGATAAGAACGCAGTAGAAACGTAGTACGATCGCCGTAGCAGCGCGGTGAGATCTCCAACAACGTAGTGGGAGCTCCGTACGAACACCGTGAAGACGCACATGATCGCGGCACGAACGCAGTGATAGTAGACTGCGCTTCCACGGAGACCTCACGGAGATGTCGCGGAGTCCTTGGAGATGTCACTGCGTTTCTATTGCGTTTTTACGGCGCTTCTAATGAGATTTATCGTCTTGTGATTTTTTCGACTGCGATTACACGGCGACAGCACGGAGTTGTCACTGCGATCATTGCGCTCCCATGGCGTTTCTACAGCGTCCGTTGGCGATCACAATGCGCTTTCACGGCGTTGTTAGAGCGTTGTCAGCCAGCTCACAAAACAAGAGCAATGGGGTCATATTTGATCAGCAATAATTCCAACGTATTTGTTGCACCACGAGCACTTAAGTGAAAAAAAAAATGGAAGAGAAAATTACACCAGCACTTGTTCTGTTGTTTCACTTAAATTTTGTAGAAAACTTTTCAGTATGTTTATTTTTTTTACATTCATAATAAAATCAAAGAAAATCTAACAACACATCTGAACCAATAAAATTGAAAACAAGGAGTTTGATCATAAAACTATTAATAATTTAGTACAAAATTATTTAAATAAAACATTTTTAAACATTAAGAATATTTCTTGGCATGATTAGAAGTCTTTTCATCGTGTAACTTGAATCTTTAAACAAAAATGTTTTACATTCCTTCTGAATATATATCAATGAGTATAGAACGTATTGTGAACGCAGCCAGCGCCGTGAGAACGCCGTGAACACGAGGTGAAAACTCCTTACGCGCCGTGAAAACTCCGCGGAAGCGCAGTCAATCGCCGAGAGATCTCCGGCCGTGGGAACGCAGAAGAACGCCGTGAGATCGCCGTAGAATCGCGTCCGTCGCCGTAGGGACGCCGTGACATATTTATATTGTGATAATTTTACAGAAATTTGTGCAATTTTCCTGCGATTCCACGGCGATTTTAAAAATTTAACAACGCCGTAATGACTCCGTGTGAACGCAGCTTGGTGTGACAGGGCCTTTACGTGTCAAGCTTGTTTGTTTGACTACCAGGTGCTGATAGGTCAAAGATTATTTTTCGTCTTCATTTTCAACTAAAGGGATAGGTATTAGAAGGAAACCGTATTATATCAAAGTAACGTTAACAATCTATTGTCTCCTTAGGGATTTCTCAACTAAATAGCCACAGAATACGTAATACTAGTAGTCGAGAGCGTATTGTGTAAATAGTCCTTGGCAAAGTCATCATCTGTTTAAAAGTCAGGTGCTGTTTGGGATTAATTAAATCCGTACTCCTCAAAGGTAAAATAAATACCCTCCTCAAAACGTTAAATGAATTCCAGTAAACCGTACTGGTCAATAGACAACATCTATTGTGTTCAAGATAACAAAATATTTTGTCTGGTGGACATAAACACCCGACTCTGACATTTAAAAAATACAAAACAGATCCATACTAGTCATTTGAATCAGACAGTCCAAAGAGATGGCAACTACAAAATTAACGATAATTTTGGTGACAAGTTCATTTCTTAATTTTACAGTCGCCAATAGAACAGCAACGGAGCAGCTATATACCCATTTATTGCAGAATTACAACCCGTATATCCGACCAAACTCAAATCAGTACCAGCAGACGGTTGTGGAGACGACCTTACATCTGCTGTCTGTCAATGGCCTGGACGAACTCTCTGGAACCTTATCGACTGTGGTCTATATAGACATGTCATGGACAGACGATCGAATGGTGTGGAACAAAACAGACTATAGTAATACCTGGCAGATTCTATTTCCACAAGACTTAGTGTGGAAGCCGGACTTGGTCGTCACTAATCCGGTCAGAAAAGTCAGGAAGATTGGATTTGAGGACATTATGATACGCTATAAAGATGACGGCGCTGCCGAGTGGTATACTGGTGATTACTTAGAAACGTCATGTGACATTGACGTCACTCACTTCCCGTTCGATCGGCAGGTTTGTACAATTGAGATGATTCCTTGGAACTACAGACAGCGGGAGCTGCAAGTGATCATTTCGAAGAACGAAGTGAATCTGGACAATTATACAGAGAACGGGGAATGGATTCTCTACAATACGGCCGCTGAGAGATATGGAGACGGTCCATTCGAATACATGTACTTCAAGTTATACATGGAGCGTCGGTCGTCCTTCTTCATCATTAATCTCTTCATACCTGTTGTGATGCTGGTTTTTCTTAACTGCATGGTGTTCCTGCTTTCGGCAGATTCCGGCGAGAGAATTGGTTATGCCATCACTTGTCTTTTGTCGATTACCGTATATCTTACCTTAGTTTCCGACACCATTCCGAAAACATCGAAACCTCTGTCAGTTTTGTCGTTTATTCTGATGCTTTTACTTATTCTGTCAACAATAATTTGTTTTTTGACCATCATCGGTCTAAGATTTCATTTTCGAAAAGCAGAAAAACCCTTGCCAGGGTGGCTAAGCAAAGTGACGAAAGCTTTACGATGTAGAAGATGTAGAAAAGGGTGTCGGACTTTGTTGAAGAAGTCGGACTGCCGAGGACGTAGAATTGGATCGGCAGAAAATCGACAAGTCGATCTAAATTTAGAATCTAAGACGAGACGGATGTCGCAGCAGGTGGACTACAAGAAACCTATGGTATCATTAGTTGGGGATTCCGTGAAGGGAGGCCCGGAGGTCTATAGACAGTCTTTTCGGGCGGATAATGAGTCCGGGGTTATTTATGAGGATTACGAGGACGGGGGCCTCCCGGAGTATGAACTAGAATCGTGGAAAACCTTCGCCAAATTATTTGACAAAATTTGTTTCATTGCGTGTCTCGGTACAATTCTTGTGTTAGGAGCCATTTACTTCATGATTTCTAGCGGAAGGCTTGCAGTGTAAAAAAAAGATTAAAATATACGTCGTTTGAAAACTGCTAAGGGATGAAGCAACTTTCTTTTCATTGATTTATACTTTGTTAATTGTAAGTCTAGTCACAGAAATCTATATCTTTGTCTTCCTAGTTATGTTTCTAAATAAGAATAAAATGGTATGATTCTTACTGGTGGATTTTATTTACAACATGTATATCACAGCAAATACAGAAGTGAAAAACAAGAATTAACAGAAATTGCACAATGAATATTGCATGATGTATCTAAATTAAATCCAATTTTAATCCGTTCAAAACGTTTTTTACCATTGTATTCATTTATTGGTGTATCAAAAATAAAATAATTGAAAATTAAAATGATTTTTTAAAATAATTCCTTGAAAAATGAATTTTATTTGTATTCTGTTAAATGTATCACCACGAGGGAAGTGCAGCCAAACCACCAATAACTCTTGATGAATGTTTACTGGAATCACGCGTGAATATCTGAAAGATTTTATGGGAAAATTCGTATGGATATAAATGCTCGACGTGCCGTTAACCTGAGAGAAATTTTCAAAAATGCTTTCTCATATTTCAATAAAAATACATAATGGATATACATGTATCACAGATACAAATAAAAAGTTTCAATCACAGCTCCTGACAGAAAGGCTACAGCATTGAGCGTTATATTATGTATGAAAATCTCGGATGCACTTCATTTATTTGAATATTTTATCAAGGAAATTGGCTCTCTTCTAGATGTACATGTAAAATTATCACAATTATGCTATCAGTGATATCACAGGCCTATCTATGATGTCAGGATATATCACAGAATTATAATCACATATATATAGCCACCCTCTGTCTTAATCCTGTTGGTTTATACGCGCTAGCTCCTCTGCCAGCAGGGATTTAAAGGCGTCATTATCGCCCCCGTTTTCCGTCACCTCCTGCTCAGTCCTCTGGGTAAGATTCCCCTCCGTGTCACCCTCCTCTGTTTGTTCCTCTCCCGTCTGATTCTCTTGTTTGACGTCATCTCTCTCGATCGTCTGCTCCGGTTTCTGCTCCTCGCCTTCCGGTAAATAAGAGTCCCGCGATTCCATCATTTCGGAAGAATCCTTCCTGCGTTCACTAGATTTTGGTTCATTATCCTCCTCAATTTTCGAAGTATCTCCACCTTGTTGCTCAATAAAGTTTTTCAGGTCCGTGTTGACGATCTTGTCATTTCCTGCGATTGTTGAAGAGGGAGATACGTTACCACCAATAGAGGGATCAACGCCAGCGGATCCAAATTCTGTATCGGTGTCCCCATCAGCTGTAATTCTGCCGGTCACGGAGCTTTGTACAGACAAATTCTGTTCTCGTGTGTTGATAGTACCTGAAACGTAGAGAAAGAATAAGTCAGAAATATAGACAATAATAAATCTAGTTAAAACACGACTACCGGTAATTTTGAAATCCTAACCCTCATTAATTTTAATATTCCGTTTATTAGGGCTTCATTTCAACTTTACAACCGATAACCTGCTATAATCCATTTTTGTAACCAAGATACAAAAATCTTTTTCGTATTTATATTCTTCCCCATTGTGGCCCAAACCTAGTTCATGAGGCTATACTTTGAACTAACTTATCTACCTTTGTGAGCTTTAATTTGTTAATCCTACAAATCGCGGTCTTGCTATACAAGTCAGAATGTTACTGTAGTAGCCCTACCTCCTCCATCTGGGGTGGATTCTTCCTCCTTTTCCTCTAAGGGTGGCTCCAGCCGTCTCCCTCCTTTACTAATCAGTTGTCTCTTTCCACTACCGTTCGGAACTTCATCATCTACCACGGGCTGTGCAGGAATATCTATACTAACAAACGTGTCCGTAGTTCGTGCTTTACCCTTCGGCTTCTCCTTTGTCTCCTTCTGTCCTAATGGTGGAACTTCAATAACCAGAGTCCTGATGTGAACATCGGGCGATGCCGTATCTTCATCATTCTCTTCCATAAGTGGTGTCATGGTGGTAGATTCGCGGGATTTCGTTTCTCTTCTTCGCGCCGACCTTTGCTCGTCGTTTTTAGCCTCTGGGGACGGGGGAGGAGGCCCTGGCGATTCCTCTTTGTGGGTCATGTAACTTCTCGTGGAGTCTCTGCTGGTTATATCTGCACGAATCGTACTTCCGGTACCAGCAGACCTGTCCGAGTACGGATCCATTTGTGCCATCCGCGAATCATTCACTTTTGGTTCGCTATCGTGGAGAGTCATTTTCGTGTGAGCAGGTGTAACATCGTAATCTGCTTCGTTAACTTGAGGCCATGGTTCTGGTGTAGATATGATAGAATCTCGTTTCTTTGCCGACTTGATCAGGATTTCATCTTGTGACAATTCTTTTTCCATCGTATTAAATGTGGGTTGGTTGGTGAAGCCCGTTTGTCTTGAGACAGGAACACTCGGTTCCTGAGTCTGTGGTGTCACATCTTGCGCTGGCTCTTGGTCATCTTCCGGAAGTTGAGGTGAAGATGGCGGCGGAGGAACTTCCGGAACTTCTTCAGCGAAGCGCACACTTCGTCCACCACGTGATACTGGATGCGGTCCCTCACCCTCTTCAAGGCCCGTTTCCTGAATTGTTCCAAGACCTGTAAAACAAAAGTAACTTCTATTGTTTTTCCCCAAGTACTTGTATTTCGTTACTTTATAAAGTGCTTTTAGCTTAGCTTTTCGGAAACGTGATTTGGTAAAATGAGATACGGAAAAGAGCTGAGCTGTTGTTTTGTCTATTTTTGGGGGGGGGGGGCATATTTCGATTGCATTAAATCCGTTAAAATTTGCAACCCCCCCCCTAAAAAAAAGGATCGCGTATTTACTATAATCAGTGTTTACAATGTATAGGTTTTGTTGACCTGTCGACTTACATGCATTATGCAACTATTAAAATGTTTTCTCATACAGATTAATGAAATGTACATTAACATTTTTTTTATATTTAGTAATTTCAGTTAAGTGTGAAGTTTTGCTTTACGTCACGATCTTTTTCGACAAATGCATCCAGCGTAAACAATTCACGCCCCCCGCTGTGTGATTGGTCAATTTAAATTGTCAACATTGACATGGAAATAGTCTAATGCATTATTCCAGCAAAACTTGCGGTTAAAGTGTTTTCTTGAGCGCAGCTGTCATCATAGGTTGTGAATGAAATGCACATTTAACTGAAATTAACATTTTTTTTATTTTTCTATATGTCGACATGCAATTTCATGTTAAGTGTGAATAAATATGTTGCAAGAAAATTGCAATCAGATAAAAATTATAAAAAATCTTCATAAATCTCAAATATTGCCCACATGTGACATTCAACATGCTAAATGGTACTTATTTGTGTTAACATGCAAGATAAATTTGTTGACATGCAACTTAGATATGTTAACATGCAAATTAGTTATGTTAACATGCAACTTTAAATTGTCAATGCAACTTATTGACATGCAAGATAAATATGTTGACATGCAACTTATAAGTTGCATGGCGACATAAATATGTCAACATATTCATCTTGCCTGTCAACATAACTAAGTTGCATGTCAACATAACTAAGTTGCATGTCAACATAACTAAGTTGCATGTCAACTTAACTAAGTTGCATGTCAACTTAACTAAGTTGCATGTCAACTTAACTTAGTTTCATGTCAACATAAATAAATTGCATGTTAACATAAATAAGTTGCATGTCGACATCACATCGACATTGCATGTCAACATAAATAAGTTGCATGTAAACATATCACGATTACATAAATAAGTAGCATCTAGCATGTTGGATGTCACATTTGGGCGATATTTGAGATTTTTGAAGATTTTTTAATAATATTTATTTGATTGCAATTTTCTTGCATGTCACATTTAACTGAAATTTGACACATAATATTTGATAATATTCATTGTGTTCTCTCCAATACCCATAATTACAGATCACGTCTATTGACAGGGTATTAGGGTTTTAACCTGTCCACTTGTACACAACGAAGAACTTGGAGTTGGTTCATCAAACAAATGAGCAAAATGAATCAATTACTCAATTACTGATCAACTTCAACATGCTCTTATTCATACATTGAAATTTTTTAAAACATATTTAATGAGGTCTCAACATTTTTACGTAGGGAAAAAAAGGGGGGTACATTGAAATGAAAGGAGATACCGCAGTAATTGACCAATCAATCAAATAACAATTAAAATTAAAGAAACGACCATCCTCTTCTTCACCCTAGAGAATCAAAATCAAGCATGTACAAAGCATCTTCTTTTTTAAAAAAGAAATTCTGAAATAAAGGGGGAGGTAATCATTTACAAGCCAAAGAAAAAAAGTCCCTGAAAAAGGGGATAATGAATATTTAACCCCTGAAAAAAAAAACCAAAGAACACAAAATCTCACCAAACTCTCCTGACCCTTTTTTGGCTTGTTTGTTTAATTGTTTGTTTTTTTTTGGAGGGGGTCTTAATTTTTTAATTTGGTCAAAAAATATTTTTGGATATGCTAATGTCAGTAATGTGGGAGGTTTTACCACACTGCATAAAATATTGGTGATGGTGAATAAGGGTGGGGAGTTGGATAAATTCACAGCAAGTCTTTCTTGAAACAAAAAAGCCCATAGGTCCCATTGCTCACCTGAGTACTTTGGATACAGAAAAGCAGAAATCAGTTCATTTAACTAGAACTGTCCAAACGGGACAAAATACCCCCCGCTGGGTTTTTCAGAAGTAAGTTTTCCCTTAATAAAGATATGTATCAAACACGAATTATGAAATTTTTCTTCCAGTGACCTTGAACTTCCCCAAATGACCTTGGGTCAAGGTCATGACACACCCTTGGGTCATGGGCAATCTTTGTGTGAAATGAAAACCTACCAAGTTTATCCATAAGAAAGATATGGACCGGACACGAATTATGTAATTTTTCTTCCAGTGACCTTGATGTTCCCCAAATGACCTTGGGTCAAGGTCATGACACACCCTTAGGTCATGGGCAATCTTTGTGTGGAGTAGTAGATTCTAATGTCCTTCTGTAAGAAAGATATGGACCGGACACGATTGCACAGACAGACGGACAGACAGACAGATGGACGGACGGACAGACGGACAAGGTAATTCCTATATACCCCCCCCCAAACTTCTTTTGCGGGGAGAGAGAGAGAGAGAGAGAGAGAGAGAGAGAGAGAGAGAGAGAGAGAGAGAGAATATAATAAAAGTTTAATAATTTATATAACTAGTCCAAATTTCAACTACTGTAAATCACTTTTTATTCGCGAGAACTTTATTTTCGCGTAATTACACGAGACAGTGTGCTCGCGAAAATTTAATTCTCACGTATAATAGTATTCCTTAAGATTATATAGAGCAATAAACACAATTCGCGAAAATTTTGTCTCGCTGATCAAGAGTCAATGACTATCTCGCGGAAATAAGGTGTCACTAAAATTTAGTGATCTACAGTATGGATAATTTTTATTTCCTGTTGCAGAACAAGCCTGTTAGACAGACTATAGACAAAACATGATCAGAAAAGCTCACTTGAGCTTTCAGTGCATTTTCAAATCAAAATTTGGCCTTAAAATGATTTTCATAAGTTTATATAACTAAAGAGTCCATTTTCGCAATATCCCAAATGACTAAAACTAAAACAGTAAATTTAAACCTGCAACCAAGAGAGAGAGAGAGAGAGAATGCCTAGCTCTCTACTAAACATATCACACTTACCAGGCAGTTTCCTGTATTTCCCTATGAAGTTAATAATTGTTAGATCATGCTACTAACATTAGTAGAAATAAAAAAGGAATGAAAAACTAAAAATGCCTGTAAATAAACATGCATTCTAAACAGCTGTGTACCAAACTATATTAGTATTTATAACTTCTTTATGCTTTCATTTCTCTGATGCCTTTTACAATACAGGCCAATTCATGGAATATGTTTCCCATTGAAGGTAAAAAGATAGGCAAGGAACACCTGGGAAAATGCAAAGGAAAGGAAAAGAATTGTTGGTTTTGGCCTTTCATCTTTCGCCCTTGAATTTCTACCCTTGACCTTTAATCTTTTGACAAATCAAAAATCTCTAAGTCATGTTGACTAAAGATATAAAAAGCCAGAAAATTCATCTTTCAAAATGATAGAATTTCTGACCTTTGCCTTTGATCTTGAAACATTTAGAGGTCATCTTGAAGTCAAAAGAGTTATGGTATAAACCTTTCTTACAAAGGTGGAAAGACAAATTTAAGCTATCATCTAAAAAATATTTTTTACAAGTATGAATTTCTAACCTTGACCTTTTGACCTAAAAACACTGATGGGGTTATATTTGGGTCACTTGGATCTGTGATATAAATTTCACTAGAAAAACTCAACCAAAATTAAGTTAACATCTGGAAATATGATATTGATTGTGATCTTTGACCTTTTGACTTCAAAATCAATAGGAGTCTTTTTTCAGTCAGAGGGAGTTAGAATATATCACAATTTCAGTGCAAATGCGCAAAATCTTTTTTATTTAAGATTTTTTTTTTAAATCCAATAAGTTAATTGTACTGTTCCAAAATCACAAGGATTGAACATCTTCCACTGTAAGCTGAATTCATTACAAGCATATTTACTGTAACAGTGTTTTACTGTAATTTGGCCAGAAAAATTGGGACAAATAAAACAATAAACACAAAGTATGGGGATCTCTCATTGAATAAGTGAGAAAACAAGAGTTTTTTAATAAAAAAGATTGCTTCAAACAATTATCAACACTGAATACTTGATACTGAAGCCTTTTAAAAACACAAGAATAAGACTGAACAGTGAGGAAAGATGAAATCTACTTCAGGACAGTAGTATGTTGTTAAATACTTCATGCTATAGATATCAAATGAATCTGACTCAGCTGATTGTTAATTCAGAGTTAAATATAGGCCATATCACTACATACCTGTCTGCTCAGGTGTGAGGGCCCTGGGGGAGTTTGTGGGGGCCCGGATCTCAGCAGTGGGGGACTGGGCATTTTCTCGCGATATATTCTGGTTTGAGGGAGCTGATTTTGGTTTCCTGTTGGAGGCAGTGGACAGTCCTGACTGATCCCGGTAAAGCTTCATGGGGGACATCTGACCATGGGTGGCAGGGGTGGTGGCTGGGGCCTGGGGCACCCTTGTTGACTGGGCGGGGCTGACAGCATGGAGAGGGGTACGGGAAGCTGATCTCTCAGATTTGGAAGACTGAAAATACAAAATATTGATTTCTTTTTAAATGCAAAGTGTTTTATTAAGGAAGACAATAAAATTACAGTCAACAAACTATTACATGTCACTTAACAATGACAAATTGATAATTTTATTTTTTAAATGAATTAATATAAATATTTAAAAAACAGATGAACATTGCAGTAGACTATTAATGAGCCCTTCCATATCATTTTAAAGTTGACCTGTGTGAGAAAAAAATCCAGTTGAACACAAATCTAAATCTTCCTTCCCCCAAAAAAATTTATCTTAATTTTTGCAATGGAATGACTCGTAATTTTATTTTTCTTAGTATTGATGTTAGTTGATGGAAATGCATGCATGTTAGGTTTCATGATGAACATGCACCCAAATTTGATTTTCTCCGGGCAGCTAAAAGAAAAACTGTACATACTATATTAGATGTAATCATGCACTGAACTATGTCAGCATGGGAATTATCCAACAGATGACATGCTCCTAGCTAATACATGTACCTCAATATATAACCCCAACTTTCTCCCAATCACCACGGTAACTGTTAACATCTACATAGTAAAAACCTGACAGGTGTTGTCTGTAAAAGTAATAAATTTGCTCTTTTTAAACTACACCCCCCCCCCAAAAAAACCATATATGAAACATAAAGATAAAATTTACATGGCATGTTGTTGAGGGTAATAGGGAAAATTTTCACCCTTACAAAAACATATATCCAGTCTCTTTAATTTTAGGCAATCTTCAACTAAAAAAGATCTACACATATAAATGCTTTTTCCCCCCTATTTTTGCAGACCAACGTGTCAGGTTTTTATAGGTGTTTTATTATATAATTGGTACCCTTTTCCTGTGTATGTTGGAGATTTAATACTTTACCTCAAAATCAGTGTACAGGCCATAATACTAAAAATAAAACAACACTACATACTGTATTCACTGAATCATCTATATATGGTCTTACCATCACCATTTACTGGTACATAAATATTGCAAACAGAATAGCTCCCTATAGCCCTAGAACACAACACCAAGGACAAACAAACATAAATATGTACACATGAAAATAGTATGGATATTCTTCTAAAGAAATTACTGTAAAATCACATATTTTCGAGGGGTCGAATTTTCATGGTTTGAGGAATATTTATTGGTTCATGGGGATTTGATTTCGTGGATGAAGAATTGATCAGTAGTAATATATGTGAGAAATTGCATTTCGTGGTGGAAATAAATTCGTGGGTCTCTTCATACCTTGAAAACTGCGAATATTACACCCCAAGGAAAATTAGTGATTTCACAGTACTAAGAACATAAGATTTCTAATTTTCATTTCATTTTAGGGACAGGAAACAAGAAATGAATCTAAACAACCCAAACTTCTAAAATAATTTGGGGGGGGGGGGGGGGGGAGCGGGGGTTTATGATTTGCAAATAACTTCTTGTTCCAGATGTATTTCAAAAAAATATGAATTAACATTCAGATCATTCTACCTAAATCATGGATGATTTGTGACAATTTAATGTTTCACCTTGATCAAGTATCTATGGGGATATGTAAATTGGTAATAGAACAGGAAAGTGAATGAAGTACAAACACCAAGAAATAAATGGAATCTAGCCAAATGTAAATCTATTTCAAATTCTCTAAGGACAAAATATCCCAACAGCAAACATTTTCCAGCACTATATGATAATGTGCAGACACCTGCAGGTTCTACAGTGTGTGTGTACTGTCACCAGGGCTCTACTGGGTACCACCCCCGTAAAAACTTACTGCACTGTGAAAACTCATCCACAGTCTATAGCGCAGCCTTTTGCTGACCTGAAACTGTTGTGAACCAAAAATAAAATATGTATATTCTGTTGCTTATTAATGATATTGTTCATTATATAAAATCTGATTGTTTCAATTCAAATGAAGACATTATATAACTTTTTTTTCATTATATGCAAATGATTTTGAAAATTATTATAGTTTATGATAAGCATTTTTGAACAGTTTAATAGAGAGACATCATTATACATGTGTATGAACATGATGAAGGTAAATAAATAAGAAATGATATAAAAACTTGATGTTAAAATGGTAGCTGACAAAAGTGAATCTGTACACAAAATAATTATATCCTGTCCACACCATTACACAAGGCATAACAAGCAGTTATCTGTCTTAGACTCACACAATGCATTCCTCCCCTATAACCATGCCCCCAAACTCATATACCAGGTATTTATTTGTCCAGTTTGTAATTTAAAAATATTATATTTAATGTCTGTTTCACTTTTACAAATTATTTTTTACATATCTTTAACATTTATTTTTTAAATCTTTTACTTCACATCAAAGCTATATTTATTTTTTTTCTAAATATATTCTACATAAAAGTATCTCTTTATAACTTAAATGCATTTACTGAATTTATTTTTTAAAAAGTGCAGAAATTTTTTGCTGCAGTGTCAATATACTACAGACTGGACTTCAGACCAATGAATACTTACAGCTAAAGCATCAATAAGATCTCGAGAGTCAGTCGTTTGTCTTGATAGGGGCTAGTGAAGTGCATTCAAAATACATTATCATTCCTTACGTTCTTTCTCAAATAACAGAAAAGTCAGAAAAACCATACAAATGTTTAAAAGATATGAGAAAATGACATGAAAGAACAATGATGAACATCACATTTAATTTTGAAAAAAGAAATGAAGGCAAAGCAATATTGTAATTATGAAGGGAGTGGATGTGGTGCTACTTACTGCCATTTCAGCCCTCTGAGCGGCAGACTGGGGTGGTACCCCCTCCCTGACAGAGTCAGCAGAGGGAATGTTAACATGGACGGTGGTGCCGTGATCTGAAGCAGTGGTGTCATCAGTCCTGGTGCTGGTGGGCGGAGTTGGAACAGGAGCTAAAAATAGTACAAGCAATCAGAATCAATGTTAGGGTTTGTTAATCATTTAACAGACTAATTACAAATTAAGATAACAATTATTTTACTAAATAAACTTAACTTTTAATTATATCTTAAATTATTATCAACTACTCTGTAAGATTATAGAAAATATGTATTGTTTCAATGATTAAAAAAATCTTTTATCTTGATCTGAATCCTTGTGTTAATCCTCCCTATCAGTTACCTATGGTAAGGTCAATATTTCTGTAATTTTTCCTGGAGTAGTTAAAAGTCCTGGTGTGTTTTACTCCAGTAGGAAGCTCTGGCAGGCCAAGTGATATTGAGGGAATTTTTATCTTTTCATCTACAATACAATGAAATATATTCAGCAGGTAACACCAAAAAGATCATCTAACAAAACAAAAAAATCAAGACAGGTTGTAATAATTCCATTAATAATTATTTCATTTGTTATAATTAACATTCAGTTGATATAATACAATTAAATACTCACCCACAGTTCCACCAATAGGTGGCAGTGGTTTCTTCAGTTTGGGGAACTCTCGGGTTCCACTCATGTACAGATCTCGATATGACCCATAATCACTATCATTTAATCTTTGACCTCGTGACAGCCTGGGTTCGGGGAAGACTTCCTGTTCCACTCCGTCCTCGTCGAGGTAGTAAACAGGCTTTGTTTCCATTAGATGGGACTCCTTATGTTTCTTCTCTTTGCCCTCGTAGATGTTCATCTTCTTCTGCTGCAGCAGGTCTGTACTGTTGGCCGTCATGTTGGTAGACTCTCGGTCCATGATCGGAACAAACTTACTTATCAGTTCATGGAGTTTCTGACTAGATGCAAAATCACTGAAATATGAAACAGATATCATAGCTAGTTATATGCAATGGCCAGTCTTTATTTTCTAAATAAAAAAGGCAGTATTAGATGTCAAGGAACCTGTATATATACATTTAAATAACTGCAGGTGTTTTAAAAAGATCAATTTGAAAAAATAAAAGTTGTCAGATTGAATTTTCTTTATTAACTAATGAGAAGAAAAATAAATTGAAACTGCATTCATATTTTCTTTTCCTCAAGCAACTAAATAAAAGTTATACAAATTTGATGTCTAAACTTTAATTATTATCTAGTAGTCTATTATTTCTGACATACGAAGTGTAATTCATAAGAATAGTCAATGATTGTATCCCTTTAATACTCATTTATAGGTGTGGCAATTTTATGGAGCTTAAATTCGTATTTTTGTCAATAAAAAATATGAAGTAATTTTTTGTACAATGAAGAATTTGTCCTCGTTAATAAAAAAAAAACTGAATTTCTTACCTCTGTCTGGCATGATCCAAAACTCTTACTAGAATATCTCGGGGGAGATCAAGTAATTCCTCAATGCTAAAAATACACCACAGCAATCACATTCAAGCACAAGTAACCCATTCCTTAATGTTACTTTATAAAGTAAGTATAACACAAAATTAAAATCATTTTTTAAGCTATGGTTAGGATTTTTTTTTTCAAAAAAAAAAAAAAAGAAGACATTAATTTAAGTAAATGAAAACAATTCCCCTTCACCAAAAAAAACAAACATTTTTTTAAATAGAAACAAATTTTATTTATAGAATATCAGATCAATTAAAATCAAAATAATTACCTTTATAGCATACCATATACAATCAGAATCAAATGAAAAACAGCATCAAAATTATTCAAAATATACATTGTTTACATTTTAAAAATATTCAAATAAATCTTTTGGAGACTTAAATTATTCATATTCTAATAAAAATGATGATAATTGCTAATAATGATTTTTTTTTTCTCTAAATATATTGAAAAAGATATAACTCTCACCCTGAACTCCCATAAAGTTGGGGTCCTGAACGCATCCCTGCTGCTGACCTTGAATATGGTGTTCTATAGCGGGAGGAAGCAGGGGAGGTAATTCTTCTACGCATCTACAAAATTCATGTGCTATTAAAATTAAGACTAAAAGTGCAGATAAAAAATGGAAGAAAAAAGAGGAAAATGAGCAATTTGACATTAATTAGGGGGGGGGATAGTTGATATGTTTAATATTAGCTCCTTTCACTTACTGCTGAATTTTGAGACTTTTTTCCCATAATATACCACTACAGGGTATGATACTATAACTTGAATATTAATCAATTCAACTGTTTACTCAAAATATACTTTCAATATTCCACTTTATCTATAACAAACAAGTTTATGAATAATAGCTTCCCGTTTGAATTTTTAAAAGGGATAATCAGAAAATAATAATTTTTTATGATCAAATTAAGAAAAAAGTAAAATAATCACCATTTTCTACATACTGTCAAATGAAGAAAAGTCAGAAAATTGTGGATAGCAGGGCAAAAAAGGAATAAAGGGTTTGTGGTTTGTAGGAAAAAAGATTAATTAGAAGAAATGATCAGTTTTAAAAAGGAATATACAAGGGTGGAAAAGATGAGGAAAAAATTATCAATATAATTAATAAAAGTCAAATATGTCAATATTAATTTTAGATAAATTTACATGCATAAAATATATATTTTTGTTTTGGAATGAGCAAATAATGAAATTCAAAATTACAAGACCAAAAAAAATATACTGGTAAATATGGATTATTTTTCATTGCATGTATATTGTACTTGAGTTTAAGATAAAAGAGAAAACCTTGCATGCATAATTTCAATTTGAAGCAAGAGAGAAGAAGACATTTTAAAAGTCCACATATGTAAATCTATATGATTCTATATCTACATATTGGTACCTTTATCACTGGCCCTTCATATGGCTGATGTACCAAAGAGAAATAGGAATTACAACATGCATTTTAACATACCATATTTTATCAATTAAATGTAAACTACGATTTTACTGGAATATGTCTAACAGTATGTCTAACAAGTCTGCAAATATTGTATATAAAATCATATCGAAACAATTACATTATGCATCTAAACAAATTAATAATTGTGTCAGAAATTTTAAAATTGTTAAAACAGATCCTAAATTAACTTACATTAAGACATACATTCTGAACTCATTCTCTCATACACTTTATGACTTCCAAAAACTTTGAGAAACTTATAACTTTTGATTTAGGATTATAACAAAATTTGAGACTCATGCAGATTCATATTATGATCAAACTCAGACATTGTGATGTTATAAAACAATGATTCAAACTTGAATGGTTATATACAGAGGGAAAAGGGTAAAGCAAACAATATGCATTTAAAAACTGCAAAGTGTATCTGGTTTCAAGATTCTGTTTTGTTTGGGTCATAAAAGAATTTCAAGGTAAATATCAACTTAAAGTTATAAAACAATATACATTTTTGTACAATAATCTATCACGATTGTGTCTATAGTGACTTATTTAACTGTACAATACTGTTGATAGTGACTTATTGAACTGTAAAGTACTTGAAAATATAATCACAGTATAGTAAGCCTACCTTTGTGGTGTTTTCGTACTCAATACTGCGGGGGATCATATCCTCTGTAATATCTCGTACCAAAACTTTCTGGGGACTACCCTTAGCTATCTCACCAATAGATGCACTGAAATAATGTTTAAAAACAGTTTCTGACTATAGCTTGACTAGCTAAACACTTCATGCAAATGTCTTGAGAAAAATAAAATGCATTTGGACAAACTATATACATAAATCTGCATTTAAAATATAAAAATTGGTTTATTATGCATCAAAATTTTAAAACTCCTTTTAACAGGGAGTAATCATGGTAATTGCCTGCTTTTCTTGATATTTACTATTGTAAAAAGTACAAGTACACTTTTTATGTTTCAAACGTAAGAATATGTCATTTTAATAATGAGAAAATAGATTTAATTCAATTAAATTAATAAAAGCTAAAAAAAATGAACAAAATTGTAACTATATATTGATACATACGATTTTTCTTGCTTTTGTTTCCTTTTTGGATTGGGGACCCAGACATAAAATTTCTTGGGGAGGAAAGTATCATCCCAGCTACATTTGAGATCCTCAGGTTCAAACACTTCCTGGACCTCCACCAGTTGTACTGGCTTCCCCTGGGGGGCACTCTTAATCTTCTTCTCACTGACTGGAGTGTGAATTGGTGGGGAGGGGACTTTTAAACTACTTGAAAAAAATAACATACCTTTGTAAAGTTTGTCATCAGATTTTAAGTATGATTTGATATTTGTTATTGATCTGTTATGTAGTTAAATTTTATAGTTTATGGGTACCAGTAATATGCATTTTAAAATAACCAAATATTATTAAAAAAACAATTTTTCTCAAGTAATTGGAGTTAAATTGAAACAAATTATTTTTTCCATCGAAATACATGGACTGAATTTGATGACAAATGACTGGTAATGAAATACCTTGCTTTACTGGATTTGGGACCAGGTAGCTTATTTAAATTTGAGCGCTCATGCTGAGGTTTTCCAGCAAACTTCACAGGAAACAGATCACGGGGATCGTCTCCATATTCCTCTAACATGTTACATACTTTTAAGGTTGGCAAGTCTAAAACATCATATAAGTCTATTGTGAAACATTTTTAAAAAGAAGGTATTTCTGCTTTCTCTTTTGTATATACATTTGCATATGCATCACATTGAAATGATCTTTTTCTTGCCATTCCTCAACCTTTTTGATCACAGGTTGCCCTTAACCTGAATGAATGGTCGTCCAAATAAAATATCAAATGAAACAAAACTTAATGTGCAATTGTTTAAAATTTGTTAAGATAATTAACAGAAGTTGTGTTTTTGTATTAAAAAAATTAAACCAGACATTTTTGGAATATACAGATGTCTTCCAGTATTTTATCAAACAAAAATATATTAAGCAGAATCTGACATGCAGAATGCTAAAGTTTGTAGTTTAAAACATTCATTTTCACTTACCATGAAGGCCTAAACAAATAGGGTCAAATAACCCTGGACTGAATTAATCAGGTGTTATATTACAGTGGACACCCAACATGGCTGTCTAGCAGCAGAAAACGATCATTATAATCAGAAAGTTGTAGGGGAAATGCAAAATGTTACAATGATGATTATTACTATTTATATTTATTAATAAGGTGATTGTTGACTAAGTTAACATATTTTATATCTCAAATAAAACTTTATTCAAGACTTTTAACGACACAAAATTGCATCAGCTGATTTATTGAACGAAGATTTGGCAGGAAAAAAATCTACTCGGCTGATGTTTTGAAGGTCTTATGAAGTTTAGTTTAAAATAAATAGCATCATCGTTATTAGGCTTAAAAAAAATTAATTTTAAACTTGTCCCAGGTTGTCATTTTTTTTTTGCTAGCCTTTTACTGACCAAAATATTCAGGTCGTTAACCGAAATCATTTCAGGGTGGAAATGACGAGGTGACGAGCGCGAATGTCGAACCCTGCATTTGGTATATGCATCACATTGAAATAATCTTTTTCTTGATTATGAATCCTCTAACTATTCAATTTAAACCACTAGGACATCACCTAAACCTGAATGAATGTGACAGTAACATCAACTTTGCTTGAATGAATGTGACATCACCCAAGCATGAGAGTGCATACACTGCTGCTCATCAATGACAATGTAGTAGGTCTATGCAGTAAATTAAAGATGAAACAAGGAATCTTATTCTGTCACAGCAAAAATTTTATATTTGAATCTCTTCCAAATTTCAAAGATTATGATTTTACCTGTTTCAATTTCTTCCTTTGGTGGGATTGCAGGTGGAAGGTCTTTGATTCCTTTCAACTTTCTCAGATTAGACTGCCAACATGGAGGATGCTGACAAAGTGGGGCACACGATGCATCTTTCTCAGGAATGGGAGGGCCCCAATCCGCAAAGGACCAAGGAGATCGTAAGTCCCACATCTTTGGTTCCTTTTCTTATCCAGTAACCTACGGCATCCAAGATTTCTTGTAAACGCATGTGTTTGTATACAATTTGAGGTAAGTTACTGGTTAATTTATGTTTTTCTTCTAGAAACTGTCCTTGATTTGTAGAAAAAATAATAATTATGCAAAATATTCAGCTAAACTTAAGCAAAATGCAAACGACACAGAAATAAATAAATAAAAAGAAGGTTTATTTACGTAGAAGTTTTACCTTGGACGCCATATTGAAACTTGTTCTTGGCAACTTGCAGACTCGCACCAAATATTTCAAAAGAAATAGCACAGTTATTGCTATTTCTGCTCCAAAAAAAATAATTTTAAATCTTGAATGAACTGAAAATATTAATTTTTTTTTGCTTTTTAGTCTTTTACTGACCATAAATATTCACTGCGAATTAACCGGAAGCATTTGTCTGTCAGCCAAATCGATCATATTATGGATGCAAATACAGGACTATTCAAGATGAAGAAATTTGTGTCTGATGCTTCGACGGTTTTTAATCGTGCAGTCCAGGTAATCTACGATACAACTGCATCTAACTTGTATACTTTTGATTCCGGATTCGGGTAAAAATTTAATGATTTCCCACGCCCCTAACTTAGAACTTGTGACTTTCTTTTTTACAAGTGTCTTTTCCGACGTTTGAAGCAACGTTGTTTTAGGTGTGGGCCTCAAATGATATTTATGGCGTCCTGCATGATACTAATTAAAAACGAAAACTAGGCTATTATATTTGAGAATTAGAATGACATTGACAGTAAAGGGGTCAAGTGAGTGTTTAGGTTCTCGGTACAGTTTTTCTCAGTAGTTGTTTTCAGAAGTAATGTATCACTGATCCTTAGTCATTGCCATTCAATATCCAGACTTGTTGACTCAATTTCAGATTCCTACATTTTATTATGGGCAAACAACCATGTATGATCCTTTTGAAGTAAATGTGCTTAAGCAAAGCTGTATTTGTGAAGAACATTGACAATTTCTCTTTCATTATTTTGTAAAAAAAAAATTCTCCATCTTTTTGTCTTCGGATTTCTGAGAAGTATACTTTGCTGTCCATAAATTTTCATTTCCCTTATGATTTGAGATTCAACGAATGAAATTCCATGAAAGTTTATGTTTTCATTAATACCAAAAATCTTACAGACTTATGACTTTCAAAGTTATGACTTTACTGTGATTCAGGGTCTAGATTTGTTGGTCAGTAATTGGGTAGGACTGATGTCACACACCATAGTTGCATTGAAGAGAAAAATGATATATTCTGTGTGGGTTCCTAACTTCCTATTTGCTGTTTTGCATACGTAAAATAAAAATCGATTTGGTTAATAAAAAACATGTTTTCTTTCATAGTCTGAAAATAAATTCACGCTTTTAAATCTGCTCTTTGGTATAAATCAACCATTTATGTTGAAAAAAAAAATTATGATATAATTTCCAAAATTTTGAAAAAATGTGACCCCAGAGTCATTGGTTCCTGTGGGGTTAGTGCACAACTGGTGGTTATAATGTGGAAATGCATTTTCTCTTTGATACTTTGATCTACCTCTGGGTATTAAATAAGCAAAGTAAGCATGCTAAGTGTATAGTTATGAAAAACAATTATGCCTCTTTCAAAATTGTGAATTTCATGGTCTCTGAACTAAATTCGTTTGTTGGAAAGTTGTAACGTTATACTCAGGTGACCTTTAATGCCGTTGGTCCTCTTGTTATAATGATGTTCTCTCAACAGAATTGGATATGATTTTGTACTGTAATGCGCTTTGTGTTTGTGTGTGTGTGTTTGTCTGTCTGTGTGTGAAACGGAAGTGGCAAAATTTGCATTGGAATCAATGTCAAATGCTGTCTTGATTTATAGATCTAGATGCACTTTGTGAGGGGATGCTCTGCTTTTTGTGACATATTGCATCCACTTTTAAACAATTTTAAACTGTTGAATAAAATAAAACTATTTTGTTATGTTAAACTTCACATTAATATTAAAAATTTAACTTTATCATGTTTATACTGTATATTTGTTAGAGACATAGAATAAAAGTGTCAGAAATGTAAAAATTCCATCAGGCTTGGTCATCCAATACTTGACTATCAGGATGTCTTTGTATAGTCATGAGTGGACTCATCAAAAGTCAATAATTGTACATGTACAGTGTACAAGGTATCACACTTTTTACATGGCTTTTTTGAAAATAAAAATGCACCTATTGCACTTAATGCATGGCAGACTAGACTTTTCGGTATTATCCTGACTATATACCTGTAAGTTTGTGATAGTATCATAGTACATGCGTATTGAATGTTGTATTTTATGGATAGAATACACAAAACCATGGTGGTTAGACAAATCAAATCTGAGATGAGAAACATTTTTGTTCACTTAATTTCATGAGAATCCTGAAAAGAAAATGAATTTTAATACAATGAAATAATCTCTTTACTATCTTCATTTATATTTAGTTCTGTACATATTTTCAATCATTCAGATATGATTTTTATTAAAATTATTTTAAAGAAATGTCATTATTTTACTCTTACTCTAATGGATATATATGGATTTGAAAATGAAGAAAAACTGATACTTAAATATTTGATACATGTATTAATTGTCAGCAAATATGATTGATTCACTAATACCATCCACTACCTTAGTGCATAATGAAGACATGACTCATGTGGGAATGTTTGCCTTTAGGTCATTTTAAGTGACTTCCATCAAGGTTCATTAGCATGTTGATTTTCTGTGACTGCAGCTGCATGTTAAAGTTTGTGTCACTTGAAGATTCAAAATGTACTTTTAAAAGGATTGGCTAATATCAAATTTATCACAGAAAATTATTACCAGTAGGCCTAATCTTCTCAGTCAATGCATCTTATCCTCTTTTAGATCTACATAAAATATTCATTCAATTCATAGTCAAATCTTGCTACTACAGATTTTGCATATTATGAAGACAGATGTAGTCTAACATCTTGGAACCTAAATTTGTTGTACTATAGTTCAAAAATGTTAATGTTCATGAGTAGGAGTGAAACGGTTCACCGCGGCATCGGTACACCGCAGTATTTTTTCTCGGTTCGATACACTGTACAAAATCTCTATTTTCGATTCAGTTCGTTTTTCGGTTAAGATCGTCATTCCTTCGAGTTTGGCATAAGGATATATATAAGTTTGAAAAATAATTTTTAACAGTCAAATTAATAAAATTGATTTCTTCTATCCATTTTGCTCATAAATTATTTGTCTAGATAAGAAAAGGAAGCATAAAACAACAGTTGAATTTGTTTCCTTCTATCAAAATGTATCGTATTGAAAATAACCGAACCGAGACCAAATTTTACGATACGTATCGAATTGTGAAGGACGTGTATCGTTTCAACTCTATTCATGAGACACAGGATCTTGCATATTTCTTACTGGGGTTGTTGAAATTGAATTCAGTTTGCTCTTAAAACACTCCCTGATCAATTTGCATAGAAACAGTAATAACCACCCCGCCCCTTTCGCTGTGATTTATTTTAAGCATTTGTTTCTTTCTCTTTGGTTTCAACATAATTCAATGAGGATGTAAGAATGTTGTTTTACACATCATTTTACCAGTAGTTAATTTTGCAGTAATTTAGATAAATTATGGATTATGAGTAATATGACACAGTGATGGTCTTAGATGCAAGGTTAGACTTTATAAAAAAAAATCATTCCAAATATGGCTTGCTTGGAATTCATTTATTTTTCATATTAATGAAAATAACTTTTTTTTGATTTCTTATTTATTTAGTTCACAGAGGAAAAGTTAGGATCTGCAGAGAAAACAGAGCTGGATGCACACTTTGAAAATCTCCTCCAGAGGGCTGATAAAACCAAATTATGGACAGAAAAAATCCTTAAACAGACAGAATGTGTGTTACAACCCAACCCAAGTAAGAAAGGATCAATATTCAATTGTTACTCATTTTCTTTGTTCTGATCAATTGTTTCCACACTTAATCTTCAATACTATATGTGTACTTAAAAAAGCAGGCTTCATTTTTTAGCGGCTTTGGCACAGACAGTGATAAACTAATTCATGAATACCGCTAAGAAATCTTTTACAAATACAATATAATATGGCACATACATGTGTAGCGCTAATTCATGATTGAGCTAACAACTGCATAACCACTGATTGCGCTAAAATTTGAAGAGGCAATCATGTACACATACAGTATATATCCAAAAGTATAAAGTTCTGTAGAGCCCTGCAGTCATATTTATTCATGTGTTAGTTTTTGATAATTTGTCATTTGAGAATCAGTTTGTTTGGTATGATAAGCATAAGGGAAATGATAAGATTTCTGTGAGCAATGCAGATCCTGATGTACAACTTGTATTAAATTAATAATACACACTAAACTTACTTAAACATAAAAGTATTTTTTTATCATTCGTTAAACATTTTCAAAATAGAAGAAACTTAAAGGAAATTTGACTCTAATATTTCCCTGAATTTTTTTCACCAGATATACGATTGGAAGAATTTGTGTATGAAAAATTAGACAAAAAGAAGCGAGACCGAGTGAACCACCATGAGGTGTTAGGACATGTGTTAGTGGACGGGGGCAATGACTTCGGTCCTGGCACAACTTACGGTAAGTCAGCCCAAAGGAGATCAGTGTGTATATGTTACCATTTAGTGAGGCAAAACCTTCCTCTTTTAGGTCAAAAATTGAAGTTAATTCTTAGTAGGAATACAGTCATTCTCTGTTAAAGCCATTATACAAGACTTTGATTTTAATTAGATTAAAATTGACATGAATGCTGACGTGCTGGAAAGAGGAAGTGAATACTTTTCCTACACAGTATTTATTGTACTCGGGTCATTACATGATACTGACTTAGAGTGCTGCTCTGTACGTCGTTCATTTCAAAATTTTAGCTAACATCATACAATCTTTTGAATTATTTTAGTCTCACTTTCTCTGGCTAGGGTATATATCTTTTATTAACATGTCTCATTTACTTAACTCTGCTTCAGCTACCCATATAGATCTAATTTTCAATACAGTGCTCTGCTTTAAAAATTAATGCACTTTTTTTTAAATCATGTATAGAATTTAGAATGTGGATGATTGAGAAATACTAATGTATCAAAATCATTAATTAAGGTCTTAAGATTCCATTATCCAGTATTTTTTGTCCCTTGCAGATGAGATATTGTAAGCACAAGAAATATAAATTGATAAATGTTTAATATTTGGGGTTACTTCAACAAAGGTCAAGGTCAATGGAGCTAATGAATGTAACTAATCATTTTGTGTACATGCAAATGGGTTGAGATTGTTTGAGAAAGAGCACTTATGGATTTATGGATTAAAGATCAAATTTTAAAGTTAGTGTAAAAATCAGTTTTCTTTACATGACCATTCTGATGCAATATCAAAGTCAAGGTCAAGTTCAGAATGGTATATTACCACTCATATAGTTACTTTTGCCATTTGCTCAAAGATCATAAGGTTGACATCAATGTCTTGAAGATACTGCAAGGCCCATATGAATTTTCCATTTAAACATGTTAAAGTTTTATTCTTTTTGCTGGATGCTTTTGAGAAAAAGATAAATTTAATTTGTAAGTCTATTATTGATAAGGACTTGACAAACAATGAAGTACAATATATTAATAAATAATAAGAAGTTTATTGTCTGAGTAAAATGGTGTGACTACTTAATATTTACTCAGGTGCTGTTTGATGTCTGTCTCGCTGACAGGTCCCTAGCTCCATCTGGAATGTTAACACATATATACTGGGCCTGTATCAGACAGAAAATCATTGGATCCTGTCTGCTATCCTGCTTCTATCATCTCTTCTTATAAATGAAGATGTATGATGATAAGTAAATAGCAGGCTTAGCACCCAATGAATGTAAAAGGTTCTGATTAATAATGAGGTCAAAAGGTCATTTTTTCATGAAAGGTTAGATTACACATTATTTATTGATAGGGATGGATATTGCCAGAAATTGTGTATTGTGATATATTTCGCAATTAAAAAGATATTAACTGTGCTGAAAATCACACATGCTTTTATACCATAATGTTAGACAAGCAAATTCAAAGAATCCTTGTCCCCTGCTTTCAGTGTCTTTAATAGTGGATTGGATGCCATTGTGGCATATTGTGTCAAGTATGGACTCTCTAGTGTCTATCATAGGTTATTTAAGAAATAACCAACGTTATTTAGTGAACATGGCGTTATGAATAGCAATTGCTCTGCTGGCATATTCCATGATGCGCGCTAGCTATTAACTATTGCTATTCATAATGCCATCTTCACTTAATAATCGTTGTTTAAATATTTGCACTTTGACATCAGAGGAAATCCTTTTAAGGATGTGGCTTGTCGTCTTCAGTAAAGAAAACACACGGCTTTAAAATTAGTATACCTGATCATTGCACCTTTTCTCTAATAAAGCACAAACAATTTATAAAGTATTAGCCTCTTTTAAAACACAGTTATCTGGATACAAGCTGCACTGTCGTCACATTCTCTTAATTTTTGTTTTGATGCAGACGTGACGTCATCGATCAACGTTACTGAAACCCTCTGACAAAAATCAATGATTTAATTGATGAAAAAAGAGAATGCTTTAATAATCATTATAACTCCAGAATGCTTTTCTATATGATTTTTTCTATTTATTTTTAAGAGCTGAAACCATTCTTGAAACAGACATACTATTAAATTAAAGAAATTTAGCTTTTTCTGAATGTTTTATCACCCTAGTGTGAAGAGTTATCGTTCTTTGTACAAATATACGAAAATATGATAAGAAAAAATATATATTTGGCAATTTTCTTCAATTTTTATAAAATTTTATTATACAATTAAATACATTGACCAAAATTAAAATTTTAAAGATATAAATCAGCGATTTTAAATTGTTCTGAATTTATTTTTTTTCCAAAAATTATTATTAAAAACTTATATTTATTTTTTTTACGAAACATTTCATATATATACTTCTCAACACACATAAGAGATGTAGTAGACATTGCACTACACGAGTGTGAAGGAGCTATTGCACTCATAATAGAAGCAGTTGCGTCTATAGTCATATGAATGTAGTTGATGACTACATGTTCATAGTGGGAGAGAGCAATGGATATGCTAATATTGTAAAATATTTACCAAACTTGAATTTTTGAAAATTAGGTGAAACATGGAGGTCAAGGTCAAGAGGTTAAAAATCATAGCATTCTTGGAAAGATATTGTCACAGATCTAATTAAGGCACATGTCAAACATGAAAGCCATATCTCTTCTCAATCAAAAGATAACATTTTTGAAAAGTAGGTCAAATTTCAAGGTCAAGGCTTTGAGGTCAAAAGAATTAATTATTGTATATTTAGAAAGGTCCAATCACAGGTAATATATACATCAGTAATATGAAAGTCCTATCTTTTCTCTTTCAAAAGTTATAACCAATTTAGATACATGTAAATCAAATAATGTTGTTTTTTTTTTGTTTTTTTGTTTTTTGAAAAGAAGATCAAACTTCAAGGTCAAGGTCACAGGGTCAAAAACCATAGTATTTTGGAAAGGTCTTGTCACAGGTAATGTACTTGTGAGATATGAAAGCCCTATCTCTTCTCATTCAAAGTTATGACCAAGGTTAAAGTTTTTGTGACAGATGGAGAGACAGACAGGCGAATGAACTTTCGTGTCCCCCTGCTTTCGCCAAAGCAGGGGACAAAAAAAGGAGTTCTCTAAAAAGAATGTTTTAATAAATTTCGCAGTCTTAAAATAGTTTGAAACTTTAAAGTTTGCAATTGAGACACGTTGCAGATATAATACAGACTATTATTTTTTTTTACAGGTAATGCCCTAGTTAAGACCGGTCAAGCCCAGCTAAGGATAGGGAATGCAGAGAGAGAATTTATACAAGCCACAGCTAACAATTTCTTACAACCTCTTCACAATTTTTTGGAGGGGGACATGAAAACTATACAGGTAAATCATCATGTGGAGGTGTTGTATATTGCTTGGTCTTCTATGTAAGGTAATTTTTGTAAGTGAAAGAAAGCTTAAAATTATGAAATTTTTGTTAGTTCACATGACTGAAATAGACTGCATATATTTATTCAATACCTTCAAAATTCTTCCACCACTTAATGAGCCAGTTTTACAATAAAGTAATATAAAGATTCCCTTAGTGTATGTAACATTAGCATCCCAGGTCAGGAAGCTCATGCAAATTTAATTGATCATGTATGCGATTCCACAGTATAAATAATGCACTTTTTTTTCTATATTTCTCTCCCTATAATAGATAAATGCAGTCTTACCACAAAAGCATTCCAAAGTGTTTGATTAATTTATTGATTAAAGACCCAAAGTATTGATGCAAAGCAGTTGGTTTATATAGAGTATTGGAATGGGAAAAATAACATGAATGTTGAATTTGACTGAGTTTCTCCTGCCTATAAAGCAGCAATTGGCTCTTTTGTTAAGAGGAGTCTGTTGAAGAAGCCAAATCCAATATGGGCTCATTAGCAGGGAAATCTGTCACTCAAGGGTATTTTGTGCAGTATTGATTTACAAAGCCATGTCATGAATGGTGGGAAAATGACGGCCAATCCATTTTTCCATGAACCCTTTTCAAATCATTCATGACAATTCAGTAGTATATGTTTTATTATTGTAAAAGCATTTTTTAAATGAGAATTAAAGATGCATTTTCTAGATATATCATTGAAGAAAAAAAGGCCCTATGCCATATATTAAACATTCATTTCAGAAAATTAATTTTAAAAGCATTTTAGAGAAAATACCTGACTGCTAAATGCTTACACATGTAGCGTTACTTCCAAATCATTTTCAGTATCTGTTCATACTGACTGGTACATCTATGGATGTTCTACAGTAAAACTAAATCCAGACATTACTGGGTCCTATGAAATTTGCTAGATTAGACTCAACATTCATGATTAGACATTATTTCAAACAATTGAATTCACCTGTGCTGCAAGAGTACTGAAGTTTACAGTGTATTAGAAAAAAAAATTAGAATATACAACATCCTAATTACTTAAGTCTTACTGTATTTGATATATTGGGTTATAATAGGTTGTCAATCAGGTATGGATTACTCTAGTTTATTACTCTGTAGAGTTCAAAGTCAACAAAATGGTATGGTATTTCACTACTGGTATTCATGTACAAGAGAGTTATTTTGTGGACCAAATCATTATCTAAACATCAATACGTATGAGACTCCTAATCAATGAGAGTCTCCCTATTTCCTTTGACGACACTGGTCTTGTCAAACTTGTGCCATAATATTAGTAGTCCAGACATGTATATCACAGATTGATTTCTCTGAACAAGCGAACATAACACCAGATGTTGTGTTTCTTTTATAAGATATCTAAGGTCAAACATGAATTGAATTCCTAAATGACAAAAGAAAGATGATAAGTTTTATCTTTCCTCATGAATTTTTAAGATCTCATAATGAAAGACAGACAATTAGTGAAAGAATCAAGTTTCACAGGGGTTTTTCCAAGCTTTTAATATTGCATCCATCTTTTCAAGTAAATCTATACATTTCTGACAACTTCTATAAGATGGTGGGCAAATAGTTTAAAAAGTTGATGCTTAAGTTATGGTTGTAAATATTTCTTTATGATGTTCTTCAATTCTATTGTTTACACTTGTAGGGTTAGTTAGCTCATGTAAACAAATAAAACTTGAGTAGTAAAAGTTGTCAGTCCATGAAAGTGAATCTTATTCATGTTATTACATTGTACCGGTAGTTTTGAAAGAAAAGAGAAAGGCAAAGAATGAATCGATAGTAACTTACTTCAAAAAATAAATTTCAGTAGGGATTTTGAATACTTTTAATTATTTCTTATTTTACAGAAAGAGAAGAAAATTCTGGAGACAAAACGATTAGACTTGGATGCATCCAAGAACAAGCTCCGTAAAGCAAAGTCCTCATCACAACCACAGGTAAAGAACGGGGGAAATTATATTGAAGGAAATGGGCTACTTTTAATACATTGACATGCTAAAATCCTAACAACTCCACGTTGTTTGAACAACAAACATATTGCATTTGAACTGTATTATGTGTTCCTAATACTCATGGGTTAGATTATTTTGTTCATCAAGTAATTGTGGTGTAATGAAGAAGTTGATAAGACTAATGTTGTACTGCTTCAGTGCTACTTCAGGTTAAAGCTAGGCACAAAGTCTTCGTTGAAGTAAATGTACATCTGTTATTTAGTACATGTGTACTAGGTTTGGTTGATGATGGGAGTTTTTTTTTTTGGGGGGGGGGGGGGGATTACTCTCTATCATAGACAGAACAACTTGTTTTATTACCGATAAGATATAAAACTCAGGGAGAATTGTTGTTTGTTGTATAAGTACTTTAATAATATCGGAGATTTTTTTAAGAAATAAAAGAATTAAGAAGTTATTAAATCATGGGAATCAGTAGTTTAAATGATGAAAATCATATAAATTGATTATCTGTTGTTAATTATATTCGTTAGTTTGATTTTGGGGGGAAATTTTCAGAATAGAATGCTGTTGCTTTTCTTGTAATGTGCATATTAGTCTAATCAAGATAGAGGGCCATTTCTCAGAAGAGGTTTGCTCCAAATCCAGGGTAGACTTGAAAAAAAAAAATGAAATATGCTACATGTAGCTGCACAACACATTGTCAATCAGATGTAGGGTAAATTTTGTTTTGGTACATTGTCAACAGAATAGGAAATTCAGAAGCCTACATGTGAGTCAAAGCATATGATAGTAAATTCTGTTAGCATGTGAATTCTCTGTATACCACAAATACTAGTATTAAAATGTACATGTGTAGCTTTCAGATACAATTGTATTGATATTCTAAAATTATGTTGTTTGATATACAAAGAATAGTGTATAGAAATTATAAAGGAACAAAAAAAAATATGATATATAAGGATGTTTAAGAATGTCCCAGTCACATGACGATCATGTGACTTTATTATAACTGTGTTTATAATGTTGCAGTCCTCTCAGAATTCCTCCCAGAATGTGTTGATGATGGTCGAGGTCAGTGTATTGTGTTGTCACTTTGTCTGTAATGTTGGTGATTTATTTTGTTATTAAGCCCAATTCATAGTACTTCTGTTGCTAAATTTCTTCCAGCATTTTATTTTATTTTCTTGGGGGACTAAATCATACCACTTCTGTTTCCTATTAAAATATGAGTATCTGTTTTGAAAAAGAATGTCTTTCATGCAAAATTTTCCCAGTTATCTTTCTTTGGTCAGTTTTGGGGTTTTAAAAATTCTTTAAAATGTAAATTGCATGACTTGGTATTACTGTAGTTCTGCAGCAAAAATCACAGATCAAGAGTCATTGTTTTTGTCTATGTGTCTGTTTATGAAACTACCTTTTGATACTATCTATATGAGATAAAATAGATCAAGGCACATGAAATTGCGAACGTAAGATTTAAAAAAAATATAATTTTGTTGGCATTGATTTCAAACGATAACTATGTAGTTTTTCTTTTCATTTTTATTAACTAAGTTTTTAAAGATAATGTATATAAAACATTAAATGAGTACATTTTACACATGTAGTATCTTTCTGAAGTTTTGAAAAATAAAATACAAAATTGACAGGGGCGGACTTTTGTTAATATTGTATTTGTTCATTAATGCTTCCAGGAAGAAAACCCTGTCAGGTTTCACCTTGTAATTATCATTTACTTCTAATTATATTTTTGTGAATTGTCAATTTATGTCTCAGTGCTGCACAGTAGTTTTACAGTCCCGAATCTCATCTACAATTATTACACTCTGTGAAATCATTTGACTATTCGAGGATACATGTATTAGTTGTTTGATGTTATATTAGAAATAATAATGAACTTATAATTTTTTAGCATATTATTCAAGATCATAGTTATGTGTAGGGGCTATGATCTTGAAATACTGTTTTTACAAGAGGGGGGGTAAAAAAATCTATTAAAAACAAAATGGTCCTGAAATAAATTATTAATTGAATGACATTTGACGTCCATAAATTGCATTGGTTTCACAGTCCTTGTAATATTCTCTTGTGACGAATTTCTTTGAAATTCTAAAGATTGTTTAAAATTGTTTGATATAAAAATAATATTGGTATATATTTATTGTAAAAATTTTTTTTTTAAATTTGCTAATGCTAATGATGCTTAATCTGGTAGTTGTGTGATTGTATCAACTGTTTACCTGTGTGTTATTATTATAATGCATGTCTGCATGAAATGGTGAAAAATGTTTGAAATAATGATATCCTCATGTGAAATTGTATTTTATTCCTATCATTTAAATCAGGGTCCTATTTCATACTAGAATCAAAGTGTTTGTGTGTCGGTCTGTACAGCTGGTATCCAGATCTTGTTAGGTACTTTGTAGTTGAAAGTTAACTAAATACATTAAATTACAAGTGTTTGGGGACTGCAGATTTTTGTTTACTGTATAAGACAAAAACGTTAACTGTAGTAATATTTACTTCAGTTAATTTGATACTAGAAATATTCTTCATTTGCTTTGAAAATTTTGATTTAGAGACATATATGACAGTGGTAACAATTTCAGGGTTTGCCACCCCTTCCCCCATCCCCTCCCCTAAAGTAGATGAAAGAGATTTTTTTTTTAAGAAAAGAAGGATTGGTCTATTTGATACAGTAGGAAAAGAAAAATTAAAGATCTGCATGGTTGCCAATTTTGATTACTATTTCATGATAAAAATTCACCATGAATCCCAGAAAATACATTCAAGATAAACATGTAACCTGTATGTAAAATACTGCATTGATTAATCTGTTGTGTGTTTATTTACATGCTAATCCAGGATGATGCAGTGGCTCGAGTAAGAAATATGCATGTTTTTATTTGTTAATAAAAAAAGTGCTTTACATTCAGCCATTCCATTCCTCTGTCTTAATATGTACAATGCACTTACCCATACACACAACTGTATTTTTTTTTCAATTCATTTACTAAAGCTTTTGTATTGTAAACATATATATAAACATTTGTGTAGATGATATTTGTCATTAGGGGGATACATGCATGAGGTGAAGGATCTCATCTTTGATGGATGCCTCTCTAATCTAATTATGAATCTTGCCATCTCTTTTTTCCCCTTTCTTTCAGTGTTCATTTTAGAGATGCAATTGCTTATTTTTTTCTGTAAAATTTCAGGTTTTTATTTCACACAAAAATCTTTTTTTTAATATTTTTTGGCGGGTTTGAATGCATAATTTTATTCACAAAAAGTTTAGAAATCGGCACACTCGTGTTATGTACACAGTTTTTTGTAAACAAGGCAAGAGCCTGTTATTGTTTAATGTTTACAATTCACCGGGTGCGTTTAAACGCCAAAGTCTGCTCACCACAACTGCACGGACTGACAATATATTGTGTGTTTGTTTTGCTTTCGATAGCTCTCTCCTTAAAAAGTTCATTAATGCTAAAAATTTTAATAACATAAATGTACATTTATATAAGGTTATTCCTGTGTTGTTTTCAATCAACTGTAAGCATTCCTATTTAAAAGTACAATGGCCAAATATGCGGGATCGGTAAACAATAAATTCTAACGATGACGTCAAAGTTGTCTGTTGACATATTTTGAAAGTATGGAATCGGAGCAGAGTAGAAGAAAATAAGAGGTTTGATTACTATTTTCAACTCTATCTAATTGATAATTGTATATTCTTCAGGATAATAAAACTATTATTGACTGTTTAGAAGGGAGACATCACCAATTATCAGGTCTGAGTAGGGTTGTGACCCCCGGGCGCAAGCGCCCTCGGATGACAACCCTACTCAGACCTGATAATCGGTGATGTCTCCATTCTAAAGAGTCCATAATTGTATAATATTATAGAGAAAAAATGAACTTCAAATCTGTGTCCAAGTACCTTTAAATTCATTAATGCTACAGTAAATTTGGTTATTCCTGTGTTGTTTTCAATCAACCATTTCTATTTACAACATATCTTACAATACTAGCAAAATTGTAATAATGAAGAAATCGTGGAGAATCATGAAGTTTTGCTCTAGAAAAGTTAATGGCTAAGTGAACCAAAAGTACAAGAGATACAATAAACAATCCTACCGTTAGGTAGTGACAATAAATTAACATCAGTGTTATGGATGAATAATACTAATGGAGCTAAAAATTAAAAGTTGTCTAGGTATTCCTAAACTTCCAGGAAATGGACTGAATCATAAGGAACCGTATGATATAGGCCCTGGCACATATCTCTGTATAGACAAATCAATATTCTGAGTTTATGAGCTGTTGGTATTACCTTAGATAAATTTAACAAGATTCCATTTCCTGTGGTGTAATTGCTATAAGATTGTTGTTTCTGATGATGACTCTTTAATGTCACTGCACTGTTGATTTGGCTGATGAGAGGACTAGAAGGCTTATTGTTTCTTTTTTGTTTTGTATTAATTGCATTACAGAACTTTCTCACTGTCTCTTTTTGTAGGCCGAGGCAGAATTGCGAGTGGCCCAGGCGGAGTTCGACAGACAAGCAGAGATAACACGATTACTGTTGGAGGGAGTCAGCAGCGCTCATGTACGTCAGTTCAGTTTTATGACACCCCTCCAAAAGCAGAGAACACAAATGTTAGAAATGTTTAAAATAAGTCACATTTAGTCCCAATTAGTTCAAAAACAAGAGTAGGAGACACCATTGGGACAATTGCTGACCCAATAGATTCAAATGCTCCAGTCCATACTTATAAAGGTTTTCTTTTGCTTAGGTACTCAATAATTAAGACTACTTTTAAAAAGATCTGTATATTCCCAAACAAGTTTATATCCATGATGTTTTTAAAAACCTTATCAATATTACATTAAATGATATTAAATGATTTATATTTGAAAAAACTACTGTTTCATGCATAGGGATGCAAATCATTAATTTATTTCATTCTGTTTTAATTTCTAAGCTTTAATACTTGTAATATTTAAAGTATTTATATACTGATTTGTAATTCATTATTTTAGAAACATCTAAACTATTTTTTAGGCCCATCATCTGCGCTGCTTAAATGATTTCATTGAGGCCCAGTTAACGTACTATGCTCAGTGCCAACAGTATATATCTGACTTGCAGCACCAACTTGGAAGGTAACTTTTCTTACACACTGTACACTGCATGATTTTTCTGTATTTTTTTGAAAACATAACTTTTTTTTCCTTTACTTAAAAAAAAATTCTGTCTTTAATAATTGATATTCTTTTGAATGAAGAACTACTTTTTAATTTATTTTTTTTACCAACAATACAAAGATCATGTTAATAATGCCATTTGCATTTACATGATTTTTGTACTGAAAACCTTTTGGTTAGTTGGGAAGTAATTTTTAAAGGATTTTTTTATAAAGCCATTTATTTTTATTATTAATTATAGTGATCTTTATGTTGGCTAATGCTTTTCAGTGTATGCATGTGATAGTCTGAATTTCCTCTGTTACTCGGCAGTTCTTATTGCAGTCAGACACAGAGTTCCCTCCCCTTCCCTAGTCATTATTGTAACCCCTCCCACATGTTTAAAGTTTAACACAATATTTTTTTTGTCATGCACTAACTTCTTTTAACAATTGAAGAATCAAAAACATGATTATTAATGATTTATTTAATTCATTATTACCTTGACTATGGAATATTAATTCTTTTGTAAAAATGACATACATTTGAAATCAGTTCACTAAAAATGCAAAATTTTATTTCCACCTGAAAGATTATATACTTATGTTTTAGGTTTAAGATTAAAATTAATGCTTTATGTATAACTTTCATGTTACCACTGGTACATAAATAAGTGCGAGCTCTTCCAAAATCCCCCCAGTGATGTAGAACTCTGGTGCCCTTTGTCTGACTGCTGTTGTTTTGTTTCAGTTATTCTCAAGCTGTGGGTGTCGGGAACAGCTCCTCCAACTCCTCGGGGGCAGGTATATCCTCCAGTATCCCCTCTTCTGTCCCCCTGCAACCCTCTGCACCGCCCCAGATCAATGTCATAGCGGCCACACCCAATATAGAGAAAAAACAGGCCCGCGTTCTGTATGACTATGACGCTGCAGATAGCTCTGAACTTACCTTATTAGCTGACGAAGTAAGATATCACTCCTAGAAATTTTACACATCTTTTTTTTTTTGGCAATTTAAGTTGCATGCTTAAAGTGGTTTTAGGGTTTTATAGAGCTAGAAAAATATAAATTCTTTAACTTTTGTTAGTTGTTTACCTGTTTTTCACATACTTCAGTTCCTTAATGTTTTTATTTGTCAGATGACAAAATAAGGCTTTTGATAAGTCCTTTGATGATTTAAAGTCAAGGAACTCCTGTCAGAGAAAAACTGGTATTAAACCAACTAGCACATAATATAAGACTTGTTTCTCCCTTTGCCCAGCTGTCAGTTTGTCTGTTCATTATTACAACACAGGTCTCCCCTTATCAGAGGCGTGCTTAATTTTTCTATTGTTAGAGATACAGAGACAGTGTGAGGAAGTGAAGACAAATAAAGTGGCAGTGGGAGAAACAATATTTCCTTTTTTCAGTGACTTAAAGTTGAAGATATTTCTGTGTTTAATACTGATAAATAAAAATCTTTTATCATTATTTGATTTTATATGAAATCTTTTGCATCGTGCATTTTCAGAGTCTCTAGATCATTTTTCATTGATTATCTTTTCTATCTTCTTTTCTTTTTTTTTTTTAGATTAGATAAATATTGTTCATACAAAATCTTTTTAATTAAAATTATTTCAACACTCACTGTATACAGCTGAAGTTCACTGCTATTATGTATATGCTGCTGTTCATGCAGATTGAAATTGAATTACCTGGTAATGAAATTAATTTTGCAGTGAAATTCCGTTTGATTTAGAATAAATAATGAAATGAAAAGAAAAATCATTAATAAGTATTGAATGTTTAGCTGGAGAAAACTGGTAACTAACCAGCAGTATAGAACCAATTTCCCATCTTTCAAAATATTCCATGCAATTTTCCCAAAACATATATTAAAAATGTTCCATGGAGTTTTAGTGCATTATCTTTACATTTTGTATTTCCTTCATTTTCAGCTCATAACAGTTTACAGAACCCCAGGGATGGACCCTGATTGGTTGATGGCAGAAAGAGGGTCCCAAAAGGGAAAAGTTCCTACTACATATCTTGAAGTATTAGAATGATACTGAACCAGCAAAATATTAGCATGACCATAAGATCTTTTTTATGTGAGATTTTAATTGACTTTGAATGTTGCAATATGTCATTGTTGAACTTTTTGATATGTAGGCTCTTACCTGTTTATTTTAAGGTTATCTGTTATATACCACATAAATTATCTGCAGAATATTGTTATATGATTTAATATACACAAAACATTCTATTCCACACCTATGGTAGTTGTTATACATTTCTTTTTTGTCTAATTGTATAAAGATTAGCACAATGTTTTGACAAAAGATTATAGTACCATATTGTATATTTTATATTTCCCACTCTGTGAAATTGGGGGAAAAAAATGAGCGAATGGGTTTCAGATTTTGAAACATTTCATTATAGTACCTGTACACATTAAACATTATCCATACAATATTTACAAATCAATTATACATAGACAGTTATGTGTACTGTATTTATAGAAATGTGTTTTTATTGAACATTGACATGTAATGTACAATTTTATGTTTCATTTATGTACATGAAATTACATGTACAAGTTTTATCTTATAGATAAAGCTATTTTTTTTCTGATCCAACTTCTTTGTGAGTGAAAACTTCTCAAATGAATTTCATGCAAAGAGTTTAAAATAAAATTAACTATTTTTTGAGTTATATTCATTGATGGAATATTCATACTGTATAAGTTTGCATAAAATTCATATGAGAAAGTTTCATCTGTATCTATTTATTTGTTTTTTTTTTTCTCCCAACATTTTATATAAACAATGAGAAGTTTTAATGATTTAAACACACATGTAGAAAATGTATTTCTTAAGAAGAAATTTTTTAATGAAAATTCATAAGCCTGTTTTTTTTGTGTGTGTGTTCATGGTATGGAGTTTAAGTTGAGGTTTGAAAAATGTTTAAAATTTTGAAGAGCTTTGTTTGGACATGCTAAATTATCATTCTCTTACAATAGTTAATTTTTTTATTGTTCTTGGTAGTGAGTGTTGAAATGAGGAATTTTCCTCCATAGATAAACCAGTGAAGACAGCACACAAACCTCAGGCAATTATAAACTGCCCTCCATTGTGTTAAGTCGTGGCCACTGTTAAAATATTTTTTTTTTTTTTTTTTTTTAGAAATTAGGTAATTTAAAGTGAATTGCAGTATTATACTGGGTATTTGTTTGGCTGTAAACTGTTTAGTATTATTTACAATTGTTAGATTTAAATGAAGAGCTATGTAGCAACTGCTAATGATAAAACGCAAAGCAATGCTTTATGGTAATCTTGTAAATTATTTATTAATAGTTGGCATTCTCAGGTCAACTATTAATGCAATAATTTATCCCAATAAGCATTGTGGTTGCAACACTTAATGATATTTCTATCATTAAATGACATTTTATCATTAGTGGTTGCTACAGAGCTATTTATGAGAAAAACTTGTAATTCTAGAGGGATTTTCTTGAATAGACTTTACTGTCGTTAATGTATAACAGTATATCAAATAGTAGTTTTACCAGAAGAGAAATATTCCTTTTTGCTTTAAACCCAATTAGAAAATAATTTTGATTCATGATTTATTTTATTCCTTCTAAACACAAACTGATCTGGTTTATGGGGCATTTTTCACAGATTTCATGAAGTTCATCCTTCGTCAAAGTTTCATGAACCATTTTGTTGTAAGAAAATACCCGTTGTTTCACCAAATTTTATTGAATTTTGTTATTATAGATATTAAACCATATACACTGTACCAATATGCTAAACACAAAATCGAAAATGAGTAGTAGCTCACCTTTTGCGCAATTTTTTGAGAAGTATAAAAAATATTTGACAGCCTTGCGGATTATCTTGTCACGGTTTACAATGTAGTTTGTGTTGAATATGTATGTAGCTTTGGGTGAAAAGAAAATCAGTATTGTATCAAACCTGCAGACGTTTGTTTCATTTGATGAAAACATTCATTTTAAAATAAAAAGCCATTTATATAAAGCTATTTTGTTCGTAATTTTTAAAGATTTTAATTCATACTCTTATCCCATTTTTTGTTGTGGCTCCTCAGAATACTTATTTTAAAAACTTTATAACATTTCAAAATTTTAAGAAAATCGAACAAATTTCTTAGTTCTCCTGGTCAATAAAATCTTACATAGAACCAGATTACTACGATACACATAATTTAATATCAGGCTTCGAGTTCGTCTTTGCGAATGGGGGGGGGGGGTTATTTTTCACAAAAAATAACTAGTACCCAAACTGAAAAGAGGAAATTGTCCAAAATCGAAAATCCTCTTTCGGGATTGGGATGGCCAAGCCCATAAAATATCAAATGAAAAATTAACGTAATTTTATAAATCATTTCAAGACAAGCTGCGCCTTTTCTGTCATATTATAATTCGCAGGTATAGCTAAAAATTTCATCAGGTCGCCCACGTGGAACATTGATTAGAACGCTCGCTCTTGAGTCACAGAGGAAGGAGTTGTATAAACCAATTTAAAAGATCCCTGAGTCTTAGTAGGCGCTGACACAGAAAAGAACCTTTTCTGCCTTAAGGGCCTTAGTGCCGAGTACAGTTCTAAAATTGAAGCCTTCCATCGGCAGGTGGTGGCGTCTCGGTATGAGTGAAAATATATCAAAAGGGAGTTGAATAACAATCCAACTCTCATCAGAGACTCTCATCAAAGCAAGGCCTGCACCCCCCCCCCCCCCCCCCCCCCCCCCCCCACTTTGTTTGCCAACAATACTTTTACTGTTGAAAATGTTCATTGAAGGGCTGGTTGGCCCCCCACTTTATACTAAAGTAAAGTAACATGAAGGAAATATAGTATTGTAAGCTAAAAAATGGATATTGAAAGAAATTGGTAGTGAAAAAGTTTGCACCCCCCCCCCCCCCCCCCCCCCCCCCCCCCCCCCCCCAGGAAATAGCATTTTCGAGTTTGGGCAATTTTTCTTTTACCTTTTTTGCTTGTCAACTTCTTCAGGAAAGTAAAAAAAAAAATGTCAGTGGCTGCCCCCCCCCCCCCCCCCCACTTTCAAAATTGATGCTACGTGCCTGAAGTCTCATCAGTGTTAGATGAAAGCATATTTAAGTATCACATATGTCATAGTTACGATAGTCCCCTTGCCCGCCCAACGAAATAGGTTTTTCGCGTTTGGGAAATATGTTTGCTTTTTTTTTTGGCTTATCAAGACATTTTTGGGTTGGAATTTTTTGACTGGTGTGGCCCGCCCCTGGAAAAAATTTCTGGACCAGGCCTGGAAAACTAAGGTTATTTACGGCTGTTTCCCTAAAATATAATGTTTCATGTTTTTTTCTGCTTTTTGAGATTGTTTTGCTTTCCCCAAACTGAATTAAATAAGGCTATCCTTCCTACTGCCTGTGCTGTGTGTTAGGGGAAGGGGGTGCTTTTGTAGCTGTAATGTGACATTTTTTCCTATAATTCGGGTTTATGTGTTTGAAACAATAAAACAATATAATTAGATATGGGAACCATTCTACCCTACGCAGCCGTGCATCCTAAAACTTCAAAGGGTCGGGTGTTTGGGAACCTGACCATTTGTGGTCACTCTTTTATGGCCCGGACACGATCTGATCATCATATATACCGGGTGCCATCCCAGCCGTACGTACAAATTACACCAAATTCCGACATGATCCTCATCACCCTCGTGTCCGTGATCGCTGTGGCAAGTAAGTATTAAATTCCTTATTCCCTTTTTTTGTGTGTTCAAAATCAAAGGAACTAACCCTATTTACCTCCAAATCAGCCAATGTTTTTAGAATTTTATTAAAAAAAATCACTCCAACTTCCTCAAACTGAATTTAATCAATCAGTTTTATTTGTACAAAATTCTTATTTCGAGTTCCCCCATTTTTGTATATTTCGCACTATTTATATTTAAACCAAAAAAAAATTGCAAGATATTTTTTTACCTTAGGTGCCACCCGGTACCTGGACCCATTGAACGCCCGCATAGTGGGTGGCGCCCAGGCTGACGAGAACGAGTGGCCCTGGCAGGTGTCCCTCCAGTCCCGAGCCTACTCCTTCTTCCCCTGGTCCCACTTCTGTGGCGGCTCTCTGATTGCCCCCAACTACGTCCTCACAGCCGCGCACTGCGTGGATGGACAGGGGTAAGTGATTAGATAAATGTGGTATATGAATGTACATGTATATAACCTCCCCCCAATAATTCAAATATTAGGTTTGCAATGAATCAGATACCTAGTTATCGTTTCTGAAAAGGAGGAGAATGGAATCCAACTTTTACTGCAAGAAAATTTTTTTGAATTTATTAACTTGGCAGGATTTGACTATAAAACTCCCTCCAAATGGGAAAAATGGCATTTCAACGAACATTTTATTAAAAGAACAGTACAAAATGTATTAAAAGGTGGGAGAGTAACTATTGTAATTAAGTAATATTTATTATATCTTGAATCCCGGCGATATTTGACACTTTTTTTTAAACATAAAGAGTGATCCGTATTTAACTGAAGCTAAATTATTTTTTTTAGCTTTTATTTATAAACATACTCAAAATGCCAGTGGATTCTTGAAAGATAGATTTTTTTGTTTAAGAAATGAACAATATTGCATTTTCCCATACTTATGCAGCATATACCTTCATCACTTGCATACGGGGTTTATATCTCTAAGTTGATTCGATACGCGTGACCATACTCTACATACGAACAATTTCTAAAACGAGGTAAATCATTGCCAAACACGTTGTTGAAACAAGAATATCAGCAGTCTCGTTTTAAATAAAGTCATCATTTCGTAAGTTCTTTGGTCTAAACAATGACCTTGTCAGAAAATACAATTTATCAGTAAGTCAAATGCTGACTGACGTTTTTCATACTTATTGTTAGGTCATTATATACACACTGAATTGTCGACGGATTATTTTCCCGTTATTTCCCAATCATGACACGCGGCGAGTGCGACCAGTCAGCTGGAGATGTTCACTCCTCTATGGCACCTGATCCCACCTCTGATGTTTTGGAGGCCCACGTTTGCTCTGCTTTCTGTATTGTTTAATGGACTTTTGAACTTTAATAATGTTCGAATTCGGTGTCAGTATCTCCATATATTTCACTGATTAAAACATTCTTCACCGAAATTGATATATTATGTTTTTTTTATTAAGTCAGTGAAAAAAAAAGATGTTAAAAAAGAGGACTTGCTTGGCAGTCAACAGAAGCGCCAAAAAAAAAAAAAATTAAACGTATTTCCTTTTTTCTTCTTTTTTTTCATCTCATATTTTTATTTTAGGACGGAAATTTCCAAATATCATTAATCCAAATTTCGTTAAATTTCTCTTCAGCCGTTTATAAAACAAATTATTGATAAAGCTAATACGTAAATATCAAGCGGAAATCGCCCAAGATATCGCACTAATTATGATGGTTTTGATAGTGTCGTGTATTGATTAAAACAGACAAAAGAAATTAATAACATCTATTGTAATGAAATGTAGAAAAGATCAACAGTAATTATGAGTCAGTCATTTAGAATGTAATCATTGTCGTCCTTGCAATTGTTATCGTAATTTTCACCCGTTTGTAATTCATTTAATTCAGTCAATAAAAGCCAGATTGTATTTCATACACAGTTTCGTTATTATCTTGGTGACAGTTTGATTTTACAAACATTTGTTTTCTCTACACGGTAGTTGTTAATCCGAATAAAAGGTATTGAGCTGCTATTTCCGATATATGGATTCCATAATGTAAACTGTAAAAACGAAATTATGTCACTTAAAAAAATAGAAGACTTGCTTAATATCTACGTCTGAAAGCATCAGTAAGAATAGACTGCATATTGTAGGGTTTTATTGCTACATTGTTTAATTTGTATAAACAGTCTTGAATCTTTGGCTTACACAGCCAAGGATAGCTCCTTTGTCATGTTTGTCTAATCCAATATCTTTAGATACATGTATACCAGGGACTTGATTTCAATAAATAATACGAAATGTAACCTTTACGCATGTCTAATGTCTCTGCATACCTATGGCTAGTCCAGGACCGATCTAAATTGTAGGGTAATCCTTTGATGGTTTTCATGTGTATGTTTTTTTAGTAAAAATACGACAAAATTACTAAAATAGCGAACATGGATCAGAGATGGCCAATCTCTGTAAGCGTTTCGATTCCTCAAAATTCCCTTTATATCTCTATGCCGATTTCTTATAGAATTGTCAGGTAGAAGATAATCACCTTTGGGAGCAGTATTTGGACTGAAAGTTATACAAAAAAACTGCTTTAATCATGCCATTAAGAGGTCTTCTTTGGGCTGAGGTACATGAATTACTGAACTTCTCAAGTGATCAAGCAAAGAATAGTGTTGCCCCATTTCGATGTCTAAGTGGTTATGAACATGTGAAAATGAAAAATGAATGTTCTATCTCTTCTCATTCAAAAGTTATTATTAAGTTAAATGTTTTTGTGACAGACGGGCAGACCGACTGACGGACATACAGGTGAATGAGATTTAATGTTCACTCTCTTTCGCGAAATCAGGGTACAAAAAATCTATATGTTATATTAAAGTTTTATAATTCAGAGATTAGATTGTCATGACAGGAAAATAACAGAAAATCCGTCGAATATTCAGTGTGTTATAATGCTCTAACATTTATTATTATTATTATGATAAACTGTATTTGCTGACAAGGACATTGTATCGACCATAGAACTTACGAAATGATGACTGTAAACGAGACTGCAGATACACTGTATTCTTATTTCATCAATTTGTTTTTCAATAACTCTCTAGTTTTGGAAATGTTCATACAAAGTGCTCTTGCTCTTGTGTATCGAATCAAATGAGAGATCTGTTAACCCTCATATACAAGTGATGAAGGAATATTGCTGCATAAGTAAGGGAAGCTGACGATAGAAAAGTTAAGAGTCATCACGTTTATCATAAAGCGTTTTTGTTAGATTGCCATTAACGTCTTTTTCAAGTAAAATATCCAAATATTAAACAGATATGTCAGACTCTGAGGTATCTTTTATTTCAAGCTCACCTGGATACGAATAAATAATGCAAAGAGTTATCTAAAAGTAAGAAAAGTACTTGATACATATTCTTAATATTTTTAATTCTTCAAAGCATTGTCTGTTACCCTTTACACATGTCTTGGGTCTTCGTACTCATGGTCAGAAAACCACAACATACTCAAAGACACCGATGAAAATAACTTCTTATAAAATATCTGATGTTGTACAATCTTCCATTGATTGTCTTCATGCATATTTTGAATAAAATATTTAAAAATGACTAGATCTAGCCAAACTGGGGAAAGACAAAGCTGTTTAAGCTTTTTTCTTCTTCAAATGTCATTCTTTTCTTTATGCTTATTTGCAACAGCGTTGTCAGGTAAAGAAAATTACCGTGAATACCGTGTTTGGACTTCCTTTGCAGGAAATCTGTTTAAATTCCTTAGTACAATTTGAACATTAAGGTAACCACGGATAGTCCTACATTTGGGGTATGTTTATTGACCCCTTGAAAAAAATGCAAACGACTAAACAGCTCTTGTTTCTCTTTACAATAATAAGACTTCAGCTTTCTCTTTGATTCCACATTTTATTATTTATTTATCGTTTTTTCTGCTATTAAAAGTGTTCCCTTGTTTAATAATCAATCACGTAAGTTTATCCAATTTTCTATGTTATTAAAAAATGTTTTTTAAATAAACCGTTGACACATCTAACGTGTTTTTTTGTATTTGTAAGAAAATAAGATAGAAAAAATTATTTCATTTCTTTGTCATAATTTTATGATGTAATGTGATGATGAAATTTTTAGTGTCAGAGCAATTTTAATCTAGAATTTTCAGATAACATGTTGACACGCCTTTGATATATTTTGGTGTACTTACAGATGTCAATCGACTAGTTGGACTGTTATATTTAAATTATCCTTTTTTAATCTTTAATTTCTGAATCCATCTGAAAACAGCATTAAAGGCTATTCTTTCCATAAATAAAAATCATATAATATTTAAATTGATTTTTTCGGCGATTTACTAGAACGTAAAAAAGCATAGTTTTCACATAATAATTTTGAAGAAATATATTTCATCTTTAATGTATACATAACGCACTGTTTCATAGGTTCATATGTATCGTGGCCGGTTTTATTTTAAAAAAAAAAATCCAATAAATACTACTAGTAAATTGGTAAAATTGATAGTCCTTATAACAACAAAAACATCCATGAATTATTATTTAAGTGATTTTTTTTCCATAAGAGAATGATTTAAAAAAAAATTAAGATGCTATCAATTATTACTAACACAATAATTGATTTGGTTTTCCTTTATTAACATTATCCGATAACAATATTTTGATACCCTACTTCATCAGAATTTTTCCATTATTAACATTATTCGATAACAATATTTTGATACCCTACTTAATCTTAATTTCCTATGGCAATGATGGAAGAATAGACTATAATAGTGTTTTGTACGCCAAGAGAACAAGTGAGTTAAAATGAATCAGTGAAATGATATCAATCGAATACAGTCCCAAGCTCGAGACACGTTTAGGAGATGGAACATGAGATAATTCTACCTTTACCTTTCATCACGTACCATTCATAACTGCAGAATCATTCTTCACCTCATCACGATTTGTCAATTACCTTAATGACCAGTTCCTGGAAGCTAAATGGTTAATTTTTATAATGGTATACAATACGTTAGGAATGGTTCAGTTATTTTTTCCCGTACTAAAACAATAAGTTTGATAAGAATCAAATTAGAATAATTAAAGAAACAGTACATATGCACCCGAAAATTCATTTCACAAAAATTTAGAACCCATCTTATTTGCTTTGATCATTTATAATGAAGATTTTTAATGAAGGAATTCAATTTATTTTTTTAATCATTACTGTATCATTAACGTTATTTGATTTTCAGAGATTGAAAGTGTTAATGGATATACCGTCACCTATATTGCGATCTTCAAGGTTTATCAAATCTGATAATTATTGATGTACACGTGTTCAACATAGCATAAAAATGGAATTCCAAGAGAGAAGAAAAAAATTTGCTGATTGAATATGACAAAAGTTCTATAGTTTTTTTAAATGTCATATAATTTTCTTCTCTTTATTATGTCATTAGCATCTGCTATTAATGAAGGTGAAATACACAGGTAACATTTCAATGTTTATGTTCAACATATGGTACTAAAATATATGTTGAACATACTATATACTTTTACCTGTGTATACATCTGGATAACTTCAGGATAAAATAATGCTTTCGATACCAGACTTTCCCCCTCTTTTATTTGATATCAAATAAACGCTAATATAACTAACATACATATTAACTACATTACACATTGAGATTAGATAAATATTTTTAGAATACACGAAAAAAAAAAGAAAACAAATAAGTTGAGACCAATTTAAGGTTTACAATAATGAAAATGAAAAAAAAATCATACAATAATCGTAATGGTAATTTAATGACAAACTTGATAAATATAATGGAATTATACAGAATACAAAATGTTCCCATGTTAGCATGATGGGCCACACTTTCAAGAGTTCATAATGCCCCCATGCTAACTCAAAGACTCCACAACTGATTTTGTGGACCTGTTGGCAACATGTGTTTTCATTTACAAATTTATACAAACTTTTTTTTCAGCAATTTATGAATTTGTACACTATCATATGAAAATTCTGCTATATATTAATATGTGTTCAAAGATGATTTAACAAAATTAAAAAAGAAATCTTTGTCACTAGTTGTATTTGTCAATCAAAGTTGTATTTGTCAATCAATTATGCAAACTTATTACAATATTTATTCCAATTTATTTTGAAACCTTAAATTTTCATTTTAAAGCTCTGAATGCACTAATAGATTCTTTGTAAAAGATAGGAATATTTTTTAGTTCTTTGAAACCATCTACATTTATTAGATTAGTTTTTAAAATGTGTTCTAATGACAATGCCTCTCAATTAAATAGATGGTTTATGAATGATACCATACTAGATTTTGGGTTTAGTAACATTGGAACCCAAGATGTCTTGGGTACTTTGAGTTAAAGATTCAACGTCTATAATGCTATTAGTACACGTACCTCATTGTTTTTCATCTCCAATAAGTGTATTTCTTTTTATACGGTCTTTACTATACCATACAAAGTTGAATATTAATTAATTTATTTGTTTAATAATTTCCTCAGGTGGATTGGGAAGAATTGTTGCATTATAATGCAGTTTTGAAATTCACAGTGTTAATTATATCCCCCCCCCCCCAAAAAAAATTGTTATATATTTTTTTTTACATGATTCTAATGTTTTGGTCATGTAAATCAATTTTATCTTGCCAATTTTTTAAAAACATTTTTGTCGTGTCCAACATGTATCCCTAATATTTTAACTGGGTCGTTATTGCTCACGGTCGATATCATGCGTAGAAAATTCTGTTCATTTCCTTTGGCATTTTGATGAGATTTATGACTGAAGTTCTGAATACTAATTAAAAATCTAAACCTGTTCCTTTCCCAGTAAAGGCGGAAGACTGTTTAACTTTCAATCATTTAGTAGACACACACACAAGAAATAACAGGGATGAAAAGACAGTCATTTGACAATTTGTTTTGCATGAAATAAATATCAAAACTTCATTTTAAAAAGCTTAATGTAATTTTAGTACATATTTTAATGACTAAAATACCATGCATATGCTTTCATCCATGTTTTGTATTGTTAAGTCTTAGAAAGATTGTCTTTTAAGACAAGGATGCCGGTTTTATTATAAAGAATATGATTCAATACAAAAGATTGAAAAACAAGAGGCCCATGGGCCACATCGCTCACCTGAGAAGATTTGACCATTCTGTTCTTTACCAGATTTCCCCCTTGTTATACATAATGCATCCCCACCCTACCCCACTGATCATAATTTAGACATTTTGAAATCTACACTACCCCATGATCCTTCCATGGGCACATATGTTTCAGCTTTTTTGGCCCAGTGGTTCCTGAGAAGAAGATTTTTCCTATATATTTCTATATAAAACTTTGATTCCCCATTGTGGCCCCGCCCTTCTCCCGGGGGTCATTATTTGAACAATTTAGAATCTACATTATACCAGGATGCTTCCACATAAGTTTCAGCTTTTCTGGCCTAGTGGTTCTTGTGAAGAAGATTTTCAAAGATTTTTCCTATATATTTCTATGTTAAACTTTAATACCCCATTGTGGCCCCGCCCTTCCCCTGGGGGCCATGATGTGAACAATTTAAAATCTACACTACCCCAGGATGCTTCCACATAAGTTTCAGCTTTACTGGCCCAGTGGTCCTTGAGAAGAAGATTTTCAAAGATTTTTCCTATATATTTCTATGTAAAACTTTGATTCCCCATTGTGGCCCCGCCCTTCCCCCGGGGGTCATGATTTGAACAATTTAGAATCTACACTACCCCAGGATGCTTCCACACAAGTTTCAGCTTTACTGGCCCAGTGGTTCTTGAGAAAAAGATTTTCAAAGATTTTTCCTATATATTTCTATCTAAAACTTTGATTCCCCATTGTGGCCCCGCCTTTCCCCCGGGGGTCATGATTTGAACAATTTAGAATCTACACTACCCCAGGATGCTTCCACATAAGTTTCAGCTTTACTGGCCCAGTGGTTCTTGAGAAGAAGATTTTTTAATGACCCAACCCTATTTTTGTCTTTTCTTGATTATCTCCCCTTGCGAGGGGATATGTCATTTGACAATTTGTTTTGCATGAAATAAATATCAAAACTTCATTTTAAAAAGCTTAATGTAATTTTAGTACATATTTTAATGACTAAAATACCATGCATATGCTTTCATCCATGTTTTGTATTGTTAAGTCTTAGAAAGATTGTGGCCCCGCCCTTCCCCTGGGGGTCATGATTTGAACAATTTAGAATCTACACTACCCCAGGATGCTTCCACATAAGTTTCAGCTTTACTGGCCCAGTGGTCCTTGAGAAGAAGATTTTCAAAGATTTTTCCTATATATTTCTATGTAAAACTTTGATTCCCCATTGTGGCCCCGCCCTTCCCCCGGGGGTCATGATTTGAACAATTTAGAATCTACACTACCCCAGGATGCTTCCACACAAGTTTCAGCTTTACTGGCCCAGTGGTTCTTGAGAAAAAGATTTTCAAAGATTTTTCCTATATATTTCTATATAAAACTTTGATTCCCCATTGTGGCCCCGCCTTTCCCCCGGGGGTCATGATTTGAACAATTTAGAATCTACACTACCCCAGGATGCTTCCACATAAGTTTCAGCTTTACTGGCCCAGTGGTTCTTGAGAAGAAGATTTTTTAATGACCCAACCCTATTTTTGTCTTTTCTTGATTATCTCCCCTTGCGAGGGGATATGTCCCTTCATTTTTACAATTTAAATTCCCCTTCACCCAAGGATACTTTGTACCAAGTTTGGTCAAAATTGGCCCAGTGGTTCTTGAGAAGAAGTCGAAAATGTGAAAAGTTTACAGACGGACGGACGGACGGACAGACGGACGGACGACGGACAAAATGTGATCAGAAAAGCTCACTTGAGCCTTCGGCTCAGGTGAGCTAAAAACCAAACAAACCGAAAACCCCCACAAATCACGATCCATCCAAAAGACTTTATTTTTTACACTGCCTCCAGTCTTGATAATAATAATTTATCTTTCCATATCTATTCTGGATATAGATAAATCAGAAGAGAAGAGTGAAATAGACACATGAAATTATTAGTATAAATTACTTTTAGCACGTTAGGTGATAGGTCCTTATTGATTGATATGTACAGTGTTTTTAGGGAGCAATAAGGACAAAGCAGAGCAGTCGCCCACAAAGGGTTAACTAAAGTTTTAACCAGATTCACAAATAATAAAACCAGAAAAAAAAACTAAACTCAGTAGGGTTTTATATAATCGATATGTCTGAAATATTTAGTATACAAAAGCAATTATCTCCATTTTCTCAGCTTTAAATGTTTAAAAAAAATGTTTACAAGAATTTCTAATCCCAAAATATTGGACTTACATAAGAAAATATATTTCATATTTTGATAGAAAATGCGATTTTTTTCGTAACCAGGGCCAGAAACATCCGAGTTGTCGCCGGCTTACATCGCCAGTCCTCCACCACAACAGCCCAGGCCATAGGAGTGTCTAGAATCATCATGGTAAGTGTTAGACAATATATGTAAAAGATACCACAGAGTTTGACACATCAATTTCATATTTGGATATTTACTTAAAAAGACGTTAATGGTAATCTAACAACCATGCTGCTTAAGCACTATAATAAACGTGATGACTTTAACTTTACAATCGTCAACTTTCCTTACATATGCAGCAATATGCTTTCATTATCCGCATGTTACGGAGTTTATATACCTTAGTTAATTCGATAAACAAGAACATGCTCTACATATGAAGAATTCCTAAAACTAAGTAAATTATTGACAAACATGTTGATGAACAAGAATATCAGCATTCCGTTAAAAGTAATCATTTCTTAGTTCTATGGTCGATACAATGACCTTGTCAGAAAATACAATTTATGATTAAGTCAAATGATGACTGACGTTTTTCATACTTATTGTTAGTCCATTATTTATATACTGAACTGACTGATTTTACCGTTATTTTCCGATGTGACCGGTCGGCAGGGGATGCTCATTCTCGATGGCACCTGATCTCACCTCTGATGTTTTTGAGGTCCGTGTTTGCTCTGCTCCTATTTTGTATTGTTTTATGGACCTTTGATCTTGAATACACTTCGTTATCTCATATGTTTCATCATCATGGTAAGTGTATAAACAATTTATGTCTAGGATCATCATGGTAAGTGTCTATTCATTTAAAGTCATGATTCACCACAGTATGATTATTTAATTTTTATTTCCAAGATCGTTATGATGAGTAAAGTTCAATTTACTGTATGTCTCATTACTTTGATAAGTGTCAAGGACCATAATGGTAAGCGACTGCTCATTTTTTGTCTAGGATAATGCATGATAAATTGCATGGAAAGTATCTATAGATATAATTTATGTCTGAGATTATGATGGTGAGTATCTAGCAAATGTTTGTCTAGGATAATCATGTTAAGTGTCTAATTTATTTCTTTCTAAGATCACCACGGTGAGTATTATTTCTGTCTAGAATTATCATGACGATTGTCTTATCAATTTATGTCTAGAATCAACATTGTAAGTATCTATATAATTTACTAGTATATCTTAGATCATCATGGTAAGTATTACTCAATTTATGAATATGAAATATATGGAGATAATGAACAGCTTCGAAGATCAAAAGTCCATCAAATAAAACAAAACTAGAGCAGAGCAAACATGGAGGCCCCCCACCGCAAAAAAAAAATCAGAGGTGGGATCAGATGTCATGGAGGAGTGAACATCCCTGCCGTGTGCTCCTTCTCATGATCGCGAAATAACGAGAAAATCAACAATTCAGTGTGTATGTAATGGCATAACTATTAGTATGAAGGCATATGACTTAATGACAAATTGTATTTGCCGATAAGGTCATCATAGAACTCATGACTTTAAGTGACTTTAAACGATACTGCAATGACAGTGCTGATATTCTTGTTTCAGCAACTTGTTTGTCAATAATTTACATCGTTTTGAAAATTGTTCATACGTAGAGCATGCTCTTGCGTATTGAATCAACTGAGAGATATTAACCCCGTATGCAGGTGATGGAGGTATATAGTTGACTACGTAAAGGACGATTGAAAAGCTTAAATTATCACATTTATCATAAAGCTTTGTTGTTTGATTACAATTCACGTCTTTTTCTGTCAAAATATCTAAAATATAAAAAAGATATGTCAGACTCCATGGTATCTTTAATTTCAAGCAGCTCACCGGTGTATATTGAATCGACATAAAAATGGAAATAACCATTGTTTATTGACAATGATTACTAGTTTCATAGCAAGCGTTTTCTTATCCAAGAATACATAGCTACATTTACAGTTCTGTAGGTAAACCCACTTGCACGGATTATAATGCTTTAAGTGTACATCTGTTGGTTCAATCGTCATGGTCAAGTTAAATTTCGTAGAGCAGATTATGTAATGCATTAATGCAATCTAACTGGCCATAGTCCTAGATGTGCTTCGAATTTCTATATGGCCTTTACTTTTTGTCGAAGTAATCGGATGAAAATTTCAAAGTTAACATACTTAACAAAAAATCAGATTGATATTACATCTGGGAATACACATATGCAACCATTTATGATTCATTCTAATCTGAACGTATGCAAAACAATATATTTTATAGGTTTAGATACTATTGAGGCATTTTCTGATAGAGCGTAAAATTACAGAAAGGTGTTTTCAGCCAAATACTCTTGGGCCTGTTTTACAAAAGAACTAATAATAATAATAATAATAATAATAATAATAATACTTTATTTAAAGAGGGTAACCCGATTAGTGCAATGCACTAGTCTTCCTCGGGGCCCTCTATACATGGATAGTACAATTATGTATACAACAGTACAATAATCAGAAAAATTACAAGTATATTACATATGTGAATTACATTTGAAAAAAAGAAAGTATATACAATGTATTATCAAAACATAGAAAAAGTTACAAATTAGGAAATGTTGCGCCCATTGATGATAAATTTTTCCACATTTTTACGAAAGGATTGTACAGTTGGGGAAAAACGTACATGTAGAGGTAATTTGTTCCATAAATTAACGCCTGAATATTGAAAAGAATTTTTAAACAGATTTGTTCGATACTTTGGTAGACTAAGGTCATAATTGGATTCAGAACGTAAAACATAATTTTTGGAGGAAATAAATTCAAACGAGTCTCTCAGATAATCAGGTGTCATATCATGAAGTGTTTTATAAATTAGTATGTATTTGTGAAAATTTATTAATTCATATATAGTCAGCCAATCAAGTTTCACAAATAATGGTTGTGATGGAGCATCTGGTGCCGCATCTAATATAATTCTTGCTGCTCTTTTTTGTAATTTAAAAACTCTTTCTATGCCAGCACCTAACGACTATTAAGGCCAAAAACTTGTTGATTTTAAAATTTTGTAAAATCAATGATTGGGTTCAAAGTTGCTTTCACGAACATATCTTTCAACATTCTTTTTTAAAAGTTTAAAACCATTTTCAATCTAAAACAAATAAGAAAGTTATTAAGCAGATCGAATATAATTTGGCCTTAATCATACGTTCTTTTGTTAAACAAGCCCCTGGTTATTATGACAGTTTTTAACAATCTACACTATCTTCTTTATAGTATACGCCTATTTATTTTTAACACACCCACTCTTTTACTTTGTATTTAGGTAGATGCGATTTTGATACTAATATGTAATAATACTTAAAGATGTACTGGCGTTGTTTGTATATACCTAGATAATATCGCCTCATTATGTAAAGAAAATAATTCCTCGGTTGCCCACATGAATATTTTTGCTGCAAAATTCTCATACTGTCATTATGAGTAATTTAAGAAGTAAAGAGGCATTAATTTTAGTGACTTGTTTTTCAGATCATGGAAAATAATTATACATACGGAATCCAATTACTTTGCATATGGCATTTGACCTATTAGAAAATTTAGAATACATAATTACCAATTTTTGTGGATTTCTGTTCTAGCACCCGGATTATGATGGTAACGGAGCGGGTTTTCCCAATGACATTGCCCTTCTGGAACTGAGTGGAGAGGTGACCTCCAACAGGGCATCAACCATCGCTCTGGCCCGGGGGACCAGCAGCTTCATCGGGAACCCCGACTGCTGGATCACAGGGTGGGGGAAGACGTCGGGTGGGTAGAATACTGATGGCTTTGGTATTTCATTGCACACTGGGTCATATATTTGATCCGAATAGTAGCTATTTCCCGAATTATCACTGATAGGTTATTGGTGCTTGACTTAGTAGAGATGGATGATAAGTCCGTAGGATACAACGGCTCTCTTATTGGTGGAGGTGGTTTTAAGTTGTTTAAAGACCAATCTCTCTGTTTTTAGGCAGAAACATCTGAGAATGAAGTAGACATGGCATGTCACTGAGTTTTGGGATTTTTGGATTAAGTGAACCTTTCGGATTGAAATCTAACGATTGCCTGTCCAACAGAAATTATTTACATATTTATGCAAAGATTGGATTTGACTAAATTGTTTCTTTTCTTCAAATACATTCTGAGGGTAGGTTGGGAGTAAAACATATTAATGTTTACAGAGGAAAATCATTTTCAGCTTTAGACATATTGATATTCAGGAATCCGTAAGTGGTGGGAATTCAAATTTAATTACGTTACGATCCTTTATTTCTGAGTGGTTCCTCAATATTAGATCAGAATTTTTCATTGGAGTAAATACAGAAGATCTGAAGAAGAACAACAGGTCAAGGATAAGTCAGGTGAAATTTGTGGACCATGGGCTTCTTGTACAATATTAGATTTGCAGAACAACCTTGCAAGCGAAAATTAAATGTTATGTGAAACCTATTCTTTTCAGTCAGCACAGTAGCTAGGACAGGAGATTATAGTTTGAACATTTTTTATTGATGAAGTTCTTTGTGTGCACCATTATTTTTCCTTGATATAATTATGTATATTGTGTAGAACCTTGTCTAAATATTGGTAATTGTTATTGAAAATGAGATATGTTTGCATGTTGATGAATAACGTTATCTAAACGCCTTGTTAAAAATTTAAAACCTTTGTAAGCTAACCAAGAGAATTTAAAAAAAAAAACATTAAGATCTGATACTAGTATTCGTTTATCTAGATACAATTTAAAAAAAAAAATACAAACATATATAACTTATGTACTACTATTATCTAAAAAAAATCATCATTGTAGAACTTTAAATGTTATAATGCATTTTTCACAAAACAGGGCACGTGATAATGTTTGAAAACTCAAGTAAGATAGTAAGAAAGGAACAAGAAGGTTTTTTATGTAAATGATTCATAGAAATGCATCACTAATTGAATATAACGTCTACAAATTCTAAGGAATTATACAAGAAACGCTTTGCAGTACATATACAGTATCCATTTCGTTGTGAATAAAAAATAGTTGCAAGTTATGAAAAACACAGCATGAACGATATACAATTAGGAATGCTATATCTGTTTTCTACTTCCATAATTAGCAAACAGTGGGATATCTGAGGTTCTAATGGAGGCTCGAATGGATGTCATTGGCAACGGAGACTGCTCAAACCAGTGGAGGGACATTTCCGGTGCAACCATCTTTGATACTCACATCTGCTTACAGGCTGAAGGCAAATCAGCGTGCAGTGTTAGTAAATACTTCAGTAGAACTTGTGGTTCTTTTTTTAAGCTCATTTGAGCTGAAAGCTCAAGTGAGCTTTTCTGATCACCTGTTGTCCGTCCTTCTGTAATCTGTTCATATTTTCACTTTCTTCTCTTGAGCCAAGATACCAATTTTAACAATTGGTGATGAGAAGCATCCTTTGGTGAGGGGAGTTTAAATTATCACAATGAAGGACCACGCCCTTTTACAAGGAGAGATATTCAAGAAAATACTAAAAATGGAAGCTTTCTAAGAGTGTAGATGCTAATTTGTTCACATCATGGCCCTTAGGATCGGGAATAAAAGTTTTAGGCAAATAATTCAAAAATCTTTTTATTCAAATATATCTGGACCAGAAAGGGTTAAAAATACATGTATTTGAAAGATGTGAAGTAGATAAGATTATAATTTGATCGAATTTTAGTGGTCACAACTGGGAATCAAATTATTATAAGAGAAAAATCTGACGAAGAACCAAAGGGATCTAGACTCAGATGAGTGTTGTGGTCCATAGACCTCTTGTAAGATAATGTCATTTTTATCTCTCGGTGTCTGACATATCTCAACATGTTAAAAATGAGTTGGATTCAATTCTGGTCAATTAAATAAATGCATGTTATATCGTGCAGTCTTTTCATCACTTCGTATTTTGATAACATTTGCAAAAATGAGGTTAACAAAACGGCAATTTCTATTTCATTAATAAAAAATAGCTCCATAAAAAAAGTACGATTTTATAAATTCATAGAATTGGTTTTGTGACTCGCTCTCTCTCCCAACGGCTTTTAAATGTTAAAAAGTATTTGATGAAATCCTTTTAGGCTACACACAGAAAAAAAGCGGTATTTCCATATTCCCTGTACTTTATTATTTCTAAATATTATATATATTCACATTTCTCAGAATCTTAAATCAAATGAAACCAAAGTTGCTTCAGTTCTTTTTAAACAGATAAAAAAAAAAGAATAATATTCGTTTTTTATCCTTAAAAACCACTTATTATAAAATCCACAATAGAAATTTTTTAAAGGAGTTTTAAAGGAGCTATAGGATATGCATTGTATGGAATCAAGTCTGTTTAATGAATACAAAGCTTATATTAAGTGTATTATTTGGTTTAGAGATGGTAAAATAAAGTGTATTTATGGTTTAGAGATGGTTAATTTAGCCAACTCAGTATAAAGTTAATCATATCTGATGGTGTAAACTTTGTTCCTTTAGGGAGACTCTGGGGGACCACTGGTATGCCGGGATAATGGGGCCTACGTCTTAGCCGGAGCTACGTCATGGGGGATTACCACTTGTGAGGGATACCCCAGTGTCTATGTCAGAGTCAGTAAATACCTGGACTGGATCAACTCTAACATGAACTGAAACACGTGTATCATAAACTGGTCTCTTTAAAATAAATCATTAATAAAAAGACTTAGTATTGCTTATTATTTATTTTAGAGTTTATTATATACAGTATTTCTTTACTGTAGTTTAGGTCGACAGTATTCAAATATAATAGCATCACAATCCAGTATGCCCTTGTCAGCAAATACAATCTATCATTAAGTCAAATGCTGACTAATGTTTTACATTCTAATTGTTAGACCATTATAAACACACTGAATTTTTGACGAATTTTCCCGTTATTTCCCGATCATGACAAGTAGCACACAGCGTTTGTGACCGAACGGCAGGGGATGCTCACTCCTCCATGGCACCTGATCCCACTTCTGATATTTACGAATTTCGTTCTTGCTCCGCTCCTGATTTGTATTTTTTGAATGAATTTTTGAGCTTAATTGAATACTGTTCGTTATCTCATTATATTTCATGCAAGTGATAACGGACGATTGCTACAAAAATTAGAGAAGTTGACGACGGTCATCTCGTTTGTTATACAAATGTTTTGTTAATTGGTCCTCATCGACTTTTGTAAGTAGAATATTCAAACAGATATGGTGACTCTGTAGTGTTTTTTTTGTTCAGTTGGATATGTCGAATCTATATGTGAATAGATGGAATTATTGTTAACTGGTGAAACGTTATTGAGATATCTGAATGTTGAGTTGAAGTCAATAGGCCTAACAATTATTATTCCTCATGCAGAAGGAATATAAAGATAGGTCGGATAATGTAGGAACACTCTTAGCGGCCACTGGAATCCAAACAGGGTGTTAGAAACCCATGTCTCAAATTGTTTAAAATAAGAAACTCCGGTATTCTTTAAAAATCAACTTTTTAATATACTAAGTATGTCAAAATAAGCCAATCAAATATAAAAATGAACTAATGATACACGATGAATAATTTTGATACATGTACCAACTATATCTACACATGTAATAAGTAATTCAACAATTTGGTATTTCAATGATAACATTTACATATATTTGCATTAATATTAATACTTATTTCTAAAATAATTTTACTCCATTAAGTATTTACATGATTAATTAAAGCACCAATATGCATAGTATAAAGTGAAATAAATATAAATAAATGAAAACTGTTTTGAATTAAAGATTGATTTTGATTGATTTTATGTTGTTTAACGCCCCTCTCCAGAATTTTTTCACTCATATGGAGACGCCACCACTTGCCGGTAGAGGGCTACAAATTTTGTTCTATGCTCGGCACTCAGGGCCATTGAGGAGTTATGAATCTTTTTCGTGCCAGCACTGCGACATAGGACCTCGGTTTATACGGTCTCATCCAAAGAACCGGTCTCCATGTCCCTCAGTGGGATTCGAACCATCGACATAAGGATCGACTCCTTACTTTGCGACTCTAGAGCAGAGGCTCTATATAACCACTGCTCAACGCGGGCGACTTGAATTGCAGAAGCAAACGTTTAATTAGATTTTGATTGCAGGAAATGGAATCAAAACAGTGTAATAAATACAAAAAGTTACTTATTTTGATAATAAAACCATATTTTGTAAATGACGCCTACGTTTTGGATGTTTATTTACATGACTTTTTAAATATTTTTAAGAGTCAAAATCAGCAAGCATCGAGCATTTAGTTAAAAAATGTGGAAAGTGGCATAGAAACAGATTTGGTTAAAACTCATATATAAATTTTCAGAACAAAGGGTATGATAGAAAAAAGCAAGCAAAAAATAATTTTCCGCATTGTTGCTATGGAAACCACGCGCCTTTCAGATAGCGTGTTTTGTACTTTATCATGACACTTGAATTTATGGTTAAACAAATACTTTTTTATTACTAGTCATTAAAAAAAGCTTTTTAAATTATTATTTTATTTATATAAATGTACTCTATTTTAGCAACTGTTGATTTTTGAAATTCTCTTCGCCTTTTGATAAATATAACTAGTTTTTGGAGGTTTATTTTGCTTTAAAAAACAGCAAATTTGACGTACTTTATAAGAAATCTACAACCACATTAAAGCTTATCAACATAAAATATTTATTAAACAGTATTTGCTCTAGAAGAATCAAGAAAAAAATCTGCAGGCAACTAAAACATTTCTGCATGATAACTGATTTAAATCCATAATTTTCTGTCACATTTGCTTCAAATTACCTCCCTTTGGTATAGCTCTCTAACATAGGAGGAATAAACGGTAGTTTGCTTACCTTGTACAGAAGACTAGCAGAAAATTACAAATTTGGAGCAGTCTGAGCCTCAGTTTTGGCGTTTTCATGAATCTTGATTACGGTGAGTGATTGAAATTTTTACAATTTACCATCACAACAGGTACTGAAGAATGTATAATAGCATAAATAAACCATGCAGTAAAATATGTAACGCTCGACAAGTGTTTTGGCACATTTCAATTTAATTCTGATTGATTATGTATGTAAGCATTACTTTAGTATTTTATAACTAAAATGAAAATTTTTGCATGGCCTCAGGAACCAGGTGGTGGGGGGCATGCCCCCCCCCCCCCCCCCCAATAATATTGCCGATATTAAACTATTATAGTATGAAAAAATGAAATTAAATTCCCCAACTTAGATTGTTTCTGCGGGCCTATTGTGAAAAAGTTGGTCATGATCAGTTACATATTAATTATATCCCAAATTATGAAGTTTAATTTGAATTTAGTTTAATTTTAATTTGTTGTATTCACGGTATGTATGTAACCAAAGTCACTCACCAGCTATAATGATTATAACTTGATTGATGGTCGGGTAAATAAAAATTTTGTATATAATAGTAGATATCTTTATTCATCATTTAAGATAATACCTGCTTTTTACGTAAAAAATTATGAATGTATGAAAACCAACACTTTTATGAAATATTTGTAAAATGGAATGACTTTTGACTGTTATGACGTCGTAAAAAAAAAGGGGGGGGGCAGGGGGTTAACTCTGTACTTAATATATTTTAGTTTAGGAAAGGGGATTACCTTGGAAGTATTGTGATACAGACAAGTGTATTATGTAGTGGACTAGTGGTTACTGAATTGTATATATAACAGTAAAATAATTTAAAAAAAACAAAAACTTTTTTGCTGATGTCATCCGGTGTTTACTTATAAAGAAAATTCATATTCAGCTAACATTTTCTCCGGTACCATTGAACTACAGTAATTTAAGTTTACTACAGTAGGTTCAAATAATTAACATCATTAGATTTAAAGCACGTAAATTTATGAAATGAATATCTATACTACATTTTTTCGGGGGGGGGAGGGTATTGGAAAAAAATGAAAAACATAATTTAGAATTTTGACAAAACCTAAAACCAACAAACCTTTTTATTGCAAGTTTTTAAATTAAAAGAATATCTAAAATCAATACGGTCTCAACTTTGTGTTGTATACTTCTGTTTTTAGAATGAAAATCGGCACTTTGAAGCCAAACTCGGAAAGAAGCAGAAACAGAATTGGATGAACTGATACAGAATTAGACAGGAAAAACATGTCAATAATACATTTAGTTAAAACGTTACCTTTTTAAAATAAAATGATAAACCATTAAGATCTCTTGTAATTTAATTGATTCAAATAAACATGCTATGCATTCATCATCATTGCTCAAGCTCAACTAGAAATGGTTCTAAGTATATGAAGGCAAAGCTGTATAACATTATTACATTTTATTTTTTTTTCACTTTTTCAGATTATGAGAATACATTATTACAGTACAGACCATTGATACTGGAAGTGAGTGGATAGTGTTACTGGAGACTCAGGGATCCAGAAAATAGATCCATAAATTGTACAGTCTATTCATGAAAGTGAATCAAATAAAAATGTAAAAGTAACATTCTTTGTTTGACAATTAGCATTTTTTATTGATGTAAATCTCATAACTATCAATTTTTAGCATTCATATTCATAATGAGATAGTAGAAGAATCTGAAACATATCTTTATATTCTGCATCTTAAAGTATCATAATTAAAAAAGGGTCAATATTGAATGATCAATCAATTAATTTCAAAACTGACAAAATGTTTTTGTGAGAAAAAAAGAAAGAGGGCTAATTTATGTATTGTACCTCATGTACCACTGATGTTGGCGTGAGTGAAATAAAAATGATGATGATGAACTAGTTTAAAGTCAGACGACACGTTCCTCAAATTTATGTTTTGTATCTCTAGATATTATATATATATATATAAAAAATTATATTTGTCATTCTCTTCTGATTTCTACATTGTTTTCAAAATGTTTTAAATGAAAGTACAACAAAAAATTCGATATATGCCATTCAAAAGATTGCCCATTAGGGTTATTATACAATTATTGCTGGTTTTTGAGGTCAATACAATGATTTAGCCATCTGAGGAGTACAATATTCACCGAGCCCGAAGGGCGAGGTGAATATTGTTCTCCGAAAATGGCTAAATCATTGTATTGACCGAAAAAACAGCAATAATTGTTTAATTATATGATTCACTGATAAGAGAGAAGCAGAATTAAAATGTGAATAAACCTTACCAGTTGTGTCAATTTGAAATGTTTTTTTTTTTTTTTACAATTTAGTTGCCATGAAAAAATATAAAATGTCAGTCTTTTTTATAGAATAGATTTTGAAAGGAAGGAGTATTATCAGGGAAAACTGACTGCCAAAAAGTAAAAAAAAAATGTTGATCAGTAAAAGTGTTGGAGGGGGGGGGGGTCCCTGCATCCCCTCTTACCACCCTCACCTAAAATATATATTCGCTTATGTTTTGTTCACATGAAAATAAAAATCATAGTCCTTTAAATAGCTTTCTAAAACAATTTGTATCAATTTGGAATTTCCCAATCTATTTTTAGATCAATGTAGAGGAAATAAATCCTTGTATTGATCTGGAACGTCAGGTCAATACAACGTAATATTTTTCTAACATAGTTGGATCTCAGCCAATCAGAGAGATGGAAATTATTCAATCATATAATAATAATAAATATCTTTTAGGGTCAGTTCAAGTTTAGACATTCATATATATAAATATATAGCCCTTCCAGATTTTTATTTTAGGCACCAGTAGCTACTGCGGTCTTAGCTGTCTTGCAATATTGTCTCTTAATTGAGACAGCAGGAGAATATATAATCGGTTCAATACCAAAGGTTGCAGTCATTCGTTCTTGACAGACATGGTATCATTTTTGAAAGTTGATGGTGTGGGGTAGGCATAAAAAACTGCAAGAAAAAAAAGTTGGGAAATTCTCCAAAGTCGGAGGGGGGAGGGGGTAAACATCAGGTTATGTTGAGAAAAAAGTTCGGTGGGGGATGTCATCCCCTCTACCCAACCCAAACCTGATGCTACATGCCTGATTGATATAGTTTTACTTTAAAATTATATGAGCTGTCATAGTGACTCTCTTGCATAAACTAGAATTATTGTGAGCATACCCACCCTCCTGCTATTTCATTAAATGTTTTTATTACAAAAAAGGTCCAAATAATAAAAACCTTTTTAAAATTTTGTTAGTGCAGATATACATACCAAAATGACTATGACATATACCGTATAAGTAGAATTTTTATCGAGGATTTAATTTTCATTTGGCAGTATTAGCGAGGGTGCCGAGATCGCTAAAATTGAATATCGTTAAAAATTAATTGCATTTAATTTGTTATGACTTCTTTAAAGTGCATTTAAAAATCGCTAAAATAACATTTCGCTAAAAATAAATTACCAGTTTTTCAGGACAAATCGCTAAATTTGCATCTCGCTAAAATTTCCACTTATACGGTATTCAAGTCGTAGGAAGTAAAATCGTTGTGTTGAGCACAAACTTACAATTTCTCTTCATTCGAAATTAAATATGTAAATGTGCCAAACTCATATAGTATATTTTTAGTGCTGTGACTTTGAAAAAGCTATGTCTTTGAGTCAAGTCAAAATGTACAAATGAACTTTGGTCAAGGTCATGACAAAGCTACAGCTCAAAAATAATCCCCGAGATGAAACTTCAAGTCTTTTCATTAGAATATTACAGAATAGGCAAAGATTGCACTATTCTTCTACCAATGACCTTGAACTTGTTCAAATGACCTTGGGTCAAGTTTTTGACACTACTCTAGATCACAAACAATCTTTATATGAAGTATGAACTTTCAGTGGCACTTCATTGAATTGTTATGGACAAGTCAAATTTTACATGAACAAGGTGATTCTTACCCCCCCCCCCTTTTTCCAAGTTTCGTTTGTAAGGAATATAAAATTCCTTTTGAAATTGAATGTGCATTTATTTATCAACAATAGTAATATTATGAGTATGCTTTGATCAGAACCAATATGACCAATATAATGGACACTGTACGTGTATTCAAATTACCCCCACCCCTTCAAAAAAGCTTATAAATGTCAGATTATCACACATTTTAACCATTTGTAACTTTTTTCTACTAAAGTTGCCTGCAAATTTTATTGTATAGATATGACATATAGATAACCCCTAACAAGATCACAACATTTATTTTTCCTGCAGTGGTTGTAGATTTTGTGTATAAAGTGATAAACATATGTAATTTTTTTCAAAATTAATAAGCATTGACGCCATGTTATTTTCCCGTTGTCATGGCAACAATATCGCTAGAGAAATTTTGTTTTTCCTATTTTTGAAGAATAAAGTAATTCCATCTTTTAACAAATAAAGTAACCAAAATACCTTATCTAATCACGTTCAGAAAACATATTCATAGAAAAATGTCTAAAAATCATTGATTTTCATAAGGATTTATGAGCCCGTTGCTAAGGAAATGAATTTCCTTGGATACCAGTCCCTTCATACGTTCATAAAAAATTTTAATTGTGTTTTAGCATTAAGTAGGACAAAATCTTTTATATAACAAAAGCTTTTGAAAAAATAAAATTTTGACTTTCCATTCAATGCTCGATGCTTGCTGATTTTGACTCTTAAGAATCAACCCTTTATATAATTGGCTTCCTACGTAATGTTTATGCAAAATGTACTACACTTTAATATTTCAACTCATCTTTATTTTACAACCCAAAGTATGCTGTAAATGAAGATTTTTACCCCCTGTTTGGTTTATGGAAGAAATCAATTTAAAGTAGGTGATATTTTAGGAATAATGATCTTGATGTCTGCTCTAGATTTCAATACTTGTCAATATCTCGAATATCTGTAAAAGCTTGCACTAAACTTTACAATGAACACCTTTCACAAAGTATGTAGATGGCAAAAATAAATTTATTTTTATGTAGAATCTTTTATTTTGAAATGAAACTTCAACCCACATTAAGTGACTTTCAATTCAAGGAAGCTTTCCATAGATACCAAGAGAAATATTTAGAATTGCCTCATAAAACTGTATGAGGTACTTCATCTTGGAGGAGGAAGCATGTCCATTCTAAATCGCAAGCCTCACCTCCACGGGACAAATAATGTTATTTCTTTATTTGCTTTGATCTATATATTTATCATAAACCCCACATCGTCATTCTCTCAAAAAAGGATTTCGGAACCAAAAATAAATAATAGGAGTGGTGGGGCCTGAGCGAAAAATTAACTATTGATTTGGCATTCTGAATTTGAATACGGAAAGAATCCAAAATTCTACGACCACATTCAGAACAAAAGGCATCCCTGTAGTAAATAGCGAGTCCCGTGAGTAAATATTTTAAGTAAGTGACATAGAATGCATTTGGAGTCCTGTGAACAGATTGGCTTTCAAAAGATTGCTCCAGAACCTTAACTCATAGTTCCACACTAATTGCGAGAAAACACAGAAGCTAAATTGATAAATAAGATAGCACTCGTGATCTATTGTGAACATGGTCATTAAATAAATTTTAAAGTCAACTCAGTTGTCTTAAAACCGATATATTCCATTAGCAATAAATTGATTACATCTGTACTAACTTGCGTGAAATCAAACATTGCGTTAATCATTGTTTATGAGCGTAATTTCTTGTGCGTTTGTTTTCTTTGCCTCGTAATCCTGAAAATTTGTTTCAACACTTGAAACAATAACCTACAAAAGGCATTCGTCATTTGTTCACGTCCAGCAGCATTAAATGGACCGTGTGCCAAATACAATGGACCGTTAGTTTAGGACGGAAGTCGCGTAGGAATAAAACGCGTGATCAATCAATAGGAAACTAATCCGCGTGCTGCTATTTAATAACGAAACAGCGCTATCATCTTCATTTAAAATAAATGATATACTCTGCAAAAAAATTGAAAATTGACGGGAAAAGGTAAGTTAGATTGCATTAATAATTTTAATCATTAATTATAGTGATAAACATTAAATATACAATATTTCTATTACTTTACAAATACTGTAGCTGTAAGGCTTTTTCATAATTGAATTGCATTTTCATAAGAATTTCAAACCTTTTAATATTATTATTATTATTATTTTCATAAAGACTTTGTTATTCCGTAGTCTTTTTTGCTCTTTTTTTGGCAGATTTATTTAAAATTTCAAGTGTTGAAAAGTGTAACATATTTCTGTTTTTATGGGATAAGTGTTAAAAGATTGCGGAAAACATTAAGGATTAAAATTACCAATAATTTCCCTAAGGTCTTGAAGGATTAGAGCGTCTCCCGAATTACTTTTACACAATTTTGATTGTATTGAATCAAAATTGTGTAAAATGTCACTCAGTCTGCTTCCTTATTGTCACTGTTCCTTGTTTTTATTCTGTTGGAGATCTTCATGGAGCTCCTTTGGGAAAGGACATATTGCCGTTTTATCTCTAAAACGCCTTTATTGTTCTTCCCTTTTTATCTTTATTCTGGCTGTGAGGTGTCAAAGGATTATGTGATAAGGCTAAACAATTCTGATTAAATTTTACGAGTTTACAATGGACCACTCATTTCTCTCCCCCTCTCTCTTCTTAGTATCTTGCAATTGCTTAGTTCATTTCTTTGTTCTATTATATGCAGTCTACATTGTATGTGAGGGTGAAAGGTTTCAAAGGAGAGTTGAACGATATTTTAGTGTTTCTCACTTTTATAAAGAATAACTTTCATGAACTGGAAAAATTTATTCAAACTCGCTCTTCTCCCCTCGGCTAAAAATCAAGTCCGAATTTAATCACCATAATTGTATTTTTTTATTCGTTAAAACTAATCTTTAGATATTTAGAAGTTTTATGTCAGGATATGAGAGAGTAATGTCATCACTTAGTACTAGTATTGCTGCGCTCAGAGTAGAGAATAGCATTGCTGAAGTGCACTTCTCGATACGAAGTATGGATATTTCTTTGCATGTAAAGCATGATATGCCTTTGTTATCAAATAAGAGCAAACTTTCCAGCTTCCATTGATGACTCAGTACACTTTAATTCCACTTACTGTTGGAAGATTCACGAAATACAATATTGATGATAATTTCCGATGAATAACACTTCAGAAGGGAAGAATTTATTATCGACATAACTGTTGATCGGTACAAGGACAAAACCGTAACAACCTGTCTACAAAAGATTGCGATAAATAAGTCTTGTTTTAAGCAGATGCATTTTTATTACAAAAACCAAAAGAGTATAATGAATCAAAATTGAAGAATTGAATGGGCTTGATTTTTTTGTTTTGGTCAAATTAATCAAGTATTTTTTTTCAATTACCTTTTCGAATGTAATTTAATTTTATCTGTTTGCTTTTGGAATGTTGCCATTATGTTAGTAAATTAAAAACAGATGCAAAAGTTGTAGGAAAATCAAGAAACAAGACATCATCTTTTAAAAATTCCCGCCATTTATTTTGCTGTAGAAACTGGCCTAAACACTCAGTAAGATACTGCTCTTCTTCAAATACATTATGTGGTCAGAGCGGTATTTCTAGAGTCGGGGGAAAAGTAGATCCTTACGTTTCGGACGTTTCCGTGAATGACGGTCCTTCGGACCATACCGTATAATGTGAGGTGCCCTTTTGCAGAAGGTACTGGTACGAAAAAGATCCCTTACTGCTCAAAGACGAGTGCCGTGTATGAGTCTAAATTACAGGCCTCAAACTGCAAATGGTTTCGTTTCAAATATGAGTGAAAATTCTAGAAGGGAGTTAAACAAACAAACCAAAAACTAAACAAACAAAAGAAATACAGTATAGTTTAAAGAAAGACTACACTTGAATGGAAAGGATTTTCAAGCGTAAAATTCCAGTAGTTAAATACAAGATTTGATTCCAAATACTTTTTTTCTTATAAGGGAAGACACTACCATGGAATTCATTCCATAATAGCAGTGTTCTGTCAACCAGTGCAGTGTGTTAAAATGTTTTTACTTTTCAAGGGTTTTTTCTCTTTTTTTTCTTGTTTTGTAATGCTTCTTTTTTGTAGCTAGAAGCAACAAAACTATCAATTACGAATTCTTGCACAGTTGTTTTGGATATAACAAGAAAAAATGAAATTAATGAAAGAGATTTTTCATCTTAAAAAACCCGTGAAAGTTTATGCGAACATGACAGGTCCGCATTAGAGAGTCAATGTCATATATAATTCTATGCAAAATCATTTGTGATAAAGAGGTGCTTTAACTAGATTTACAAGCAATAAAAATGTACAATCTTTTCACAATTTCTAGTTTATGTATTTTGTGCAATAATCGTTAAGCAATATCTTTTATGCTTATATGATAAATAATTTGTTGTCATGAAAGTAGTTGGAACTGCCTTTATTTTTTTTGTTCCGATTCTGAACATTTTCAAATAAAGATAATACTGTAACGGTCTAGAGATTTGACAGATTAGTTTTATACAGAGTAAAAAATGAGAGTTATTGAACCTGATTATTGTTGACATTACAGGAGAGTTAAAATGAATTTGTATATGTGTTATAATTACTTGACATTGCAGACATATGTACTGATTTATGCTTTGCATGTAGTTGATAGGTGATTATTGACAAGTTTAAGTAATCTACATGAGTTGAAATAGTTTGTGCACGTTTTGAGTTACGTAGAAATCAGCTGATCATAGCAGTAGTAAAGTTGTGGTGTTATTTTAGCTTACTTCATGTTTCAGGGACTTTAATTGGTCTTCTGTAGTAGATGAACCATAGATTTATAGATGAAATCATGTTTTCTTGAAGTTTAACTTGTTTTCAGTTAATTATCGGCAGTTTATAGACTGGTAGATTTGTTTACGAACTTGGCGGTCGTAAATTGTGTAGGTCGAGCCCGATCGTAAAAGTTACGATAGTTTTCGGATTTTTGGAGTTAATTGTGTTATTTGTTGATTTAAATAGAAATTAATTTACTTATTTTAATCTAAGAAGGTATTCGGAGATTACTTTCATTCAGAAAAGTTGTCTTGTATGTAGTTGTTAGATTTTTCTATAGACTTTGCTGCTTACGGGAAATGTCACGAGAGATTCTCCAACGTTTTCCAACGAGTCCAACAGTTTCCAACAATTACGTCATGTTATTGTATAAAAGAGAGAGATTCAAGGAATTTTTGCTCTTCTGCTAGGTTGGTTTGTTTAGAGAAGTCGTGTTTTAGGGGTAAGGAGTTAGTATGGGTTGGGCGTTTTGAATTTAAATGTAATAATGACTTTTTAGTTTTAGTTTAAGAAGAGCCAGGGTTATTTTAAGGATTTTTAGGAACTTTTGGAATATTGGTGGAATTTTATAGGAAGTTTTGGTCAGGTTTTAGTGAATTTTAGCTGAGAATTGGACCTGGTTAAAATTTGCTGGTTGTTTGAATTTTTGGTAAATTATTGTTAAATTTTAGAAATACTTAAAATTGTTTAGGTAATTTATACATTTAGCTAAGGAAGCTAGTGTATTTCTAAATTTTGCTACTGTTTTTAACTGAAATTCAGACTTAGGAAATTTGCAGGAATTACTGGTGTTTGAAATTTGTTAGGAATTAATTAGGTTTAAGGGATTAAGTTTTAGTTATTGGTTTTTACTTTCATCCAGGAGGTCTGGAAGGAAGTTCTGAGAATTAGGAGTTTTGTGAGTTGTATTGAGGTTGATTTTAGGTAAGTCAGGACTAATAGGTGACACAGACAGACTGAGACAGAGCTTAGAATTTGTTTGTTGATTGTTTATTTAAGAGATAATTCTTGTAATAAATTGTAAAACTGTATTTTGTCTCATTTCAAGTACAGAGATTTACAAGGTTTTATCAAAGTGTGATTTTCCAACAAGATGGAAATTGTGGGATATAAGAGTATAAGAACTGAGTAATGATAATTTAAGAATTTTAGTGACTTCCGTAGGTCTAGGTTGTAACGAGCTTGACAAATAGAGAAGAAAAGCTGAGAGATTTCGTGTATTTATAAATTTAGTGTAACTTAGAGAGCGCGGGTTAATAAAAGGAGGTTTAGGTTTTGGGCAGTGGTGTTTTATCTGAGTTCATTGATTAAAGGGAGATAATTTAGTGTGTTGTGGAAAACGATTAAAGAGTATTGAGTTTTGAACCACTGTGCCATACTAGCCCTCCTGAGCTCGGGTTGAGCTGTGTAACGCAAGCCTTGCCACGAAAGATAAGACAGCCCCTATAGATAGAGTGAGGGAGACGGCGGTCCCAGTAAGAGTACGGAGGAGGTTCCGTCCGTCCGCCTGCCCCCCCACCCCGTTACACTTGGCGTCGCCGGTAGGATTTGTACTTCCAACCAAAGAGTGTTGGTACCACAAATCCTGTGAAACGAACATCTCTAACTACAAAAATGGTGAAGAGGAGACAACAAGCCTCAACAAAATCTAGACGAGAGGGAAGTCAAGCTGATCATGAGGAGATACAGCAGATTACAGATGATGAGATGAACATTGAAGCCTTGACTGTCACTGAAGGAGAAACAGATTATGAAACTACTGCAAATGAATTTGGGTCATCTGAGGAAGATGACATGCCAAATACTGTCAGACCACAAATCAACGTTGGAGCTGAAGTCCATATGGGAAGCAGTCCATCACTACCAAGCACTAGGCGAGATGCAGATCTACATGAAGTGAGAAGGCCTACACCAGTGAGGCATGTTGGAAGACCTGGATTACGGAGGAGGCTGGGAAACGCTGATCTAACAGAACAACCAACCCCTATAAGAAATTCTTCCAACGACGCAGGAGACAATTCACTTGGTATTTATAATGAAATAAAAGGAGCCTTGAAGGAAATGACAAATCAGATCTCAGCTATCCAGACAGCCTTTGCGGGATTCACCGACCAACGGATTTCTGCCCATGTTGTTGAAAACCTGGAAAATGGTAAGTCCTCTGACTGCCTTGCGAGGAGCATGGCACATCAG